ACTCGTATACACTCGCGCCACGTCACTCTCACTCCCTTTATCCGTAAACAGACTCCCACACCACGACGCCAGGACATGTTCAAACCAACCGTGAGAATAAACATGAACCACTTCACGACAATAATTTTTTATTGTGTTTCTGCCAATGCGTCTTGAGCTCGCCAACGACGTTAAAAGGGTCTTTTACTCGCCTGGTTTCTTTTGCACCAGATCGAGTTGACTTTTTTGACTACTTCTGCAGCCTTTTTTTTTTTTTTTTTTTTTTTTTTTTTGGTGAGAGGCAAAGGGGGAGGTGCTTGGCTACCCTATTCATATCGTATTCTTGGATCCATTGCTTCGATTGTCCACCACAGGATCCTGCTGTCGGTTGATATGTCCGCCTTTCGATCATTCTTTTGGTACTGCTCCGTATCATTCTTTATTGGAGTAGACGTTGTTGGGCGAAGCTCATTAAAAGGGAGGTTGGAGCTGGAGATGGTCGTCTTGTGCATTGTTGTTTTTTCATTTTTTTTTGGTGACGCACGATGCAGCTTTTGCCTACTTTGTTGCACTCTGGTTTGTATCCACTATTTATTTATTTATTTATTTTTGATTATTATCGGTGTTGGTGTTTGTTGTTGTTGTGGTTGGTATTATTATTTTGTTGATGTCAACGAGATTCGACGGGGGTTTTTTTGTCGGTCGCCACGATACTTCAATCGATCTTTCGTGTCGATTTTCGGATTTCGGCAAGGCGTGCTCCTGCTTTTCACCTCCTGGCGTCGTCGTCCTGGATTGTAATGCGATGTGTCTTGAGATATCAAAAGGCACTATTGAACTTTGTCTTGGGAGTCAGAAACGATAAGCGAAAACTAGTCTGTGGATGCTCCAAGCGTGTTGATACTCTCGATCATCTCGTTTTAGTCTACGGGTCAAACGGTGTAGGCTGGTGCTGAGAGTGGTGGTCATGGAGGTTGAAATGGTCGAAGTGGGTAGAGGTGGTCGAAGTAGGTAGAGATGGTCGAAGTGGGTAGAGATGGTCGAAATGGGTAGAAGATGGTCGAAGTGGTCGCGGATTTGTCAAAGCTCTTTCTTTTTGTCTTGCCGATACACAGAGAGATAGGAAGATATACAGTGCTGGCCGGATGCTGGATGAACAAGGGCAAGACAAAAAACAAAGCAGAGCTGAGTGAGAAATTATTTTGTGTGTATTTGTGCTTTGAGCATTGACCATGCTGGTTGTGCCATTTTTTATTTTTTTTTGGGTCAGGCGAGCGATAGATAGGTAAGCAATGATGGGAAGAGGTTAGACTCTGAGTAGGGTTGTACGGTGTGGAAGCAGGGGAGAGAAGGGGAGGGCAGGTGGCCTCTTAGCTGGAATTATGTCGTGGTCATGATGTTTTGCGACAAAAGAGAGGAGGTGCTGATGAGGCGAAGCGAGTCGATGATAAAAGACGCGTCAGTGAGGAAGATCTGTCGCGATAGTTCCCTTATTTTGTTGTGGGACAGGTCTCGTACTGAGGGGAGGACAAGAGGAGGAAAGAAAAAAAAAAAAGAAACGACTGTAGAGGTCATTGGGACCAAAGAGACAGAGTGAAAGAGCAAAAGAAGAGGGTGGTTCCCAGAAGAAGCAAAAGAGAATGGGCCGAACCGGGAATTGAACCCGGGACCTCTCGCACCCTAAGCGAGAATTATACCACTAAACCATCCGGCCAACTTCTTGATACTTGCCAGATTTTGGATGCAGTCTGGTTCCTAAGCCCCGATTGGTCTCAAATTTGGTGGCGTCATTATATTGGTGGCGTAAATCGGTCACGGGAATTACTATGACAGAGAAATAGATGCTTCCAACAAGAAGATTGGCCGGATGGTTTAGTGGTATAATTCTCGCTTAGGGTGCGAGAGGTCCCGGGTTCAATTCCCGGTTCGGCCCATTCTCTTTTGCTCTTTTGCTTTTGTTCCTGGGTGCTTACTTTTGGGCGAAGTGTCCGAGGCCATTGCCCCCTTTACTCAGTCAATCATACTTGACTTTTTCTTTCGTCTTGTCTGGGCGTCTTTGTGTTTTTCATTCTCCAAGGTAGTCTCATTTTATTATTTTCCTTTCTTCTCTGCTATACATTTATATGTAATCACAATCGATTGTTGCCGTTCCTTACGTTCTTTGTGCTCCAACATTCTTGTATCTCTACCGCCTGATTTTGTGCCTTTTTGCCCATGGCTAAATGGGCTAGACGAACACAAGAGCTAGAACAAGTGTATTAACCATCGTTGTTCTGTGCGCAAAGGAGTGTTGTTCATGGGAACACCATCGATCAATAATATTTTGTTAAAAAAAAGCAAGCAACAAAGAATAATATCTTAGCCTCCCATCCTTATTGGTGATGATGGGATGGACAGACATGGAAGCCCAAGCACCCCAAAGACTCAAAAACGATAAAACAAACAAAAACTTGTGTTTTGTAGACATGCATCTGGACTCCCCTCCTGATCCAGCCCCTGACCGTTATGATTGTTTGTATGCTGTTTTATCTACAAGGTTGTGGATACGTTTCACAAAGAATAATCAATAACGAGAAAACGCAAATGGCGAGAGAGAGAGAGAACGAGAAAAGAAAGAGAAAAAGAAAGAGAAAAAGAGATAGAGAAAATGAAAGAGAAAGTGAAAGTGAGAGGGATAATTGACGTTGCACAGAAAATGCAAAAAATACAAAAACGAAAAAGGAGAGCATGCTGTACTCCTTTCAGACAGTAATAAGGATGTAATATTGAAAGCATGTGCGAATGGGTGATAAAACAACAAAAGTGGAGCATCAGTCTGCGCTTGCTCACCCTGGTGCTCGCCTGGGCCCCTTTATTCATATTTCATTTCTGCTCCATCATGCCATTGTTAATGTTTTGGCGTCTCATTTAGCGCAAGGCTAATTGCTGATAGAGTGGGTTTATGATAGTTTGATGACAGGCGGAGCAAATGCATAAACCCAGAAGGGCGATGATGGTGAGGAATGCTGAAAAGGTTTGACAGAGGCGTGAAGCAAGGAAAGGGATTGAGTGGCATCGCGTGAGACAAATATCGAGATGTCCCTCCATCCCTCTGCCATACAACCATAACGGCATACAAAAAATAACCACTGTATCCAACAAAAGCACCATATCCTCCTGAGGCCATTTCTGTATCCCCTGTTCCCTGTTTTGTTTTGATATTGGACCTTGAGCCAAGAAATAAAGGTGTGGACAAAGAGAAAGAGCGAGTGAAGGAGAAAGCAAAAACACAAAAACAAGAGCATCTGCGTGAAAGGAGGAGCCCTGTTCTTGTTGAAAAAAAAAAAAGAAATAATGAGAGCCGGTTTGTATGGTTCAAAACAGTCGAAAGCACAAAGACCATCCAGGGGGAGCAGCAGTAGCAGGAAGAGCAGATGGACGCGAGTGCCAAAAGGTGAACGGACAGCAATGGGTGCAGAAGGAAGGAAGGAAGGAAGGAAGGAAGGAATGGAATTTGGTTGACAGTACGATGATCGTTAGGTGCATAAACCAGTTGCATAGTGTAAGGAAGGCACTATTCTGTCAATGATTGTCCATGTTCAGCCTGAATGGATGAGAGAAAGAGAGAAAGAACGAAAGAAAGAAAGAAAGAAAGAAAGAAAGAGGATGTACACTACAGTTGCAATGGAATAGATAGTCCCTTTTCTAGGGATATGCGATTCACTAATTGCCATCTCCGCTCCCCTCTCTCTTGGCCGGTGAGTGAGGTGCCCCTTTGTGAGCGGCCGTTGAAGAGTATTGTGCTACCCCTCCGTCCTCTGTCTCTCGCACTCTCCTGAATGATGTTCACCTTTTCCCTCCTTTCCCTTTCCCTCTCATTTACCCATTTGTCCCATTTTTTCTTTTCTTTTTCTTTTTCTTTTTCTTTTTCAGTTTTCCTCCTTCCCTTTCTTCCCCTTTCCCCTTTCCCTTCACCTTCCTTCACTCCTCCTCCCCCCGTTCCTTCTTCACCTCTTCTCTTTGGGTCTGTCATCATCCTCCCCACCCTCTTTCTTCATTCATCACCCTCTCACTTCCTTCCGCTCATCATCTTCCTCCTTCACATCATCATAAGCACTTCTCTTCTCCTTCTGCCTCAACGACCCTTCCCCTGCGCAGCTTTTGCCTCTCTCACCGACTTTTTCATTTTCATTTTTATCCGTCTCAAACCACACACCTAAAAAAACGTATGTCTTGCCCTTTTCTTTATTGCCACCCAGCACCCTGAAAGTACTCTCTCCTCCCAATTGAGAATGTAGTTGCTTCGTTCATCCTTCCATCCCCGAACACACCAACCACCTTTTGACATACAACTCTCAAACGCCCACACTCACACACGATGTTCTTTCATACACCACCGGCTTGTATACTTACTCCAACGTGGGACTATCATGTTGCCCTCGGCAAGTTTCATGAGAAACAGCCGGATCAGGCCCGCTTTGACCCCACAGGACACCACGCGGGCCAATGTATTGAAGACATAAAAAGCAGAAAAAAAACAACCGATATCGGTTGAAGAGCGAGTGGGTTTGACAACAAAGGAAACGGAGATAAAAAGGCAAGGAACTGAGCTGAGGTGGGCAGTTCATGGCGCATGGTTGTTCCCTGGTTTATCGCCTTGTGCTGTACCAATTCCCTTGTCACTCTTCGTTCTTGAGACTCTAGACCCGTCTTCATTACATTATTCCTTGTTTACCCCGGCCATTGCGCCTATCTTTGTTTCCTTACCTCCGCATTCCCGTCTTTGCTTCTTCAATCCTGCCTGCTCCCCTCTTTTTTTCTCCCACTTTCTTGACAGCTGCCGCACCTTCTCCTCTCCTTGAACCTCTTGCCCTCTCTCTCCTCTCCGTCGTACATTCAATTATATTAAACACAAACGTCCGAACAACAACAACAGAAGTATCCAACCCAAAACTAACAAATGCTACTTTCTTTTTCTTGAATACCCTTTTGTCTCTCACAGCTCCATCTTTCCTATCCTGGGCCAACACTTTTGATACACAATGTCAGAGACAGTGTGGGCAATCCACAACTTTGAGGCCGAGGCCGAGGACGAGATCTCGTTCCACATCGGAGAACCCATCATTGTCCTCCAAAAGGACGATCTCTATCAGGACGGCTGGTGGGAGGTAGGCAATTCCTACTCAATTTATCGGATCATCTCTCTCCTTAGCCACACTTCTGTTCAACACACTAAAATCTCTTTTTCGTCCCAACCTTTCATCTTTCCAGGGTACCAACGTCCGTGGCGAGACAGGTCTTTTCCCAGTGAACTACACCGTTCGAGGTAAGACGATTTTTTTTTTCGTTGTAATATGAAGAGAAGGGAACAGAGGACTTCAATGCAAATACAAATATTATGGTGCTCATCACTATAAACCATGAAACTAAAAATTGAGAGCGTAGAGTTAGCACGGCGAGCAATAACGGGTGGACAGGGTACCTGAAATGGCGTCCTGTGAACCAAGGATATTCGACACGGCTCACTTTCACAGGGGGTGCTACAGGAGAAAGAGTGAGGAGACCCTTTCTGACCTCACCCTTATCTCTTATCTTTCTATTTATCTCCTCACAGACCCTCCAGAGCAGAACCAGCCTGGGTCTCCTATCGCAGAGCCCAATGGTTTCCTCATTGACAACGTCAAGTCTGGAGGCAACAACAGCAACAACGGTAACAACAACAACAACAAGTACGGAGGCGGCAACAGTCAGGACAATGGCCATATGAACGGCTATCACAATAACAACAGTAATGGCCAGGACCACAATCGTTCGATGGAGCAGCCGAACCAATCCCACCTTGCCAACAGCATGAGCAACATGCACATTCACCAGAACCCAGCAATTGCCAGCCCTCCTCCTAGTGGACGTAACGGTTTCGGATCCTCGTCTGGGGCGTCTACCCCTAGTGGCGGAGCTTCGAACAGCAAGGTGATTGCTCAGAGCGTCGAAGAGAGCTTGAACGACCCCCAATTGGCGGGTCATCCATCCACATGGACAATTGACCAGGTTGCCTACTGGTTGCGCTGGTGCGGGTTTGGCAACATTGCCCCAAGTTTCATTGGTAAGTTGCATGTTCATGTTCATGTCGAAATGGCCTCGATGATAAATTCAGGGAGAGGAGGGATTAAGACCATGTCACGACCATGTTTCTGACCCACTCGCGCCTATTATCCTATCCACAAAATTAGATAACGAGATCTCGGGCGCCATCCTACTGGAACTGAACCTCAACAACTTGAAGGAGCTGGAGATCAACTCGTTCGGGAAGCGATTCAACATCATGAACGCCATCACCTCGCTTAAGCAGGCCACTAAGGGAGATCAGGGCGGGAAGGGCCAGTACTCTGGATTGGCCAACTCAGTCGGCGCCATGTTCGCTGGTGGCCCTCCCGGTGGACCCAACATCCCTCCTCGCATGACTTCGGCTGTCGGAGGTCCTAGCCCTAGAGCATCGACTTACGATCCTCGCAATGACTACATGCAGGATCCCCGACAAGAGACTCGTGGTGCCCCCATGTCCCCCCCTGCCTCGGTCCAGTCCCCCAGTATGCGTCAGCAGCAGCCCGTCCACCCATCTGACTACGACATGCAAGCTCGCAATAACGCTCTTGCACGCTCTGACACAATGGGCTCTATCAGCGGCGGCAGCACTGGTGAACACAATGGCCGCAGCGGCCAGCGTCAAAGTATCACCTCGGCCTACTCGTCCACATCTGGTCCTCAGCGCAACCAGTGGGAGCGCAATGCCCCCCGCCCTCCTCAGATGCCCAGCCCAGCTCCCCATCCTATGGAGCAGTCCATGGACCAATACCCCAGACCCATGGACAGAGTGGCCCCCACCAGCCCAGAGATGTACCACCAAGAGCAGTTCTCGCCTGAGCCACAGTACCAGCAAGTCTCTCCTCAGCAACGCAAGACACATGCTCCCCCAGATGGCACCAACCGCCCAATGAACGGCAAGGCAGACCCAGACGACAAGGTGGTGTCGTTGGAAAACATTGGCAAGCCCGACTATGCTGGATGGCTCAAGAAGAGAGGTGATACCTACAGGACATGGAAGAGCCGTTGGTTCATGCTGAAGGGTGTGACCCTCTACTACATGAACTCGCCCAAGGATAACGCCAGCAAGGACTACATCAACCTTGTCGGATACAAGATTATTCAGGACGAGAACATCTATGCTGGAAAGTACTGCTTCAAAGCTGTCCACGAAGAGCTCCGCAACTTTTACTTTTACACCGAGAGCGAGCAGGACATGAAAGGCTGGCTCAAGGCGTTGATGAAGGTCACTATTGGTCGCGATCCCTCGGCCCCTGTTATCTCTTCAAGCAACATTCCCACAATCCCATTGCATGTCGCCCGGAGGATGGCCCCTCGCCCCCCCTCACCCTCCAAGCGGAACCGCGGCATGGGACCCAACGGTCAGCCCAACCAACCGCAACAGCAACAGCGCCAGCAGGAATACGACCCTAGGCAACAACAACAACAACAGAATCAGAGGCAACAACAGCAGCAACAGCAACAGCAACAACAGCCGCAGCCGCAGCAACAGCAACAGCAGCAGTTGGAATATGATGACCAGGACTCTGACGGCGAAGGATACCTTCAGAACGAGTATGGCGACAATCACAACAGCAACTACAGGCCAGGCCCAGGTGGTAGCAACGGCATGAACGGTAACCACCGCAACCAAGACCATGACCAAGAGAGCCCGGTTCTCCAGAGTCTGTCCCCTCAGCACCAACAACAGCAACTGCCACAACAACGCCGGAGTTTCTTGCAGGACGGTGACAACAATGGACATGATGATCCCTGGAGGGATGAGGATGACGAAGGGTTTGGTCAGCAACAGGCACCCCAGCCTCGTCACCAGCAGCAGCAGCACTTGAAGAACATGCGTCCGGACAGTGAGCTCGATACATTCAGACAGCACAGTGACGACCAACAGTCGGCTCCTCGCCAGAGCCCTGGTCAGCGTTGGGTAGGTTGAGAGGACAAGGAGTCATCGAGATCAAAAATAAAATATATTACGCACTGACACTTTGCAAAAGAGCGAGAGAGAGAAAAATGCGCGACTGAGGCCATTTTACTAACGCAACTCTTTCTTTTTTTCGAATACTGAATGGAGTAGACTCAGGAGCAGTACATTGACTGGATGAACCGCAACCTTCCCGACTCGGCAGGGCCCGTCAGTGACATGACACAGTCATTGCGCTCGGGAGTCGTCCTTGTGCGTTTGATCGAGCAGCTTTCGGGTGAACAGGTCGACAAGAGGATCCCCAACGCTACCTATACCCTCCAGATGCTTGAGAACCTGCTGACGGCTTTTAAGTTTATGGATCGCGTTGGCGTCTCAACGGACGGCTACACGGTCAAGGATATTTTCAACGGCAACGAGGAGAAGATTGTCCAGATGTTTGAGAGCATCCGTGCCCGGTTCCCTCACGATGCACCACAAGCAAAGCCTAGCCAAGGCCAGAGCAACGGCATGAAGCAGAACGGACACATCCAGCCTCAACACACCGGTGGATCTGAGTATGAAGCATTGTATGAAGAGGCTGCACGCAGCACGATTGGATAAGGAGCACCAGCGCCATGTATTAACTTCTCTTCTTTTTGTCCTCCTGTCCCTGCATCAATTCCCTTTCACCTCACCCATTTCTCACGCCTTCCAATGTCTACTTTCATGACAAACCCTTTCTTTTTGTTACAGCATGTCCTCTTAATTGACCGACTGCACATATTACTCTTTACGAATATCATACTTTACCCTCAAAACATTATTACACACATACATATCCTACGACCTACACCCAAAAAAGTTTTTACTAGCCACCTTTTTGTTCGAATACTACCACTATTTACCACTTCACGATCATCTTTCTCTCTCTTCGAGCTGCAGTCGCGCTCATTGTGTTTTTACCCACTTGCTTTTGTCAAATAAACGAAACGTTATGTCAATTCGGGGCATTGTGCGCGTGGATTTTTTGCGCGACATTTGGAATTGTGAACAAGCTCTCGTTACGATGTTGTTGTATCGCGATTTCGAAACCACCAGCCTAGTCGCACGCTTCATAAGCGGCTAAGGTCAGGGAGAGTTTTATCTCCTTCCGACAAGGAGCTTTTTCAGGGAACTCCAGCGACATATATATAAGAAACAAGACGAATTACACCGCCCTGTCGGGCAACCCTTCGGCTCTTGGGTACCTCTGAGGATGAAAGACCCATGGTGTGTTCTTTGTGTTCTTTTTAGGTCCTTTTGCAAGGGATCTTCTTTTTTTAATTCTTCAGGGAGTATGGTATACAAACGACGGATATATTTTTTTTTGGGTTTCCTATCTCCAGTTTACTGTTTCCAGTCCGTCTCCCTGGTTGTCTCCTTAATTTTTTTTATGTTATTTTCTGCAGTTGTTGATGCTAGATGCTAATGCATAAAAGGGTCAGATGGTGTTGCCGACTCCACTTTTGGTTTTTTTAACCACAACCGTCTTTTCTTTTGCGTCTCTTGCTTTGGCAATTGGTGTTTTGCTGCTGAGGCGGCCAGAGATATAAGAGTGGTGCTGTGCCCATTCGTTTGTGTTGTGCCGATTTTGTTTTTCTTGTTTTTGTTCCTATCCTGCCCATACGATCATTAGATTTCACTATTCCTCTCTCCTCTCCCCTCCCCTCCTCTCTCTTTCCTCTCTCCCTCAAAATGCAACTCTTCACTCCATCCTCGATTCCTCTCCTCCTTGTCTTCCTCTCACTCCTCTCCATCTCAACCACTACTGCAGCCCCCAAAGCCTCTTCACCACCTCCAGCAGGAGCAACCCCCGACGACAAATGCCACCCCTGCCTTATAAGGGAACTCCGCACGGTCCCCAAATGCGATCTTCTCTCGCCCTCCACCCCGGCCCTCCCATCCTCCGAAAATAACCCGGTCGTTATCCAAAGGTACAAGGACACATACCCAGACGTGGTTGACTGTTTGTGTTCGGCGGCCAAGTGGATTGAAGTTGAGGGAGGACCCCAGGATTGGATCTCGAGGTGTAATAATGTCTGTACGGTTGCTGTTTTCAAGAACCAGAAGAAGATTTTGGAAGGTTTTCAAAAGCGGTTGTCCTGTGATGAAAGTGTTGGTGGTGGTGGCAGTGCTTCGCGGAAGTCACCACCAGCAGCTGTTTCTCAAAACCCCGTGACGCCTCCTGTTCGAAAACCGGCAAACGACGCAACACCAGCACTAGCACCACCCGCAGCAGCAGCGGCCCCAGAAGCGAGACCCGTCTCCGCTCTCAAGCCCGAAGAGGTCGCCGCCACAAAACCGGACCCCAAACCCGCTGCAAAGGAGTCAGCCGCTTCTACCGCTAGTACTAGCAACGCTACGCCCAACACGAAAGGTAGCAAAGTGGGAGGAGACGCGAAACCCGCCTTGTAACAAATCTACCACTCTATTATATCCAACCTAATTAAACAAAGTGGCTACCTGTCCCATATTGAACGTACACAAAATAAAAGACGCGCGTGCGCCAATGTTTGGTTGTTAGGTAATTTACAACATTCCAAACCAACTGCACACGTCCATCCGTTACCATTATCCATCCAATCGCAAACTCAGTTTGGTCCCAGGTCCGACAGGGGTTTCTTTCGATCTAACGTGTCCACAACCTTCTCTTTTCAATTGCTAACCTTCTTAGCAGGGGTTGGTTGCAATGTGCAAATGGAGGGCATGACCGGATAGGGCGTGTGAGCATCCGCCCACTTTATTTGTCGAGGACCCTTTTTGTATTGTAAACGTTTCTGGCTCACAGGCTGGAGCGTCCTACAGATGTGTGATTGTCAGTCAGCCATTTGCGTTTTTTTTTCTCTGTCTCGTTAACCATTTAGCCTGAGAGTCAGTTCCGGCATTCCTTCTTTGTTCCCTTTCATTCATCCGTGCTTTGTTTACTACTATTGCCATTCCTCTTGATACGCCATTTGACACAAAAACACAATACTAACGATTGCAATAGACGGCTCTCAAAAAGAGGGGTTTAGTTCTATTTCATTCTTGTGAACACCATTGATTTCCTGTTTGTTTTTCGTCGCTTAGACCCATGGCCACCTTCTGGCTTGCCATTGGACTACCCCCCAACGTATTGCAATTCAGAAACCAACCCATGTTTGTGCGCTTGACCATCCTACTCGATCGGTCGGTAATCTGGTTTATGATTCGGTCTGGACCCTGAACCCACCACCCTCCTACCCCTGCCCTTACGAACCTACCCCGTTTGGCATGTGCATGTGGGTGGATTCTCATTTCCTCCTCGATTGTTTCTGGTCACCATTCCTCCACTTTTTTGGGACTTTAGACAAAAAGGTGAGGGCGCCTATTGCGTCTATAAGCAATCGAGTTAGTATTTGCTTATGTCAAATTGAAAGGAAGGGATTGATAGAGAGAAAGAGGATTATTGATTTACTATCCAGTCAGTGCCCACAAACTAATTCCCATCCACACTCTCCACTCTGCACCCTCTTTGTTTACGAGGACCTTCCCAAACGGTTAACTCACACGATGGGCAGGGGTTAAATGGGGACTCGATTGAAAAGAGAGGTGAACGAGTGCCGCCTATATAATCCCCACTGCATTCCGCCTTTCTCACTTTTTCAAACCTATTCAACCTCCATTTACCTACTAAGCCGTACCCTAAGCCCTCCCTCCTTACTCCCCTCTTCTCCCCTCAACCCATACACCACAATACAAACGATGAAGTTCTTCAAGGCCCTCGCACTCCTCGCCACAACCCTGTCCCTGGTCCTCGCCCAAGATGCCACTACCGACTCTGCCCCCACCCCATGCATGCTCTGCCTCCAAGACTCCATCCAATCCCTCCCAGCCTGCACAACCGTGAAGGTCGTGATCGGAGAGATGGAACCAGCCTCGGACCCCGCCTATGCCGCATGTCTTTGCTCCTCCCTCGACGGTGCCTGGATCGACAAGTGCACGTCGACCTGTAGCCAGGATGTGCTGTCGTTCAAGAACGCATATGCTGAGAATATCCAGGCTGCTGGGTTGAGTTGTGGTGCTCAGCCTACCTTTATCCCTGTCTCTTTTGCTTAGGATACTGAAGGGTGGTTGTGGAGATGTTGAAAAAAATTATCCAGCAGTCGCGTGTACAAACATGCTGAACAGCATAATAAAATAAAAGGGAAAATGACTGTATATCCATTCAAGAACGTGATGGTCATCATACAGCGAGTAGAAAGAAGTGCGGGCGATGAAGGACCATACATAGCGTTTGTCCTTGTTTGCAAGCCAAAAAAATGTCCCAAATCAATAGTAAAGTTGTATATAAACATCCTCCTCGGTTGAACTATTACATTCCACGAAAAGGCCACTGGCCACCACCACCACCAAAAAACTCACCCACAAATCGTCAGCCCACAAACAACCATAGGCAATAATGCAAGTGCAGAAGTAAATGCCAAGCGCAAATGCAAGGAGGAATTGGATAAGGTCAGGTCAGAGGGGGCAAGGGGAGAGACTCTCGTTCTCCACCTGGAAAGCCAAATAAGCGGGTGTTTTTTTAGTCAACCGTTAGGCTGTGTGCCGTATGTTTGTTCGGGTCTCTTTCCTTACTCCACAACCCACAACAGAACAGAGCACGGTGCAAAACAAACAACAAAGGAACAGGAAGGCGAATGGGATGGAATGACGTGGAGGGGGGCAAGGAAGAAAAGAGGACGGAGAAGGGCATGCTGTGAGCAGGAGGATTGAAGGAACTTTTCACCGCCACCAGAGAAAATGGAGGAACAGGGTGGGTGTCCACGACATAGTAAAACCAGTCGGCCATTTCGGAACCGTGAGCATGGCATGAGGTGGCATCATCGAAAAAACTTATACCCTCTTTTTGATGGTTGTTGGGAGACGGGTACTGTATTCGGTATCGTTCAGGGGTATGTATGTACTAATTGAGTATGTTGTTGAGTTGTATCGCTGCAGGTGTACTTTTGCTTTCGATCATTTAGAGTGCGAAAACTTGGGAGTAATGAAGAATACAGGTCGGGGGGTGCATGTGCTATCGTGCAAAAGCAAAAGAAAAGCAAGAGTGGAGAAAGAGCGTTTGGAGGGAAACGAGGAGGAGCCCTTCTCTTTTCCGAAAAGGAGCAAAATGAGAGCAAATCAGAGGCATGCATTAGACATGGCATCTTATGGTCAAAAAACATATGTCACTGGAATTGTGGGTTGTGGGTGTCCTGGTACTCTTCGTATTCTCAACAAAGTGAAGGGAGTGGATGGTGCCTCGGGTGAACCCTACTCCTTTTTGATTGTCTTATTCTTCTTCTCTTGCTCATCTCTCTTTCTTCTTTTTTCTCTTCCTTTCTCCATTCCTCTCCTCATTCCTCCATCTAATCCCAACTCTTCTCCGCAACACCAACCTACCTCCCTTATATACCCTATTTTCACAATGAAGTTCGCCGCGCTCGCACCCATCGCAGCTCTTGCTCTCGCCTCCGCCGTCTCCGCCCAGACAGACGCCTGCCAGACCTGTCTCCAAACCTCCATTAAAGCCCTCCCCCTCTGTGCAGGTGTCAACATCACCATCGGCGACTTTGACCCCGCTGCCTCCCCCGCCTATGCCGCCTGTCTCTGCCAGTCGACCTCAGGAACCTGGATCGACTCCTGCATTGCCTCTAAAACCTGCTCGGACGACGTCCTCTCCCTTAAGGCCACCTACGCGTCCTCGTTGACCGAGATTGGTCTCAACTGCAACGGTACCACCCCTACTTTTATCCCTGCTACCACAGACCCCGTGTCCCCCTCTTCTGCCTTGCCTACTGGCGGTGCTGGAGCCTCGGCCACTTCAGGTAGTGATGCCAAGCCTACTGGCAGCAATGGCACTTCTGCGGGCCAGAAGAGCATCTCTGCATCTTCGTTCATGCTTGCTGAGACCATGGGTGTCTTGGCTGTTGTTGCTGCCATCGGAGCTAGCTTCCTCTAAGTACATGTACACAAGAGGCAGAGCAACATGTATGTACTTTTTATACCTACTCGTAATAAAAAACAGTGAAAAACTTTTGACTGGTTAAGGAATGTTTTATTAGCGCGAGGCGGCGAAGTAGTGGTTCCTGAAGGAATTTTGGTGGCGTTGGAGGTGAGACCGAAGGAGAGACGAAAAGGCCTGATTGATGAATTCCCCGAGTGCAATCAAAGATGAATAAGCAACATCCTCGCACGAGTGCGCAAAATCAACGAGGCGCGGTGCGACGGCTGTTCATTGACGACCGATCGATCAGACTGATTACAAGGTTGTGGAGAAGGCGCCTCGTCACTCTACTTGCGTTACTCTTGCGCTGCTATAATAAACAACTATCTCTAGCAACAACCAAAGCAAAACAAACTATTATAACTTACAGAGAGGTATGCAGAACTTTGTCTGATACGCCTATACAACTATGCGCTCCGCCTACCAAACGCGTGTTTCTCAGACATGAAACCAACACTTACCCAACACCGATACTATATAGGTAGCCATCCATCCCTCATCTTATGGCCCTAGATGGTTCAGGTCTCGGTTGTTTTGTCTATATTTCGCTGCCACAGCGTTGTCGACTGTTGCTAATGGCACGTTGTCTGTGGCGGAGCGACGAAAAATACCTTAATTTCGTTGTAGACATCGTAGACATGACTCCCACCTTTTCTCTCCTGGAGCTGCAGCGAGAGCAACCAGCCTTTGGAGAAAGCTAGACGAAGCAACGAACCTGTAGGTACTTATGCCTGAATCTGTGCTTGTTCAGACATGAGAAAAGTTGGCAAAAACAACAATAATCAATAATATCAAAGTGCATCATCCGCACGTCAACTCGTCATCCTAAAAATAAGCATAAAAAACATAAAATTGTCGACTCTTCCTCACCATGGAAATGAAATCGGGTGGCAAGTGAGAGGGAGCAAATAATAACAACAAACAAGAAAGACACCGCCACCCTCTCTTATAGCGTCGATTTTGATGATAAACGGCTCTTGAAGCGGGATGGGTGGCGGCTCTTACAATTAATGTGATGGATGAAGCTTGTTTGGTTTCCACTTTTTGGTAGATGCCGGGCAATGGGAAATAAAGATGCATACATGGTTGTAGATAGAGTAATGAAGACAGCAAGAAGGCGCACAGGAATAGCACAATGTGTATGAAATAATGAAGATGGCCTAGGTCCTAGGTCTCGCTAGCGATCCCTACCTTTGAAAAACAGTAGAAAAGGAGACCCCATTCCCCGATTTTTTTATCAACAGCTTCTCTCTACAACTCTTCCACAGCAACAACAGCAACAACAACTCCAGTCAACTTCTAGAGCATCAACCAACATACACTCCTCTCACACTCTTCAAACCCACTCAAGTTTCTAACCCAACATGCGTTTCCAAGCCATCATTGCCTCCGTCTTCGTCTTGACCTCCCTCGCCGCCGCTCAAGCTCCCCCCACCGCCCCTACTGATCCCCTGGCCTGCGGTAGCTGTCTCGATAAGGGTGCCGAGTCCCTGAACGGCAGCTGTGCCGGTCTATCTGGCCTGACCCAGCCCCCCAACATGGTCGGCCAGCTAACTGATGCCCAGAAGAAGTGTCTCTGCGCGATTGCATCGTCCTCGACCTGGCTCAACGAGTGCGCCAAGCCCGAGGTCTGTGGTCAGGCCATCACCCAGGGTCTTCTCCAATCCTATGCTGCTCTCAAGACCCAGGTCTGCCCCGCTGGCAGTGTTTCAACCACAGGAAATGCCGGCAACTCGTGCATCGGCTCAAAGTCCGCTGCTGCTAGGTTGACCGTAGCTGCCGTTGCTGTTCTTGGTGCTCTCCTTTAAAAGGTGTTCAAGGCATGCACGCTTGCTCCCCTCCTCCTCCTCCTCTAGTCGCAGACTGTCAAGACATAAACGTTGTACCATTATTATCTTTATCGATGTGAAAAATAAAAGGGTGATCTGACCCCCCTGATACATTCATCACATTCCCTCAATGCTCATGGTTTGAGTTGCATTCGCCCAACCAGTGGCTCATGGCCAGTCACATTTTCTACTATTAGTGACATTTCAGGACCACACACCTTTCCTCTCTTTCTCTACTTCTTTACACCTTCCCGCCCCTCCTCATCACTCATACCCTTGCACCCCAAGAAACATGTCCAAAGAGCACTGCCACTACTGCTTCGACTCACTCGTCGCTCACTTTGACGGACGGCCCGTTTCACCACCCGCATTCGACGACAGCCCGTTGTAACTTCCTCTCCACACTAGTACAGTGCACTTGTTTGTTAAGGCTTGACCGACTTCTTAACTCTGCTCTTGACTTTGCCTTATTCAACAATAGTCCATTATTCGTGACATGGTCGACAAGCGGGGACGGGACAACAAGGGACCTGAGACTTCGTGGGTGTATCGGGAACTTTAGTGCCATGCCTTTGCACTCTGGCCTCAAGGAATATGCCCTTACCAGGTTTGTCCTCCTTTCTCGAACATCCTTTGTGTGGATATTGCCACAGAACAATGTTGCAGGAAGAATGCGATTGTTGACAGGGACGACCCCGTTTGTTACCTTTTTTAAATACGGCAGCGCATTCAAGGATGGACGGTTCCCACCGATGGAAAGGAAAGAGCTCCCATCGCTTGTTTGTGGGTAAGTCATTTGTTTTTTCTTCTTCTTTCCTCACACTCAGAAGGGATGTCTGAAGCAACAGCTTAACAATCACTGTCTTGGGTTCATTATAGCCCTTTACACTTATTAATGATGAACCCTTCTTCATTATATGTTGGATAGAGTCTCACTCCTGGTTGACTTTGAAAATGGTGACGACTATCTCGACTGGGAGGTAATCTCTTCGTTTTCGTTTTTCATGATGACATTATTCCGAGGGACGGACGGAAGAAGGGGGACAATTGAGGTCTCACAGACACGGACAGAAGGATACCAAAAAAAAAAGCACCTTGCTTTATTTTTGTATCTATTAGCGTGTGACCTCATCTGACCCGTTTCTTTGTCTTCCTTGCACTACTCTTCCCACCTCCTTCCCCATCTTCCCCACATGCTTACAAAAAACAACAACACCAATAGGTTGGCCGGCATGGAATTTGGATTGAATTCAGGGACGCCAGGGGCCGCAAGAAGACTGCAACATATCTGCCGGAGGTGGCTAAGGAGCAAGGATGGACTAAGGAGAAGGCTATCGAGTCGTTGCTGCGGAAGGGAGGCTATCGGGAAGTGATCAGTCAAGAATTCTTGGACTCTGTCATCTTGACACGTTACCAAAGCCGTAAGGCTCAAATCACCTATCAGGACTATGTCGATACTTTGTGAATGGAAGAGAGATGGATGTGTTTACTGACCGAGGAAAAGGAGGGGGTTCTGTCTTGTCAGCCACTTGGAGGACAATAGACACCCATTTCCTTCTTTCTCTCATGCGCTTGCTATAATATTTACAACGTCGCAACGTTGTCATGGACAACATCGGTATCAGTCGATTACATTCTCATAGAAAATAAAAAAAAAAGAACAAAAGAAAACCGGAACCATTGTGCCTGAGAGGAACAGGAGACTCGACAGTCACATTTACTGCTCAAGACGCCATGAACAAAAAAAAAAAAAAAAAAAAAGGCTTTCTCGTTGAATGAACCCTTTTCCTTCCTTCCTCTGCTCTTCAATCGACACAATCAACCCGCCATCACAACAACCTCACGACCCCACCCCCAACGAACAAACAACGAACAACCACAGCAGAAAACACAGCATATAACACACACAGCAAATGGCGCCACGCTTCCCACCACAGAGTCGAATGCCGACTTTGCTCCCTCAAAAGACAGGCCTGCTCTGGTACCCGCGCGAACGCGACGTCGAACATATGCACGACGAACTCTCACACGAAGAAAAAGAATTTACCGCCAAGGTATATGCATATGCATTGTCAACCACAAAAAAAAAAAAAAAAAAAAAAAAAAAGGAAAAAAAAAAAAGGAACCCCCACCACTAGCGCTTTTATTTTGCGCACATTTGGTAGTAGCATCTTGACCAAAAAAAAAAGAAGCTTTCTGTTTGCCCCCGTTGTTTTTGATAGCTAAAGAAGATCAGGTTCTCGGGCACACACTTGATCCCCGTTGGACTCTCCAAGCCCTTCATTGTAAGAAAACCAACTTTTATGCAAAAAATATCTATTACTCGTTTTTGTCTTTGCGCAAGCAAAAGTGCTCGAAAAGCAGAGATTTTTTAACTCCATATTATTTTCTGAACAAAAAAAAATCAACATAGGACATGGATGAAGAAGGCGAGGATGAGGACGAAGAAGACGACGAAGAAGAAGACGACGAAGACGCAGAAGTCGAAGGCGACGGCGAAGATGATCTGGATATGGGACGAGACCTTGACGAAGACATTGGTCAATCTGGCGACGACGAGGAGGAGGAGGAGGAGGAAGATGAAGATACTCACATATACGGCGATCAGAGCAATTACAGCATTGAAGACGATGACAGTCGGCAGGATATGATGCTGACCATGGACCGACTGTTAGAGGAGCAGCGCCGGAGTACGATGGTTCATGAACAGGATGAACTGGATCAATGCCAGAGGATCGATGACCAATCGTTCATCTATAGTCCCTATCCATCCAGGCACTACCACAAGGACAATGGTAGTGGAGGCGATGGCGATGGCGACGATGGCGACATCGATGATAGCAACGGCGTCATCGACGACAGCGACACTCGGTTCACCCACCATCACCGCCGTCCGCGTGAATCCTACCACGAGGCGGAAGAAGAAGATGACGAGGGCGACGGCGGTCTACTGGGAATTGACGAAGACGAGCAAGGTGATGCGGGCAGATGGACGCGACAACAACAACTCCTAGAGCAACAACTCTTACAGCAACAATACCAACAGCAACAACGGCTAGGAGAGGAAGAGGAAGAAATGAATGAGGAGCGCGATTTGGACGCCGATATCGAAGTCGCCAGCAGTTTCGGTGGTGGCAGTGACTATGATGAATACGACCATGACGAACACACCTCTCGGTATCGGACGCCATCTCCACAATTGTAACACAACAAAAACCAAATAAAAACATATGCAAAAAGGATATAAGTTGGAGTCATGGTTGTTATTGTTGGTTTGTTACTTAATGTTTTTTTTTGTTTTCGGTGGAGTTTTTGTTTGTTACTGGGTTGCGCTTCTCCGCCGCTCTGCTCCTCGGTCTGCTCTGCCAATGGCTTCTCTATCCTCTAATGAAAATAGCCTTCTCTGCTCCCAGACGATTGCTTCGGCCGCTCTTGTCCACATGGTCCAAGCCAAGGACATCCCCTGATGAAAGCTCAACCTCCGAAAGAATGTCGTCGTCGTTAAGAGCGTTGATCTTGCCGGTGGACTGGCACAAGGAGAATTTGACCTTGGCAAAGTCCTTATCAGACATACCAAGTCTTGCATGAATACGAGCCTTCAAGTCCGCAAACCTCTCTCCCTATAGAGTGACAACGAAAAAGGAACCGAAAGAAAGTAGAGTATTAGCAATATGTCAAGCAAGTTACGCGTTGTCTCAACCCAATGAACATCAGTATGCATGTTTTAAAGGGTGCAAGGGCGCAGTACCTCTTTGATAACCATCTTGAATGGAACACTGTGAAGGCGACCAAGATCTCCGGTAAAGTGAACGCATGAGATGAGCTGTTCCGTATTGCCACGCTCGTATTCGTCTGTTGGAATCTCCTCGACGTAGAGACCGAGAGAGTCGGGAATATTGCTAATGGGATCCATGGGGGCGTATTCCTTGATCAGCTTGCCATTGTAGACCGAGAATGTCCTCAACTTCTGAGTGCCGTTGGGTGCAAGCTTGATCTTTGGCAACAGTGCCTCGATAACTCCGTTCAATGTGCTCGTCTTCAATAGCATCAATTCATGAGTCGTCTACATGGCACCAAAAGAAAAACGAACAGTATGATTAATATCCGTAGCAGGCACCAAAATCCTAACAGGTAGAACGGACATTCCTTTCAGTAAAGGTAAAAATGCGCGATGTTGTACCTCGTCCTTCATGTTGGATCCGATCCATGTGACCTTGATTACACGTTTGCTCTCGAGCTCGACAATGCTGATGTCTAGCTTCTCGTAAAAGATAACATGTGCGTTGTTGCCTTGGTGTGTATATCCTGAGGAAAGCATCTCCTGAAGCTGAAGATTCGTCGACCTCTTGATGGTGGTTTTGGGTGCGCCACCAGTAATGGATGCAGATGTGAACTGGATGTGAAGGGGGTCCGTTCCAAGTCTCTCCGCCAGCTCTGTCGCTACCGTGTCGTACGTGCTCTTCTTGCTGAGCTCGATAGAATAAGTCTGCAAGGTGGGGTCCTCGCTGTTCTTGGGCTTAAAGTCGACAACGATACGGTTGAAGATGTAGTCGTAGTACTGAGGAATAGTCGTCTTGACGTTCTGCAACGCCAGCTCCGTTGCTCTATTGTATAAAGAGGAAATCGTAAAGTCAGTAAACCATAGGGATAATGAGTCAGTCAGTGGATCAGAAAGGTAATAAATAAATAAGGGCGAACGATCGCCTTACTCTTTGGGGGTCAACTCCTTCTGGAACACGATGATATCACCGCCTTGAATCTCGCACTGGTGGAATGTTGACTTCACTTTCATGGGCTCGATCATCAGGGGCTTGATCTCCTATTGATTCCCAAGGCATAAAAACACAGAAAAAAAGTCAGCTATTATGCCTAAAAAGATAATGCAACGCCACCAAAAAAATGTGCAAATGACAGCGTGAAGTTGGACTCGTACCTCAAAAAGCTTCAAGGGGGTGTTGGATGGGAATCCCTTCCTCTCGTTCAAGATTGGAATGATGTCTCCGACCTTGGCATTCTTCTGGACAAAGAGCTTGCCGACTCCCCTATAAACAAATCACAGTCAAAACAATACTGGTTACTACATGCTGAAACAAGTGTAAGCCTGGAAGCGAAAAAAGTAAGCAATCTGTGCCAATGGTGAACTTACTCCAAGGTAGAGGCGAAGGGGTCGTAGTACTTGATAAAGATCATAATCGCGCCGTTAGGTGCATCTCCAGCAACAGTGAATCCCTTGGGTGAGCCGTTGGGATCAGCAAACTCGATGTAGCACTTCAAGTCGGCCTGTGCACGCGTTCCATACTTCTCCCTGACATGCTCCATGGCTAAATTGAATAAAGGCAAATGCAATTGTCAATACAATGTTCAAAAGAGTGGGTTTAGCTGAATGTCACAAGGCAACCCGTATTCAAGCTTACTGGAGTTCAAATCGGCATCAGGGATGGGGACGTCTGTACGGACAGTGTCGTTCTGGCGTTTGACAAGTGTCCAAACACGAATTTGATCTTCGGAAAGACCGTAGCTCTCGGCAACAACGCTCTTGAAAGTGGCAAACGTATCCTGCTTCCGCACTTTCAAAATCCTTCCAGCAGATGATGCTGGGCTGAACAAGTCGACGCCATCGTGAGCCTTAAAGTCGACATCGGAGATGACTCGGGCATTGAAGTACAACAGCAATTCATCCCGCTCCTTGCGCCTGTTCTCAATTGCTTGCCGCTCGGCGTCCAGACGGAGCTGCAAGTGCTCAGGGATGTCGCTTGCCTGCAATGGCTTGAGAACCTCAGAAATGGCATTGTCGCGGACATACACCAACATGTAAGCGTTTGTGAAGCGCTTGTGGCGGTTTAACTGACGCATAGCCAGGTTCATGGCACCAAGGTTCTCCAGGGGTTCACCGCCACCATAGTTCTCGTCCAAAACCTCCTTCATCGTAGCCGGGGTGACGCGGTCGTCATCAAAACGGTACCACTTGCCATCGCGTTCGGGTTTGAGCAGGGCAAAGTAGTGACCACCATGAAGATCTCCCGAGTGAACCAATACACTATACGGAAAGTGAGTTTGAAGCAAAAGTTAGCATGGATGCAATGCAAGATAGCACATAGTCATTACAAAGAGTAAGATTCGTACATGCGAATTAACTTACCCGTGCAAAGTGTAGTTGAAGCCATCAGGTCCTGCCTTTTGCTTCTCCTCGCCTTCAGCGACAAAATCGGCCAAGTCGATGTTGAGGGGGAACTCGTGTCGGTCGTTGATTTTGACCATAGCATCTCGTTCAATGTCGTACTCAAAACGCTTCAACTGAAGGTGAAGAACATTGGGCAAGGACTCAAAAATGACACCCTTCCTTGCGTCCTAAAAGATTCAAAAGACAATATAACATGTGTGAGAAATTTGTTGGACGCAGTCCAGACCTAGTTAAAAAGACTTTGTTGAAAATTATACCTGAAGTCCATGACCCTCCGCCTGATACTTGTTCTCTCCGTCCAAGGTCTCGACATCAACATAGTTGGCAAAGGAATCCCGCAACGTTTGACAGCCCTTGACATTCAGCTGGATGTCTATTAGCATAAGAGAGAGCCGTGTCAATAATCGATTAGAACCACGACGTCGTCTTTGTGAAGAAAGTACACTGTACGAAACGCAGTCAGCTAGTGGGTACGCACCATAAAAGTTTTCCACCCTGGATGATTCATAGTCGACGTTGATGCACTTGATGTAACTCTTCATCTTGCCGACAAAAAGTTTCTGAATCGCGCCTTCCGCCGCAGTTCCCTACGTTGACGACATCGAAGTTGATTAACGTTAGTCCGATCCATGTTGTGTTTGAGTTCGCGATGATTCATGCTCATAGTATGCGCCATCAAAAAGTCTCACAGGTGCTTTCTTCAGTACCTTCATTTTCCCCTCCAAATTGTCCTGAAGAACACGGTTGAACTCCTGAACATCATGCTGCATGAAACTCTCCAAAGAGGTCCATCCAAAAGACTTTGTCAACTCGGTCGTATCAACAGCGTTGGGGCTGGTGGCCATTTGATAGAAAACGCGTTGAAGAGCTAAGGCGACAGACTTTGAAGGCTCATCATCAGCGGTGGGGATGTCGAAGACGGACTTGCGGAAGTAATTGGTGAAGAACAAAGACTGGAGCAGAGAACTCATGTAACAGGTAGCGCCCTGGTTTTTCAAACCAACATATCCTGTCATAGCCTTGGAGTCGTAGTTGATGAAGTTATGCCAGAGAACTCCAGTGGGGTCGTTGTAAACACGGACATAGGCAGTGATAATGGTGCGACCTTTGTCAATCAAGGGCAAACCGCGTTGATCCAGCGGCGTGTCCAGTTTCCTGATCTCGTGAAAGCGAGTAAAGCCCCAGTCGGCCTCGTCAACAGTAAAGCGATGGTTTGCAGCTAAGTGTCGGAACGTGGTGAGAATAAATCAGAGACTCGTCAATATTGCTGTCCATTGCACTACCTGGACGGAGGTCCTTGTTATATTGACGAACATGGCAGCAAAGAGCGCACTGATGGGCTTACTATGCGAGGTGTAGACAGTGGGATCGTCGGGGTTGGACATCAGGAGAGCAAACTGGGCGCAGACGTGCCAATTGGGTTCCAGATGTTCCTTGGGTTCGGCAGAATCCAAGTAGACTGCAACTTGGTCAAGAACGTTGTTTCCTTGAGGGAAAAGCAAAATGCGCCTATTTGATCACAAAAACAAAACAACAATGGGCAATACGGTTAGATGCTACACTGCCAAGTTGGATATGTAACGCCAAGCGGTGGGTCACAGCCCGCTCATTTTTTCCACAACCCTATAATGTATGCACAAGCTGTGCGCTCAGGACGACATCTTCCGCATGCTAATAAAATATGTATCTCAACCACACGACTTGCCATTTGTAGCCACCGATCTCAAACTCGGGTCCAGTCACTCGCTTGTCCAGGGTCCTCCAGTCCTTGATGTCCCACTGGAAGGTCTCGCAGGCACGCTCTTCCAAGTCGGGCATGGGAGGGATCAGCTTCTTAGCCATCCATTCAACTATCATAATGGCGGCCAGAAAGGTCGTGAGAAAAGCAGAGACGGTTAGCAACAGTGTCAATTACGTCCCCATGCATAGAAAGGCACCTGAATAATAATGCCCATGGATGGGATCTCCACAAAAGCGTAACACGTCTCCAGACGACGACTGCGCCGGGAGTGAACTGCAAAGGCAAGGTAAAAAGAATAAGGTGATATTGGACATACCATCTTCGACAGAGTGGGGCTCTTCGACGGCTGGTGGTTTCTCTTCTACAGGGGACGGGTGGTCGAGTTTGATGTCCATTTGATCTTCCTATGCAATGTAAAGCGTTCGACAAGGAGGGTGGGAATGCTGCCTTAGTAATCGTTCCTTTGACCTGATTTGCGCAAAAGCACACCGCCAAGACGGATGAGGGTCGTTTCTCCTTTTAAGACCATTCATTCACAACAATTGAAATATTGCTCCAGAAAGTTCGATACAGGGGAATCCCTTTCAACTCCAAGTAGCGTCCATTTTTCTTGTTTGTTGAGCACATGAGCACATGTGTTGCGTGTGTCCTGGACACTGATGAAAAGTGTGTGTTGTGTCGTCGCACGTCATTGGGTGGGGTCTGTCTATTCTCCTCTTTTCATGTCCATTGAGAGAGAAAAGCGTCCAGCGTCCTTGCCTTGTTGTTTTGCTATTGTAAAGAAGAAGACTGACTTACCATTTTGGCGTGAAGATAGTTGTAGGCGAGTACGAGGGCGCAGAGGACGAGAAGGGTCTGGGGGTTGGCGAGTCTAGTTAGATAGGGTAGGAGGTCAATGGTGGATAGCTCCGAGTTTGCTCAGCAAGCGGTTGGTCTTGCCGAGAAAAATGTGAGTGGGTGAGGGTGGTGAGTGAAGGGTGAGGTGGGGGAGTGGCGTTTGTGTTGTTGTCGTTGTTTTTGTGTCTGTGGGTGAGAGCGATGCTCAATGGGAAAAAGAATCACAAAAAAAACAAAAAGAAAGTAAAGAAGTGGAGAGAAAGAAAGAGAAGGGAGGGACAGAAGAAAAGAAAAAATGTTGTCGCGTTCGAGGAGAAACAACGAATAAAAAGACAAAAAAAATTGAGGGTCGACTTGTCGACAGTCAAGGTTTACTCTGTTCTTTAGTTCAGTTTGAAGGGAAACTGTGGAAAAAGAAGAAGGGAGGGATGAAGATAATGAAGAGAAAAGAAGAAGAAGAAGACGATGACGAGGAGGAGGTCGATGACAACGGATAACGCATGGATATTACAACAAGCCAGGGGTGGATAGACGACCACGACGACCACGACGCTCTGTCTATCTTCACCACCATCCCATGCCCGCCTCTCCCGCGTCGACAGTGTTTCTAATGACGTACAGCTCTCATCACGTGAGTCATAAGGGACTGCTTTCCCTTCCACACCATTTTCACGCCCTGGACTTGTCACTCCAGTCAGCCAAAGCAAAGCCCAAGCCAGCAAGCAAACAAGCACCAACCAGCATCACCCACAAACCACTCCCGCCATGTCGGCATCAAATGCCCCAGGTCACCAGTCATCCCAGCAAGTCGACCCCGCCATAGAAAAACTTGTCCGCGAACACAAGTCCCTCAAAGCCAAGATCGACGTCCTCGAGGCCGAAAACAAGGCCCTCAAAAAGTCCCTCTTCGAACTCTCCTACATCTACTCTGCCCAACTTGGCTCATCCAACCACCAGCCCAACAATAACAACAATACCAACTCGGCGTCGCGTCCACTCCACAACAGCAATAACAGTGGGATCTATGGCGACGTGTCTGTATCCTCAACAAATACATCATTACCCCCCACCGCCAATAATGCGTTTAATGCATCAGGATCCCACCACAACGACATGGTCCAGGCAGTTGGGCAACTCTTATCCAACATGTCGGCGGCCCAGCAGAGTCATGGCGCAGAGGCTGCGTCATCCAATCCGGCTAATAGCTCTGACGCGGCCTCAAGGGGCACAGACGCGCAGCTCAAGAACGCAACGGACCTGATCAAAGTCGAGGAAGATGGCGTGCGCCGCCTGAACATGGGCAATATTGGTGAGTGAGATTCGATCCACCTTCTTTTTCCCTTAGAGCTTGTTGTAGTGGCTATTTTTGGGACATGTTTCTGTGTGAATCATTGTCTTATTCACCTCGGCATTGACGTTGACGTCGTTCCCAAACGTTCCTACCCCTATCTCTCTAGTATCGAGGCAGGATGGGTCGTCAAAGTCGGATGGCAGACAGTTTTTCTTGAAGAATGATTTGAAGGGACATCAGGGGGCTGTGTATGCAGTCCAGTACTCGCCCAATGGAAAATATCTCGCAACGGGCTCCTTTGACAAGACTGTGAGGATCTGGGATGGCACCACAAATCAGAACGAGGTGAAGCACAACCCCAATAGAGAAGGATCCTGCCAGTTTTTTTTCTTGTCACGCGGGATACACAGCCTCTTAATGCGCGCATTTAGCCTTGCGCCGTTTGTATTACACTACTAACCACAGCTTTAACTTCTATTGTGTATTATGTCAGCTCTATGTGCTTAAGGGACATGGACTCAACATTTCCGATCTGGCGTGGGGTCACGACTCGACCTTGCTTCTTTCAGGAGCGTATGACAAAACATGCAAGCTGTGGGATGTGGAGTCTGGCAAGCAACTGGACAGCTTTGAAGGCGAAGGATTTGTCCAATGTGTGCGTTTCCATCCTCAAGGTATGGACGCGGTCGCAACTATGATCATGGGTACCGTTGCTTGAAAGGTCGAAGTCACAGTGCTAATCAAGTCTTCATTCTGTCCTTTCATTTGATCAGATAACCACATTTTCTTTAGTGGTACTACGCGCAACATGTTGACCATGATCGACACCAGGAAGGACAGTAACCCTACATCTGGATCAGCTATCGCCATCAAAAACGATACCATGGTCAACTCTATGTAAGAACGAAACTTGACTCGTTCTGTCACCTGCAAAGACACTCATACCCATTATCTAATCAAGCCAAGTCGTTGTTCAATGATAGTTACGTGTATCACGACGGTTTGACAGTTATTTCAGGAGACTCTTCTGGATACTTGAAGACATGGGATATGCGCACAGGCAAGATTCTGCAGGCGATTTTGAATGAACCGACTAAGAAGCCTATTTCGCACTTGGCCATCTCCAAGCAACGTGGCTCGCTGGACGGAGTCAGCTTGGCAGAAACAGAGGAGCCTGAGTCACGATGGCTTGCAGTGAACAGTTATGACAATGGTAAGTCTTTTTTTTTTTTTTTTTTTTTTTTTCCTTTTTTTGGTTTGAATCTGTGTACAGAATGTTGATTATTTACACGGTAATTTTGTTACTGCAACTATGACTCAAAAACAATAGTCATCCGAGTGTACGATCGAGGATTCGAGCCGCCTACAACCATGCCCCGCTTGGTTTATTCTCTCAAAGGATACAGGAACAAGCACTGGCCCATCAAGAGTGCATTTTTCCACGGAAAAGACTGTAAGTTAATTAACCCTTCCTTCGCTCTCTAGCAGCTTGTAGTGATATTACATATACAAGAAACTGACTCGCGAGCTTTCAATACTTTTTTTTATAGATATTGCAGGGGCTGCAGGCAGAAGGACCGGAAAAGTACGCGGAGGGGATGGAGACGAGGCAGCATCAACCATCTCGGACAAGGACATTCCATTGGAATCGAGCCTCATCCTGGCTTCAGGATCGATGGACCCATATGTGTACCTCTTTGACGTGGGCGCTGGCGACGGCCAATACGAAGTCCTGCAGAAGCTCTCGGGTCACACGGACCGCGTGTATGATGTCGACTTCCACCCTGTAGACCATGTTCTTGCATCCGGTTCCGCCGATTTCAGCGTCAAAGTCTGGGGACGCGCCTCCAAGAGGAAGAAGTGAGTTTCATTCATGCTGCTATTTGAACCATAATGCAAAGAGAATCATAGAAGTAAAAACGAAAAATTACGCGACATGTTCTTTCTTTTGGATTGAATATATTTATTCTGGTATCCTTGGGGGACTTTTATTTACAACTTCCCGAGACGAACAGCACCGTCGATACGGACAATCTCGCCGTTCATCATGGGGTTCTCGATGATGGCACAGGCGAGGTGGGCAAACTCGCTTGGCTTACCCATACGGTAGGGGTGGATCATGCTCCTCTCCAGATTCGAGTCCTTGATAGCGTTGGTCATAGGGGTGCCTGTAAGTTTTGAACAAGGAGGCAAGGTGTCAGTGAGATCGGGGTTGAGATTGTAGGGAAGAGATAGTCTGTTAATTCAATAGAGGCACGTATACTTACCAAAGAAGCCAGGGGCAATGGCACAGACACGAACCTGGCCAGCCAGATCGCGAGCCATAGGCAAGGTCATACCGGCAACACCACCTATTCAGTTTGATTACACCCGAGCGAGAAAAGTACAAGTTAGATACTACGTTGAGTTTGGTTGCGGTTGCTTCTGGTTCGACGCAAATAAAACATTTTATGTACCTTTGGAAGCAGAGTAGGCCGTCTGACCAGCTTGTCTATGAGAGAAAACAAGAAGAATAAAACGTACAAGGTAGTCAGTAAGTATTGCAAAATGACCGTCGAATTTGTTAACTGAAAGAAAGAATTGACATATATAAGCTTTACCCCTCGGTGTAGGCAATAGAGGCGACGTTGATAATGACACCAGGATCCTCCTCCTTCTCAGACGACTCCTTGATGTTGGCAACGATGTGAGCGGCGACCAGGCGGCAGACGTTGAAGGTGCCGATGAGGTTGATCCTGACCACCTCGGTAAAGATATCCAAAGGCTGAGGCTCGCCGTTCCTGAACACGATCTGCATCCGTCCATCAGTCACAAAAAATTCAGTTGAGAAGAGACAAAAAAGGGTCAGTTTAGACTGTGGATCGATCGGTCGGCTCACAGAAGGTTCAAAGTGCTTATGACCTGGCGTTTTGACACTGTTTTCATACCTTTTGTGCCATTCCCACGCCTCCACAGTTGACAACTCCCGAGATGTTGCCAAATGCAGCAACACCTTTCTCGATCGAGCTAGTGACTGACTCCTCTCCTGCAACGTCGGTTGCACCAGGCCAAAAGACCGAGCCGGCCAATTCGGCAGCAAGGGCTTCGCCACGCTCTTCGTTGATGTCAAACACGATCACCTTGCCGCCTTTCTCGACAATGCTGCGAACAGTCGCTTCGCCTAGAGTATTAAAACGTTTTATCAATGAGGAAATGAGTTTTTTCTGGTGAAGGTCTCTTCTACAAGAGGTTCAATTGAAGAAAAGGAGGAGGGTTCGCTCTTACCGAGACCAGAGCTTCCGCCAGTTACAATAAAAGTCTTTCCTTGAATGCGCCTATGGTAATAGTCAGTCCATATAGGAATTGTTGCTGTTAGAGTTTTGTAATGTACGAAGGGGTTTGTTATGTGAAGGGAGTGGAGTGTAACAGTAAGTTGACCTTACATTGTGTGTATGAATGTGGTGAATGAGAGTGGTGAATGTAAAGGAGAGGGCGATGGAAGGGAGAGTGAACACAAATAGGGAGGGCGAGTGTGTGGGGAAAGTGAAGAAGAGAAGAGAGAGAAGAGAGAGAAGAGAAGAGTTGGGGCAAACAAAAAAGAAGCTTTGACAAAAGGGGATCGCACTAGTTGGATCGAGTATGGTGGTTGAGGATGTGAATATGCGAGCCGGAGGGGAATGAACTAAGAGAGATCATACAGCATTAACAGCGATTGACAACGCGTATTATCTCCATAAACGTGTCCTAGGCCAGGAGTGGAGGCTGGGGTCAAGGGCAGAAGGAGACTTGATCGGCGTGTTGCAGACAAGCCATCCCCTCCCCTCCCCTCCCCACACACACACACACGTTATCCAGACATTCCCCCTCTGGCCTTGCAACCTTGCAACCTTGCAACCCCGCCCGGAGAATATCATCAATCACAGAACAGGTCCAGTGCCAGCCCAGTCACTGCAAAAAAAGAAAAAAAAAAGTCAGTGAGTCAATGTGAACAGGGAGACAGTCAGGGACTGAGAAATGCGATAAAGAAAAAATATAGAACGGCTCTCTTATTCGACTCACTCCTCTTTTTTTATTCCCGCTCCACTCCACTCCACTCCCTACTTCTCCTTTCTTCTTTTCTCTTTCTTGCATTCACTTCTTCTTCTTCTTCTTCTTCTTCTCATTTACATTTCGCTCTTCTTCATTCTCTTCTCATTCACCCACTCGCCCATACTTCATACCTTGCATACCTTGCACTCCTTTGCAACACACTCACGCACTCACTCACTCACTCACTCACCAACATCGTATCCCTGAAAAATGGCTGCTACAACCTTTGACATCAAGAGCATCGTCCGACCCAATATCTTGGCCTTAAAGCCCTACCGCTGTGCCCGTGATGACTACTCCTCAGGAGTCCTGCTCGACGCCAACGAGAACGCCTACGGTCCCGCCCTGAACCCTACCTCTGAGGCCGCCGTCTCGAGCGCAGGACTCGACATCAACCGCTACCCTGACCCTCACCAGCACGACCTCAAGAACCTGATCGCAAAGTTCAGGAGCATCCAGGGAGGTCCTGAAAACTTTTTCCTCGGTGTCGGCAGTGACGAGGTCATCGACATGCTCTTCCGCGTCTTCTGTGTGCCCGGCAAGGATGCTGTCTTGATCACCCCTCCTACATACGGCATGTACTCAGTCTCTGCCCAGATCAACGATGTCCAGGTCCACAAGGCTAACCTGACCCTGGACGGCCAGTTCCAATTGAACGTCGAAGAGGTACCGTCTCCAAACGAAAAGGACAAAGAACCAATCTCCGCTGCTATCAGTCGTCAACGAACAGGGTCCTAATGCATTTGTTATTGCTTATTGTTCTTTGCTGTGATAGATCGAGAAGCAGGTGGCAGCTCACTCCAACATCAAAATCATCTTCTTGTGCAGTCCAGGAAACCCTACAGGATCTGCTCTGAGTCACGAAAGCATGAAGCGTGTCCTGACCATGCCTAACTACAAGGGTATCGTTGCCGTGGATGAGGCCTATGTGGACTTTATTGATGCTGGCAAGGAGGGATCGACGGCAACCTGGGTCAAGGACTACCCCAACCTCGTTGTCATGCAGACCATGAGCAAGAGTTTCGGACTGGCTGGAGTTCGGTAAGGGTTGTTTTTTTTTTTTGTGAAGGGTACATATGTTGATAATAATGGCCATTGCTCAATGGTGCATAATATACTTATCCACCCCTTCGTCTTTTTACTAAAACATAGTTTGGGAATCGCGATTACATCACCCGAGATCGCGCTTTATATGAACGCCACCAAGGCACCTTATAACATTGCCAGCACCACCTCAAGAGTTGCACAGGAGGCTCTTCAGCCCAAGGGTCTCGAGATCCTTCACAAGCACATCGCAGTCATGGTTCAGGAGAGAGACAGGCTGTTGGAGGCCTTCAAGTCCATCTCTGGCCTCGGTCGCATCTTGGGCACCAACGACTCGAACTTTGTCTTGGTTGAGGTTCTTGACAAGGACGGTAAGCCCAGCAACGACCGCGCGTTCAAGGTCTACACGGATATGGCTTCAAGACAAGGACTTGTTGTGCGATTCCGTGGCACCGAGATTGGATGCGAGGGCTGCCTACGCATCACTGTCGGTACCCCTGAGGAGAACGATGTTGTGATCCGTCGCCTGACTGAACAGCTTTCTTCTTAGATTGTCATCATTTGCATTCAAAATACAACACGACCCATTTTATCTAGTGAGTGGGGCCATGGTTGTAAAAGTGGATACATGTTGGATGCATATATGCATGCAGTTGAACCATTCCTGTTCTGGAGCGATGCAACAACTTTCGGAGTGGGAGTGGGAGTGGATGTGGGAATGAATAGGGTTCGACTCGATGTCATCGTTTTCTTCTCAGCCTGCTGCTGGTCGCTTGTCAGCCGTTGTCCTTCCCCGGATGAATACATAAAGAGATGGACATGCCGCATTGTTTTGTTTTTTTGTTTTTTTTCTCTTTTTGCTCCCCCTTTTCTTCCTTCTCCCCCTGAATCCCACGCCAACTTTTTCTGTGCCCTCTCCCACACTAGCCTCAATTCGCCAGGCCGGATACATACAGCCCTTCTTCTTTCTTTTCTCACCTCCCCTTCCTTGTACTTGTACACTTCACTGCACCTCTCACTTCTTTCGCCTTCTTGCTCTCCTCACCTCTCTCCACTCTTCCCATTTCAACACGATGGCACCCTCACGCTCCGTCCTCATCCTTGCTCTGCAGGTGCTTCTCCTGGCAGTCCTGACACAGATGAGCAACCAGGTCTCAGCCCAGTTCGGACTCTCTGTCCCCTGCAACAACTGCCTGGTCGGACAAATCTCTGCCTTGCCCACCTGTGTCGGCGTCAACCTGGGTAACCAGACCACACCAGAATACAAGACCTGCCTTTGTGACGCGAGCTTCGATTTTACATGGACCAACGCTTGCACGACCAGTTGTCAGGCCAACGAGTTGACAACCTTCAAGAGCGGATTCGCAGGCAACTTGTTGACAGGATTGAACATCACCTGTATCAAGCCAACACCCTCCCCTACCCCTACCCCTGCGGCCACCACTACTGCTGATACCAGCAAGCCTACCTCTCCTTCTGCAGGTGTTCAGTTGTCAATTAGGCAGTCTACTGCAGTGTTGGGATGGGCTGTGGCCCTTTCAACTGTCATGGCAGTGCTTTCTGCCCTGTAAAGAGGCACATGGTCTTTATCCCCCTATCCCCTTATTCTTTTTTTTTTTCACTAGCTATCTACCTACATCTAATAAAGCCACAAACTAACAGCCACGATTCTCTCTTGACATGGCTTGTAGTCGTGAAGAACGAGATAAGGAAGATGACAACTTCAGAATCCGTAGGATAAGTGAGACGTGTTTGTTCCTATTGTCGACTATTGTAAGGTGATGTTATTGGTGGCAAACAAGCCAAGAGTAAAAAGCCAAGAGATTTCCGTTTTTGAGACTCTCGATAGACACAATGCCAAGCCAAAGCAACAGACACTTAAAAGCAACTGAATTCTTTTTTTCACCTCTTCCTTTTTATTTTTCCTTTCCTTCTCCCTACTGCTCAACAACGAACGACTCCTTTCACCAACCAAGCTACCAGACAACCAAGCAACTCCACAAAGAACTTCAGGACAACAACAACTACTATAACTACAACATGTTTGCTTCCCTCGTCGGCCTTCTTCACCAGCCCAGCATCGCTCTCAGAGTCCCGGGAGACGACACTACATTCAATCCCAAGGAGTATCCCAACGTTACGGTCATTGCTCAAGGCAAAGTCCAGGGCAAGATCCGTCTTATCCACAACACCGATGATGACTCTGGCCTGGGACTGATCTCGACCCGTATCTGGGTAACCAAGGACAACGACAAAGAGGAAGTTGCTATCAGAACCCGATTTGAAGACAGGACACTTACCTTTACACTCGAGGTAAATCGACAAGATGGCCTCTGCCAAGTGCCAAGCAACGTAAAGGAACACACCTGGAATACGAACCAACGAATGGATTGTTAACCACATATTCAAACCTCTGCCATTTCATGTCCACAGGGTCCCAGACGGTTCGCCAACCTCAACATCTACCACGAGACCACCATCTCGATCCCTAGTTCAGTACGCACCATGGAGAACTTGATCATCGACATTCCCAACAGCTCCCTTTCAGGCGACGGACTTCACAACCTGATCTGGAACAAGGTCAAATCGGATCTCTCCAACTCCTCCATTGCCCTGGAGACCCTTCATGCCGATACTATTGACCTTCGCACTAGCAACTCTTCAATCTCTGGTTCATACGAGGCAGGACACGTCGATCTCAACACCTCCAACGGATCCATCTCTGCCAAGCTTGTTGTCCACGAGCCGCGGGATGGCCGTCAGTCTTCTGTCACAACCAAGACTTCAAACTCTGGACTCGAACTACATGTTGATGCTACACCCACAGGCCAAGGGCTATGGATGGACAACTCTACCAGGAACGGCAAGGCGATTGTTGGATGTCTACTTGGACCAGCTTCGCGCGGATCCTATGTCAGCGTTACCTCTGCCAACTCGAAAGTTGAGCTCAGCTTGGATGCTTCCCAGACTGGCCAGCCTCTTGAGGTGAATACAAAGACATCCAATGCAAGCATTGTCACATCGATCATGGTGCCACAGGACCAGCCCTTCAAAGGGTTTGCACAGACCTCCAACAGCTCTGTTACTGTCAACCTTGTAAGTTATATGTTTTGCTCTGTGTGATACATGACCTCTTTTTCTTGTTTTTGGTCATATTTGATTAACTGTTCCTGTCCTGTCTGTCTTTGTCTTTGAACCCATGTAATGAAATAGACGGAGGCATTCCAGGGGCAATTTGATCTTGCGACGAGTAACAGCTCAGCTACTGTGGAGGGAACTCACCTCCAGTTGGACACGGACAAGAAATCGAACAAGCGTGGCTCGCGGGGCCATGGCTCGAGCGATGTCAAGCTGAGCACGTCAAATGCCTCGCTCAACCTCCGCTTCTACCCCGCAGGCGACAGCCTCGCCGCCGACACCAAGTCTGGCTACTAAGAAGTAGTTCTGTTCTCTCCTCTCCCTTCCCCCTCTCTTTCTCTTCACTGTACATTAGCAACGACCTCGTTCATTTAAATAAATGGCAAATGGCAATTGAAATGCAAACAACGGTCACGACAACGGCATTTTTTTTTTTTTTTTTTTGGGTTACGAGAGAAAATGCGCGCGCCTTTTTCAGTCGACGCTTTGTTCGTCTTCATTCCCCTCATCCCATTCACACCTTCATTCACACACAACATGGATCACTTCTTGCTGGAATCAGAGGTCTCCCTCCCCGGGCCAAGCCTGCCCACCCCCGTTGCAGTCTACAAGCACCGCGCAACAAGCATGCGCTTCGTATTCGTCTCTATCCCCGGTCCTCAAGCAACTGCCACCATTATCGTCCCCACCGTCGTCAAGGATTCCAGGGGTCTCCCCCATACCCTCGAGCACTGTACGTTCAGGAACAGCGCACCAATTGATTTCAATTACTTTGACTGTCTGAATAGTCCTTCTAACAAGACCAAATGACCTTTCTTTTCATCTTCATGGTGACGCGAATGTAGTGGTGTTTTGTGGATCGACAAATTACCCTAATAGAGGATATCTGGATTCATTAGCCAACCGCTGCTTGTCAACAGGAACCAACGCATATACAGTACGTTTTCCAATACAATGCTATTTCAGCTGAGATACAATCAATAATCACTTGTCCATTCAAGGCGACTAATAAGCACCTCCGTCCAACTGTTACAATAGACCGAGGATTACACGGGATATACGATCGCAACAGCAGGACGAGATGGAATGGCCGAGATTTTACCCGTTTTTCTTGATCACGTACTTCACCCAACCCTCAGAGACGACCAGTATGTCACAGAGGTGTATCATGTCGATGGCGAGGGCAAGCAGCAGGGAGTCGTCTTTTCAGAAATGGCCGCCAGAGAGAACTCAGAGGCTGATCTTGTATGAGTTTCTCCATCATCGCGGATTGGACTTGCAATGGCAAAGAATTTGATCTAACGGCTTTATTATTCTTGGAGCTTGCGATGGTGCAATATACTAATCATATACTCTCGATTTGACCCGCTCTGGTGCCTTTTGTTATCGATTCATAGCTGGATCTTGCATTGAGGAGGCTCCTGTACCCAGACTCACAGACATACTACTACGAATGCGGGGGATTGACGGCCGAAATCCCAAAGATGACCAATGACGACATTCGGGAATATCACGAAAAGTTCTACCACCCTTCCAACATGACCATCGTCGTCGCAGGAGACAGTCTACAGCCCGAAAGGATCTTTGATATCTTGATCCAACAAAATATTCTCAACGGCGTCAAGACAGAGGTTTTTGACATTACACAGGAGATGGATCTTTCTCTGGGTCGTGGAAATGCGCCCATCATGTCAAAGGAGACGAAGCTTACATCGAGGACTATTCGGTTCCCCTCAGCGGATGAGGACGTTGGGTCGATTGGATATGCGTGGTTGGGTCCCAACTTGCACGATATCAGGACGATGGTCGCGCTGGATATTCTTTTCAGGTGTTTGCATGAGACCTCTGCATCACTGTTCTCACAGGCGTTTGTGGAGCGGAGGAACCCTATTGCCAGTCATGTCGATTTTGACGTGAAGGGGTGCATGGATTCGTCGCTTTTGCTGCTCTTCTCTGGAGTGCCCATCCGGTCAAAGGCCAAGTCTGGAAAGAGCAAGAACGGTGAAGGGGAGAGTGGACCCATGTCGGATGGTGAGGAGCAGGGCGAAAGGGATGAGAGTGACGATCAAGGTGACGACAGCGAAGGCGACCAGTCAGACGATGAAGAAGAGGATGATGACGAGGGTGAGGATTCAGAGAGTGACGAGGATGACGACGAAAAGGAATCGGAAGGTGCAAACGATGATGCAGAAGAATCGCAGGACTTGTTCGAGCCAGGATATTTCCACAGCTTGGTCCTGAAGGTGCTGGACGACTTTGTCAACAACGGCCTCTCCGACCCAACAGAGATGAGCCGCATTATCGCCAGACACCGAACAAAAATCTACGAATCGATCGAGGATGACCCTCATGAGGCTGCAACATCGTATTTGGTTCCTGACATCTTGGCACACGCATATCTGGAAAAGGACAAGACCAAGCCCGCGTCGATTGGTACTCGATCCAACATTTTTTCGATTATCGACGAGATGGAGACAATGCAGCCACAGTTCTGGAGGGATCTTGCCCGGACATGGTTGCTGGAGCCGTCGATGGTGGAAGTCCAGATGATCCCCAACAGCCAGCTTGGAAAGGTGATCAAGGCAACTGTCTCTCAGAATCACAAGGATCTCGTGGAGTCGTTTGGAGTTGAGGGTTTGGCCAAGCAAGGAGTCATAGTGACGGAGGCTGTTGAGGCCAACAAGGTTAATATGACACCCGAGATCATTGCGACCATGCCACCTATCTCTGATACTTCTCAGGTCCCCACCATTCCTATCGAGTCGAGCTATGTTGTCACGGGCAGTCAAGGACAGGACGAGTCACGGCCCTTCAAGGTTGTTCAGGTGGTCGAGACCAACACATTCTTTTCTCATGTCAAGCTTTGTCTGCCCCTGACACATCTGGACGAAGACCTTCGACCTTACTTGGTCCTTTTCCAGGAGCTGGTCTTCCAGTCATCATGTGCGATCCCCAAGTATGCAGGCGAGGAGGGCTCGGAGGAGATTGTGTTTGAGAACTTGGACTACCAGTCTGTTGTCACATTGGTCTCCAACACCTTTGTGTCACACGAGGCTGCCGTCGGCTTCGGAAACGATATCTTTGCTTGCTCATGGCTATCGGAGCTGTTTATCCTGGCTTGTTCCGCCGAGCGGTCCAAGTTCAAGGAGCAGTGCCAGCTTCTTCTCCGGGTCCTGATGTTCACAGAGTTCACGGAGGACCGGATCCTGACTGTTGCCAAGAACTTGCTGACCCAAATCATGGAGCTCAAGCGAGATGGCGCAGATATGTTGGCCATGGTCAGCACTCGGATGACGACACCTGTTCGTGGGTACGAGCTGTCCACCAGATACTGCCGCAAGGTGGATATGACCCCTCGACCCAAGGCCAACCCTGCGCAGTTGGAATCGACAATACCTATCCTTGGCAACGACATGGCAATCTCGGCCTTCCGCCAGGAACCGTTCCTGAAAAGGATTGTTCAGGAGCTCAAGTTAAAGACAGACCAAGTGCCCAAAATCCTTTCTCGACTCGAGAGGATCAAGCAGGCGATGTTGCAGTCGATTTCGGAGGTGATATTGAACTCCAAGAGGAACGGCAACACTGAGGCTGCGGGCTTTGCGCAGATCGGCGTTCCTATCGGGTTTGGAGCAGAGGTGGACCCTGTCAAGATGTTGACTGAGATCTGGGATCAGGAGCATGCGCTTTACCAGGCCACATCTGGGGTCTCTCTTGCTTACTCGGCCGCAGCGTTGAACTCCAAGAAGAGAAAGCCCTCTGAGCCCTTTCATCAGCAACAGGATCAACCCAGCATCAGGATCTCCAAGGACGAGGTCGAGGCGACGGTTAAGACCTCCAACCTGACCTTGAACGACGGCACTCAACCTACCGATAGATCGACAAATAAGGGTCTCAACCCTTTCCCGTTCCCAAGAACACCTTACCGACCACTCGCTGCTAGCAATGGCGTCAAGGCACCCAATAGCGTGCTAATCCCATCCAAATCGATCACATCCTCCTACTTGGTGTCGATTGTTCCTTGTGACATTGTCTACCACCCTGAGAAAGCGACTGAGGAAAACCATTTGGATCAACACGCCACCCTCTTGCTGTGCGAGATCCTCTCTCGCAGCGAGGGTCCTCTCTACTCGGCTATCCGAGGTCAGGGTTACGCGTATGGATGTTCAATCTCGGTGTATCTTTGGACGGCCCAGATGGCGTTTGAGATCCGAGATGCCATGGATCCTGTCAAGGCCTATGATGCCTTCTTAGATATCATTCGTCGTATGGACACAGAGTGGGAAGAGACTGTTGGAGGCCAGTTTGAGATTGAGACTGCAATGGCTTCTCAGGCTTACCAGACTTGTATGGAGCGTGCTACTGCTGGTGGTGCCCTCTCCTGGGTCCTCCGCGGCGCTGTCCGGGTAAGCATTTGCCTTCTCTTCTCATTTTTCATTTCATGGTTTTTTGTGCTGTCTTCAGTGTAAGATACTAACTCTGTGTTTCTATCTTTTTATGCATGTTTCTATAGGGATATACTTCATTGGATGAGCTGTCCAAAACGGGCAACTATCTCAACAAGGTCACCGTTGACGATTTGAAGAGAGTCTACAACAAGTACTTCAAGCAATTCCTAAACGGACGCGACGGGTAAGCAAACCTAGGCGATTGGAGGTGCAATCGCTTTGTTATCTCAAAACTGTTCTCAAAACTGTCAATCCAAAGCCATGGAAACTTATCACTTCTCCTCCTCTCCTCTTCTCGCTATACATCCAGACTGACAACAGTGTTGTTGACACCCCCATCGCCTCCCGAGTCGATCAAGTCCCACTTTGCGCAGTATGGAATCAACTTCCAGGAGGCAGCCCTTCAGGATTTCGAAATCGAACCCACTTACGACTTTCTCCCCAGTTCGAGCGCGCCTTCGTCAAGGATTATCTCACCTGCTGGAACCACGCCTGGGTCGCCTCTTTCTTCGTCTAGTTCTTCTGTTGCCTAATTCATTTCACTCCCTCCCTCCCTCCCACTAATATATGCCTACTTGTTTGTTAGTTTTTTGTACTCCACATTTTTTTTCTTCGTCATACCCACTCATTAAAGCATTTTTAGAACAATACCTTTTGGGGGATGAATGGTTGTGTTGTATGGGAGTTACTGTTTGTTGGTGTGTTGGTATCCTTCAAAACATATCATTCTGCAGAATAACGATAGACACCCTCAACCTTGAAGTTAGCTCAACCTTCAAGTTAGAAAAATAAGAAATACCCTTGTGGCGTTCTTTATTTTATCTATTCTACATCATCAACTGGTGAAGGTAGTCTCCAGCGATACCGCTGAACACCAAGGCACCTGTCCACTTGTTACTAGCAAACTTGGTCCAACAGTCTACAGGATTCTCATAGTCGACAGTCCTGAGTTGCCATGCCAAATGAGCAGCTGCACCGCCAACAGAGAGAGCATAGAACAACGGTCCTTGGTCGTTCATGTATCCCGCTAATGCCAACATAGAGACCATTCCTGTCGAGAAGGCGGCCAAGAACTCGGGGGTCTTGTCACCAAAGCGGAGGGCCGTAGACTTGACGCCGATCTTGACGTCGTCCTTTTTGTCTTGGTGGGCGTAGATGGTATCGTAGACGAGGGTCCAACAGACACCTGAGGCATAGAGAGGGAGAGCAACTGGCCAGTTGGCAGCCCCCAGCATGGCGGACGATCCCAGCAATGCGCCCCAGTTAAATGCAAGTCCGAGAACAACTTGAGGCCAATATGTAATACGCTTCATGGCTGGATAACTCACAACCAGCGACAAGGAAGAAGCGCCAAGAAGAATGCTAGGAAGAAGGATCACGCATAGGATATGTTTTAAAATAAAAAATAAAAAATTAAAATTAAAAAAAAAATGGATAAAGTAGAGAGGCTCAACAGCTATCCCTCATATGCCCCCGCCCCGTTCTTTTTTTTTTTTGTTCGTTACCTGTAGAGGTTGAGCTGGGTCAATACTGCAAGTCCTGCGCCGAGTTGAAGACCCAAGAAGGCGATGGCTTGGGTTGGTGAAACGGCACCAGAGGCTAGAGGTCGAACCTTTGTCCGCTCGACCTTCTTGTCGATGTTGCGATCCCAGAGGTCGTTGATGGTACATCCTGCGCCACGCATGATAACAGCTCCGACTCCAAAGAGTCCAATTGTAGAGAGTGTTGATGTCCAAGGGAGGTGGGCACTGTATGAAGCCATTGTGATTCCCCAGGCTAAAAAGTGCAAGAGAAAAGAATAATAAGAAAATAATAAATCGAGTAAGACATTGACAAACTCGATAACGTGGACAATCGAAACAGGGGTCCCTTCCCCCCCCCCCCCAAGATCCAGATCAATTACCGCAGGGCCAAAACAGAAGCCAAGTTCCAATGGGCTTGTCAATGCGTGTCAGGTAAAGGTAAGGCTGGACGGACTTTGGCATCCGGTCCAACCAGGTTCCTGGGATGACTGCAGAAAGCAGGGCGTCCTTGTTCTCGTCGACAGTTTGGGCGTTCGTTCCTGTGGAGAAGGTGTGCCTGAGTCCATTGGTGATTGATGGTGCTCCATATGTCCGCTCTCTGACGACTGACAGCATATTGACGGGTGCTGCGCCTGCAGATTTGCTCTTGGCCCTGAGAGATCTCCTCGCGAACATGGTCAGGGTCCTAGAGGGCAAGAGTGATCTGTTTAAGCCCATTCCGTGAGAAAGTGGTGCATGGTACTGTGTCGACTTGAGTTGTGAAAGGATGAATGTTTGGCGTGTTTTGACTGTGCCGATGGCAACATGGTGCCAAATCGATGCTCCTGCGCTATTCAGCATCGTTAAAATGGAGAGTGTGTGAAGTAGAAAAGCGCAAGGAAGGACCCGGCATAATTATTTATCTGACTGACTGTGTTTCTGTTCATTCCGGAGACGCCACTAATATTTTCAGGAACATTTTTTATTGGCGTTGATCATGACCACCTCTGCTTCTTGGCCCCAAGAGCCCCACCGCCGCTGCCGCCTTGGCTCTGCTGAGCAAAAGCAGTTTTCCGCTTGGAGGTGTTGGCTGCAGGTCCCGCTGAGGCTAGTTGCTGGGACGAATCCAATATCCGGCGGGTGTCCCGGACTACTAGGTGTTTGAGTTGTGGCGGAAGGGGTGTCACTTGATTGGTGTCCAGTCCATCCAGCATGCTTGCGAACTCGCTGTGGATCGACTGGTGGTCGTTGTTGATAAAGGTAATGGCCCATGCCATACCGCCAAGCTTAGGTCCGCCCTTGATTCGCGCTGCCACCTTGGTCGCCACCTCTGGGTCCGCACGCCCGACACGGTGCACGTACTCTATGATGGATGGCGCCATGTCAAAGTTGATGACTGTCGCAACATGCAGATCCAGACCTCGAGCAAGAAGACCCGTCGCCACGACCACAGGCAGTGTGCCATCCACAATGGACTTTAATATTGACGCTCGCTCCTCTAGAGATTTGTCGCCGTGAACAGAAGCGGCCTTAACCCCAGGGCACTTGGCCTGGATTGCGCTCGCCAACAGGTCAGCCCCGACTCGAGACTCCACGAATATCAAGACCGGTGGTCGGTAGTACTTTGGGTCCTTGAGAAGCGAAAAGAGTTGTTTCTTCTTGGAGTCGTTCTCTACCCATATGATTGTCTGCTTGACCTTGGAGGAGGGCGAAAAGATGTCCGTGACGCGTGCAGTCGGCTTTGGTTCCTGTTTCTGCTCCTTCATGTCACCGATCCTGATCCTGAGAGGATTCTCCATATGCTTTTCGACGAGCCGTTGGATCTGCTTCGAGATGGTTGCCGAGCACATGATAGACTGACGACCGTGGGGAGGATTCGGAAGGATATCCAGAATCTTCTTGACCTGCATCCCAAAGCCAAGACTGAACATCACGTCGACCTCATCCAACACTAGGCAAAACACGTTCGAAAAGGTGATGTCCGTGTGCTTGGCAAGAATGTCGATGAGTCGTCCTGGTGTAGCGATGACGATTTGAATATTCTGCGAAAGTCGATGTGCTTGGCTTGCCATGGCTTGGCCTCCAACAAGCAATGCCGTCCGCATGTTTGGCATCCCCTTAACAACATCCTTGGCAACCTGCTCGATCTGCATCGCCAGCTCGCGAGTCGGTGTCAAGACCAATGCGTAGGGTCCTTGCATCATAGCCGCTGAGGATTGCGATAGTCCATAGGCATGGGTGAGGATCGGTACCAAGAATCCCGCGGTCTTGCCAGATCCTGTCTCGGCAGAGATGATCATGTCTCGTCCAGATAGTCCAGCTGGGATCGACTGCACCTGAACACTCCTCGGTCGCGCAAATCCCCTGTCGGCCAAGTTTGTAAGCATCTTGGCGGGAAGCCCACAGTCTTCGAAGGACATGATGGGCTTTGGAGGGTGCTTGCCCTCGATATGAATCTTGTGAGCCTCTCGAAGGTCCTTGACATCCTGAGGTGACATAGATGCTATCTTAGCTGACTCTCTATATCCGGTGACATTGGTAATGATCCTGGTGGTTGAGTAGGTAGTCTGGGGCGCATGAGCAGACGGTGCTTGAGACGACTCAGCGAGTGTATCGGATGGGAATGGCATAAGGGCGTGTTCCAATCCATGCTGTGTCGATTGATCAGAGTTGCTCTGGTGGGTGACTGTGTCTCCGTTGCTAATGATAGAAACCCAAAATGCTACAGTCAGCAAACCATTATTATCACGGTGGTTCACTTTGTTCGAAAGTTGCTTTCCTGTCTGCTTCATACCTACTGCTGCTGCTGCTGCCGTTGTTATTGTTGGTGTCGTTGTGCCTAAAAGGAACCTTTAGGTCCAGGTTTGTCCGTCGTGCCGCCATTCTTTCTGCAAGCCACTGTGCGTGTTCATTCTGACCGTCCTGATGTATAACAGCTTGCATGAGGGTGTCGCCAGGATGAGTTGTAGCTGTTGTTAGTTGCTGCACAGGCGAGCGTGAGGGGACGCGAGAAGGCGTCTGAGAACCCTTCCGTGTGCTGATGCTCCTTGGGACAAACATGGGTTGCTAGGACATGCTGCTGGGTGTTGTTGATGAGGTGGAGGAGAAAGAACTTTAAGTGGCGAATGACTCTTTCCGTATTAAAAGTGGGCCCTTGCTCACCCATCTCTCTCTCCCTTTTTGCTACTTGGTTCCCCTCAACCTTTTTTTTACCTTTGTTTATTCCCACCCCATTCACTCCTTCTTTTTCTTCCTTGTCCTCCCTTCTCCATTCTCACAACAATAGAGAAAACTTCATTCCACACTTCCTCACAAAACAAACCTCCCATCCTCATTCAACAGCACCAGCTTCACCAACGAGAACTACTTGACTTCTTCGCTTTTTTTTTCCTGTTTGCGCTGCCTCCTCTTCCATATTCACTCACACCACCACACAGAGAACCCCACCGAAACAATGGAGAGCACTGCGACCCTTGCCAGCGGTGTGCCGCAGACTGAACAGACAGCTGCTGCTTCGCGGCCTGCCAGCGTCGAAGGCTCCTTGCTCCCTGTTGCCGCCGATACCACCAACAGCGCCAGCAATATTGCCCACTCTTCTGCAGAGCTGAACAAGGCGATCCCCCTCCAAGAGTCGTACAGTCCGTGGGACATGCCACCCATTATCCACCCCGTCTCGTCCAGCGCAGAGTCCAAAGCCAATACCGGTGGCCTCAAAGGTTTCTCCAACACCAACACCACATGGCCCCTCTTCCGATCCAAGCCTCACCCAACAATATCTGTCCCTATAACGCCAGCTAGCCACTCCAGGTCCAACTTTGACATGGCAGCACCATCGACACCTCCCCGGAATTCAGCCTATTCTAACGCTGATGACTCTGATAATGCAATGTGTACCCCGACATTTGGCTCCGGCAGCTACTCGCGCAGGAATAGTGCTATCAGCGTCATGGCCCTTGACACGCCGCCTCCGTTGTCTTTAATGGACCTCGAGTCGTCCTCCTCCCATTCTGGGTCAAGCTTTGGGTCTGTAGCTGGTCTGGGCTCTGGCAGCCAAGGACCGTTGACTCGGTCCTCTGAAGGCGGCTTTAGCGGATATCCCTTCCCCCTATTCAGCATGAGGGGCGATATCTCTCACACATTGTCACGACGCAGCTCTAGGGCCAATAGTGTTTCAATGGAGTCTCGACACGTTAGGAAACCGTCAGAGGATACCAATATGAGCGACGGTGGCAACAATTCTGGAAGCGAACGCAGTCGAAGACATTCGCCAGCCGTTGTTCCGTTTGAGAGAAGTGTGCGGCGGTCAGCCCTCCTAGTAAGTTGATATCTGGTAACAGCGTGTACTGCGAGTGTCCAAGTCATACTTTATGTCAACAGCAGTCTAACGCATGTCCTCGCATCCTTATAGCCTAAACCCAAAGGCCTACTCAAAGTGTTTTCTCAACTCGAGGTAACTCCACCAATAATGGATACCACCGCTTTCTACAATGGCGAGAAACGTCTAGTTGTGATACTTATGGTTTTTATTCAACTCTCACTCTCATTTTATAGGAGGAAGCTCATCATAATCGCCACGAGTATGACCACGAGCGCGAGACGACTCAAGTACGCAGTGGCAATGGGGCGGAATCTGGACCAACTCTCATGGACACTGGAGGGGTTAGTTGCACTTTTTATCTGACCACTTACCTGTCTATGCTGCGAACTCGTTAGAGTGTTCTAACTTCATGTTGGTATTTGAACAACATAGGCCACTGTACCTCGCCATGGGACTCCTCCGCTTCATTTGTTGGGCAACATGCGTCGGCCGTCAACATCCCGCTTGAATCCCGAACAAGAGCTACACGTATATTCAACCTCTATTTTGCCATACAAAACGAAGATGCCAAACACACCGCCGGTTGTACTCATCATCAAAATTAATTGCGCTTGAAAATATTAGGACTTTCAACGACAACAGGAAGAGTTTAACAAGATATACCAGCTGCAACAACTGCAGCAACTTTCGCAGACGACAGCTCATGCAGAGACTCAACCCCACCCTCACCCTTTGCAGGCAATGCTACCAGTCCAGGAATCACAGAACGTGGAGGGTCCTGCTCATCCATCATATCTAGCCCAGTACACGTCCATGACATCCTCGCCATCTTCGCCACTGCTGGCACCAATGTCGACGCGTTCAAAGCGCAAGTCTTCGACCTGTGAGGAGCGATTCGATCCATACCACAGTATCCATCTCAAACGGAGGGCAGTGTCGCCGTCTATAGGACCACTTGTCAGCCATCGGAGGAGCCCTTCGAGTTCACCCGCTCGTCACTTGACAGGACACTCTCGATCCAAGATTGCCTCACTTCCGTCACCCTCAGGCACCGGATCGTTCTTTAGACATGGGCATGGACCCTTTGGAGTGGTTGCTCCTGGAATGCACGGTGGAGTCCATCCGACCGGCAACGCGCACGGATCGACCACGACGGGGGATAGTATCGCTGGGAACGGGCTGCCTTCAAACAATAGCAGCAGCGCAATATCCACTACGCTCAACCTTCAACATACTTCACGCTCGTTCTCCGAACTCTCGTTGGGCATGACCAAGAACCAACAAGCATAGATACCACTTCAATACGATTTTGCGTTCGTTCCTTCATTATTTTAGAAAAAAGAATGGTCAGACCATGTTATGTTGCACAAATTGGCCAGGAAAGAACAGGAAGAGCAGGGTGCACAAGATCGAGTGATTGGGGAACAAAAAGTTTCTGACCAATACTATCGAAGAATAGAGAAAACATATATATATAATGAAAGGGCGCCAGCTGGACCCATGCCTCCTTTGAACCATTGGCATTGGGCCAAGCAATAGCAAAAGAGAAGGTCGCTCCCAGAGGGGCAAAAGGAATGGGCCGAACCGGGAATTGAACCCGGGACCTCTCGCACCCTAAGCGAGAATTATACCACTAAACCATCCGGCCAATCATATTGATGGATCCATGTAATTCTTTGTCGTACTGGTTCCTATTGCCAATTACGCCACCAATCTAGCGACGCCACCAAATCTGAGGCAAATTGGTAACTCAAGAATCACACTGCTGCCAAATCTTGCAAATATCAATAAGTCGGCCGGATGGTTTAGTGGTATAATTCTCGCTTAGGGTGCGAGAGGTCCCGGGTTCAATTCCCGGTTCGGCCCATTCCTTTTGCCCCTCTGGGAGCGACCTTCTCTTTTGCTATTGCTTGGCCCAATGCCAATGGTTCAAAGGAGGCATGGGTCCAGCTGGGCGCCCTTTCACTCTGTCTCTTTGGTCCCGATGACCTTTGCAGCCTTCTCTTTTTTTTTGTTCTTCCTCTTCTCTAGAATATGACATTTAATGCTCCCTCAAAGCATGCATTGTGCTACAACGAAGCCTGGTACTTGCAACAAATACGAGATCCGTGAGTACCATTTTTTTGACAAATGCTTTCGGTCAAAGAGTCCATGAACTACATGTCAAAATTGAGCATTGATCAAGGATGAAAAAAGGGTTGCGCGATGACATCTTTTTTACACGTCTGCCAGGCTCACTTATTTCCCCTGAGGTCAGGGATCTCTCTAGTTTTGTTCGTTATTTTTTTTCTTTTTCTTTCTTCCTCCTCTTTTTCGTCTTCTCTCAGTTCTGTACGAGAATACCTTCAATGGGAAAAAAAGTGTGTGATGGACACAGGTATTATTGAGCACACGCTTGACCAAAGACCATAATCAACATTATCGGCGAATACTATGGCGCCCTAGTTGTCTTCGGTGCTTTTTTCTCTTATTAATTTCTTCTTCACGGCCGCTCCGCCCAATGCAAAGGGGAAAAAAGGACGCGCCACTTAACTTAGTTTCAATTCTGGCAGCCACCACTGCCGAAGCCCTAGATGGTCCATGCAAAAGAGAAGGGACCCACACAGTAAATATGATTGGCGGATGTGTATTGTTATAAATAGAGGCAATGTAAGCTCTAGCTCATCTCTCCAAAAGTCATGCTCAGCGCCAGAGTGCCGCTGATCCCCTCGTTGCTTGTACCGCCAGGCAAGCGAATAGGGCATACCTATTGAGGTCCCCACGAACCCCCTCGTCGTCATTGACGTACTACCCTAAATCTTCACACTTGAAATTAGTCTCTCCTTCTTGAAGTTTCCTTCCTTTTCGCCTTGGAACTACTCTAGATACAACTATCCTTCCCTACCTCTAATCTACTCGCCAAGTACTTATACTCGTTTATCTATAAAAACCTCTACATTGGAACTACTCTAGTACTGCTCGTAAAGATGCAAGGCCACCCTCAAATCCATCACCACTACTCCTAGGCCTAAAATCTTTCAGTGTATGTGTGTGTCAAGTCAAACGCGCTACTTTTTTCTATTCGCGCGGCACAGCATTGGTTGTGGCTATTTTTTTTCTCACTCCTAACAATTCTACACTTCTTCTTTTAGTCAGCGCGCTCAGATCCATCATTCTCGCTCTATTATTCGAGCTTGCCGAAACCTCTGCATACCGTTTTTGCATTCCTATAAAGAAAGTCCAAGGTCGACAATGCTACGAAAAAGATTAACAATCGATGCCATCTCTGTTGTTTTCGCATGCGCAAGCCATGAGTCCTTGTCGCCTAGTTGGAAGCGTTCGGCGTTTACTGGACGAGATATTCTTCGTTATCAAAAAAATAATAAAGTCGCCCGTTTCCTGGCCAGTCAACGCGTAATGAGATCCCAAGCAACTATCTGTGCCATACATTCTCTATTTTTTTTGTTCGTTTGATATCCCCAGCATGGGTTGCATGTCTGGCATGCCTTTCTGCTTGTTCAGGCGTTTCCAATACACAAGGTAGACTCATGCGAAAATCCTTGGACACCTTTCAGTTTGTCTTATCTGCGCAAGTCCCATTCTTGTCTTTATTCTATTGGAAACTGTTTTATGATGATAGAAGAGTAAATAGTCGAGAGATGTCATCCAGCTCTTGCAACACACAAAGCAATGAGACCTTTGAACTCAATGTCAAATTGAATCCTGAAGCTCAAAATTGCTCAACCTCAAAAACGTTACTAAACACAAGTCTCAAGCATATCCCTGAGCTTGGCACAAGAAAAAAAGCAGTAGAGGCGATGGTATACAAGTTGACAAATAAAGGGTTGCTGGTTGAACCCATGCAAAGAAAGTATTTCTGACGTGACCTGTGTGGTCATAAATAAAATGTCAAATTGATCAAGGACTTAAACCTGTCGATACAATAGAAAATGAGGTTCCCGACAGTGCATTGACACATGGGCGCGACTCTCCTCTCTCTTCATGTGTTTATTTTGCTTGTTAGTTATTATATCCTCTTGCCTAGAGTTCGTCACAATGCGCTGTTAAATGTAAATGAGGTGGCCAAACAAAAGAGCAAAAACAGAACAAAAGAAACAGTGCAATGCCGAGTTGAACCAATAGTGCTATAATTGCAATTCCTTGCTTGCTTTCAACTCTTCTGATGACAAAGAGTCGGGCAGTGACCTCTACTTAGACAACAAAACGTGAAACTGATAGCTTTAAACCAAAACGAGCAGCTGAACCCAATTTTGGACGCCTGAAATCTTGATAGAAATCGCACTTTTTTACGTTCTCTTCAATCCCCGACGCGTCCAGGTCGGATTAAACGCTACTAAAATAAGCACAGACACCATGCATACCACTAAGGCCCCTAAAACAGGCTCTCGCCAAGTACGATCCTTACCAAACCCCAGATAAAGCTCGCCAGCAAGCAAGTACGGATTCATAACTAAGACTGATTTTCAGTTATCATCAAGTTGGCCGGATGGTTTAGTGGTATAATTCTCGCTTAGGGTGCGAGAGGTCCCGGGTTCAATTCCCGGTTCGGCCCAATCTCTTTTGCTTCCACGACCTCGGACTCGGAGCTGTGGCTCCTGACGGTTGTGGAACTTTTTTTTTGCACATTGGGAGGAGTGAGAATGAAGGCGAGCATCATAGAAGAACAGCTGCTTGACTAAGAGAGCATTGATTGATGGTAAAGAAATGATAAGACTGCAAGTTTATTTTTTTTGGTTTGCCTCGGCGAGGCAAAGAGCTCGATCCCTGTGTTTGCAGAGATGCAGAGAGGGTATCATGGGAATGGTGTGTGTAAGGCAGGTGGGGAGAGAGTGGGTATTCAAGTGTTCCCTTAGTATGTTGAGGCGAAAGAATGGAAAGGAAGGGGGGGGGTGATAATCTACATGATGATACAGACACATCCAGCATCGCTCTCGGCTTTGCCTACTTGCAGACTACTACTGCCATAAGCACTATCAGACTTCAATTTAGATGGTCCTGGAGATCCGGCAGCTCGTTTTGAGCGTCCATTAGAGTCGACACCACCAGTCTTGTTGATAGATGTCGAAGAAGAATTGTTATGGCTGTGAGGGAGAGGCGATCCGCTGACGAGTTTGACGAGGACCGAGTGAACTGCACCAGGCTTCATGTCCTTGTGGCGGTAATACAGCGTCTGACGCTCCTTGACATATCGCCAGTCACCATCGCTCACACGGATGTCGAGACGAGCCTCTTCGTAATGGTAGGAGGGGATAAAGATCTCGGTATCAAACGCCATAGTCGTATCATCATCGGGTGGGTGTCCATACCACTGCGACTCGAGTGTTGAATCGGACGTTCCATCAGAGCTGTTGTTGGCGGCTTTAGAAGTGATGAGGCCCTGCTGTTGCTTCTCTGGAGACGATACTTGGACAGAAGGGATGGGTGCTTGGAGGTAGTTACAGAAGCGGAATGTGAACTGGAGGGTTGCAAGGTCAAACTCGGTCGAAATGGGTTCTCCTGCCACCTTCGCTGCATATGGTCGCTAAATTAAAAAATAGAGAATGAACAAAATGAATATTAGATATATGACCTTTAGTTTAGCCTGAACAATGAAGGCAGCAGCACTCAAAACTTTCGTCATGCTTACCACAACAGCATCTAGGGCACGTCCACCCACATGGGCAACATGATCCCGACCATCATCATACTCCTCATCCTCAAAGCGGAAGTAGGAGCGGTCGAAGGGCGAATCCTCAGCAATGGTGTCCTCCTCGTTCGATGTCCTGCACTCGTCATCATTGTTTGCACCCTCCTTCTCTCCGACAAAGCTGCTATAACTGTCAGACTCGTGTCCAGCACGCTTGATCTGCAACTTTGAGACGACATCGGCGTTCGAGGCTGCAGATCGTTTCATGGCCTCTTTGGCAAAGTTGGGTGCCTGCTGACGAAGTGTCACTTGGGTATTTGAGCCAGGAGAGCGTCCTGCTTCTGGGGTTCCTTGAGGCGAGTCCAGAGAAAAGATGGAAAAGTCCTCGCCGTTCCAGTGGTCTCCATATGTGTTGTCGTTGGTCGTGTTGTAGTTCCAGAGTCTATTGGGCCACGTCGAGAACAAGCGAGTTAGACTTTTACATCCCTACTCGCTAAAGACGTAGCAGCCTCATATACGAGTCCAAGGTCAACTTACGTGAAGCTGAGAAGGTTGGCTTCCAAGGACGACAAAATGGCGTCCAGAAACCGCGAGTGGTGGCCAAAGTCGCCGTTCATGAATGCCTTCCGTTGGTTGATGTCCATGGGGATACCGCATTCACCGATGACACAGGGTTTGTTGCCGACGTTCTGCAGACCAGCGTTGAGAAGGTTTGAAATTTGTCCTCTGTAGTTCTTCCGTGCGCCTTTCAGTCCAAAGTATGTCGCCGCGAGCACGTTCTTGCCCTATTCATACGGTGCAAAAGACAATCCCATTAGTCGACGTTCTCTCTTTCGCGTACGTGTTTGCAGAAGCAAGCTCAGTGGCAGCTAAAACTCACCTTGCTGAGTCCTTGGACATCGTGGGTGATGCGACCGTCAAAAGCCTTGTTGAAGACAGAATGAAGGTCATACCAGTGAGGAGCATAGACGATACCCTCCTCATGGTCTCCAGGACCCCAGATTGGTGGCGCCTCATTGGGAATAGGTTCGACAAACACAAAGGCAGAAGGAATGGCCTTCTGAACAGCCTTTGAGTACTTTCCGACAAAGTCCAGATAGAACCGTGAAAAGTCGATGGGTTCTCCTGTCTGAGGGTGTGTCGTGAAGTAGTCCGGTCGATCGACCTGAGGCTTGCCAGTCTTTTGGTTCACGCTCCAAACTCCATGTTGCTTCCAGATACACTCACCCTCCAGCCATGCCGAAGCTTTCTCAGAGTTGATAATCCTTGTTCCTTGCTTCTTTGTTGGGAACGGCCAGGACTTGACCCAGACCTCGATCGGAAGAGCCATGCCGTCGCCCAATGCAAATCCTTCGACTGCCGAGGGCGAGTCACCAAAGACTAAATTAGAGTTGAACTCGTATCTGGTCAAGCTCTCCAAACCAATGTATCCAGGACTAGAGCGAACAAATAGAGGAGTTTTTTTTTTGTTAACTTGGGGTATAAATACATGTCTCCGTGAACCTTACTTTGGACGATTGCTTCCAGATTCTTAACTTACTGAGGTTCGTTCATGACTTCAAACCCGATGACAGCATCCAGATGGCTCAATCGCCTAGAGGTGGATAAACGACAGGATGGAAATAAACAATGGTCAGTTTTGATTGTTTGCAAGAACACAAATGATACATTGCACAATCGTAAAAAAACGAGACTTACTGGGCAAGGTGATTATAGCATGCGAAGTAGCGGTTCTGCAAGAACTGCTGAATAGGTTCACCCTGATACATCTTGTTGGGTGCAAAGGTGTCACCAGCCCAAAAGAGAGTGAACATGGTGCTGGCGGCGAGTTTGGTGTAGTTGGTGGGCCAGACCATGGGTGGTGAGTCTCCTGCGTCTTGGTTGGTGTTGTGGACATAGGCGGCACCTGTCGTTTTGAACTTTCTGAGGTCCAGACCAGCGGCCTCGAAGGTCCATCCTGGTGCTCCTGATCCACCAGAGAATCGTGACCAGCAGTCCTGATGGGGATCGATAAAGCACTTGATGCCGTACTTTGGCATAAGGTCAATCAACTCGACCAACGAGTCAATAAACTTGTCGTCGTAGATGCCACTATCATTCGAAAAATACAGATTAGAGTCGTTAGACGGAGATTGCACAAGCAGATGGATTACGCACTTTTTTTATGGTTTTGCCTCTGTTCTCTGTTGTTAAATTTGGCGATATCGTTCTGCTATTGCTCTCGCGACAAAGCAGATCCAGATGAATGATAAACCCGTTTTTAGCCAGGGGAAAGCACAACAGAGAGTGGACAGGTGAGTTTTTTTGGGTTGTGGGAGCAAAGGAGGTACGAGCGTGGAACACACCGTACCCAAGATTGCAATAATTGGTCCAAAATTAAAGTGCGTCCGTTACGAGAAAACAGAGTCGAGAATAAGAAAAAAGAGGCTGTTCGGCCATACTGCCACAGAAACGAAATTGGTATGGATGCACCGCGGTGCAAAAAAAAAAGAAAGACAGCGAGGGACATAGTGATGGGAAAGGGATTGACGGGTTTTTGTGCGTAACAACTTACGGTCCAGAGTGCTCAAGTGCTTCCCAGGGAACCAGGAGGCGGACAAAGGTCAGACCCCACCGCTGAAGTCTTGAAAAGTGCTCGTCAGCCTGGTCTCGTGGGAAGGGTCGGCCGAGGAAGCAGACGTTCCGATGGTCGAAAAAGCCCTCATTCAGATGTGTGCTACCGTTGGGCGTTGTGGGAAGCTTGGAGTTGCCGCAGAGGTTGACACCACGGAGCAAGAGAGTCCTGTTTTGTGAATCACGGAACCAGCGACCGTTGGAGGTGATCCGTCCTCCTGAATACCAGTCGTGAGCCTTGCCTGCCGGTCTCAGGGACGATCCTCCTCCAGGACGGCGCTCGCCCTTCCGTGTTTTGGCTGAAACTGCATGGTTCTTGGTAGGTCTTTCCTCTTCTGAAGATGAATTTGAGGTGGATTCATTGTCGGTGTGAGCTGAGGAGGCATAAGAGGACATGGAGGAGAAGGAATGAGTGTGCTTCAGTTCTTGAGCCTTGAGATGATGAGGGCGGAAAGTCATGGCGGGGACAGCAGAGGGCTGTTCGGTGAAGACAGGGCTCGCTGGGGAGGCATTGTCAGTCGGCATGGCGGAGAGTGATGTCGAGAGAGGTGTAAAAGAGAAAGAGAGGGAGGTGGCTGTTGGTATGGTCGTTGCAAGACTGTCCGTTGAGGAAGGAAGTGAGGGTCAAGAGAAAAAAGAACAAGGTAAAAGAGACGGAGAGTGATTGGGTGGTGATGGGTAGTGCTGCTTAACGCTGTTAAAGTTATCAGTGATCGTGTTGCACAATCTAGGGACGATTGACGAGAGGGGAGAAGGAGGGAGGGCGTGTGGAGGAAGGAGGAAAGAGAGAGAAGAGGGCCGAGGATGAAGGAAAGGAAAAGGACGGCGGGGGAGGGGGAGAGAGCAGGATGGAGAGAAGGAGAGGAAGAAGAAAGAGTGAAGAGGGAGGAGCAAAGAGAAGAAGAAGAAGAAGGAAAAGAAGAAAAGAAAAGAGAGAAATGTGGAAAGAATCAAAAGTAAAGAGAGGTACCTGAACAGAGTAACCAATTATTAGTCTCCTCTGGATAATTGCTCTTTGACACCTTTATTCGTCAGTTGTTATTTTGGGACGGACGGAGGGAGACTGAATGAATTGAAACAAAACTATATACAACAGGCACACAGCCAACAGACACACAGCCAACAAGTGCTAGAAGGGGCTGTTGTGAGAGGTTACCAGACTCTTGAGCCTGACTTACTTGCCAAGAGAAAAAAACGCCGTCAATAAACCTGAACAGCCGGCACTAAATATCGCCCGCCAGGACCGATCTGTCGGTCGACACGGTCCGGTCTCGGTCTGATCAGAGCCAGGGGGGAGCGAGAAGTGAATTTACTATGGGTTCATACTCATCTTTTTGCTCTTGCCATTTCAATATTTTTTTCTTTGTTCCGAATGGAAAGGCCAGTATGAGGGAGACAGAGCCACAGAAAGCGAGAGAAAGGCTTGTATGGTAAAGAGAAGGGGGAAAAGGTGCATGAAAAACACATACAATGATACGTCAATCTTGTCCGTTTAGTTGTTCGCTAACAGAAACGGACCAGATCCTCCTTGTCGCCACTCACGCCCCCTCTCTCCCATTTACTTTCGTATCCCTTGACAATGGTATCGTTGTGCAGCTGGTCAATGAGTAAAAAATAGATTTCAATGCTAATTACTGATACAATGGATGAATGGATGCTTGCTAGCACTACGAAAATTCGATCCTTCCTTCGCCCTTTTAGTCTTGACTCCACCACCTTCGACGACTGCCCTCATCTTCAACTCACGACCCATGATATGTGTGCGCTTGATTGATGTTCAGCCTCATGACCACCGCACCTTGGACAATCGACGACGTCTCACAACCTCAACTGTGCCAACAACGACCAACGCAAGGCCCATGAGACAGCCTGTGGGAATCATCAACTTGGGGTTCTTGTAGAAAGCGACGTACGGATGGACACCATTATCCTGCTCATTGTACAAACTGTCGCCTGTGTCATGGTCACTTCTGTTGTCTTGGCCCGGTGTGAAATAGGGTCCATCGTGGATCTCGGTCGGGCCATAGCCTGCAGGAGGCCATGTTTGAGTCTCATTACCAGAATAATCTGTAACAGTGACAGAAGAAAAAAAAAAAAAAAGAGAGCAGACATGTCAATTAGATAGAAGGATCCTTGCGTGCATGCATTAATCAACAACATGAACAGCTCGCAAACGAAACGAGGCCAAAGACATGTAAGATCGACTTACAGCACTGAATGTCGACATAGTCCACCTGAATCTCATACTTCTGATCGGGCTTGGACCAATCCGTCGGAGTACCCGCCCAGGCTGCTGTGCCCTCAGAGCCCTGGCCACCATCCCAGATTCCAAATTGGATCCTCGCGGGCGAGGACGGATACCTCTTCCTTATCTGGCCTGTTGCAGGGTCAATACCAACGTCGTCCTTGGTCTCGTTCCTAAACGCATGTCGAATCACCTTGTCGTCGACCTTCCACAAAATGTACTCGGGCATCCACTCGATCTCATAGTCGTGAAAGTCCAAGGCTGTGTTGGTGTTGAGTGGCTGTTTGCCCGTGTTGCTGTAGTCAATCAAATCCGTCGGCATGTCTGGAGGGGTCCTGTAGTAGAAATTCGTCTGTGCCTCCATCGGATCTCTGCCAACGACCTCAAAGTCGATCTCGTCTCCTGGATCTTCGTTCCTGATGATAAATGCAGACACAACTCCAGGCGAACTTGAGCCGGTCTTGATGCGGGCCTTGACCTTGCCGTACTGCATGAATCGAGTAGTTGACACTACAGATCCCAAGCCTTGTGGGCGACCATAAGAGTTGGGGGTGCGATCGAGCTTCATCGAGATCTTGAGTTTTGAATCCTGGATACTCACGCTCTCGGCATTGTAATCCGTCGCTGATCGACAAAGAAAATGCAAAGGGAAACACAGTTAACAATCTGCCCAGGATCATACGTGTCTCTGAAGGAGTGAATGAATTCTCTCCGTTTTGTACTTACTAAAGTCATATTGATACGGATTGCCATTGAAGGTCTTGCTGCTTGCGAGTTTTGGTTGGTTAAAGTCCTAAGGGCATAAATGACAACAAGAGCAACAAAGGGTCAGATAAAAGACGGATCGCGTCGGGCAAATAGTAAGGCCATTTGACTGACATAACATGATCCATGCGGCTATTATTTTGTTTGTTTGTTTGTGTAGTACCTCATGAATATTTGAACAGAAGGCCTGAGGGAAGCAGCTTGACTCCTTCCACGAGTTCTTTGGTTCACAACCTGTCGAACAATAACGTGGGTCATCTATTCATGTCGACACAAAAAAATCATTATTTTGAGAGAGATTAGCACGAGGCTACAATCGATCAATCCCAAGAAGCAAACAAACAGCGCGTCTACAAGCCCCGTAGTTCGTACCAGAGCAGTATCCGTTTAGACAGCAGGGAGCGTTTTCTGGACATGTGCCACCTCCAGGATGGTAGCGACATGACCCCTCGAGAGGCTCTAATATTGCTGCAGTGGGTGCTATGGGTGCTGGCAGAGGGGAAAGGTTGACAGTGGCAGAAAGTGATGATGCGGCAGGCTCGCTCTGTGCTCGAGTAAGCAGTAAAGTCAGGAGAAGAATTCGCCCAATGATTACAAGGGGCGCCATTCTCGCAAGAAAAGAGTGACAAAAAAGAGAAATGAGTTTTGATACAAAGTGGCGACAAGGATGGATGAGTTGAGGGGGCCATCATTCGACAGACGGGCATATATATAGTGGAAAAAGTTTATGAGAAGCAAGGATAGATAGACGATGAGAGTAGACGGAGTGGAATCAGGGAGATGTGGAATGACGGGTCCCGCTCTGGCACTCTCTATTACTCTAGAAATTCTTTTTCTGGGTAATTCCTGGATGCACCCTCCTCGTACTCAAAAAAGACACGCTTCATTTGTTGATTTCTCTACGTCATGGACGCGATCATCTCCAGGGCAGCAACAGTAAAAACAAAATGCATCCTGTCAGTTCATAACATTCGCATAAATGCCATTGTCAACTTGAACCCTAGTCAGAGACGGCGATTCCTTGTTCCACACTCTCTCCCACAGACAAGCTACGACTCCAAAGAAGACCCTGACACCTGGCACCTAACGTCCTATGAACACGGATTGGATAACAAGATACGTTTGCATCGACAACACTCTTCGATTCTTGGACAAGCAAAAGGCGCAATGGGCGTTGCGAAGAAATCAGTCAAAAAAAATTCGTTACGCCACTAAATCATTTCGTCAAGCTCTCTTCATGCACTCAAAAAAACATTGACAGAAGATTCGTGATGAAAAGATGGATGAATTGTATCCAAACCATCAACGTGAGCGGATCCAACACAAGCGGTTACATTAACAGGATCTTAGTTTCGAATGGTTTAAGAATCCATGATGATCTATTTTTCCTTCTCGACGCCAGAAACCCCATCCAAGAGCGACTAGGCAGCATCAATAACAAAGCGTCACCCATCCATATTTTTCAATGGCATTTTGGCACAACTGTGGAAGGATCTGGCGTCGATAAAAAAATAAATACATGTTGTTCAAGAGACCTATGCGCTCTATGGTTGATCAGGTGTATTTGCACGGTCGTAAAGAAGAGCCATGATACTGAAAAAAATTAAAGCCCGAGGAGTTCTTGGGCGCGCTCCCAATAGCTCCTGTTATCAGGATCGGTTTCCGTCCCCAATCTGGGGATGGTATGACCCTTCAGGCTACGCTCCACAGCCTTGAACGCAGAGACAGCAGGACCACGTCCGATAGTTGGCGCCGCCAGAAGCAACGGAATCAAGCGCAGGATCTCCTCCTCCAACTGAATACTCTCGTCCTGGTCAATCTTGAGGGGCAACATGCTGGGTCGAGGCGAAGTGTCGATCAGCTCCCGCAACATCCACTCAAAGTAGATCACCTGCAGCGGCTCCACCGTATCCGAAAGCGACTCGATGATCCACAGATCCAGCATCACGCCCTGGTTCGCCTTGGTGAGGTACTGAAGAATCCGCAAAAGTACCCGGAACGGTGCATGACACTCCATCCTCATCGACTCAGCTTGCTTCGCCAATCGAAGGTTCTCCTTGAGAGGGAGCTCTTCCACCATCCGCGGCACCATGTCCTCGTCGTGTTCCTCCTTGAGGTTTACACTAGACTCGGTCAATCCAGAGTCGGGCATCACTTGATCGCCATCGGCATCGACTCCCTTGGGCTCGGGCTCCGAGTGTTGTTGCTCATCGAGGCTCTTGATATCTTCAGACATCTCGGTGACTTCTTTGAATCCTGACCCTGAGTGCTCCTGCTCATCGAAACCCTTGCTTTCAGACATCTCAACATCCTCGCTCTCGATCCCGACCTTGACAACCGGTTCCCCGACAGGTGGCCCTCCCCGCTGTTCATTCTCTTCATCGTCATCGTTTTTGTCATTGCCGTCGTCCTCCTCTTTCTCTTCCTCTCCATGAACTGATCGCTCCTCCATGACGGATTGGACTCGGCTGGCGACTGCATCGCCTTTGTCCTGTGGGGGTGCATCCATGTCGACATCCGCTGATTCCGATGAAACAACTGGCGCCGATGCAGCTTTGTCTCTAGAAGCGCTTTTGGGTGCAGGTGGGCCTGTATCCAGTTGAATGTCGAGCTGATCAAAGAAAATCTCGGCGCCAGGGAATTGGCCAGTCATGACGGGAACATAGATCTCACCTAGATCCTCAGCGGCCTTCTTCAACTTGGTATGCTTCTGGCGCATGCGTTTGAGCCGCTTGGCCTGGGGCTTGCTCAGAAGAGCCCGATCCACTAGCGACGGCTCAACGATGCCCTCCATAACCTCGGGTCCGAGATGCAGCATAAGCTCCGGTGAAAAATACGTAGGGTCGGTAGGTCCTACTCCGGGGTAGGCGGAACTCACAGTGCCTGCAGGTTTTGGCGCCTTGGGTGAAAGAGGTTCATCGAGAGCGTCGAGATCCGGCATTGCCACCGGTTCAACGGCAGGAACGATGCCTGACTCTACGACCTTGGGTACCTCAACTGGCGGAGGGGCGACCTCAGGAGTCACAACTGGTGGGGGAATGGCAGCCCTGGATGTCACAGCTGGAGGATGGACGACTTTGGGTACAACGACTGTCGACTGAGCGACCTTGGATGCCACAGCTGGAGGAAGGGTACCCTTGGGTACTACATTTGGTGCGTAGACGAATTTGGGGACGGCAGGTGGAAGTGGCTGGACAGGCTGAGGTGGGGTTTCTGGGACAGCCTTGGCGGCCGTGTTGAGCATCCTCTGATTCGGTCTGGGTTTCTTGATATGGACATCGAACTCTGACTTTGCCGACGACTCCTGAGAGTCGCGCTCTGCTGTACGGTCCTTGATATCCTGCTCGGTCAGATACAGCATGCCTGTTACTCGGCCTTCGACTCTCTTCGGCTTGAACAGAGAAAGAATGGCGTAAAACGGACTCACTCGTCTGTTGTAGAGGTTGCGCGTCTTTCTTTTCTTGCCCTTGGCATCGGCGGCACTCTTGACGGATGAGTCTTCCACACCCTCATTTTTTTGGTCCACAGATTCCTCAGAGGGCACCAGCTCGATAGGTTCCAGCCACCGATGCGTCTTGCGAACGACATGACTCAGGTTTTCCTCTGGCTTGATCACCAACGCCACCAATGCTCCCATGATGGTATCCACCGCCTTCTCAGCCGACTTGAATCCGATGCGTGGCGCCGGCTTGGTCAGTTGGCAGACATTTCCAGAACTGACGCTGCTGTAGACTGCCATCTCGCCATAATCCCGCTCCCCACCTTCCGTCTCGTCCCAACACATATACTCGACAAGGATTTGCTCCAGCAGAAACTTTTGGTCGCTTGGGTAGACATCCTTGATGAGGGAGACCAGCTTGTCCGCGAATACTGCACCGTCCATGCGCCCACAGAGAGAAATCCAGCGCTCTAGCTCGGACTCGAGCTGCGTCTCGTATTTGTTGGGCGCCTGCGGGAAAAAATTCAGACTCAGGATGGGCGACCAGAGAGGGTTGTTCATCTTGTTCAGCTGTGACTGTGCACGCGCCGTTGGGGCGGTGAGGGTCTGGTGGGTGGAAAAAGTCGGATTGTTGTCTGGCCAGGATCCTGAAGTGGCGTACTCCACCAATTGCGACGCTGTCCGGAGCTTCTTTGCAGTAGAGTCTGCCCCATCGTTGAGTGGTCGTTTTGATTCTTCCTTGCGAGCTGCAGCCGCGAGGACGCTCGCAGGCCATGTTGGTGACGTGAATGTCATAGGAGAATCGTCTCCTGCTGAACCGATAGATGGCGACCCCTCGGGTGTGTCATCTCCCATAAGGATATCGACTCGTTTCTTGGCAATTCCAGCGTCAGGCGATGGAGTGTAGCCAAGCAATCCTCCTATTTTCCTGACCGGTTTCTCTCCGATCTTCTGCTTCTGTCCCTCCAGCTCCTGTAAATAGGCCTCTCGGAGTTTTGGAAAGTTCTGTCCCGCCTCGGACTCCAAAAACACCTGGAAGGCCGAGTCCGCCTCGGCGAGAATGAGAGTCATCTGGCGGATGGCCTTGACGAGCTCCCTGTCTAGCGGCGTTGAGTTCCTGTCCTGTGTTGCGCTGGGTTGAGTGAACCTTCTGTTGTCACCAACGCCCAATCCCACGGATCTTGCCGCTGGTGTTGTGGTAGTCTCGGTATCCCCTGTCTTCCTGTATCGCAAGCAGCCCTGGAGTACTTGAATCAACCCCTGGACAGATCGTTTCGCCGCGCTGGTTCCAGAGCTCCACTCATAATCCAACGCCTCAACAAGCACCTTGGGGATGTTGGTCTCATATCCAACCCACTCTCCATGTTCCATAAAGATATCGTGGAATGCGAGGACCATGATCTCTGGGCATCCCGACTTCATGAACTCCAGCTGCCATGGTGGAGTTGTCGTCGTTGCTGCTGCTGTGCGTACTCGTCCTCCAATCCTATGCGCCCGCTTCTCGTTGTCCACCTTCGGCATATGTTCTCTGTACACGAGATACATCCTCCAAAGCAATGGCTCGTCCTGAATGACCTGAGGATCCCGTCTGCAATGGCGTTGAATAGTGTTGACGATCCGAGGCATGCCGTTCTCGACATATAGGATCTCGTTCTGTTGTTGCTCAGTCAATTCTGGTGCGTGTCCAGTGGGTGATTTGGCCTTGGGTAACAACCCTCTAATTTCTGCTGCAAAGCCCTCGTTATGGCAGACTGCTCCGAGTCGCAGCCATGTGGAAGTGTTGATTTTGACGAGCGAGGCGCAAAGACGAGCGGGGTCAGGTCGTGTGTTGTTGTTGTTGTTGTTGTTGTGATGGTGGTGGTGCTCTGATTCCAAGATGGCGACGATGTCTTGCGGTAGTAGTCCGAGCATTACTGTAGGGTGAGTAGGGTGGGGGGATGATGGTAACACTATGCATGACGAAGGAGGATCGAGTCAGTATTTTGGCAACTGGTAACGGCAATTCAAGGTGATGTACAAAGGACGTGTTCATCCAGCGGCGATCGCATCTTACGCGTAGGTCTCAACGGTTTCGATGGGCAGTAGTGTTGGCTGTGTTGATCGTGAAAGGTGTTGTATATTCCCATGAACGTGGACAAGGACAGGTGATGGCAAATGGACGAGCAAAGGGGAAGCTTTTATATGTGATATTCGCAGTCACATATTTGGCCTTGCTTCACGATTGGATCCACCACCGACAGCAACTGTCCCTGCAACTGGCAACGTAGCCACGCCTACCTAGGATCCGCCTCAACCGCCTCCTCCGGCAACGAAGACAAATAACTGACAGCATTGTTCTTAATGCTGTGAAGAAAAAACGCAGCCAGTAACCAGAGTTCCTATTTGCGAGCCGACACTCGCTTTACATAATTCTGTGAGTTGGCATTGAACGTTTGTTTGGAAGGAAATTTGAACCCAGTAAAATGGTAACTAACGCGACTGTCCATTGTTTTCATGACTGGATGGGAGTCCTGAGTGTGCATATCTAAGGGCATCCTTTATTACATAGTTGTACTGCTTCACCTGAAGACATCGGTGTTTCTGAAGCTCGTGTTGTCCTTCAATGCGTCGTTATGTGTCTTGTACTCCATGATCGTCTCCGCAGGCAGATTCAGTACTCTCTTCATCGTATCTCTATTTGATGTAATACATAAAGAAAAGAAAGGAAGATTCACAGTTAGAGCATGAACGTGTGGGAGTATTCCCGTATGTTACCCAAGAAGGATCCAGGCACAACGCGCCAACTTCAACGGACGGTAATAAGAGATCGATCGCCTTACCTAATCTTCAGGTTGATCCGTCCCTCATGCGCCGACTGGTTCCATAAAGACAAGATATCTTCCCCTCCACGAATCGAAAGCACCACGCCACAAATCTCGGATCCAACATCGAACTGGTCGCCAATCACCGCCATTATCTACAAGAAAGGAAGTGAATGATCCAGCTGTTAGAAACAAAGGATATTCCAAAAGAAAGATAAATCCACCTATGGCTCAGTTGGCACTTTGACGACTCATAGCTCAAGAAGAAGAGAGTATAACTTACCAAGTTCTCCCAATAGCGACTAGCGAGTCCTTTCTTGAGTCGAACAATCCATTTACCGCCGTTGATATTTGTCGTATCCTCCCAGACTGGCCGCACTCCTTGCTTGAACAAATGATAATCGCTCACGTTCGGCAATTCGTGTGGTCGTTTGAGGTGAGAGTACACTGCCCAAAAATCCTCGACCTAAATAAGGCGTAAACAACATTCATGTTAGTGTAAGCTGAAAGTAGTTTCACAAACGTGGTTGCGCACAGGCTGATATAGACGCGGATGAGCAACTATCGATAGTCGATGGGATCCGATCTGAGGGTACACTTACCGATCCAAACGTCGCGATCTTCTTCATAGAGCTCTCATAGTTCAAGATCTTGCTTCCTGGGGCACGATGCATGAACCAAAAGACCCAGTTGAAGTGTAAAGGATGAAGCGATCCGGAAGGCAACGCCGTTGCCGTCGTGCCCGCACCACTGACCCCCGCTCCGACTCCTCCTATTGTTGATCCAGTTGCTGATGCTGTCGACAAAGGTACCGCTGCCGTAGAAACAGCACCCGATCCGATTCCAGAACCCGCGCCGGCAGACGAAGAAATCCCAGAGTGTCCTGATGATCCTACTGCCGTCTTTGAACTATGATGTCCTGATTCGCCTCCTCGACTACCAAAATCCAATGCGCCGCCAGAAATTGAAGGTCCATTGGTCGTTGTGGGCGTGGTCAGGATCGAAGCTGAAGCAGGGCCTCCTCCGAGCATCGACGTCGACGAGTTCAGTCTCTGCAATTGAACGAGCTTTGAGTTTCCAACTGGTGCATTCTCTCCTTGAGAACGAGCTCTGTATCAAGGTGAAGGAAAACACATGGGAAACGGGGTAGTGAAGTCAGTAAACAGAGGCGCTAACAATAACACATGACGGACATATTTTAAAGTTTTGTGCCACTTTGTAAAGGATCGACTGATCGATCGAATGATCCTCCGTCCGTCCACATCTGATCAGGTCCATAAGAGGGGATCTGCTTTGTCCACTTACGATTTGCGGGGACCCCAAGCTTGTTCCATCCTGAATGTTGTGTCGTTATATGTTTAAAGTGGAGAGAAGAAAGGAAGTGTCCGTGGCCAAGGTGCGATGGCGTTCGTGAATTGAGTTAAAGAAGGAAACAATAGGAAAGATAAAGGAAAAAAAAGGCGATCCAATAAAACGATTTGGTAGGGAGGTATTGAGGCAAGCGAGCGGCAATAGCGAGAGCAACAGGAAGGTTGACAGTTCGAGTCCGGAAGGTCGGTCGTTGTTTCGTGTTGTGTGTCTGTCGGGTTGGTTGTCGAGTGAGTAAAGAAGAGGTTAGATGTGTGAAGCCATTGCCTCAAGCAAGCACACAAAATGACGTCACGAACCAGTGTGAAATTATCGCGTCTTTATTTGAAGATCAAAGGGGCGTGTCCTCAGGCATTCCAAGGGCAGCATAACTGTACCGAACCAACTCCTCCTGGCTCTTGACATCATTCGACGCAGGGTTGCGCTGTCGGATCCTCTCATCAAACCAGTACTCGCCCGAGATACCCTCAACCTCCTCACTCAACGACAGATACGCAAGCGTCCTGGCGCCTCGGGCAGGAGACCGCAAAAGATGCTGGAACCCGATCGTCGTCAAAATGTAGAGGAGCCACGAGGACTTGAAGAGATTGGTATAGCACGCACCAGGGTGCAGACAGTTGACCGTGATATCGGGGTTGGTCTTGGCAAGCGAGCGTGCCAGGGCGCGGGCAAACATGACTGTCGCCAGCTTGGAACCACAATAGTTGTTGATGCGGTCGTAGGCCTTGGCTGAGGTGATTCCTGGGTAGTTGATCTTCGATGTGCCGTAGTGTGCTGATGAGGCTGTCATTACAATACGCGCCTTGGGGGCCCTCTTGACGAGTTGGAGCAGGAGGATGGTTAAGTAAAAGTGTCCCAGGTGGTTGATTCCAAATTGACTGTCGTGACCTTCAGCCGTAGGCCTGAACTTTGGAAGATCCATTACACCCGCATCTATGAAGGATATGGAAAGGATAGTAACATGTTGTGTTGGGTTAAAGGCCAATCCTTGATTATGATCAAGTGCATTTTTCTTTCGTGGCCTCGAAGGGCGAACTTACTGTTGATGAGAAGATCGACAGTGTCAGTTCGCCGAGAGATCTCTCCTGCAAACTCTCGGATGTCTTTGAAGGATCCGAGGTCCAGATAGAGAAATTCGACTTGCATGTTCTTTGTTTTTGCCTTGATCGCCTCCACCGCTCGGATACCCAGCTCAGTCGCTCTGTCACCTATTTGTGCAAGAATGAAAAGAAAAAAAAACATTCCACACAGTTAGAGGCGTCATGAGTAACGGGTTGCAAACATTACGATCAGCGCAATGCAAAATCAAGTCGGACACTTACCAATGATAAGGTGGTATCCGGCCTCAGCAACAGCCATGGCAGTCATGTAACCCAATCCGCTCGCCCCACCCGTCAAGACTGCGACTTTGCGTCGCCCACCTTTGCTAACCGTGTCCGCAATAGCAAACCTGCTTGCCGCGATGGAGCTCTCGATTCTCTTCTCGACTGGAAGCCGACCCAGGTTCTTTTCGCCCAGGATCCATTCAGGAACGTTCAAGAGGTAGACCTCGGCCAGCAAGATACTCGCCTCGATGAGACGATGTGGGATGTATCTTGATGTGGAAAGATAGATTGCTGTTTGGTCGAACAACGATCCACCACGTTGAACCTCGACTGTGAGAGGGGTATAAACAATGGCATTTGACTGGGCTTTGGCCGCTTTCTGCGCTGGTGTCGATTCCTTGGTCATGCTGTTGTTCTTGCTGGTCAGAGTCCTGGAATATGGTGTGGTTGTTGAAGAAAGAAAGAGAAAAAAGAAAATGAGAGAGAAGTTGGGTAAGGTCTCTTTTTTTCTCTTCTTGCTGTTCGCGCGGTCGCGGCTGGCGCCATTTGTTTATGTTTTTGTTTTTGTTTGTTGTTGCTTTTGTTTGTTGTTTACTATCGGTTGCTGTTGCAAGGGTAGCAATGGATGACTTTAACTCGACCCGAGCCTTTGGCATCCTCTCTCTCTCCTGCCGTTCAGTTCAAGGTGAAGGCCAGTTCAGTTCCGTTTGATCCACTTGCACCGAGCTACCAGCATCTGCTGCATCAAAAAAATTAAGCAAGTGTGGAGGGAGGACTGTGCTTTCTAGATGTTCACTTTCGTCTTCGGTTCGGAAGAGAAGTTTTCTTTGTTGGTTGCGGGGTGCGGATGGATGAGGCTAATATTATGTTCTTTTAGGCTAAAATACCCCAAGCCCATCCCAGCGCTTCTTGTCGTCCTCCACGGTTGCTCCACATGTCAACGACACAATACGGAAGAAGGAAGGGTTTGAAAAAAAAGTGGATTATCCGTGTTGATAGAGACCTTGTTATTGCCGCTGCAACGACGAGTATTTCTTTCTGACAACCTTCTTCCATTTTTACTTTTCCTCTCTTCCCTTCTTTTAATTATTTTCCTTCTTTCCTCTTCTATTACTCTTCCACTTTTGATTTTCCCACAACAAACCACAACAATCAAACAGGACTGAAAAATGATTGAAGTCGACGTCTTCTGGAGCTTCTCCTTCGGAGCAATCTTCGCCGCTTGCTCAGCCGGATCCCTCAAGACCCAACCTGTCTTCTGGTCAACCCCCTCCTTCGTCTACACCCTCCTTTTCCTCTCCCTCATCTTTGCCCCCTCAGGCCTCTACCTTCTCTGGGACAACCCCGGCTGGGAATCCATGTTCCTCCTCGGTGACAAGAACGAGATCCCTGCCATCCTTCCCACCGTCTTTGCCTTCACCAACGTTCTTTTGGGAATCATTGGTTATTATGTTACCTATGCAAAGATCCGCAAGTACCGCAATGCGCCCCAGTTGCCAATGTCGTATCACAAGTACTGGGTCCATGCTTATACTTGCTTCTGTGCCATCTTGGGAATGGGATACAACAGGTTCATGTACCCTCTGGACTATGTCGCCTGGAGAGCTGGATTGACGTTCCCCTTGACCGCCTTCTTCACCTCCAGGATGTTGTTCACTCTCTTGTCCATGGGCGTCATCCTCATTCCTGTAAGTCGTCCTTCCATCTTTTCTGTTGCTCAAGAACAAAGACTCCACTTTTGACTCTCTGACTAAGAATCCTCCACTTTTTTTTTTTTTTTTTTTTTTTTTTGAACAAACATAGGCTGCGTTCATTCCTTGCTACATCTGGATGAAGAAAGAGACTCTCCTCGCACCCGGCGACAAGTCCCGCTTCTTCTTGACCTGCATCTTTTACGCACTCCAAGGCGTCACCTTGGTTTCGTCCTTGTTTGGCGCCTATATTGTCCGCTACCACGAAAAAGCCCCCGAGGCCACCTTCTTTAGCAACCTCTCGGATCTCTTTGACAACGGGGACATCCTCAACAGGAACAGCAAATGGTCCCCTCTTCTCGGCTTCTGGGTCGCAGGTTCGTCTTAACTAAAGCAATGAACGGCAATATCGATATGAAATGGTGAGCGTGTTCGTTCTTCATGATGACTAAGGGCTCCGTTTGTCGTTCCACCTCATTGACGTTAGAAACCGCTGTTATGACGCTCGTGCTCTTGCCCATCGTCTTTGTCCCCTCCATCAAGGCCACCGCCAAGACTCTCAAGACTCAGTAGACACTATGCATGTACATAAACGGAAAAATACATGCAATTATTGCAATGCCATGAACATGCCCTTTTTAATATGTACAGCAAAAAATAAAAAAGATGCAGGAATAGTGGTTGAACCAGATTTATGATGCTGCGTCTGCTGCTGCGCTCTCTTCAGGCAATGCATCCTCATCCACCTCCATCGCCTCTGGTGGATGCGAAAGTTGCTGGGACGACTTGTCTGCGCTGCCAGGTGAAGCTTTCTCTGCGTCATCCCCCATCTTCGTCTGGCTATCACCGTTCGCCTCCTTTGGCACGGCGTCCGTCGCCGCGTCGCCGTTCTCTTGCTCTTCCTGCGATTCCTTATCTCCTTGACGGTTATGAGTCCCCTCATCCCTCGTTGCTGGCTTCTCGCCCTGTTCTGCAGATGCCTCGACACCTTCCTTCGGTTCAGCAGCTTCCGTCTGCGATAGTGGTGGTACTGACTGGAGCTCGCCAATGCTCACAAGGATGGCTGTAAAATCATCGTACTCTTGGATAGAGTCCGAATATAGACCATTCATCCCCTCACGGTCAGCAAGAGTACATACGATTCTCTGGTAATTCCAGCCTCGGTCAATCTTGTCACCCACAAACTGGCAGACTGCCGAGTTTTGTTCGTGGATCTTTCCTCCGCGCTGAACGTAATCCCAAAGTCCGTCCGAGGCCATCAAAAGGTAGCCCTGATGGATGTTGGTGATGTCGATAAAGGTGATGTCCGGCTTGCAGCTCAGCACTGGGTTGACGGGATCCAACTTGTACAGCACATCTCCGATGCATGCGCCCAGGTTGACAGACGCGCACTGGCCATTCCTAGTTCGATAAGGGATACCGTATAGGTTCGAGGCGCCATCCTTGACTCGTATCCTGGCCTCCCTCAGGGATTGGCGGTGCTTCTTGTCGTTCTTGATCGTAGGGTCGAACCGAATCACCTTGTCGTCATGCGTCACAAACTCGCCGCCGTTGGCATAAATCGTCTGGGCTAGGCGTTCCAAGGAAGGTGTGTGGTCCTCGCTGGCAAACTCGACGTTCCACCGCCCAATCGAATCCCGCGAGCCAAGCATAGACCTGCTGTCGCCCACGTTGATGCAGATGACCCATTTGTCGATGAAGATGTTGACAATCAGGGTCGTGCCGTCGCTACCAGGGTCGTGAGGAATCTTCTTGGCTTTGTAGAGGAGATACTGCTGCTTCTTGTAGTCCAGGTATTCCTTGTCGATCAATCGGACAGCCTCTGTAATCTGACTCTTGACCAACTCCTGGACACTTGGGAGAGAGATATCTTCAGGCCGGTACTTGCCCAAGATCACCTGCATCGCACCGGGTATCGTTGCAATCACAAAGGACGAGCATGCTCGGCCTCCATGACCATCCGTAATACAGAACAACCGCCCAAGAAAGCCGCCCTCATGCCTCAAGTCCGCCACGGCATATCCGTCCTCGCAGTCTGTCTTTGGCAGTCGTTCGCGCCCACTGTTTCGAAGTCGTGGGTAGGTATAGCCGACCTGCTGCTCGACTGAAAACATCGAAGGCTCTTTTGTCAAATCCACGCCGTATTCAGCGCGCTTGTCGGGGTATTCGTTCTTCTCCAATGCCTTCTGGCCCCTATTATAAGTATAAATGATGATGATAAAAAATTAGTATACAATTTCGCACCATTTGTATGTTTGAGACTATCGATAAAGTAGCCTTTAGAATTTAGGGATAATATACCTGAGATGTGCCATGAACTCTCCTGTCTGTGATGGGTTGATAGACAAATTCATCAAAGCCGACTGGTTGATCTCAGTGTCGTAGACGTATCCCTTGGGGAGTTTCTTGAGGCCGTTGGGCACCTCCTTGACCTTTGACCGCGTAGAGCCTGAATGTGGTGAGCCTGTGCGAGCTCTCTTTGACGAGGAGGGTGAGCCGGATTGGCCGTTAGATGGCTTGTGGTTTCCATCCTCGTCTGAGCTGTCCGAGCTCATTGTGTCTGAGTCCCATGCAGCTACTGTTCTCCGTTTGGTCTGACTTGAGCTTTCGCCATTGGTTGACCGCTTCACTTTGCGTCGTGCGTTGGTAACTGGTGCCTTGGGTTTGGAGTTCTTCTTGCCTAATTGATCGTAATTAATAAATGTGGTTGTGAAAGTGAGTGGATAAAGATTCAAAAATGACACCAGCGCGCGCATATGGCATATCGACAAGAGTGCTCGTAAAACGTTTATCCCACATGGTATCAATTGTTACCTGCGTCAGATGGATCCGTGTCACCGCCTTCTGAAGGGAGCAGGGCCTGCTCCGCCATCCTGTAGTATGTTGTGCTGTTCATCTTTTGCTTCTCGATAGGTTCGAATGTCTTCAGTGCCGCCGAGAGTGCCAATGCTGTAGAAATCGCGCCTTGCACAGTTCCTTTAGGTGTTCGACCTCTAATGAATTGAAAAAGGACCATCGCTTTCGTAAGTAGGCGAGGTAGTGCAGTTATGCATAAAGCAGTGGTTGAGGATGCTGCATCGCTTCTTATGCTTGACTTACCCAAGGTTGGCGAGCTCGAAGTGTCGAATACCATCTATATGACAATATGAAAATAACAGCGACGCGAGTTAGCCCACATTGCTTTTACGTTCTGAAGTCGGCATGGCTTGCGACAGGTGTATAGGATGTATGAGATCCCCGACCTTTATTACTTACCAACAAGATCATTCGCGCTCTGCCATGCGTTTCCATATACAATTAAGACCTTAGAGATCGCGACAAACAGAGGGTTTCTGAGTTGTTCTGAGCGCAAATTAAAGTCTGTGAGGTCAGGCAATGGAGTCGAGGCGGGTAGTGCCTGAAGTGGCTCGTGGAGCTGTACAGGAGGGAGAGCTGCCGCAACTGACTTTGCCTTTTTTTTCCGAGAAGATGCCTTTGACGACTCGGAAGTGGCCTCGACAGGTGCGGCGGATGGGGTAGTGGCGCCATTATACCCTCCAGGGCTTCCTGGTTCCTGTGATGTGCGCTCATCTGGGACTTGAGCAGGGTCAGATTTGTTGTTGAGAGGATGACTTGATCTTGCTAGGCTGGCTGGATCAGGTGAGGCTGGCCGTGGTGCTGAGGTCGTGGACGGGGACAAGGGTTCAGGTGTATCGTCCATGTTATTGGCTGGTTAATGGACAACAAGGATGCTTGAAAGCAGAGAGAGAGAGAGGGAAACAAAGGCGAAAAAAGAGCGACGTGAGAAAATAAATGATCAAGGGACGACTGATGCAGGTGATATTTTCTACCGATGCCGGTTCAGCTGATTGTTGATAAAAGTGGGAGGTGGATGTTAAGAAAGTGCCAGCGCTGTCGCGTAATGAAGGAATGCGAGCAAGCGTAGGATTCAAAGAACAACGAAAAAAAGAAAGGTGCTGAGAATGAAAATGAAGTGGACGTGTTGAACGATCGAGATGGCAATCAATGCGGCGGTAAAGAAGAGAAAGGGAAAGAAAAGAGAAGGGAAGAGAAGAGAAGAGAAGAGAAGAAAAGAAAAGAGAAGAAAAGAAAAAGAGAAAGTGGAAGAGGAGCAAGGAGGATGTCGTATTTGTGATGATGGTAAGAGGGGTGAAGAAAGTAAGAAGCAAAAGAAGAAAGCGAGGAGATATGGAGGTGTGAAAGCTTGTTTGCCTCCAACCAAAGAGGGTGAAAGTGACTGCTTTAGTAGCCTAAGCCGCTGTCGCCTGACAAGGACGACAAGAGGGCAGGAACGATATACTCGCCCTTTCACCTACACAAGGAATCACAGCAAGAACAGCAACAACCATGGACGGCGCGGCTACATCAAAGTGGGCTCGGGAAGCATCGAGCGACGAAGAAGACAGAAACCAGCGGAAAAAGAAAAAAACAAAGCGCTTCAAACCATCAAAAGACTCACCCGCATTCAGAGAAGGAAGTGGCACACCCTCCTCCATTACAGGACGAATGCCTCGCGACCCTGACACACTGCGTGAAGGACCACGACCACCCTCTGTGGATGACAACATGACGCCCGTTTATTCACAAGAGCCAGAAGACCAGGAGACCTATCGCCACCGTTCACAGACACCAGTCGACACTTACAGAGAGCAAGCGGGAGAGGCAGCGCCAGAATACCACATCGAGGTCCCCGAAACCGAGCAGCACCCGGTCCTGACCCAATGCCGGAGCGTGGAGAACTACGAGAAGCTGAACAGGATATCCGAAGGAACCTATGGAGTTGTCTACCGCGCCAGAGACAGGATCACAGGGGAGATCGTGGCGCTCAAGAAACTGAAGCTGGATCAGGAAAAGAACGGCTTCCCTATCACCAGTTTACGCGAGATTTACACGCTACTCCTGGCCAAACACCCCCACATCGTCAACGTCCGCGAGATTGTTGTGGGTGACACTCTGACACAGTAATGCTTTACGTTGTTACGCTTAGTTGCATACTCGCTGTTACTATGTCAAATTTAAAGGTATCATTGCTTTTTCACTAACCCGTCCTCTTCTCTTTCGCTACTGCATTGTAGAATCTTTATCGTTATGGACTTTATTGAACACGACTTGAAGGAACTGATGAGCGGGATGCGATCACCTTTCCTCCAGTCAGAGGTCAAAACGCTGATGCTTCAACTCTTGTCTGCAACGGAACTTCTTCACGAGAACTGGATTCTTCACCGCGATCTGAAGACATCCAACCTCTTGCTTAACAACAAGGGCGAGATCAAGGTCGCCGATTTTGGACTTGCGAGGCGATACGGAGAGCCACAGGGAGTGTTGACGCAACCTGTCGTTACTCTGTGGTACAGGTATGATTCTGCCATACATGGCGATCAAATAGCAATTGCCCTTGCTATGATGATTATACTGACCCAAGAGATGTATGCTAATCGTGACTTACCTCGACGCACTTAGATCCCCTGAGCTACTCCTGGGTGCCAAGCAGTACACTACAGCTGTCGACATCTGGTCAATAGGATGCATCTTTGCAGAGTTTGTCAACAACGAACCTCTGCTGCCAGCACGCAGTGAGGCAGAACAACTGGAAAAGGTACAAGCATGTCACCTTTCAAATCACCGTCGTCCTTGTAAAGGCATGGACTGGTTATAAAGTAACCACAGACTGATGCTTGTGATCTCTTCTAGATTTTCAAATTGCTAGGCATGCCAAACGACAAGATCTGGCCTGGATTCTCAAAGCTGCCCTTAGCAAGCCATGTTCCCAACTTTGTCCAGCCCTATAACCTTCTTCGCTCCCGACTCCCTTACTTGACGGAAAACGGCCTCGATCTGATGTCAAAGATGCTTACATATGATCCTACTCGACGTATCACAGCTGAGGACGCTCTGAAGCACCCATATTTCTCGTAAGTAATCCTGAAACTGTTTGTTTGTGTATAATTGAATGTGTATGTATTTATTAGAGACTGACATTGTATTCTTCATCCATGGATGAATGATTAGCGAGGCACCCCCACCAAAGCACCCATCCATGTTCCCGACGTGGCCTTCAAAAGGAGAAAAGTAAGTTCAGGTTCAAGTGGTTGACGTTCAGGGTAGTTATCACTATTCACGGGAGAATGAACAATTGAACAATTCACTTATCGAATCTCTACTTCCTCATCGGTGTATTCGACTTCTTTGGGAACTTAGGACTGCAAAGAAGAATGCTTCCCCTTCTGCCCCACAGGCTGTACATGGACATGGACAAGATGAAGAGGAGGCCGGTGGTCTGTTCAATTTTGCAAATCAGGAGTCAACTGGATTCCGTCTCAAAGTCTAGAATGGCACATTCACTGTGCGGAGCAAAATACAAATCTCTATTTTTCAAATATGTGTGTGTTGGGGGTGGGGGTATAAATACAAAGTAAGAGGCGGGACTACAACAGCTGCAAATCATGGATGGCCCAGAGCAACGATGACTGGATAGTCATGGGGAACTTTGTGAGCAGCTGCAAACAAAGAGGTTGCAGGTATTCGGGCCTATGACAGAAGAATACAAAATGTAAAAAAAGAAGGGCAGTTGTTAGTTATCTTAGACATCTTTTTACTTCTTGAAGCAGACCATCTTGACTTTACTCACCTCATCCAAGCTGCCTCGACTTCAGGTTCAGGTTCAGCATCGGCGTCGTCCTCTTGCTCCTCCTGCTCATGCCGCGATGAAGACTCATCATCCTCTTCGTCAATAGTGGTACCAGGCTTGACAGAGTGTGTAGGTTCTGTGGCGAACAGCACACTGCTGACCATAGATGTGCGCTCATCAAGATCATCATATCTGGAGAAGTCGCCTTGGCGGTTGTCGGCAGTTGCGCGGGCTCGGGCATAGGTTTCCTCCTTGTTGCTATCCTCCTTGTCCTTGTCTGAGGTATCTGATTTATTATCATGGCCATTATCCGATCCTGCGTCCGCATCGTCGTCTGCTCCATCATCGCCACGTTGCTCCATGATCTTCTTCCGGGTCTCCTCCAAAAGCTCAGCGAGGCGCTCCTCGATCCGGTCAACAACCTCGAAAGGAGTCAGGGGTGCAATCTTGGTGATCGAATCCAGAAGGAGCTGAACAAATTCGAGATGGTGAGGCCGCTTCAGGGCCAGCTCAAGAACCTGCCAGAAGAACTCCATAACCAGTGTTGAGAGAGCGGGGTAGTCTTGGTGGATATGTGTGACTCCAGCGTCGTCCTGGTTGGGCTTGGATCGAAGGGGTGGCAAGTCCGTCAAGGAGTTGACACCGTACGAGATCATGTTGAGCAATGATCCCGAGGCTCCAGGGTTGCGGAAGGACTCCAACGTGGGGTCTTGGAAGGCGAGTAAAAGTCCCTCTGCGATGTAGTTGACGCCCTGCAGGTACACGTCCCCATCCAGCACGGTCGCAAACTCGCCGAAGAACACGTCGCTGCGAGAGTCGGTATTTTCGTCGATAGCGTCTTTCAACATGAGAACAACCAGCTCGAATGGGGCCCTGACTTTGATGACTTGGTCCAGAAGCCATTGGTATCCGGTCGAGAAGGCAACCTTATAGAATGTGTTGATGGTCTGTGACGTTTTGTCATCCTTGGATGCCTTGTTGTCTTCTGGAAGCACATAGTACTCGCGCGTCCGTAGTGGTTTCTGAGAGTTGTAGGCGGTGTAGTAGTCGACGACCTGGCGAAGGGCCTCGATATTCGAGGCTCTGCATGGATGGAGAGGCAAGGAGGGGGCCCCCTTGAGGAGATAGATCGACTCTTGTCCGCCTGGAGGGAAGATATAGCCGGGTCTCAATTCAGATAACTGAACCTCTGCCATGCGAAGGTCTCGGAACTTTTTGGGCCCATAGAGGTTCCGAGCAATGACCAGCTCGCAGTGGTCTCGAATCTCGACTTTGAGGACGGCAACGCGGCACATCTGCTGAAGCGCGTCCTTGTCGAACCTCAAAATGGCCTGGTCGTCTTCCCGATCCTCTGGTCTCAACGACTTGCTCAGCTTTTCCATCAACTCGGGCTGACTCTACATTGCGAAAAGTTTACCATGGTTCTTACGGTTAGTTCAAACATGTGCTACGAGATAAAGACATTTTTTTTTCAATTGAACCCTTGGAATTGGTCATAGCATGCAGCTGGGTGCAGCAATGAAATGTAAACCTTGCCTGGCACATTTGTGTCACCTCGTCCTGCAGCAATGCGCTCGTCGTGCCTTTGAGAGACAAACGAGTGGCCAAGCCCATCACATCCATCCCACGGCGAAGTCGTGCATCCAAGGAGCTGGTTTGGAAGTCGCGGTCAGAGCACCAAGTTCCAGTATAGAGCAAACGGAGGGCAGACTCGTAGGCATAGAGCTCAGATGCATCGGCACACTGAATTTCGATCCTCTGAGAACCTTGAGCATCCTTGTCGTCGAGTAAGGAGATAGCCTTGTCGCCATGGTCTTTTTTACCAGACAGGAGGGTCCCAAAGAACTCGCTCTCCTTGGCCAAAATACGGGCGTGGAGGTGGAGGTTTTTTTTGAGTGAGCCAGGGACCTGGAGTGTGACGGTGACATCGCTGTAGAGACCCTCCTCGAAGAGAACGCGACTTGCGCTGAGGTGAGCCATTGGGGGTGGTGTAGGCTCGGGGGTCATAACGGGGCTGCTAGCGGCAGAGGAGAAGGTGCTCAGAGCAGAGACTCGCCTGGAGTTTGACCTTGAAGGAGGGAAGGAAGGGAGGAATGAGCTAAACTCCATCATGGGAGAGAGAGTAGGAATGGGGGAGTAGGGAGGTTTGAAGATGATGAAGAGAGAAAACGTTGAGCCGTTCCTGGGCTACTTTTTTTTTGTGTGCGGTTGCTTTGCTTGAAACCTTATTTGAAGGGCAGGATACAAATCACGTGCGGTGATTGCAAGCCACCTTCATTAAGTAGAAGAGAGCGGGAGAGCAGTGAGGTGAGAGTAGGAGAGAACAGAAGGGAGAGAGAGCGAGCGGGGAGGAACAGGTGGGTGTACCTCCAATTCTCTTTCTTTTCTCTCTCTTCTTCTTTCCTCTACTTTTCTCTCAAAAAGAAATCCCCCTTCGTTAACCTTCCTCTCTCGCTTATCACAGTCGCTCTCCCTCACCTTCTTTTGTTCTTGACTCTCTCCTTCCTTCGACCTCATTGCAAACGCTCATTCCCCACCCTGCAAGGACCCAATATTGGAGAGACTATTGGTCATTTTTCCTATTTTTTTTTTTGGCCCCGACTATTTCTCTTTTTCAAGCCAGTTTAGTCAAGCCAAGTCAAGTGTTGTGTGCGTGTGTGTCTGTCTGTCTGCGCCTATTCTCTTCAACCCAGCAACACGACAATAATAACAACAACACCATCATCAACGATATCACAACAACAAAAACACCTCGCCCAACATGATGAAGCAGGCTGTGCCTAGAGCAACAGACTCCCTCGCGACTCCTCCTGGACCCCTCCAAAAGGCCCCTGCTCTTGACATGGCCTCAGTCCCTACCGTCGCTCCCCAGGAGACCCCACGGTCAGACCCTCCCACACGCATCTTTGGCCTCCATGATGCCCCTTGCTACCGTCCCACTGCCAAGGAGTGGATGGAACCTCTCAAGTATATCGAACGCATCCGCCCCGACGCCGAGAAGGCTGGCATCTGCAAGATCATCCCCCCAGAGGGTTGGAAACCCCCTTTTTGTCTGGATACTGAGGTAAAGAAAGGGTCTCTTCACTTTCGTTTCGTTGACTCTTTTTTTTCTTCTTTATCAGATGCTGTCCCGACTTGTTATTTTCTTCTGTGGTTTAGCCTATGCGCATAAGGAACTGTGTTATTTTGTAGTACATGTTGTCTCTATTCCCTCTCCTCTCTCCCTTTCCTTCAATACTAATGAAGTTGTGTGAAAGGTTGTTCGCCGTGGGGATGTCTCTCCTGCCTCTTCTTCTTTTGGCGATACCGATGCATCCTCTGTTTTAAAAACAGTGTGGCAAAGAGAAGAGCACTGGGCGGAGGAGTGAGTACAATTTGTGCAATACCTTACGATATTCATCACGTTCTCCTTTCATATTCCTATTCCTACTCCTATTCACCGGCCACCCCACCCTCCACATTCACAGGTCTTCCGCTTCAAAACTAGGATCCAGCGCCTTAATTCGATGGAGGGCCAGACCAGGACAAACCTCAACTACCTCGATCAGCTCTGCAAGTTTCACCGCCAGCAGGGCCACCCTGTCTTCAAGATCCCCCAGCTCGACAAACGACCCATTGACCTCTTCCAACTCAGAAAGGAAGTTACCTCTCGCGGCGGCTACCAAAAAGTAAGCTAAGAACCAAAAAGGAGGGAAAGGCAAGAAGGACGCTCACAGAGTCTCTCACAGCCAGGATATGTATACGGGATGTGTCTCACACAACAACAAACAACAAGCGACGACAATGCGGGTCAAGACTTGAGCTAGACAGCAAGGGGTGAGGAGGACACCTCCCTTCAGTAGTTCAGATATCTAACCCATACTGCCTCAAATTCTAAACTTGCTAGGTCACCGCCGCTAAGAAATGGGCTGAAATTGGACGAGGACTCAACTACACACGGAAGCAGTGCACCTCAATGTCCAACGCCCTCAAGAACGCCTATCTCAATATCATCATGCCCTACGAGTCCTACCTCGCCAAACACAAACCAACTCTTTCAGCGAATGACAACGCGACTGGCACTACCGTAGGAGTCAAAAGAGAGGCTAGCTCAGATTCAACAATGGAGACAAGTCAAGGATCGTTGGTCACCCCTGCTGCATCCCCGCCCAGCCATCACGATACACCTGCACCCCCAGCACGACGATCAAAGCGTATCAAGAAGGAGCCTACTTCGTATACAGGTAACCATTTGTTCAGGGCGCGTGAGGAAATCAGGACGCGTGAGGAAATCAGGACGCGTGAGGAAATCAGGACGCGACAACATCAAATCCTGAATCGATGCCAAGGTATCCATCTGTCTCCACTCACTCGGCTTTCGTCATTCATCTACAACCTTCTTAGACTCAACACCTACTTCGCCGGCTACATCTCAATCGAACCGCCTCTCAGCTGAGCCAGTGCCCGCTAAGGCTGTGGATGAAGCTGAAGCTAATCCCAAAGCTATCTGCGAACTTTGCCACGAAGGCGGACACTTGGACAGGATGTTGATTTGCGACGGCTGCGAGCGTGGACACCACACCTTCTGTCTCAACCCCCCACTTCAGCATATTCCCAAGACGGATTGGTACTGCGCAAAGTGTCTCATCAACGGCGAGGACTTTGGCTTCGAGGAGGGCGAAGAATACTCTCTGAGCTCTTTCCAACAAAAGTGCAACACCTTCAAGAAGGAATATTTCGAGAAGCAGGGATTTGCTGACGGCAAGGCTCCCGAGGATGCAGTCGAGCGAGAATTCTGGAGACTTGTCGAGAGCACCTTTGAGACTGTGGAGGTGGAGTACGGAGCCGACCTTCATTCCTCACAACACGGCAGGTAAGCTTCGTAAAACGGGAACTGGGAACACTTGGCTATGTAAGAGGAACAGGAAATGAAGCCACGAAGTACCTGAGCCTAATATGCCAACTTTTCTTTACGGGTACAAATAGTGGATTTCCTACGAGCAAGCGTGACCCCAAGAACAAGTACTCGAGCCACCCATCCAACCTCAACAATATTCCCGTCCTTCAAGATTCACTCTTCCGTCACATCAACTCGGATATCTCGGGAATGATGGTCCCATGGCTTTACGTTGGCATGTGCTTCTCGACCTTCTGCTGGCACAACGAGGACCATTATACCTATTCGATCAACTACATGCACTGGGGCGAGACCAAGACTTGGTACGGGATCCCAGCATCGGATGCTCACAAGTTTGAGGAAACCATGAAGCAGTCTGTCCCTGAGCTGTTTGAGCAGCAGCCTGACCTGCTCTTCCAGCTCGTCACTATGCTCTCCCCAGGACGGTTGGTGGCGAACGGCGTCAAGGTTCTTGCGTTGGATCAAAGACCAGGACAAGTCGTTGTCACCTTCCCTCAGGCATACCACGCTGGATTCAACCATGGCGTAAGTTTTTTTGACCTTTTCAGGGAAAGCTTCTTGTTATTATTGTAGAGGGACAAATGTTCAGGTTTGTTTCTAGTACATGAAACTCAACAAATACCTCATACTTCCTGTCTGTTCTCCTTTGTGAATAACAGTTCAACTTTGCGGAGGCGGTGAACTTTGCTCCGCCTGACTGGTGTCACTTTGGAGTCGAATGCGCACAACGCTACAAGGAACATCGGAAGCATCCCGTATTCTCCCACGACGAACTGATTATGACGACGGCGCTGAGAGACACGACCCCCGCGACAGCCCAGTGGTTGCAGGACGAGATGGTCGAGTTGCTTGAGCGGGAGACAACGCAGCGTGCGCATGCCCTGAAACAGTGTCCTTCGATTCGCGTGATCCACGAAGGTGTCGACCGACCAGAGGATGAGGTCCAGTGCCTGCACTGCAACTCTTACATCTACCTGTCACAGATTGGATGTAGCTGCACCAACAAAGTTGTGTGTAGCGACCACATGGACGAGGTAAAGTCAAGTCTTCCCTGCGTCCGTTGACCAGTACTACTTCTATTTCTACTGCTCCAGATTGTTTTTGTTGAAGCACACATATCAAGCGGCGGTGACAGTGTGGGTTCCTGGTGTTTTCGCCTAACTCATCGCCTGTCTCTCCCCCTCTTTTTTGGTATTCCATCTGAACTTTCCCCGCCCCCCTCCCCAACAGCTTTGCAAATGTGCCGAGTCGGAGCACTTCTTGAGATTACGATACTCAGACGACGAGCTTCGTCAAATCTCTGAGAGGGTCCATGCCATTGCTGCTGCTGCCAAAGCATAAGTAAGTTTTAAGCCCCAAACTTTGAGTAGCTGACATGTGGAATTGATATTCTAACAGACGATTCCTTTTTGGCTGGTGCGTTGGATAGACTCCTTTAACTTTTTTGACTATGGCGCACTCTTGAGGCCTTCTTTGTGAAAAAAAAAAAATCGGAAAACAAAGAAACGAGAAAGTATCAACAACAACACTCTGCATAACTCCCTTTCCTACGACAAACTTGACATCTGTACAAAAAACAACTCGCGAAAACACACACATCCCATAACAACATAACATACAAATATATTTTTATTGCTATTTTCAACAGAAAAAAAAAAGCCGTGATGTACGACATTTACTTGACCCAGAGGGTATCGTGCAGATGGTCAATATCGACAGACCCATGGACATGGACCCATTGGTCGACATCCTCTGCCAGTCCAAAATCGTAGTTAAGGACATCGGCGTCGTTTTCAACAAGGAACCTCGCTACGAGACTACCGTCCTGACCATCTACTGTCGCATTCGTAGCAATGTTCTTTTCCTGCTGTGGAGGTAGTAATTGTAGTTGGTCCTGGTGGGTGTTGACGTCCATTTTTAGATCCTTGATTGTCTTCTTCAGTACTGCCGTTTCTGTAGTCGTAGAAGGGTGATGGTGATGATGGTCCACATGTCCGACGAGCCCGGCAACACGATGGTCCAAATCTATGTCCCCTCGATCTCTCGCGATAGCAATACTCTGGTCCAGCGGTCCCGACCCCGCCATCGCTCGCACCGTCGACTGGTTGTAATGGTAGTGGTGCTGTGCATACCGACTGTTCTCTCCAGAATAAACAACCTCCGTCCCAGCATCAACCCCCGAAAGCCCATCACTATACCCGACCATAAACGCACCCGGTGAGGCATCACAGAGACGTCGGAAGACACGGTCGAGAATGGCCACATGTTGGCTGGCGAGACGTCTTGCGGAGAGCTGGCATTGGATTCCGTGAATCTGAGGGTTCCATGGGAGGCGGATGTAATACAGGACTGGGCGCGCCTGTACCGTCGTCGTGGTGTCGGAGAGGGGAGGGGAATTCAGAGCAGGGAGTTGACCCGAGGCAACGAACGAGAGTGGGTAGCTTTGATGTCCAGGTCGATGGCTGTCATCTATGACGATATCGGTATTGTTGCTGGCGTGATGGTCAACAAGAGTGGTATCGAGGATGAAGGCTGCTCCTGCACCCAGGTTGACTTCCAAAGTAGAAGCCCCTGCAGTCAATGAAAGGGGTGCAGACACACTACCACCAGTGCGCTTGCTATTGTTGCCGTTGTTATGGTTTTTGTTGTTCAAGGACGCCAGCCCAGCAATGAGTCGCTTCAGAGTCCGCTGATACGAGTCGAGGTCAAGAAGCTCTGGTGAAGTCAGGGCAAAGCTCATTGTCCCTGCGGTCTATCAAAACAGGAAAATATCCACAGGAAGGAAAAGAGAAAAAGCGTTAACACAACAGTGCTTCTAAAACCTTGCCCTTTTTATGTACGTTTGTCGACATACAAAATAAAAACAGGTCAAGGTCACTTGCATTGACAAAGGGCATGGCCTCGTTCAGGAACCGGTCGGGTCGAGCAATGGGACTAATGTGTAGCATAGTGGTGGTGGTGGTGGTGGTGGAATTATATGTTTGAGTGTGTGTGGGAAGAGCAAGGTAGGAAACAAAAAAAAAGTGTGGAGGTGAAGGAAGGGATTCGTGAGGGTGGTGGGAAAAAAGGAGGAGAGAAAAGGAGGAAGGGTGAAAAGGAGGGGAAAAAAAAGGAAGAGAGGAAACGAGGGGCCAATGCATCTTAGGGTGCTTCATCCAACAAACATGGCTCCTATCATGAGGAACAGCAGTTCATCCGCACAAGAAGAGAAAAACGTGCCGTCGTCTGTCTCTATCTACTTCTGTTCTGCATGAGAATTACTGTACTGAACGCCCAAAGGGGGGTTACGCGCTCATACAGGACACGCAAGTAAGCCACCAGGGAGAAGAAACGACGGATCATTTCAACACGGCGTCGCGGCAGGACACAGGACACAGGACACAGGGACACGTGCACTCAACGCGTTAAAAAGAAAACTATGAAACACGACAAACAATGAAAACAGCGGACACTTGTTATCGAATTAGGTCTGTCGTCTACGCTTGCTACGGCGCTCAGGGGATGCCTTGGCCTGGGCTTGCTTCCCCTCTTTCTCACCATCGAACTCGTCTTCATCATCGTCCACATCTTCGTCATCCTCTACGCCTTCTTCCTCTGCATCATCCTCGCCTTGACTTGACCCCCCCTCCTGACCACCCTGCTCCTCGTCTTCATCCTCTTCCTCCTCTTGGTCCTGCTCCTGGGTGTCTTCGTCCATCAAATCTCCTTCCTTCTGAGGATCCGATACTGTCAAGGGGAAATCCATCTCCAGCCGACACTTCTCCCCCTCGCGCACGTACTCTGCAATCACTGTAATTGTACACGACTTGTCATCTGGCCCTGGGATCCCCCGGAGCTCGCCCTTGTGCCATTTGAGCCATCCTGGCAACCAAGGACTCGTAAAATCAGCCGTAGGACCTGTTATCGTCAAAACATCAAATAAAAGTCATGTGAGTGTCGAGTCGAAAAGTAGCAAAGAAACCTTATCAAAGCAAAAACAGAAGTAAAGTAGGGACAGCCACTTACAAGACATCTGCGCATCCCAGATCCGGGGAGCATAGATGTAGGGGACACCGACACGCGCAAATTTGATGATTTGACCTGCAATCCGACTGGAGTACTCTCGGAACTCCCACTTGCCCTGCGGCGTCGACGTGACTTCGGCTCCATCGACAGTCTTGATCTCAGGTGAACCTGCGCCTGATAGACCAGTTGTCGTTGAGCCAGACGTTGCAGTCACGCTTCCAGTGGTGGATGAGGCAGACAAAGCTGAAGAAGGGTCGGGTCGTTTACGAGCCTCAATGTTCCAGACATGGTTGCCCTTGGACTTTTGCTTCTTGCCGTCCTCATTGAACCGGGAAATATATCGATGTTTCCAGAGATACACCTTCACCTTCCGCAGTGGGAGAATATCCTCTGTCAGTCCCTCGCGGACAAGCGACTCGTGAAAGGCGTTCGTGAAGGCCTGGATACGGAACTTGAAAGGACGAAAGTCGGTCGACGCTTCTAGCCTCTGCATTTTCTTTGCCATCAGCGGTTGATGACTAGAGGATTGGACGTTGAAAAGGTAAATGAAAGGTTGGATGAGATTAGGGCAACTAACTTGAGCAGTACCGATTTGCAAGTGAAATTTGCCGATGACGTGAAAACATACATGGGGTCACCCTTGGAGTCACAGACGTTCACTAGGTGGCAAAGAGTACATCACAATGAACACTGTTAGCGTACTTCGGAATGCAAACGACAAATCCAAATCATATTAGTTCAATGGCAGCATCCACCCCACTTACAGTCGGAGCAAATCCTCTGTAGAAACTTGAAGAACAGCTCGTCCAGTCGTGCGACTACCTCAGGTTCCAGGGGTGCATGAAACTGAGTCCTTGATCCAGTAGCTCCTTCTCCACGACTCGTGTTGCCAGAGGGTGTCTTTGAACCACCTGCGCCAATGTAACTGGTAGACCCGCTTCCAGCACTCCCAATACCTGGACTTTGCAGCGGTGCATTGTAACCCTGTTGTCCTGGTGCTGGCTGTCCTGATAGTGACCATGATGAGGGAGAGTTCATGGATGAGATGTTGGGGGGGTGAATGCTTCCAAGCGTAAGATTTCTAGATGCTGTCCCTGATCCTGACCCTGGGGGCCCCGCTCTCGGCGAAACCATCGCTTTGGATTCTCCGCTATTGATCCTGTGAGGATCCTCATTGTTCAACAGCACTGAGATCTTGCTTTGATGGCTGGCTCCATGCGTCGGTATCACTGGGTACTGCTGAGATGACCGCCGTTGAAGAGATGGCGGTCTGGGATGACGCCTTTCGTCGCCGACAGGATGTGAAGCGGAATGCGAATACGGCGAGTCCCCCTCCTCCATGTGATGGTGCAAACGTGCGTGGGAACCGTCTTGGTCGTGAGTCGGCGCTGGGTGATGTTGGTGGTGGGACTCATACCCACCCTGATACAAATGTTGCGAGCGATGAACCCCAGGTTGAACCGGAGATGGAGATGTAGGTCCTCCTCCTCCTCCTCCTCCTCCTCCTCCTCCTCCTCCTCCTCCTCCTCCTGCCGCCCCTTTGATTTTGGGTGAAACTTGGGCATGCGTCGAATACTGATGATGTCCTGGATGACTGTGTGGGCTAGGATACTGCTGCTGCTGCTGCTGGTTTTGGTGTTGATGATGTTGCTGTAGGTGCTGGGGCTGGTAGTGTTGCTGTTGTTGGTGTTGAGACTGAGGCTGATGCTGGTAATGGTGATTTTCAAACACATGCGGTAATGAGTTTTGGCGCTGGCGTGGGACGGCAGAGTTGGTTGGCTGTGTCATGTTTCCAGTTGAGCCGCGGTGTGGTGGCGTCACAGGAGCCGGCTCCTGCGCTATTACTGGATGGGACATGGGGTATCCTCCACTTGGCCTCTCAGGTCCGCCTGTACTTGGTGGATAAACTGGAGTTGGATGGTGGGTCATTGAGGCGCTCGGACGTTTTCGCCCCATCTGCATATCATTTCCGCCGTGAGGATCAGCGAGATCTGGGTGAAACGGGTGCTGACGCTGCGGTGATGGCTGCATTCGCGGCGAGGTGGCATGCGGATCAGGGTACAGATCAGGTCCTTGGCCTCGGTATGGATGAGGATATCCTGTTGGGGTTCTAGGGCCTGATCCTCCTACCGGCGATGGTTCTGAAAATGTCGTGTGTCGCGTTCCAAGGGTTGACGAATCCGGACCTCTGGAGAGTGACTGAAGGTTGCCGGGTTGGTGGTGGTAGGTTAGAGGGCGAGGATGTGGGAATGTGGCAGCACGGCCGTGTTCTTGGATTCCTTGTGAGGCGGGCTGACGTTGATATCCGGGCGGAATGGGCTCGCTTTGGCTTCCAGATCTCTAATACGCATGGGGTGTCGAGGAATCATATTTCATATTGACACACATTCGTTTTAGTGAGTGGGTGGAAGATATTGCTCGTGTGTCCAAGTGGTTCCCAGAATCGATCGGCGGTGGAGGTGCAGCAAAGATCGCTCTTGCTGTACATATCAAAGAATACCAACGTCGTTGTAGAAAGAAAACAGGAGGAACCTTAAGACGTTCTGTTAACGATAAGAAATAATAATGCAAACCTACCGCATCGTGATGAATGCGCTCCTGTTCAATGGCAAAGATATGGTCTTCGAGCTCCTCTGCCAGGTGCCGGGTCTCCTGTAGGAAGAAAATGGAATCAGAGATGGCTCCTTGCGAGAAACGTAGCCGTGCGGTTGTAGCTGAGGTAACCAATCTTTTGTAGATTGTCAATACAAGGAAGAGTACGACCATACATGAACGGACCAGGCGCAGAAAAGAACAACAACAGAGAGAGAGATGGGCAAAACATAAACCACAATTAATAAACAGAAATACGGGGCTTTTTTTTTCTTCCTTTTCTTCCCTCCTTCGTTGACCCTTTCTTTTCTTGCATATTACTGCTGCTTGGCATCATTCATTTCTCCGAGAGTCAAGGGTAACGCAAAGCGGGGTTGACCAAAATGGAGGATGGGGAGAATGTGCATGCATATCTACTTTGATTTGACTTTGATCCATCTCAACAAGTCAATTACCTCTCAAGCTGGGAGACAAGCCTTTCTTTGTGGGGGTCCATTGTTGACCAGGCTTTGCTCATAGCACACACAGGAACTAGAACAGGGGGACAGAAATTAGAACGAGGGACAACTATTTTGTGTTTTTGTTGGTTTTTTGTTGGTTTTTTGATGGCAGTATGCAGGAAAGGGGAGATGGATGGAAGAGAAGCATTGGGGTTAGGCAACTATAAAACGGTGTCTGAATGTAATATGCAGCTGGACCAAAGGAGGAAAAAGAAGAATACATTGGGAGAGGTGTAACGGGACATTGTTCCTGCAACCATGGTATGGTACAGAATGAAAGAAAAAAATGACGAAGAGTGTCCCCCTCTAGCCGTGCTTATGTGCGCTGAGTGAACGAGTCATTTTTTATCGCGTAGTTGAATGTCGGTTGTGGTGGTAACAGTGGTCGCATCTGTAATTGTTAGTGTTTGTCTCTTTTTTTTTTCTTTGCTGTTGTTGGTCCTCGCCTCCATCTCAATCTGTCGTTCTATCGACTCTTTGACCCAAGGGACAAACAGCACGAATGAATTGGAAAGGGGTCACGGACCAAAGATCGCCCAAGCACAGCATGTTGTTGTCTCCTTTTGTTTTTTGTTTCTTCATTAACTGGCCGATAGACTGATGGATGTATGTACCTTGTATTTGACGCCTCGTGAGATAGTTTTTTTTTTATCGGCAAAGGTTAAAAGCAAAGGGGATTTTCGGTGGCGAGGAAAGGGGAAAGGGGGAGGAAGACAAGATCGGGAGTGGGGTAAGGGAAAGAAAGTTGTGTGAAGGTGGCAAATAAGGTTCTGGCAGCTTGGGATTTCAAGGGTCTTGGTGGGTATTGTTGGTTGTCGCCTGTTCGTTGGTGGTTGGTAGATATAAGAGGGTGAGTGTGATAGCTAGCGTGTAAGAGGATGGTGGTTTTTGAAAGTGACCGGTGTGATAGGGGGGATGAGAGAAAGACAAAAAGAGAGAGAGGAAGGAAAGGGGAGAGAAGATAAAAGGAGAAGAAAAGGAGAAGAAAAAAAAGAAGATAGATAACACGCAAAGGGAGTGAGAGAGAAGGGAATGAAGAGGCAGGCAGGAAAACGGTGTGCAGACGACAGGGAAAAAAAAGAAGAGCAAAGTGAGAAAGAAGTACGAGAAATGAGAACAAGGTACAAAAAAAAAAAGAGAAAGGAAGTACGAAAACGAAAACGAAAGCGCGACGGGTAAAATGAAAACTAAAAAGAAGACAGAGTTCAAAAAGCGTAAAAAAAAATACAGAAAGCAGTTACAGTAGCGACAGGTGGTTGGAATGGTGAGAGAAGGATTTACAGGGGCGAGAGAAGGAAACAGAAGAGGGTAAAGCTAATTCTCTCGTACTTTTTTTTGGAATTGCTTTTAGTTTTGCTGCCCTTGTCGTTGCGATGCTGTTGATGTTGCTATTGTTGTTGTTTGTTTTGCTGGTTTGTTTGTTTTGTTTGTTGGCGGTTTACAGCGATGCAAGGGTGTTTGTGGGCAATGCGTTCCTTTGTTTGTTGTTTGTCGGTTACAAGGTAGAATAAAAGGGAATAAAAAAACGAGGGGATGTTATGATACAGTCGAACGAGGGCGTGTAGAAAAACAAGGGTTCGAGCCGTGGAGGATAGAAATCCCGCCGCGGATGAGGAGTTGGAGATGGATTAGGAGGATTGATAGTCAATTAAAGTGAAGTATGGTACTAGGACGTTAAGAAAGTAAAAAGAGACGAGAATAAAGAAAAGAAAGAAGAAAGAAGAAGTAAGTGTTCGTTGCCCGCCTTTGCCTTGGATGGTTTAGATGAGCATGTGCAAGTCCAGGTGAGAAGAAGAGGGACAAGCTGCTGAGCTGACGATGTGCGTACAAGGGACCGTGTATGTTGAATAGGACGACAGTTTAGGACGGAGCGTCGATGGTAAATGTGTTGTCGACGGTGGTGGAAGGAGCTTCGAAGGTGGTGGAAGGAGCTTCGAAGGTGGTCGAAGGTGGTTGAAAAGAAGTTGAGAGGAGGAAAGTAAGAGAGGGAGAGAGAAGAAGGATGTGTGAAGATAAGAAAAGAGGAAGGAAAAGAGGAGTGAATGAATGAATAAAAGAATGAGTGACTGAATGGATAGATGGATTGGATACGATTGAATGAGAAGAAAATGTTAAAGAAGGGTTAGATTAAAACGACGTTAAGAGAGGAATATAATGAAGGGTAGGTGAGGAGGAGGAAAGATGGACAGATATGAATAAGGAGGTGAAGAGGTGCAACGACGTAAGGAAGCATAAAAGAAAGAAATAGGGAAACGGGAAGTAGTAGAAGAACAGGATGTTCGGAGCAATAACGATTAAAAGTGAAAGAGAGAAAAGTGGGTGAGAATTGAGAGTAAAACAAGAAGGAGGAGGGATGGAGAAGGAATTGAAGTCAAGGAGGGAAGGAAAGGGGAATAGAAAGAAAGAAAGAAAGAAAGAAAGAAAGAAAGAAAGAAAGAAAGAAAGAAAGAAAGAAAGAAAGAAAGAAAAAGGGTATGTACGAATGCGGTGGAGGAAGGAAGGAAGGAAGGGAGCGAAGGTGAGCGAGGAAACAGAAAGTAGGAAGAAGACTGAGGAAAATAAACAAAGGAAAGAAAAAAGTAAGGGAAGGATCAACAGAAAAAAAGAAAGAAAGAAAGAGTGAAGAAAAAGAGAAAGGGGATAGAAGGGAAGGAAACGAGAAGGGAAAAGGGAAAAGGGAAGGGAATGGAAGGGTAGGGAAGAGAAGAAAAGAGTGGAAGAGGAAGAAGAAGAAAGAGAAGAAGGAAGGAAGGGAAATAAAAGCAAACAGCAAAAAGCAAAACGAAAATACAAAGCCAGCATCGACAAATGGTGCATTAGGTGAGTAGGGGAAGGTGGGGGGAGGGGGGGGGTGGAAAAAGGGGGAGGACAAACGAAAAAAGAACGACGACAAATGCAACAACCAGTCAATCAAAAAAAAAAAAAAAAAAAAAAAAAAAAAAAAAGGTACAATAGGAACAACAATAACAACAGTAACTAAGAAGAAAATACAAGGGCGAACTATGTTATGTGATGGTACATGGTCCATCCCATCCCCCAATCGAAAAGGGCATGCAGCATCCAGACAGATGGGGTGCACATAAAATAAAATAAAGAGAGACTGTCGCGAATAAAAATTTGCTCCGCTCCTCTCCCTCTCTTCTCACCCTCTCTTCGTCCACCTCTCATGGCCAGTTGCATTCTCTTTCGTTCATCCATACACGCTGGCGTTACTTTTCACTCTCACTCTGAAGCTTTCATTTCAGGCCGTTTCTCATCCCAATGCCTGTTCGCCGCGCGCTTTCTCCACCCTTTACTCAATGTCTCCCGATCGCTTGCAACCATGGCGGCGGATTCGTTCGTTTTTAAATAAAGAGTCAAATGCGTTCATGCTGGATTGCATATGCGCCGAACAATGGACACCTTAGGCGCCTTCACAATAATGCATCCATGGTGATCGAGGGAGGAACTTTTTTTTTTTTCTTTTCGGGAGTAAATTGACGCACCATCACTCAAATGTCCCTTCATCCGTTTGCCTTCTCTGTCTCTCTCCCTCCTTCTTTTTCTTTCGTCATCTAGGCTTACTCTATTGGTCTTGTGTTTTTTGGAGGGAAAAGAAAGAACTGTTGCTGTGTTGCCCTGCCAACCGATCGTCTCATTGTTTTGTCCCTTTCTCCCTAATCTCTGCCTCGCCTTTTTCTTACTAACCCTAACCCTCGTCACTCCCTCCACTTTTTTGTTGCGTGCATCCTCCTAACAAGCTGTCCAGTTTTGTCAGTGGTGTCTCTTTGGCTCCCTCCAACCAGACACACAGGCACAAACACCGACAGAAGCAGAGACAGAGAAACATTAAAATTGAAGAGACACAAACACAGACTAGGAACAACTTTGTGAGGCAAGCAAACAACTCGATCGTATTTTAAAAAGTACCACCCTTCTTTTTTCCTATTCAATTGAATGAGTAAAGGGAGTAAACAATCATTTAGCTGCACCCTGAACTATGTTCGTTTATCTACTTCAGGCACGAGGAAGTACAACACCAAACAAGAGCAACATCGACATCAAACATCCAACAACATCCAACAGCAAAATATCAGCGGCGAAAATCACAACAAAACTGATGCGATAGATCCGATGTGAAAATGTCTAAGCAGCGGAAATAGGGATGGCGAACAAGGGGAAAGGAAGGGGGAGAGGAAGGGGGAGAGGAGGGAGGAGAGAGCGAGAAGGTGGAGGAGAAAGGAGAAAGGAGAAAGGAAAGGGGGAGTCGGGCGGAGCGCCATACATAATGCTACCGAGAGGGAGAGAACAGAGGAGGAGGGGGTACTTCCGTATCTTTGCTCCTATCAGATCGTATCCTTCTCATCGGAGCACTTGACATCACTTGCCACCACACCCTTTCCTTTCCTTGTAGATTTCCCTCCACTCCATCGAATCATTGTTTCCCGCCCCTTCACTTTTTTTTTCGTCACTCACTTTCCTTTTCTCTATTCCGACGCGTCGGTTTATTTGACTCTTTTTATTGATCACTTCACGACGCGTCCTCTCATTGGCCAAATCTCTCCTGGTCGTCTTTTCTATTTGATTCGGGCGAGCACCAAGAAAATGATCGACGACCCTATCAGCCCGATAGGAAAAAAAAGCTGGTATCCGTCAATTATTATCCGCCGTTTTTCCGATTCAACTCAATTCGACCGCACTAGTCCCGGTTGCTTACCTCCTTTGAACATGTAGAGAGATACATTTGCACTCAGCTGTTCTACGGATGGGCGAGAGTCAGGACAAAGAAAAGGGGTAAGGGATCCAGTGGGGACAGGGATAGACGCAAGAACCAAGCAAACAAGCAAAGCAAAAAGGGTTGAGCTGCCTTGTTTTTGAGGGACAGTGTGGGAGTGGAAAATAAAATCATAGGCGCCAGTGGATTGAACAGAAGGAACAACACATACTCGCACACATATACACAAAGACAACGAGAAAAAAAAAGGACGAATACCAGTTCATTATTTGCTCTTTCATACCTTCCCTGTCTGGTCCACACACCCTCTCCTCCCTCTCAGTTCTTTTTTGCTCTCTTTTTCCTTTTTCTCCACCCAAACAGGTCGTATCTGAGTTTCGAAATGCATACAACAACCAACACACGTCCCCTTCGGACGTTAGTACATATAGAATTCAACGGTCCTTGTTGCCTCTCTGTGTGCATGTTTTTCCCATATGCTCTTGAGAATTGTTTCTTTTCCATGCTGCGTAGTATTCAAATGCAGGTGAAGAGAGAGATGTGACAATGGATGGACATGAGAGGAGAATATGAGATAAACAATGAAGAGTGATGGGACAACCCATCGCTTACGCATCTAGTGCATACGAAGGGAAAGGGGAACAGTTTGCAGACAATTCTTTTTTCCCCTCCTTTGCCTTGACTGTCCCGTTTGTGTTTTTGTTTTTTGTTTTATTGCTTTTCGTTCGGTTAGTGTTTGTTTGTTTTGTGTTTTTTCTCTCTGTTCTCTCGTTTTCCCTTCTCTCAGGTCCGTCTTTGATGGCCCGATTTGGGTCGTTTGCATATGATTCGATGTGTATGTCCCCTCCTTTTTTTTTTCTCCAGTTCGTCTTGGTGCTCTCGCCTGGTTTTTTTTTTCTCTCTCTCTTTGTTTCTTTCGAATCATTCGATTTTTTTCTTTCTATGTTTCTTTCATTACCTCAACGGCAGGACAAGATGGGACGGGACAGGGGCAAGAAACCCTTGGACTTAAACTTGGACCCTCCCTCGCCTGGCCTCACCACCCCCATTGCTCAACAACCCTCTTTGCTCAACCCTCCTTGCTCATCCCTCTTTGCTCATCCCTCTTTTAAAAACCACATTGCGCTAGTAAACATGCACAGCTGCAAGATGGATGGCGTTTTTTTTTTTTTTTTTTTTTTTTTTTTTTTTTTGGGCATCTCTAAACAAACACAAACAACCACCATTACACCCTGATTACGGTTTGCAACTGTGTTCATTCTTTGATCATTGAGGCGTACTGTAGAAGTGAGGTAGGGTAGTCAAGCAGACGGGGCAAAAACCAAAAAGCAATGCCGAAAATTCATGCAAACCTCTCCCCCCCTCTCTCTCTCTCTCCTTAACCCCCACCAAAGCAACGTATGCAGAATGTTAAAATGGACACAATAGGTTGTACATCAGTCAAACAACAGCAAACATCAACAACCATACCTAAAAAAACAAGTTCCCGGTTCATTTTTGGTTGTTGTTGTTGTTATGTGGGTTTTGCTGTTTTTGTTCTACTGTTGAATAGAATAGAGAGGAGAAAAACAAAAACAAAAAACAAGGATGCAGAGAACGCAAGGACCCGTCAAAGCGTACGTGCATTCTCACTCCCTTCTCTAACTCCTCGGACTAACCTCACCAATCGCCCTCACCAATCGCCCTCACCCACTCTCGCCTTCTATCCTTCTGTCTTGCCCTCTCACTCTTTTCTCCCTCTCTTTTTTTTGTCTCCGCTTCTGTCTGGAGGATAGGTAGATAGTTTGTCCTCCGTGAGCAAAGCAAGCACACCAAAAACTAAAACTAAAACAGCTCTCCTTTCCTTGCACTGTACTCTATCGCTATTCTTTCAATTCTGTCCAAATGGCGTAAAAAAAAACACACAGGGATGGAGAGAGAGAGAGCTTTATCCAACTTGCAGTACAACCGGATTATCGGCTGATATTGTTTTACTTTTTTTTATTTGTTTGTTATGCGGGTATTATGATCGCTGCTGATGCTATAGCTGCTGCAGGTACATTGGTTCCTGAAGAGACGGTAGACATCCGCCCATCGCCATCATCGCCTGCTATTGTTGCGGTTGCTACTGCTGTTGTTGCTTTTGGTGATGATGCTGTGACTGCGGCTGTGACTGGAGATGGGTTGGGAGTGGAGAGGGACAAGGCCGCTCCAGGCATCGCAACGTTATGAAACGGGCCAGTCAAGAGTGTGGATACCTGAGACAGTTGGGAAGGCGTGTCGTCAAACGGTCCTGACCAACAACTTTTCGTAGCAGTAGCAGTAGTTCCTATTACCCCAGACCTGGTTTGATGACAGAGGAAGAGGAAGAAGGCATTGTAGTCGATGAGACAGAATTGGAAGGAAAAGAAAATGAAAAAGACAATCCATTGTTTTGAGTGAATGGAATAGTTAAATAAAGGGTCGACATAGACGATCGTCTCCCGCGCCTAATTCTTATGCTACCGTCGTCCAACCAGTACATCTGATTAGAGTGGTGGTGGTGCTACTGTTGTTGTTGGCGGTGGTGATGCTGCTGGTGAAGGTACAACGGACTTGTAAGTGTGAAAGGGTGAGGGGTGTTGGTGTTCGCTTGAATGTAAGCTGAATGTTGTAGTTGTTGATGTTGAGCGTTTTGATACATCTCTGTGAGCATGTGCTGCTGCGAGTATTGTTGTTGGTGTTGTTGTTGGCGTGCATGTACGGATAGGTTTGCATAAAAGTTGGCAATGGTGCCGTTCTGGATAGGTGATGAAGCTGCCGAGGAAGGCAATGAAGGTGAGCCCAATTGTTGTTGCTGTTGTTGCATAACGTTGAAGTGGGTTAGGGAGACAGTGGGATTGTTAGTGGAAGTTGAGACATGTTGTTGTTGTTGTTGTTGTTGCTGTTGTTGTTGTGGATGAAGTAATGCGGGGTTTGCACCATGACTGCCGACTTCTCGTTGCGCCGTTGTTGTTGTCGTTACTATTGCCCCCGCATTTTGTCCGGGGATCCGAGGCGGGAAAGCGGCCTCTAAACTCAACCCGACAGCACTATCACCATTACAGCCTTGGCTCGTTGGTTGGTGAGATACATATTGTGAGCTATTGAGGTCGAGTGAAGGGGATGCCTGAACTAAAGGAGGACGAGGAGGAGGAAGTACACTTGTCGCCGCCGTCGTCCCGTTATAGTTTAGGGCAAGACCGTCGGGAAGTATACCGCCGCCGTCGTTGTTGTTCCTGGTATTGGTACTGTTGCCCAAAGGAGGGACATGATGATGCATGATGGAGAGGGGACCCGTCGTCTCCTGCTGGCGACTGTGATCCGGATGAGCGTTTGACGACATCAACGGATCTATACTTGGAGCACCTGAGACATGTATCCCGTTCGACGGGGCTAGACTCGGCGCGGATGACAACCATGACAACAACGAAGATGCATAATAGAAAGAGATAAAGAAAGAAAACCAAAGAAAGAAAAGAAAGAGAAGAGCAGAAATGCTGATTGCGTGAATTAGATGCGTGGAACGTATTCTTGCTGGCATGAGATGGCTTGAGCGTGGTTTCAAATGCTCATCCGTTTCTTTCACAGTTTACACACATACACGATCCAATCATACAAAAACAAACAAAACAAATACTGACAAAACAAACATGACGGACGAGAGTTTCTTACCGAAAGCAGACCGTGCGTCGGGATAAGGCGGCGAAGGAGAATAGAGTGATGGCGAAGATCCAGAGATGGGCGAGCTGTTAATCCAGGAACCATCCGTCTGTTGCTGCTGTTGCTGCTTTTGCTGATGTTGGAGTTGTTGTTGAAGGAGGAGTGTGCTCGACTGAAAGGCGTTGTGGAGTGCAGTTCCCGGCCGTTTGGAGTGTTGACTGACCTTCAGACTCATCTTGCTCTTGCCGCTCGAGGACTTGCTGATGTTGGACGACCGAGGGTGGTATTTCAATTTTCGCAGCATCGCCGCGTCCTGATCTGCGCTAGAACCCAGTCCAGAAAAGGTGGCCAAGTTCATCAGACGCATCGAGATCTCTCGTCCAAGCGATCCATCTATCCCCCGGATGGTACTACACTTCCCTGGATCGCCACCCAATCCGTCGCTGGTGGCTCCGCCTTCAAAAGCCGTCGTGGCGCTAGCAGCAGCAGCAGCAGTTGTCGTGTCTCGATCAAATGTCGATGATGCCGGTCCAAGCGCCAAGATAGCAGGAGACGAGAGTCGCTTGAGATCCTTTGGCGCGCCAGATCTGCTATGCGACAACTTGCCATCCAACTCCATCACAAGGTTACACAGCTGCTGGTTCTCTGTCCGGACAAGCGCCAAGATCCTGTAGACCTCGTCGAGCTCCTCGGCTTTGCTCTCCAGCCACTTGATGTACTTTTGTTTCCGCTGACGGAACGCTCGTTGTGCCGCTCGGTTTTGCTCCGCTCTCCTGAATGCAATCTCCTCGGGAGACTCAACCATATCTGTCATAGGCGACGACAAAGACAAAGACAAAGGTGAAGAGGATGTGGTGAGTCCTACTGCTGTGGACGACAATGCTGGTGAAGATGCATTAGTGAAGAAAGGGTTGTTGTCCGACAGTTGGGAAATATTGGGTCCTTGCAGAGGTGGCTCTTCATTGGCGCCACTTGTAATCGCGTGTCTTGTAATCGCGTGTCTTGTAATCGCGTGTTGGTGCGAGGAGTTGGCTTTACCGAACTCCGTCACTGTCCTCTGCTGTTGCTGCTGCTGTTGCCGCGATCCGTCTTCCGAGTCTCGTGAGCCAGCTTCATGAGCGATCAACTCACGCTGCGACTGACTCGATGCCGACTGGGGCAACGACGAGCCGTCTGAGGAGCTTGTGGGTTCGGATGGCATCATGTAGATGCTCAAATAGGGCCTGGAATAATCCGTCGATGCCTTCAGCTGTGCGGAAGATGGCGGCAGCCCCGAGTCTGACGACTGAGATGGCTTGGATGGCACCAGGCCCATCATACCCATGCCAAAGCCATGATCCCCTTCAAGGACAACTCGATTGTTGATGGTGTTGTCCTGATGTTGTTGGAGTTGGCGAGTAAAAGCCAGGCGCTGGTGAGAGTCGTATAAAACGTGGCTGGCGTCGTATGGCTCCATTTTAATCATAGAGTACTCTAAAGGGTGTTCGTCTATCAACAAGTCGGTGTCCTTGAACATCACTATTGTACACCAGCGCATACATGACATGTTGGTGAGCGGAGAAAAAAGACGAAGGGTGTGCCATTGACAGAAATGAATGGCGTGTGTATGTTAAAGTAACGACATTGCTGTGTGTGAAGGACACTAGGGCAAGCTTACTTTGAGAATGATCGACAAACATGTTGTGTTGGTTGTCTTGATGTTCTCTGTTAAACGACATGACGCTAAAGCAAGCAAATACGGCCGGGGGGAACAAATGGGGTAATGTCAACACTACACTGTTTACAAGTGTTGCACAATTGAGATCACTGCACAAATAAGCAAAAAATGAGCACTCACTGTATATATCGTTTGTGGAGTGAGAAGGGAGTGGTCGTCCGCGAAGGCAGTCGATGTGTGTAAATGTAAACGTATGTGTATGTTGGTGTTGGCGTTGGTGTTGTTTTGGCGATGTTATGAAAGAAGGTGGAGAGGGAAGCAATGCAGCTAGGACGGTACTATCACTGAAACGCGCAAAATAAAAAAAGTGCCAGAGAAGAAAAATGGGAAGTAAAGGAAAGGATGAAAAAGAAATGGTCAAGGTCAGATAACACGCTCATTCATATGGTTGTTCTTGTTTGAATATCTGATTAAATCCGCTTCCCCATTTTGCCCATTTCCCCCTGTGCCCACGGTTGCATCTGACGCATGCAATAACAAATACGAAGCATGCTCACCAACGAGCGGCGAGATGCAGATACAAAGGAGTTTCGAGAAAATGATAACTATCCCATTGTGGTGGGAGGTTATCGAGAAGCAGACTTTCGCTGATCAAAGCATGCCGACAACGACCTCATTCTCTTCTCTCTCTCCTTCTCTCCCTCTTTCCCTCTCTCCTTGCCAAAGCCCCAATTTTCAACCTTTCTCCTTCTCCTTTTATCAAATAACCCGTTTATGCCTTTGTAAGATCGCCCGCTTTGACGAAACAAAGCGCCTCCTTCGATTGGCATGCTCTTTTCAGTCCATATGCAAAGGCAGCGTGCATGCCCAACAATCCGCAATTGAGCGATTGAGCGGCGCCTTTTTTGTAAAGCAAAGGCAGGATGTGTGTAGGAACAGACAAAAGAAAAGATGCAAGAAAAAGGCGTTCATGTATGACATGTTGAGCATGTAGGGACTCTTTTGCCTATTTGTTGCAATAAAGGAGGCATGAAATCCTAACTTGAAGGGGGCAGTCGGAAAAAATCAAATAAAAAAAAAAAAATGAATGCTCTGAGGAGGAGGAGAGAAAGAAAATGGGAGGGAGGCAGCCGGTGATGACGGAAGTCAAAGGAATAGTATCTGCAAGAGCGATCTCTTTGCGGTATGCGAGTAAGAAAGAAAGTCGAGTGTACGTGATGTGCGAGTATGTCGAGGGTGTCGTGTGTGTTTGTGTATGCTGGTTGTATGGACACTTCGGGGCCATAGTAGAAGGAAGAAGGGAAGGAAAAAAAGGAAGGAAGGAAAGAAGGAAGGAAGAAGAGCTTACATTGAGGGAGGGATGAATGATATTTTTTTGTTGGGCGGAAAAACAAAAAAAGGTGTTCAGGAACGAATAGAAAGAAGAAAACACAAAAAGGTAAAGGCGAGATCGATTTGTTAGAAAAGATGTGTTCAGGAACGAATAGAAAGAAGAAAACAAAAAAAGGCAAAGGCGAGATCGACTTGTTTTATTTCTCAAGTGAGAATGGGCAAGGGCAAGGAAACGAGCAGAGAAGGGGAATTACAAAAGGATCATGGCAAACGCAACTGAACTGCACTTGTTTCTGAATGAGCTTCTTTATTAATCGGGATCAGGTGTGAGATTGAGATGGGAGACAGGGATAGGGTCGTCAGAGAAGAAAGAGAGAAAAGAAAATTGCGATTCACAATGTATGTCGTGCGTGTGTGTGTGTACGTGCGTGTATGGGTGCGTGGGTGTTGGTCTAAAACTAACAACAGAGTGAGAAGAGGGAGTGAGGGATAGACAGTATGAGAGAATACAAGTTTAAAGATAGAGTTTTCGGTAAAGCACGATTCTCCGCCTGGCGAAGCAGTTTTTGTTTGTACTCCCTGTGGCAGTAAAAAAAAAAAAAAAAAGGGAATGGAGAACTAAACGAAAGCGAAGAAACCAAAAAAGGAAGGGAAAAAGGGTAAGGGGGAGAGAGGCAGAAGTAATCTGGAAAGTGGAAATGCAGAAGTGAGATTCGGAGTGAGGGAGAGAGAGAGTAGGCACGATTGTAAAATGGCCATATAGAAACAGTTGAAAAAAAGGAGAAAACAGAAGAAGAGGAGAATGAGGGATGAAAGAATGAATAAAATACAAAAACGGATAATATGGACGTCGCTATCGGCTGCCTCACTACATGTGTGTCCTGGTAGGGGGGGATGTGGGTGTAAAACAGGGCCAATTTGAGTCAAGGAGACAAAGTAAACGCGTAAGGTCCCATCTCCCCCTTTATTGAAAAAAGTCGTCCTCCCCTCCCTTCGAATGAGATGACGAACGACATGATTAGTGTTGTTTTTCGCGACAATGAGATCACACCCGAACATCAAAGCAGCTGTCGGGTCCGCACTATTGCACTAGTGGAGAAAGGGGAGAGTACGCTTGAAAGTCTTCTGTATGGTTATCTTGGATTATTGATATCTCCTGCAGATCGTGATGAGATCTCAAAAGGGCAATAAGTCAATCATAGCTAAGAAACACCAGAGAGGGTGCGACAGTGACAAGGTGGTCAGTATCTTTGCGACGTTCGTTATTGTACGAAACGCAGGAGAATGCGGTCGTCAAATTTTCCGCGCTTGGAGTTCCTGAAGCGACATGCACGCGAAAGATGAAAAATAATAATGTGGCCCATTTTATTTCTGCGATTCGATGGCATCGATTACTCTCGTCCCTACTCAAAATCCAGGTCGACTCACTTTCAAGAAGAGTCCTGACGCCGCCAGGAATTCCTTGAGCGCTAGCAAAATGTCGGACTAAAATACTGGTTCTGGACTTTTTCACGGGATCAACCTTCTCCTGGAGACCAAAACGCGCAAAGATTCAAGGTGAATTTATGAACACTGTCAGAAAGTAAAAAAAAAAACGATAACCGGAAGCACAGGTCCAAGAACCATCAGCTAGATCATACAACCGTGGTCAAAAACGAGAACAGTGCAAAACAAAAGAAGAGTTCCCAATCCGGGGTTCGAACCCGGGCCGCCTCGGTGAAAGCGAGGAATCCTGACCACTGGACCAATTAGGATGTTCTCGAGTGTTTGGTTTCATTTTCTAGATCGTTATATTTTCACGCATATGACGTAATAGTATTTAAAGATGCAAATGCTGCGTCACGTTTCGCCCCCTTCAGGTACATGCATGGTTTAGTTGAGCTTGTTCATCAACGACATCTCTCTCACTGAAACTTCCTAATTATAATATAATGCTGGGACTTTATACACGGGCTTTGACCAACTATCCAATAACCACTCAGGCTGTCTCCACTGGTAAAGGTGTGAATGAGGTCTAGACCGCAACTTTCTTGAATGAGCGCGTCAACATAAGGTCGTTATCTTCGTCGTATTTTTTTTTCAGGCACCAAATAACTCCGCCTCCTTTTTCCTATCTCCTTTCTCTATCGCTTCCCACATTTCAGGAACGCTGTTCGGCACTGGCGACCTGATAGCCCAATTCTTCATTGACAATAAGCCATCGACACAAGGCTGGGACAAAGCCAGGACGGCACGAATGGTAGTCTTTGGCGCCGGGTTTGCAGGACCTGTTCTTCACCATTGGTACAAGTTCCTTGATAAGAATATCCGACTTGCTACTCCTGTCCAATCCTTGATCGGTCGCGTCGCTGTTGACCAGATCTTTTTCGCACCTTGTTTCATCGCCACTTTCTTCGTGGGTCAGGGTCTTTTGGCGGGTGAAAGTCGGGAGACTATTCAAGCGCGTTTGAGCAAGGTAAAAAAAATAAATTCGCCGCATCCAATGTCATGCAACCTCGGACGAACTTGTTTTTTTTTTTTTGTTGCACCAGCTTGTGATTTCCGCAATCATTTGTAGTCTACACTCTTATGTTGAAAAACACAACCGGCTACATTTGTTTCTCGCCTTCCTCTTTGTTAGGGATACCCTGGAGCACTGAAGAGCAACTACATGGTCTGGCCTGCAGTCCAGTTAGCCAATTTTTGGTTAGTGCCTCTGCAGCATCGCCTAATGGTTGTGAACACTTTTGCACTGGGTAGGCGATCTATTCTTGCATCTCATTCTCTCCATGAAATTGAATTCGATACCCTGCAAGATGACATCTCTAACCACCTTGCCTTTTTCATTTCCGGTCGCAACACTCGTAGGCTGGAACACCTATCTATCTCATGTCAACCAAACATCTCGCTCCGCAGTCGAGCAATCAAAAGAATAAAAGAAAATCCATGGCGATCCCTTCTTTTTTTTTTGTGTGAATGAATGTGGTTTAATATGTACTAGGTGAACGATTTGCATTCGCACTTTCTCTACGGATGTTAATAATGTTTTCATGAAAAAAAATGACAATCTCTCTTTCTCCTCCTATGGTGTAGTCTACATTTAGTAGTGGTGGAACTCCTCGGGCTCACGTCCGCGGGCGGTGGGGACACCGGAGCCCTTCTGGTAGATCTGGGTCCAGAACTCGGAAATATCGGGCTCGCCAGAGGCCTTGGCCTCCTCAACAGCCTGGTCAACCTCGACACGGGCAGCCTTGTCAATGGCCTTCATCTCATCCTCGGTAATAATGTTGAACTCCAAGAGGCGCTGCTTCAAGCCGGTGATGGGGTCGTTGTTGGAGCGCATGTGCTGAATCTCCTCACGAGTACGGTAAGTGGTACCGGGGTCGGACATGGAGTGACCACCATAGCGGTAGGTCTCCATCTCGAGCAACAGGGGTCCCTTTCCGGAGACGGTCCACTCCTTGGCGTAGGCAACTGCCTGGTGAACTGCCAAGACATCCATGCCGTTAACCTATTCATTGATGAAAAAAATTGAGAGGATATAGGAGACAGGGTCAGACAAGAGTGACCAAGTGAAGGCGAAGCAACTTTTGGAGATCAACAATCGGTACTATCGTTCGCTGATTGCTTATAGAATGAAAACACGTGTTCATACCCTCAAACCAGGGATGTAGTCACCACGCTTGAAGTAGCTGGTGTTGGCAGAGGAGCGGTTGGCAGCAGTTCCCATTCCGTAGCGGTTGTTCTCGCAGACAAAGACGGCGGGGAGCTCCCAGAGCTTGGCCATGTTGTAGGCCTCGAAGACCTGACCCTGGTTGGAGGCACCATCACCGTAAAGGGAGAAGGTGGCGGCCTTGTGGCCCTTGTACTTCTGGGCAAAGGCAATACCGGCACCCAAGGGGACCTGGGCACCGACGATACCGTTACCACCAAAGAAGTTGGGGGTGAACATGTGCATGGAGCCTCCCTTTCCGCCAGAGATACCGGCCTTACGTCCGAGAAGCTCAGCGAGGATGGAGGTGATGGAAGCACCACGCATGTAGGTGAAACCGTGGCAGCGGTAGGCGGTGATGATGTTGTCCTCGGCAGTCAAAGCGGTCTCCATACCGACAGCAACGGCTTCCTGTTGACATTATGCGTATAGATCAATAGCAAGTGAATTGGTATGAATGGGTTAGTGGGTGATCTTTGTCCATTTTTCCCATAAGATCGCATCGATATGGACGGGGAAAGAAAAAAATAATACATAATTCGGACAACGGAATATTCCGTTTGGGTAGCTCCACGACTCTTTTTCGTGCCAAATAATAAAATTGAGTTTTGTTGGGATCACCTTTCTCCCTTTCTCTCAGTGGCTGCAAGTTCTGAGCACTGGGCAACACCTACACACACACACACACACACCACGCATCATGCAACGCGCACCTCGCACACGCCGAACTACAGATCCGTCTGTCCCTGGAAGGAGGTGATCAACTGGCTTCTTTAGTTACCATGCTGCACTACTCCAGTATACCTCTCTTAATCAATGATAGTCCACTTGATGATGCTGGCTGAAGGAGATAGACAGAAAAGGGGAAGTAAAAGAAATGAAAAGGAAAAACACCTTCGGAAGAGGCGAAAGCGGTAGGCTGCTAATCGCCGAGTCCTCTCGGGATCATACCATCATTGAATGAATCCCTCCCAAGTCCTTGGCACCCCTTATTATCCTTGCCTCTTGTCCTTCTGTCCTGTTAACATCCATTTAGACTCCAGTCTTCACACACCCTATTGTCAAGACACGTAAGATCCTGATAAACGAGAAAGAAACAAACATCATCCCTTTTCCGCCTTCATTGCCAATATACTCCCTCTTTCCCTCTTTCTCTTCTCGTGGATGTTAGCATGTTGTGATTATTTACCTGACCAGTGCACAAGTGGCAGAAACCGCGGATGAGCTTGGCCTTGTACAAACCGTCGGAAGCCATCTCCATGCGTCTCATGGTGACCATGCTCTTGTACATCCTAACGAGCTCGTCCTTGGAGATCTCGACATCGAGAGAGGGGGCATCGCAGTTGTAGGACTCGAACGAGCCCTTGTGGAGGTTGATGCTGACGTTACGGGCGGCAGACGAAGCAAAAGTGCGGACGGTCTAATCGAGAGCCAAGATAAAAGCAAGGTGGACAGGGAAAACGTACAACAGGAGAATGGTCGATGTCAATAATCGTGTGCTCAATATTTGGTGGGTCGTGAGAAAAATGAACCCCACCACCATAGATAAATAGATCTCGTCTTTTCCTTTTCCTGGCGTTTGTTGAAGATACTCATCCACATGTAACGTTTAAAGCCTTATCGCCCTGTCCCCATTAGATAGGGATGGCTTTGCGCCCTCTTTTTTTTTTTTTTTTTTTTGCTGTTGCCATGGTTCCCTTTCAGACCAGTGATAGCTTCCTGCGTGTCCCCTAGATGATTGAGAATGACTGACGAACAGGCGGGCCTCTTTTGTTTTTGTTTTGGTCGGTCCTGTCTTTTTTTTCGCCTCCGACAAGATAAAATATTATCTCTTATCATAAGTATTTTTTCGCACTCTCAGACTGAGCTTGGTGTCGTTCAAAGGAAACGGGTTGGCGGTGAGCACGTCTTTCCCGACGGCTCGCGAAAGGCGTTGTTATTGCGGTTGTTGTGTTCCATAGTGTCGAATGTCCTTTGTTTCGTCCACGTTGGCGAAATATTTTTTTTCTACTTTTCTGATCAGTTGGGGGTGGAGGTGTATGTTTTGTGAAAGGTAGAGTTTGGCGTCATGGAGAGCAAAAAAATAAAATGTGGACCGGGAGATAGGGAACGTCGGGAAGGAAGGAAAGAGGAAGGGAGGAGGAGGAGGAGGAGGGTGTTATTACCAAGGGAGTGATGAAGGCCTTGGCGGCGACCTTGGCGAGGCTGATCTTTTGGGTGGAGAACATGGTGATGTGAAACAGAGGAGGAGGGATGGAGAGAAGAGAGGAGAGAAGAGAATCAGAAGAGGAACTTGAGGAAGAAAAAAGAAAAAGGAGGGAGGGAGAGTGGGGGGACGAGAAAAATTATTTTTTGGGGGAGGGAAAGACTGGCACAATCGACGTGCAGTGATGTAGTGGGAAGGAACTGACGATTTGATTTTTGTTTGCCGCTCGCTTGTCTTCAGAGCGGGCAGATTCAAATCAAAAGGAGCAGAAAAACGCTCTTGATAAGATTGAGTGAGAGGCGACATTATGGTTTTGGCGGATGTGGAGGAGGAGGAAATCGCCTTGGAGCCTTCCCTCCTTCTCTTTGCTGTTCTCACACAACACAGGACTTTCCCAACTCAGCTCATTTTATCGCCATTTTTTTTTTCCTGATTCACACCCACACACATATCACACATAACACACCTGTCGAAAATGCATGGCCGCCATTGCAATTATTGTCGTAAAACAAAACAACATGACACAAGGGCACGTTTGAACAAACATAGCAGGACATAGGCATGAGGAACAAAACAAGGGTTCGTGAGCGAACAAGATGTAGGAAGACATAGGATTACGAGCGAGACACACGAACAAGGGAAAATGCGGGCGGGCATTGGAGATTGACGTCTGGCCCTGAAATCGACTTCGCACACAAACACACACAAAAAAAGTGGGCCGTTGACATCCTTCTATCCTTATCCCACAATCAACTTTACGTGGATGAACTTTGTCCGGCATTTTTCCTTTCCTTGCGTCCTTTTTACGTTCGTGTCGAGCCAACCCTCGTGTACGAATCTTTGATCCTTCCTTTTGCTCTTCCTGCTTCTCCCGCTGCCCGTTCCTTCCCTACCCCTCTTTTCTCTCTCCCTCCCACTCAGCCTTGAAACTTAGCGGACGCACATTCTCAACCTGTTCCTATCTTCTCCACAAAGGTATGTTCAATAAACATTGGTCGGTTGTATCGGTTGTTGTAGCGTGAGCCGTGTCCACCCAGCGGTACTGGTCTGCCTCCTACTCAGGCGCGAGTGATCCTCCCAAGTCAATTTGGTGGCGTCAAAAATAGACTTAGGGTGATGATGAACTGGTCAATCGCTACTGTCTTCCTAACACTTACCATACAACCACATACATCATGTAAACATGCCGGTGTGAGTCCACAACTCAGTTTGTTTTTATCGATTTGCTCAAGGACTCCAAGCTGCTTTGTCGAAGAGATGTCGTCACTCCTTTCACAACTTCCCTTCTCTCATACATCGACACCATTACTTTCTTCAAACAATCAATTACATTGTTAATTCTTACAATTTTAAACATGTAAACATGAGCAGGTGTTTTTAACAAAGTCTATTGGCTATGGTCCTTGAAGATTGCCTTGTGATACGTCCTCCGCCTCATCGTCATCTTCACTCGTGTCGGTTGCAAAGTCGCTCGACTTGAGCGCATGAAGAACCCGCCGGGTCGCCTGTTTCTCTCGTTGAGAAGCGCTCGCCGCCGAAGCCTCGTCGACCGGCCACGGAGAAGGTGGAGCGGATGTTACTGAAGACGACGAAGACATCGAAGGAGACATCAAGATCGCTGACCCTTGCTGTTGGTGGTTGTGTTGTTGTGGTTGTTGTTGGTGATAGCTGCTGAAGTGTTGATGTGGGTGATGAGACATATCTGTGATCGAGAAAGCAAAGTTTAGCATTTGCTCCGCAAGATCGTGGTTGTGCTGCTGTGTCTCTAATTCCTGCTGGCGCTGAGCCCGTTGTTCGACCGACAAGTTCTCCAATGGCTCCTGTGAGTGTGTAGAGTGACCTGACGATGGCGGTGCTGTGGACGTTTGAGGGATTGCGCTGGCGGCGAAGGAGTGGTGGGAAGAAAGATGCCCTGAGGGGTCCGACAGAGCATGTGCTAGTGCCGACTGGCCGTGGTGGTGATGATATTGCTGCAGGAATGGAAACTGTGCTGAAAGGGCTGCGATAGCCGCTTGCTGAGCAGCGTTATTGATGATAATCTCCTGTTGTTGGATGACTGCCTCATTGGAAGCCTCCTTCGACAACGCTCCAGACGGCGACTTGGAGGAGGACTCCTCGGCTCCTCCGCTTGGCGATGCAGCCCTTTTGCTCGAGCTGCCAGGTCCACCCCTTCGATGCATGATACGCCGCTCAACATCCTTCATCATGAACACAATCACCTGCTGTAGGGTCATATCACGATAGCCCTCAATCTTGCAACGAGAGGACATGAACGTCCGTGCACATTGGTTGGCGGCAGGGACTCTCTGCAAACTCGCCACTGCTTCAGCTTGTGCCGCAGAGACTGCTGCTGCCATGGCTGCCGATGCTGCTGCTGCAGCTGCTGCAGTACTGTCGCCGTCTTGGAGATGTCGTTGTTTCTTAGAGTCGAGTTGGTCGTGCGTCTGAATGATCTTGGCCAATTGGATCGCATTAGCCTCCTCCACTCTGTCTCTGAGTCGCTGAGCGATGTTGGACCAATCGATATCAGTATGGTCGGTATAGCCATCCTCTTGAATGATCCTGAGTGTATCCAATTGCTGCTGGAGTCCGGAGCGGCGTCGAATCGGACCTTTGGGAGCCTTGGGAACAATCGTGGGGAGTGGAAGTGAGGCGGCTGCTGCAATGGCGGCTGCTGTGAAGGGGTCGTGAGATCCAGGAGAAATGTTATGGTGGGCATCCTGGCCGTGCAGATGGCTTGAGTTTTGTATATCGTTTGCCACGGCTTGTGACCAAAGCATATGGTCGTTATCGGAATCGGGAAGGACACCTTGAAGCGCCGCCGCAAGTATTAGAACATCCTGCTCGGTTGTAGTCTTGCCTCGTTCGTGACCGGAACTGATGCCATGGTTGGGGCTGAGGCCAGGGTTAGGGCTAAGTCCGAGGCCCAGGTGGTTATTGTGAGCTTGAAGATGTTGCTGTTGAGATGCTTGCTTGGAGGACGACGATGACGATGCGCTCGCAGCGACGGCTGCGTTAGCCGCAACGGCAGCGGCAGCGGCAGCAGCAGCAGAACTCGGCGCTGTCCATTCTCCGCGCTCGAGGCGAGGCTGGAGAGTTTGTGAATACCGGTGCCGACATTGGTGGCGTGTCCTGGTTCCGTGCATTCTTTCCGAGATCAGAGTCCACATTGGACTGGAATCCAGGATGTTGATTTTACCCTGCTGAAGTGCCAGATCCTGCATGATTGTCAAGAGCTGCTCGTCCTCGTGTGGCTGCCAAGGTCCCGTCAGCATGGTGCTCTGGTCCTTGAGATGGTTGCGGTATCGGTCACGACAGCTGTCAGCCATGCGTCCGAGCTCTGTTCCGATGGTCGTCCATTGGCCCTTGTGCAGCGCGTGGAGCATGATAAGCTTTTGGTCGTCGTCTTTGCTCCAGATGCCGATGTTGTTCTGGGGATGGAACATTCGGCGCACGTGCAGGTAAATGTTGAGCAGAGGTCGGTTTTGGAGACGAACGGCTATGAGTGAATGTCAAAATGAAGACACATATGTTAGTTCAAGACATTTGAAGTCATTGTGCAGCATGAACCCCTGGATCCAAAAGGCATTGTCGTGTCATGTCGTACCAATTTCGACCCACAGGGCTTTCAGGTCGTTCTTTTCAAACCGACCACGCCCGTTTCCGTTCTCGAACCAGCGCTGGATGGCATCCTCTGGCATGTTGTTGCGCTCAACGTAACCCTTGATGGTCTCTCGAATGAGTTCGTCCTCGTGTGAGCTAAATGTTCCTGTTTTGTAGCTGATGCCTATAATCATCAATCAAATTGAAAGGGTGCATGGTCAGTAAGAATCCGATAGATACTCTCGAATCTCCACTATTCAGCGTCGTATGCAAATAAAAACGTACCCTTGTCCTTGAGAGCAGTCGCCATAAGCCACTTGGTGTGCAGAGGGTTGTCACTGGTCACTGTTGCAATATCGTTCTTCACCTGGTCCTGAATATCAAGACCGGGTGCATTGGACTCATTCATGGCAGGTGATCCGGTGCTTGCTCGTGCTGCCTTTCCTTTCTTCTTGCCCTTGCCCGGATTCTCGACTGGCGGAACGCTGACGTTATTGGTGTTGGGTAGAGGCGAACTGGGATGACTTGTTTGAGGCGTGTGAACGGAGTGTGGCTTAAGAGTCACCAGGATAGAGGGATCGCTTTCCAGGTTCATTAGCACTCTTCTGGCATCCTCAATTGCCGCGTTTTGTGCAGATTCGGAGTCATTCTCCCGTCGTCTTTGCTCATCAGTACTGTTCCTCTCCTGCCCCAGGGTTCCCTTCAGACTTTCTTCTAGCAGCAGATGCATGTTGGGGATACTGCTCATCGTATCCAAAAGTTGGTGGTGTGTGAGTCGGTTTGGTGATGAATCCAATGGGATCTGTTGTTGGAGTTGGTGCTGCATGTTCAAAACATCGTCGTTGACTCTCCCTGTCGCGTCTTGTTGAGAAGCGCTACTGTTGTGTTGAGTTGAATGGGTTGACAGGGCCGAGTGGGACTCTGAGTGTTGCGTGTGGCTCATTCCATGTCCACCGTCTCCAGCGCCTGCCAGGATACCGACCATAGTGCTCAGTACTGCGTCCGCTGCTTGTACTTCGGATGAGGTAGGTGTCCGGCTGGGTTGATTGCCAGTACTATGTGCTGGCAGCCCCTGATCTCTCCGAGTATCTGTTGGGAGGGTCCGAGTAGCATGTCCGTGGGGTCTTGTGCCGGCTTGTGGCGCACCTCCGGCGGTCAGTTCCTGTGCACCGAATTCGTTAAGTCCATGGTCATAGGTGGTAGCGGCAGAGACAAGGGCCCTTTTGAAGCCAGCGGTTGATTCCTCCTCGGTGTTTTTTCGTTTCCTAGTAGCTTCGGACTGATTTTCCATGATATAACCTCAAGTTCCGAGAGGCGAGGCCGTAAAAAAGCAGTGGGGTTGTGTGCTGGTTGTTGTTGGTTGGTGAAAGAATAGCGTGTCAGTCGGTGAATGACTCTGTAGCTGCGATTGACCTATTGTGGCAGTGAACATGATCGTGTTAGCTTCCTGCTTGTCTTGTTTTACTTCTTGCTCTCACGGCAAGGCCTTAATGGTCGCATTTTCCGTTATTTTTTTTGGTGGGGAAAGGTATAAAAAACCCCACTGTCCGCTGCGGACTTTAAGGCACTGAGAAAAAAAAAATCAACGAAAACAAAACAAACGAGTTGGCTTGTTTACTGGCAGCATGTTGTCGAGTTTTCTTGTTTGTTGATGAGGTTATGGCCGATGGAAGGCGATAACCATGCACGGGTTCGTTGTTCATCAGGCCTCTCCTTTAACTTACCACTTTTTTTTTTTGGAGAGGGGAAAGGTATTAAGGGTTTTGGGTAAAGAAGCAAGGCCGCTTGCCGAGAAGAGGAAAAAAAAAAGGTCAAGGTCGTGAAGAGCCAAGGTCACGGTTAAGGGGTTCCTTGACGGAGTTTGATCCAGTGATCAGATACTTAAGTCGATTCGGTGCTGGTACACTTTGAATTCCTCCTCTTCAATTTTTTTCGGTATGCAGTATATACTATGGTCGTCGCACATATCCTGCCATCCATCCGACATCGCCAACCATCCGTCAATGCATCGAGCCATCCCTCACCGATACAGGACATCCCGTTCGGCATCTTTTACACCGCCAATCGCCTCAATTTATCCATGGATGGTTTTGACTCGCGACCGAAACTTTTCTCAATCTGAACGATCGACTTTTTTTCTTCATCTGCACAAGCCATGGAGTGATCATCAAGATCACTGCCGGGCAATTTTGCAGTTGGAGATTTGGGGCAGTGGCGATATCAGTTGCAGGGACTCGCATCATACGCAGCACGACATCAGCGATCGACTGCAGACGTTGACAGGATCAGACTTTCACCGCCGAAACGCGATCAGCGGCTAATACTCGTGTGTATATCATCAACTCATGGACTCTCATAGAAATGGCCACCCTTGCACTTCCTGCCGGTATTGAGACCGATGGCGCTATCCGCCTCTTCAACAAGTGGTCCTACGACGATGTCGAGGTCAAGGATATCTCGTTGATCGATTACATCCAGGTCAAGGCCCCCGTCTACTTGCCCCACACCGCTGGTCGCTTCGCCTCCAAGCGTTTCCGCAAGGCCCAGTGCCCCATCGTTGAGCGTCTTACCAACTCCTTGATGATGCACGGACGCAACAACGGAAAGAAGCTCATGGCTGTCCGTATCGTCAAGCACGCTTTCGAGATCATCCACTTGCTCTCTGACCAGAACCCCATCCAGGTCCTCGTTGATGCCATCATCAACACCGGTCCCCGTGAGGATTCCACCCGTATTGGTTCCGCCGGTACCGTCCGTCGCCAGGCCGTCGATGTCTCCCCCCTCCGCCGTGTCAACCAGGCTGTCTCCCTCTTGACCATCGGAGTAAGTTTTTTATTATTAATTGGGCGCCGATTTTTACGGGAAACAGCAGGAACGCCTTTCGACACTTTGAAATGAGCATTGTAGCAACGCGGCATGGTATCTTTTTTTATCTTATCGTCCTCAACCCGCGATCTGAAAGAAAAGTTATTGATGACCCGTATCGCTCACCTTGGTCAAATCTTTGACTGTCGACTTGCAAACAAACTGCTGTTGGCCCAATGCATGAACTGTTGTAACAACAACACGAATTCATTTATTAAAGCCCAGAGTAAGAGGTCTCGCCCCTTACAGTTACTAACATTTCATCCCATCTCCATCCTTAACCCCTCTTAGACCCGTGAGTCTGCTTTCCGCAACGTCAAGTCCATTGCTGAGTGCCTCGCTGATGAGCTCATCAACGCCGCCAAGGGCTCCTCCAACTCCTACGCCATCAAGAAGAAGGATGAGCTCGGTAAGACCACCGTGACTTCATGTCATCCGTCCATGCATGCATAGAACTTTTTTTTTCCCTTCAAGAATCGTTTCTAACTTGTTTTTTCTTTCTTTTTCTTTTTAGAGCGTGTTGCCAAGAGCAACAGGTAAAGGATTCAACCCCTGTCGGAACGCCTTCATTCTTTTCACCGTTGGGTCGTTCTATTTGGATCAGCTCAGTTACATTTTTGAATGAAATAAAAACGCTGATATGGCACGTCCTATCTAGTCAGTCAGTAAATTTTGAACTGCCAATTTTTGGTCAGCACAGTTACAGTAAACAAATGCCGAATGGGGGTGAGTGAAATGGTCACCATCAACTCTGCCTACCAAGGTGTACGTCGAGTCAGGCCGAGGAAAGCATCCCAAGACCAAGAAACCTGATGGCGGAGTACGACCTTCACAATGTATTGCGAGACTGGATCATCAAGACCAAGAACGGTACGGGAGAAATCCAACAAAACTTCGATACACCATATCAACAAGAATGTCCTTCCTGGCCTCGACGTCGATAGGAAGATCGCATTGACGACAGCGCGACGTTGGCTCCATGCTCTTGGGTGATTACGTTTGGAGGTCGACAAGGACTTTATTACGACAGCCACGAGGGAAAGGATGTTCTGGAATACAGGACCGAGTTTCTTAGGAGGATAGAGGAGTACGAGAGCCGGATGATTCGAGGCGACCAGGACAACTAGGAAGGCGTCTTTTACCCTGATCTGAATGATGGCGAGCATACCTCGTGCTATATATTCACGACGAGTGCATTCTCCATTGCAACGATGGACAAAGAGTGATCTGGCATCCGGATGACTGTCTTCCTCTCCGGAAGAAAGGGCAGGGTGGATCAATCATAGTCAGTGAGTACTTGTTGGAGATCGATGGTCCTTTGTCCAATGTCGATGAGAACAACAATATCACGAGGGCTCGGTTGACTATTTTGCCAGGCAAGGATCGAGACGGATATTGGAGAGCAGGGGATGTTGCGGCGCAGTTCGAGAAGGCCATTGCTATGCACAAGCGCAAACATCCGAACAAGGATGGACTCTGGGCATTCGACAACTCATCCAACCACAACAGCTACGCCCATGACGCCCTTTTTGTCAGCAAGATGAATCTTCACCCAGATGGAAAACAAGGACGGCTCAGAGATACAGTGGTGGATGGGAGGTTGCAACAGATGAACTTTCCCAACGATTATCCCGACCCGACCTTGACAGGAAAACCAAAAGGAATGGCACAAGTGTTGAGGGAGAGAGGTCTTTAGCGAGAGGGATTACTCAAGAAGTGTAGACACTGTACTACTGGAGAGGTGGTGGAGAGGGATCCTGTCAGGACGGAGGAGCTTCAGCCTGACTTTAGGGCACAGTGATCGCGTCTGGCCAGCACATTACTTTTTATCGCAAGTTTCATTGCGAATTGAATTTTATCGAGATGTACTGGGAAGCAGCAAGCAATACACACGCAACAACTGTGACTACACCTGGGGTGGATTGCAGTGGACAGTTCCTCGTACTCTGGAGTCAGTGGAGGTTGTGGCCATTCGGAGGTTTGCGAGGAAGGCGTTTCGATACATGGATACATACAGGAAGAGCTTGACGATGGAGCATGCCACATTTGCTATCAAGAAATATCGGTCACATTGTCAATAGTATTTTTTTTTTCGGCCCTGAACAGATAGGCCGCGCCATAGCAAAGCTAATTGGTATGGCATCAGAAGGCTGAAACCAATGGCATACAGAAGCAACTCTATCGGATTGAGCCTATGACTGAGAACAAGCAGCCTTTTGGAGTAATCCATGGGACGGATCTACAAAGACTTACCTTTATTACTGGCATTCGCGACTGGTCCATTAATTCGACCACTAGAACAGGTATTAATAAGTGTAGTGCTTGTGGAAGGGACGCCTTTCGATGTAAAGGCTTTGTTGTCGTAGAGGGTAGTGGACTATTAATTCTTTGCATTCCTACACCATTATCCTGTGTTAGAGCGTCAGTCATTGTTCGGCATGAACAGGCCTTGAGGGCATCCTTTGACTATTTCTTACAACTAAGGGAAGATACAAGTACGATATGAAAGGATCAGCGAGCGCGAGAGTTACCCTGTCAACCCATTCAATCAGTTGTAAGCATCAGGCTCAATCACCAACACATCAACACATCTTTTCTACCAAACAGACTTTCACTTCTCTTCATCACCCCATCTCTCCAACACTCCATCACTCTATCACCTCCATCATTCCTTACATTCCTCACTTTTCCGGTGTCGTCGTTCGTCAACTGCAGACGCTCTCTTAGGATTAACCGGAAAAGTTTCTTATTAGGAAATCAAGTACGAGAAAGAGTTGAATCGCCACAGTGTATTGTCTCGGGCCTTTTGCCACCAATTTCAGGCCCTTCTTTTTGAAGCTCTGAACCCTCCTCCGCTCAATTTTTCACTACTGAGGGGCTGGGTTCAGAGCTTCCTTCTTTTTCTCCAAACTTGAGAAGCTGTCTGACCTCTTTTTCGCCCATTCTTGACTGAACGCCAACAGACGACGGAGAGCACAAGAACGTCAAGGGTAACTAAAGTTTGGAACTTACTGTTAAGATGTGAATAACTTATTGTGTTTTACAGTGACCATACAACCAACTGTTTTTTTTATAACTTTCGGACAACACACAAACAATAGCACCTCGCACTCCTTCGGCAACTTTGAGTGGATCTGGACGAGTCCTCGTCCATCGTCGTCGGACAAGGTGAATACCACTTTAACTTTCTTTTGTCTGTCAAACGTGCTATGCGAGATCGATTTCAGTGCAACTTGACGCAGACTTTGACTTGAAACATTGAGTTGCATGGACAATAAGACTAACTTTGACATATTACGCTTTGCATATCGATTCAACGAAACAGCATCTACTATGGGGAAACACAAGCTGGACACCCGTAAGTCGTCTGGAGTTGTTTTCATTTTTTTCTAGTTTGTCACATTTGTTTGAAGGTGCTGAGGTAACTTATTAAGTTTTTTCTTTTTATACTCTTTTACAGCCACCTGGCAAAGGTCTATCAAGAGTTTCTTCCCCGTTGTTGAGCAGGACCATAGGACGGGTGAGCCATCACCATCGTCCACCACATCTTCACCAGCAACACTTGGGCAGCTCCCGACCTCTACCTCATCGGCGGCGCCCGATCTGTCCGCGTCTTCATCATCATCGGTACAGCCCGTCGACGGATCGCCGTTGTCAACTATCATTCGCCCTTCACCACCACCTGGCGCTTTTGAGACGTCTTAAGACGTCGCTTGGGACCAATTACAGACCAATGATGGGGCCGATGCAGAGATTATGGCTGACGACAACAGTATATATCATTGCACATTCGGCAAGGTGCAGAGCAGCTTTTTTAAGCTCGCTTGATGCAAACACACATATCGCGGGATGCCGATACAAAGCCGCATCAAAGCTCTGTCCTGTTAAAGGATGTCTGCGTTGGTTCCTCCCTAAGTACGAGAAGAAACACATGGAGACATATCATCGCGACGACATCGCTCCTCCCACGACAAAGGCAGGAGTGGCTATACCGTACCGCTTGTGCCAGTCCCTCGGTCAAGGACACACTGGCACCAATAGAGCTCAAGCAGCTTCCGTCAACTCGATCAAGCCCATCGGAATGACCAATATGGCACAACACCTTGCGACCCACGATCCTCCTTACACCGACTTTGGCTACTGCTCTACGAAAGGTTGCTTGTTCTATTATTGGACGAGGGACGACGCTGAGGAGCACTTCCCCTCCCACCCCACCCACGACTCTAAACAACGGCCTTACAAGTGTACCACAATTGTCGAGGGAGTGGTTTGTAGCCGGAATTTTATCACGGCATCACGACTGAAGCAGCACCAATACGAGATACATCGAGACGGATTTCCTTGTCGGCTGGGCTGTGGATAGACTTTCAAGCAAGAACGGAACAGGCAACTCCACAAACACAACATCCCGCACGTCCAAACTAGTCAACTGCAAGCGCCAGAAGGGTTGCTTATGTGGTGTTATTGTTACGATAAAGGTGCTGCGTTTATCAAAAGAAAAGCTTGATTGAGTGTTATGTCGTTGCAAAACGACGTGATTGCCAGTGGTGACTGCATTTGTTGAGAAAAGTTCGTTGGAAGCCATGTTTGGGCCGACACAATAGAATGAAAGTGTGCTTGTGATCGCGCAGGTACCAAGTTATCCTATGTGAGAGGATGGAAAGGGCGCACTAGCGATGTGATCCTCATGGACTTGACGATTAACCTTTGCCAAAACCGCATGTTCTGAGTTTTAACTCTGTCAATGTATTCGACAAGAAATTACTACATCTGAGTGAAGCTTCCGCCACCGAGAGGATGAGAGAGCAGCAGGTCCAGGATATTATGAGACAGTCATTGAAGACATGCAACGAGGATGCGTAGGTGAATCATGCATAGGTGTCAAGAGGGAATGATGGTTTGAGCAAGAAAGAACAATTAATATGTATTTTTAAACGGTGATCAATAGGTGACTTCCTACAATGCGACAGTTCGAAAAATAAAAGATGTACAGCAGTGGGTGCAAGTGAGTGTGGGACTACAGGAGGAAGGAGAATTAGTAGAAGAAAGGAGGTGGCGGCGGAGTTAAGTGACAGAAGTTGCAGCGTAGCGTAGAACCCCTGTGGCGACCAAGTTAGATGAGAAAAATGAAGGTATACAAACAGATGAAATGTCATTCACAGAACGGCTCAAAGACTACACCCAAACTGTTGCTACTGAACCTCATACCCTGGATGCTTTCCTGTCATAAAGTAAGCATGCCATTGCTGTGGCTCGTTAGGATGTCCTTTGATTTTATGAGTGTCCGTCAGTTCCGACGTAGCTGGCTGTCGTGAATAACATCCTGGTTGCTTGTGCTTTGAACTACATCCTGCCTACCGCGGACTCTACTTTCTTGATCTATTGGTGGTCTGCTCTTTGATCCTTGCCTCCTATTTCATTACTTCCTCCCAGTGTGTCTGTGTGAACTGTCAACTTCAAGTGCATCATGAGGCCCGGGTTCTTGTCACGACCGACGCCGAATGCTTTATCTTTAGAAACTTATTTAAAGTTTGTCAAGGGGTAGGAGCAAGCACAAGAACGTGTGTGACTTGCTAAATGTTCTGTTTGCTGTTTACGAGATAATGACGGTTATGATAAGGCTTTTGGGTAGCCGCGATGGTTAGGCATGTCTGGCTTTCGTCCGTCCGCTGGGAAAAAAGAGGTCTTCGTTTTTAGCACCAATATGGTAACAATTGTCCTGGTGGCGAATCAACTTGCGACACAGAAGGAAGCAACCACGGAAAAATAGAGAGAGAGAGAGAGAGATGGACAGCGAGAGCAAAAATGGGAGACGAGTGGGTCACACGGGGAAGAGGGGAGGGCAGACAGGCACGCCCCGGGTATTCTTCAATTTTTTTTGTGATATGAGCACAACAACGACAGCGCACATTTTTTTTTTTTTTTTAATTTGGGTCCAGCTTTGCGATGTATCTTTTCTTTTCTTAGCTAGCCTCAACTCGACGACATGCTAAAAACAGGAAAGAAAAGAAAGAGATTGGATTGATATCGCCGAGCAGATTAGTGAATAAGCGGTAGGCTAGGAGGGGCGTCTCTTGAGCTGAGGTTCAGCGAAAGAAGTATAAAGATATCCCACATGTGTCATTGAAAGCAAAAGGCCAGAGTAGTGTTTTACTTACACGCTCCTCTCTCTTTTGCACAGTTTCAGGGAAAGAAAGGGAAAGAAACAATAATGCGGCTGAATTTTTTTTTTGCTTACCGACAGCAGCGATTTTTCAAAAGTGGGTCGAGAAGTGAGAGATGGGCAATAATAGACCAGGCTTATCAGGCAGGGGACACAGCCTACAAACAAAAAGTGCGAACGGGAAACGGGAGAATCGAGTGGCGATGTCATCCTCATCTACCCAACCGTCAAGGAAAAAGTGAAAAAGTGGATATACATCATATCAACAGAAATGAAGAGAAAGAACTCTCGGACATCGGTTCATATAAATAAATTAGTCCAATGAAGCAGGTCAGATAGAAACTTGGAGTTTGGGGGAAGAGGTAAGATGAAGGATGGGGAACAGGTAGGGGCCAAAGGGGAAATGAGAGAGAGGAAGATGATGAAAGGAGGATGAAACTGTCCCAGGTTGAAAGTAAGCGAGACATGGCAAGACCAACCAGGAGAATGATAGGCTTGGCGGGGGGCCTGTTGCCTCCTCGTGGACTCTACTTTCCAAAATTGGAACAAGGCTCGCACTTCGGCAAAAAAAGAGTACTTTTCTACATACAAAGATGTGGGTAAACAAGTCGTTTCTTCTGTTTTTGGTGCTTACTTCAAGATGGCACATCCATCTGTCTCCTGCTGGTTGGTTGGCGCTTGGTTCAAATGACAACAATAGATAGAGGAAAAGGAGGGGATCAAGGAAAATCCGAGGCTTTGCTTTGTTTTTTTTTGTTGTCCAGCTGTCCTCCTTTCTTCCTTTCTTTATCTCTCCTTTTGGAACAACTCCTCCTCTCATTTGCAATCGAATCGAATCAATAAAGTGGGCTGTAAGAATGGGTAAATTGGACCCTCGTGGACAACACAAACGCTGTACCAAAAACACAAAAAGACAAAAGAGACGAATGAAAGAGTGCGGGCGAGGCGAAGTGGTGGGTGTGTAGTTTCGGGTTGTGTAATGTTTTTGTGTACCTTTTCTTCTTTCAGTTTGAATTGGGAATGACAAGGCAGAGTGAGCTCATCTATGAGGCATTTTTTTTCCCTTTGTTATTTATTTTATAGTAGGCCTGGCCAGTTAGACCAATTGTCGGAGCGAGAGTGGGTCGATTGGTTGAGGGAGGAGGAGAACCCAAAAATGGATGGGTAGTGAGAGCAAGGGGTGACATGATGGGTTTTTAGTGTATTATGTTGAGTGAATGAGTAAGGACAAGAATGAGGAAAAGCAGGCAAGAGAGGGAGAGTGTGTGTGTGGTGTACAGCTCTCAGATGATTTGTTGCGGTCCAAGAAGAGAGGAAGAGAAAAAATAAAATGAGAGCATACATTATTTTGTTTGTTTGTTCCTGTCGCTGTCCAGCAGGCTGCAACAGACACCTTTTTGAATCGGTAACCCTCGGTAAAATACGAATTGAAAAAGAGTCCAGAATGCGCTTTTCGAGTCCACCTGGACTTGTTCGTTCACATTTACCCTTCTTCCCTTCTCCGCCCACCCTCGGCGTCTTTTGTCCCTCTGCCTCTTTCCCCTCTGGCCCCTCTCCTTTTCCTTTTTGCATCAATTTGTGTCGTTGTGCTCTCTTACCCAACTTCTCCCACTGTCCACTCGTATTCGTTCCCTTCTCTTCCAATCTCTCCCTGTCTGTTGCATTCTTCTTTTCTCTTTCTGCCCCACTCGCCCTTTTTTCCCTTTTCCGTTCTTCCTCATTTTCCTTCTCTCTCTCACACACTCTTACTCTCTCTCTCTCTCTCTCTCTCTTCTCTCTTCTTTTCTTCCTTCTTCTCTCCTCCACGCCTCTCCTCCTTTCCCTCTATCCATTCTTCACCCTTTCTCGCTTGAGTCTATCAGCTGGACTTCCTCTGCCCCTGAATAAAATAAAAAAAGAGACTCTCACCTCCCGTCTCATCACTCTCCCTCCCCCTCTCTTCATCTCTCAACTCTTTTCTTCCTCATTCGCTCTCTTTCACACACACACACTCTCTCTCTTTCTTTCTTACACTGACCTGCCTGATATGCAACGAACTTAGTCACCCTTCTTCTCCTTTCATTACTCTTTCTGAACTCGGCCTCTTTTACTCACTCCCTTTTGTTTTATCGACAACTGCGCCTCTGTTTCTCTCACTCTCTCACTCCTTCTGCTTCTACAACTATCGACAACAACAACAATAACACCAACAACAACAACAACTACAATAATGGTCAAGTCAGCATCAACAGCTTACTGCTTTGTCAGTGGCAAGACTGAGAAATCTCAAGCAGCCGACTCGTAAGTATTTTTCTTCCCCCCCCTTTTCCCAATCAATTTTTTTGGGTTGCGCTCCAATATTATATTTTGTTTCCGCCGCCATTTGGAGCAGTTTTCCTGTGTCTATCCATCCCTCTTTGGGTGTCGATTTCTGTCCATCGACCCGGGTAAACAGATGACGCTATTTTTTGTTTTCGGGCACTAACCAAAACGGACTTTCTCCTGTCCATCTCCTTCCTCCTTGATGCATACATACAATGTTCTCAGCTCGAAGTATGTCCTCACCATCAGACAGCAACCCCAACGTGCAAAAGTCTGCGGCAACAAGGAGCGCGACCGTCGCTCAATAGACCCCCCTCCAATCGTCCAGATCAAGCTCGCCGACGCCTCTACCGACAAAAACAAGTAAGCTCCTTCTTCCTATTGATGCTCTCAATCTTTTCGTAATTATATCACTACGCCAATGGTTTTTAACATTGATTGTTTTCGTTAATGGTCATGACTGTAGGGATTACTTGCAAAGTCCATATCTGTTCATGTGTTGCAACTTAGTCCATGCCGACGATCCCAGTGGCGAGATTGTCGCCCCTGCCCACCGTGCCCTCGCCGGCACAGTCGTTTCTTCCCTCAACCGCCTCAAGGATGTCGACAACTCGGACGGCGGCTTCTTTGTCTTTGGCGACATCTCTGTCCGGATAGAAGGTCGCTTCTGCTTGCGGTTCACTCTCTTTGAGCTCATCGAGGGCCAGGTCGTCCACGTGATGACCTCCATCTCCAATCCTATGACCGTCCACTCCAGCAAGACATTCCCTGGGATGCTCGAGTCGACCTTCCTCTCCAGAAGCTTCTCCGACCAAGGGGTCCGCATCCGCATCCGCAAGGACCATCACGTCAAGCCCAAGCATGCCGTTTCGGATGACGCTGCCGAGGGTGGCACCACACACATGCACAGTCCCCCTTCGTCATGCCACGAGGCCGATCATAGCGACAACGACGACCACCAGCCCGCAAAGCGTTCACGCCCCTCGCCCGCAACCACCTTTGCCGAGTCGCCCTATGCCCATGCATCGTCTAGACATGTGCCCATCGCTGCCCGCCCCAAGGTCGAGACTAGATATACGTCGTCCGAGCCCACTGATCGCACGCCACCATCCTCGCCTCGTTCCTACCATGCCCAGGATCCTTCACCCTCGCGTCCTCGTCATCACTTCTATGGTTCTGAGGAAGAGGCACGGTACCATGAGGCTTATGGTCCATCAAGGCACCACCCTTACGGATACTACAGCTCCAGCCAGCTATCATACTACGATGGCTACCCTTACTACCGCTCCTACCCTCAAGAACATCCCTATGCCCATCCTCAGGCTAGATATCACTCTGGTAGCCCACGAGAGTCGCCATACTCTCATGAGCACCATCATCGCCATCTTTCTTCCTCGTCGGCTGGACCGACCTACCACTACCCTTCCCACGAGAATAGCCGCCCCCGTGAAGGATCTCCTTCCAACGGCTATGCTCCGTCGTACCCAATGGGCACAGCACACCCCACCGCCTCATCTGTATATATTTCCCGCTCCGAGGCCTCCGTTCACCATTATCATCACCAACAACAACAGCTACAGCATTCTTCCCAATCCACGCACGCTGGTCGTCATGGATTCCCAGCAGCACTTCTGAATGATGATGAAGAAATGGAGGATTCCCCTGCCCCAGCAACAGCATCTGCAGCACCACGCCGAGACCATGGCGAGGAGGTCTATCACAGCCGGACACCATCGATGTCCTCGCAGCACAGCGACGGCAACTTTTCTCCTCCACTTCCTTTCTCGCCTGTGGATCCTCACCAGGTGCAGGACGGCCGGTCCCATTCGCCTCCTCAGATGAGTCTTCCTTCGTTATCTCGTGTTGCCGTCAACGAGAAGATCCAGCTGCCTTCGATCCATACCCTCTCATCACAGCTGTCATCAACCTCCGTTCACAACGATCAGCACAGACGCGAGTACTACTAAACCAGTGCCAAATAGAGTAAAATAAAAATAAAAATATAAAAAAAGATCAACCATAAAAAAACCGAATTGGCTGCACCTGTGCTTGTTTGTTAATGCCTTGCCTGTCCGTCTCTCTGTCAGTACTGTCTATCTGTTTGTCAGTCTTCTGTGTTGTCCGACGTTTCGCTCTGTGAGTGGATGTGGGCTCATCCATTCAAATGTTCTCCAGTCTCCAAATACTAAAGTGACTGCGATGGTTGTTCATGATAGATAGTGATGTCCAATGAGATGCTGCCACACAGAAAACAGGGCGTCTGCCTTTCGGGGGCACCGTTGCAATTTCGCCTATGGCAATTTATTTCTCTCTCTCCCTCTCTCCTTGTCCATTCTTTTCCTTTTTCTTTCATCAACCAACTCCTCATCCTTTCTCCCCTCACACTCCCTTCCTCCTCTCTCTCTTCACTCTCTCCACTCTCCACCTTCTCACAACTCACTGACAACCCTCTCTCTCTCTCCACAAACGTGTCAAACAACCTTGCCTCTTTACTCACAACGAGACGAAACAACAACTCACATACATAATACAAGATGAGGCTCCATCACCTCCTGTCATTGCTGCCCGTCATCCTCTCCGTCCAGGTTGTCTGTGCAGAGGGTCCCCAAACCACCCAGCAGTACCTGGACCAGGCCACCGCCCTCCTCGGCAAGGGCGAATACAACCTCGCCCTCCAGAGTTACGATGCCGCCATCGGTAAGTTTCCGCACTTTTCATTGCAACTTGCTCCATCTGTTTTCAAAGCTATTGTTCAGTGGGCCACCCGACCAACACTCACATCTCTCACCGTTAAACTTTTGTTTAGACCGGGACCCCTCCAACTACATGTCGTACTTCAAGCGGGCAGCAACATACCTGACTCTGGGACGCAACAACCAGGCCTTGGCCGACTTTACAACCATCCTCAAGCTCAAGCCAGACTTTGGCCAGGCTCTTCTCCAGCGCGGCAAGATCTACACAAAGGCGGGAGAGTTTACCAAGGCCAAGCAGGATCTGGAAGCATACTATGCCAGCCACCGATCGACCGACCCCCATATAGAACAGGAGATCCCTGCTCTCTTGGCTTCCTTGGACGAGGCCTCCAAGGCACTCGCCCTCGCCAAAGCTGCGGTTGCTTCAGGACAGACGGAGGAGTGTGTTCGCATCTTGGGATCCGCCATCCTTACAGCTCCTCTCTATGTTCCCTTCCGGTTGCAGAGGGCAGAGTGCCACTTGGCTCGGGGCGAGGTCGAGGAGTCTGTGAACGATCTGAACAGAGCCACCCACAACGCCGCCACCAACCCCCAACTCATGCACCGCCTCTCGACGATGAGCTACTACTCCCTCTATATGCCCGAACAGGCCCTGGCTCAGATCAAGCAGTGTATTTCCTTTGACCCCGAGAACAAGCTCTGTAAGGCGCTCTTCCGTAAGATCAAGACGACCGAGAAGGAGATTGCCAGGTTGAACTCTGATCTGGAGCACAACCGCTGGGCGGGTGTGATCAACAAGTCTATGGGAGGCGAAAAGTCACTGGTGCGCAACATTGAGACTGAGACAAAAGCAATGGAGACCGAGAACAAGGCCGTCGGAAAGATGCCCAAGAGACTCCTATTGAAGATCTACTCTGCCGCTTGTAAAGCATACACCGAGGTACCTATTTGTAGTCAATGTTGTGAGTGTTCTTGCTCAATGTTGAATACTCTGTGAATCAAATAACTAATATCGTAATATTCTTTTTTCTTCAAACTTGTAGAACAAGGATACAACGAACGCATTGAAGTGGTGCTCGTCGACATTGTCGCTGGACGAATCGAATGTTGACGGACTGGTTGGCAGGGGTATGGCACACATGCTGAACGACGACTTTGAGGAGGCGATCCGCGATTTCACCAAGGCACAGGAGCTTGCAGGGGGACAGGACCGTGACATTCACGAAAAGTTGAGCAAAGCCCAGCGCCTGTTGAAGCAATCGCAACAAAAGGACTACTACAAGATTTTGGGAGTGTCGAGGAGTGCGACCGAGCGCGAGATCAAGAAAGCCTTCCGCAAGCAGGCCTTGCTCTGGCACCCCGATACCTACCGTGGCGATTTGAGCCCCGACCAAGTAGAGAAGAGGATGGCTGGTTTGAACGAGGCATATGAGGTCCTGAGCGATCCTGAATTGAAGGCACGGTTCGACAATGGCGATGATCCCAACGATCCTCAGGCACAGCAAAACCCCTTCGGGCAAGGCTTTGGTGGTAACCCCTTCTTCTTCCAACAAGGAGGCAGTCCATTCGGCCAACAGGCTGGCGGCGGCGGCTTCCAGTTTGACTTTCATTTTTAGACGGTAATAAACTAGTACCTTTGATATCTTGTCGCGTCTTTATTTTTTTAATTTTATTTTTTTGTCTGGGCGCCACTAATCCTTTATCACAAACTCGGGGGGTGTCTAATGGTTCTTAGTTGTCTGGAAACCAAAAGGCACCGGCGGCGTCGTTTGTGATGTCGCCTGATGTCATGTTTTCCCTGTTCTCTTAAGCCAAGGTCAATTGCGGTTTCGCGGACCAAGAATTGGTCCCTTTACTGAGATAATTTTCTCACACAAGGAGCAACCAACTAAAAGATGTTAGTGTCCCCATAGTGCACAAAAATTGGTGCTAAGGAGAAACAGAGAGGTATGAAGTATGATACGGGGATGTCAATAGCGTCGGTTCGCGCGCGTTTTTGATTTTTCGAGAGGCGTGAACAAGCTGAGATTTTTGCTTTATTTTTTTTTTCATTTACTCATGCAAAGGGCGCGCGTCCTCACACTCAAACAAAGAGATGCAGAATGCGCATACACGCACAACAAGCATGCAAAAATCTATGCTTTGCCCAAGATCTAATGCGAAGAGTTTCTTGCGAACGTGTAAAAGTACGACTCACTCCTCTTTTTTTTTTTTTTTTTTTTTTTTTTTTTTTTTGAACCACACGCATTGCAGAACTGTAAGGTCGGAGAAAGGAGGGAAAGAAAAAGAGGAAAACAAAAGATTGGGGACGAAAGAGTGATTGATGGGTCTAATCATTCGCGTAACCTGAAACTGAGCGGGATTTATTTTTCTTGGATGGGGTGGGAGGGTCTCCATCAATGGAGGAGAATACCAAAAAAAAAAAACGATGCTGCTGCTTTTTCGCTTTTAACAAAAAGCTCCAAAGAAAAACCTATGAATCACCAAGAAAGCCCTTGAGGGAGGTGCGAAGGATCATTCGCATATGCACAAGCATCAGCATATGCAGAGAAACCAAGACTTGGCCATGTAAAAAGAAACAAGGTCTACTGGGTAAAAAAAAAAAAAAAAAAGGTGGCAAGTAACACTTTCTACTCCAAGTTTTTGCTCATTGTGGACGTGCCGTCGCGTTGTCGAGCCGTCATTCGTTCAAATTTGCAGGTTCTGATTCAGAGGTACAGGGCACACACTCTGTCGCATGTCGAATGGAACTCTGATTGCTTGTTTTTTTTTCCTTCTGTCAGCCAAAAAAAAGGAAGGATGCCGTTCGACGTAGTTTTTTTTTCACGAGTTGAGGTGGGGTATGGCAAGGTGAACAATTGGGATGGGCCAATCGCAAGTCAATCCTGATGATCATGACCTCCCCACATTTTTGGTGTTTACTTTGTTTCCAACTCCAAGCGGCAAGGCTTGTAAACAAATAAAAAGGCACGGAAGAATAGCACATTGTTCGAACGCGCACGAGAACACAAGAACGATGGATGATTGAGAGAATGTGATGTGAGCAGACGCAAAAAAGAAAAAAACCAAAAACGGCTGCAACAAACGTTACAAACTCCAACGGCACCCCAAATGGTCGGGTCCAGACAAAATAAAACTTCAAGGAATCCATCAAAGGGAGGACGACGAAATGATGTTTTTTTCCCGTTAGTTTCGTTTCCCAAGACCTTGTCGCTCCTTCTTTTTGATCGTCTCTCTGTCGCCATCTAAAGACCATTGAAAAACTAAGAGGAAGGTGATAGATCACTTTGGCGGGACATAGTTTGTTTCGTTTCCGTAGCATCGCTTCTAGAACCCTAGGGACTCATGGTGCCTGATTCAATCGCATGTTCTTCCTCTTTTCGAATGATTTAAATCCATTAAATTGCTATCAGAGAGACAGAAGGGAGTCGATCGGATAGGATCAAAAAAGAGCGCAAACGTGGGAAGGTCAGGGTTGAGTATCCTAAAGAAGGATAAGAAAAACACGAAAACTGTGTAGACATGAACAGAGTACTTGAAAAAGGGTATGCCATCTGCCCTGCCCGGATAGAGAACTCCGGAGATGGATGCATGCATGGGCATGGGCGCGGCATTTTGATTGCTAAAACACTTTGCGCTTGGTATTACAGCCTCCTGTGCGTACATAGAAAAGCATGGGATGGCATGTTCGCGTGGTAGTATTATCTTACTCCACTCGATCCGCTTTATGCCTTGTCAGCTTGTGAATGGTCCAATAATTGTCCAAATCCGTAAACGGTATGAATGCGAAATGTTATTAAATAAAATGATGAAGAGCAAGAAGGCCACAGAAAAAAAAAGGGGGATCGGTCCTGATTTTTTTTTTTTTTCTGACGCGGGGATTTGTCGTTCTTGAAGAAGGAAATAAAGGGAGGGAAGGAGTGTGAAGAGAAGAGTGGCGAACATTTTTTTTTTTTTTTTCGAAAGGTTACTCAGGACTTTTGGGTTTGAATCCCTTTTGTTATTTTTAACACACGAATGCAACATAAGAAAAAAACCTTGTCGAGAATCGGACGCAGGACCGCAGTGGAGGCATTTTGTGGGATAATAATACGTGGCCATGTAACATATGAAAAAGGGTAAATGGCTGAGAGGTGGTGCACGCACAGGCTGATGAGGAGCAGCAGGAGGCAGGGCAGGGCAGGGCGAAAAGCAATTGAGAAATTCTTATTTGATCTCGAGTTTTCGTCTCAGGGTCACCACCAAGAAAAAAAGAGCACCCGAGTGAATGGACCTTTGATCACTGATCTTCTCTCCCTTCTTCAATTGTCACACTCACCCTCCTCTTCTGCCACTTCCCCTGTTCAACCCACAGACTCTGTCGACAAAAGGGGTAGAAGAGGGGTCATGGAGTGATCAAAGGAGGGGAAAGGAAAATGAGGTGAGTTTTATTTTTGCTAGAGGTAGTTCTTTGCCGCACAAATGTTGCCTCGTGGATGTCAAAAAAAAGAATCAGTCGAGACCCCCTCTTGCTCCATTTTCCTTCGGACAACAACGACAACAACATCAAAAGGCAAAAGGTCAGATCATCTCCATACGTGCTTTACGAATGTCCGGGTATTTTGAGTTCCTGTGCTCAACTCTCCCTTCTCTCTACTGTATCACCTTCGCTTCTCGTTTCTCTCAATGAAAAACAAAGACGAAATAAAAAGTTTGAACAAAAACAGAAAGTACTCACATTGTGCCCTTTCTGCCTTCAGCTTCTAGTGGACCAACCAGAGGACCTCGCGAGGAGAGAAAAATGCGAGCCCGTGGTAGGTTTTCTATTATTTATTTTTTTACCTCATCCCATGCCAAGGGACGGAGATACCCCAGGGCCATGCCGTGAACTTTTTTTTTTTTTTTTTTTTTTTTTTTTTTTTTTGGGTGTTCTCGACTTGCTAAAGACAATCGCGAAAGACGAGATAAACCCTGAAGGTCGTCCTTTTTGTATCCGCTCACATTTTGAGCTCAAAAAGATATTTGGGACATCGGGTTTCCGAACAAGTGCACTTGCTTTTGCGAAGCACTTTCGTTTTTGTTATGCCGTGGAAAAAAAAAGAAAAGGCGTGAAGACGACATTTTTATTTGTACGTGGAATTGAAGACAAGATGTGATGGAAAAATTAGTTAATAGCATGCTGCTGTGTATGTTGAAGGAAAAAAAAAAGGATGGTGTAAAGAAAAGTGAATTGAGAAGGAAGGAAGGAAGGAAAGGCAGGGTGGGTGTTGTTGTTCAAGGGAAAAAAAGGGTAGGTCGCAATTTTCACGTATGCAAATTGGGTCGGTGGTTGCGGGGTTCAGAACTGAGAGTTGTGTCTCTTGTCTTCTTGGCTGCAGGTTCAGCCATCGGTTCATTAGAAAGAGATCATATCTTGAAGAAAAAAAAGGCGAGATATTATTCATGTCATCTTCGGGATTGAGTTGATTTACATTGTTTATTCATTCAGCGTGTTATTTTTCGCAATTGGTGGCTCAGACAGCGACAATTCTTGAGGGGTGAGTACGATGATAGTGCATACATGTCTGTGTGGCATGTCAGTCAGTGGGTCAGGTTGTGTTTTGTTTTCTTTTTGTATTTGCACCCCGCGCGTTGCAAACCTCCCTTATCGACATCAATTACGATCGCTCTCCTCTTCTCCCCCCCACATATATAAGGCACATTTCTCACTTTCCCACTTTTTTTCTTTTTTTTTTTTCTTTTCTCCTCACAGTTTTTCTGTTCATCCATTCCCCCCATCCGCTCTCCAAACAACCCAACCAGTACTCACAAGCACCCAGCTCACCAGCTCACAAAACAAACTACTCCAGTTTACTCTTTCCCATCCTTTTTCTTTTTTTCCAACACTCTTTCTGCATCCTCCACCAAGGATCATCCCAGTCTTCTTACTAGTTTCTCTACTCTAGTCAGCACCCCTTGTCCCCACCTCAAATCTGCTAGACAGTCCACAACCTTTTGCTGTCTTTCCTTCCCGTTTTTTCTTTAAAAAACAAAACCCAACCCCCACCCTTTCTCCCTTAAAAGAGATCCCCCGGGCTTCCACCCATTTCCCATCTAGGCAGGCCGTACACCTTCGGTTTGCTATTAACATCACGGCGCTACGCAACAGTAACATCAGGTCCATTCTCTTTCGGCGATCGCCTCCCTGGCTTCCCGAGAACCAAGGTCTTGTCTGAACTACTCTATTGTCTTCAGGCTCACCTTTTCAAAACGTCTAGTTTTCCACTCTTCTTCTACCCATCGAACCTCTCATTGGGAAGCTTTTCTTCCGTCTTTTCGACCGCCCGTCCCGCTCTTTTGTTCCTCCTACCTTTTTAAACTCTTCTCACAGCCCTGTCCAGGCACCGTCGAGAGAGTAACCACCTCCCCTATTCCTACCAAGAACATTCTACCGTAGTCAATTGACTCGCTCCTGCTCAACGCTTTTTTCGCGCCAATCCACCCTTTTTCATCCTTTCAAACCTCGCCTTTTATCCAACCGATGATCGATATTTCTTTGCAGCAAGACCAGTTTGAGGTCGTCCCCGCCTTGGTTCAGCCAACCTTGGTCGAGGTCCTCAAGTCCCGCGTCAAGGCCGAGATGGCCCTGGATGTGGCCCTCCCCCAGGTCCACACCCTCCCCATCGACCAGATGCTCCAGGCCCGTTTGGCCTCTTTTGACCCCGAGATGGAGGATGCTGAGGCTGACAACGCCTTCTACATTGCCGATCTTGGTGAGGTCTACCGCCAGCACTTGCGCTGGAAGGCTCTCTTGCCCCGTATTGAGCCCTTCTTTGGTAAGTTGTCTGTTTTTTAGTGTTAGTGTTAGTATTTGTGTGTGTTCATAATGAACAGGGTCACCACGACAACAAAGAGTTCGTTGTTATCTTTTTCCTCCCCTTTTTGTCATTCTAAATGGATCCAATGGATCAGACCAGCTCAGCTCAGGACCCTCAATGTTTTTCCTTTTTCTTCGTACACAACTTTTCATATTCCGATCGTCCGACTCACCCCATATATTTTTCTATTCTAAACATTTCTTCGTTCAATTAGCCATGAAGTGTAACCCCGATCCTATGGTTATGCGTCTCCTGGCCTCTCTCGGTGCCGGCTTCGACTGTGCTTCCAAGAACGAGATCCAGTCCGTCCTCAACATGGGTGTTGATCCCTCCCGCATCATCTATGCCAACCCCTGCAAGCAGAACTCCTTCGTCAAGTACGCCTACACCAACAACGTCCGCATGATGACCTTCGACAACGCTGAGGAGCTCCACAAGATCAAGCGCTTCCACCCCGAGGCCCAGTTGGTCCTCCGCATCTTGACCGACGACTCCAAGTCGCTCTGCAAGCTCGGACTCAAGTTTGGCGCTCCCCTCGACACCACTGGATTCTTGCTGGCCACCGCTCAGGAGTTGGGATTGAACGTCATTGGAGTTTCGTTCCACGTTGGATCTGGCTGCTTCGATGCCAACGCCTTCGGCGAGGCCGTCATCCGCGCCCGCCGTGTCTTTGACCAGGCCCAGGAGTATGGCTACGAGTTCAACTTCTTGGACGTCGGTGGCGGATTCCCCTCTGCTCATGTGACCGAGGGAATCACCTTCGAGAAGGTTGCCACCATCTTGGGACCCACTGTCAATGCTTTGTTCGGCCCCGAGGTTCGCGTCATTGCCGAGCCCGGTCGCTACTACGTCGGATCGGCCTTCACCCTCGCCACCCAGGTCATTGCCCGCCGCACCATTGTTCGCGATCTCGCCGAGGCCTTCACCGCTGAGCAGAGCCACAACCCCTCGCACATGTACTACATCAACGACGGCATGTACGGCTCGTTCAACTGCATCATGTTTGACCACCAAGTCTGCGAACCCAAGGTTCTTGTCAAGGACAACGCCTTCACCTACAAGCAGGTCGTCGCTGAGCCCCATGGTTACGCCTCTGTCTGGGGCCCCACCTGCGATAGCATTGACTGCATCTCGCCCAAGTCGAGCTTGCCCCTCATGGAGACTGGCGACTGGCTCTACTTCGAGAACATGGGAGCCTACACCATCACGGCTGCCTCTCAGTTCAACGGCTTCCGCAAGAGTGAGATTCTCTACACCACATCTGAGCAGGAGGTTTCGCTTCATTTTTAGGAGAATGAAGTTTGATGCTATGTGTGTGTTGAAGGCGATAACAAGGACAGTTATCGTCACCGGAGTCTTGCCTTTGAAGTTGTCCGTTGCACATCCCTCCCCCAGCCATGCATAGGCCTCGTTATGTTCTAGTGTGTCCCCAGCTCTTCTTTTTTTTTTCTTTGCGATCTTGATTGTCATAATAAACATCATCTTCTGCATACCCTTATTTGTCTACCTATTGCTTATACATCGAGACGTTGACCCAACTTTAGATAATGACTTTGTGATGAGCAGGGGTTGCATTGTCGTGCAGGTTAGGTGGGCGAGAAGAATCAGTTTGACTTTTTTCGTAGACAGAGAGCCCGGAATTGCCACCAAATTTGACCGGTCACGGGGATCATTCATTTCGCTCACAACAATGCGAGATTATTTTGCCACCACTTTCCCTCATCCTCTTGTCTCTTCTCATCCGTTCCACTCCACTCCTTTCCACCAACCCAATCACTCATGACTCGCCATGTGTCCCGACGAAACACTACCGCGTGCTGATGCTGATGTAGGCCAGGCACGTCCGCCTCATCCACAAGTCCAATCTACCGACCAATTACCGGCACCTAAAACAACAACCGTACAGCAACACCCTATTGCCAACAATCACTCGTCGCATCACACCCATGCAGCAACAGCAGCCAATACAATTTTCCGACGTATACAGCCGCCAAAATCTCAACAACAACAAACTCAACAGCAACAGCAACAACAAGGAGAGCAAGTGCAACAGTCACCAGAAGCACAACCACGACGACGACAGGATACGGAGCAGGCAAACCATGCACGAAAGTCGAGTTCATCCACAGCACAGTCTTCAGCCAGTAGTCGCGCTAAAAGCGGGAGCATTAACAGGCAACAACGACAACACTCTACCGCTGAGACTTCTAACTACAACTTTGCTGCACCCATGGCAATACACGACCACCTCATACAAGCCGCTCATCACGCGCAAGCTCTGCAACAGCGGAACGCAGGTTCGTGAGTAAAAACCTTCTGTTTCAGTCGTCATGGGCCTTTTGTTATATATAGCAGTACAGATAGTGAAAACCAACCAATCTAAACTGATTTTTTTAATGTGTTGCTGCTTTCATAAATAGAGCTGGAGGCTGAGAACAGGATTCTGAAGGAGGCGGTTCAGCAACACAAGTTGAGCGCGATTGACTGGTGCATGGCAGCCAAGGAGTATCAGCAGGACCGGAATATGATGACACTTCGGCTCGAGGAACTGGAGATGGAGCTTGCGCGGATGGCCCACAGCAAAAAAGCTAACAAAGCTGGAAGTGGGGCTGTCAAGTCAAAAGATGCAACGGCCGGGCTTTCAACTTCATCATCATCGTCGCATCAACAGCTCTCCAAATCCACGGCCTCAGCACAGACAGCAATAAATGGCGAGGACAACGATGACTTAGATGCTCGTCATCAGTTCCTTAGTCAGTCCATCACCCATATCCTCGATGAGATGTAAGTTGTGGTTTACTTCTCCGCGAAGAAAAGGAAAAAAAAAAGTATCATTGTCGCGCATGGAACTAATTTGATTATTTGTCACGTCAATTACTCATAGGACTCCTAAAAAGACGGAACCGGGGTTGCCTATTCATGGCAAGGCACACAATGGAGGACAGAATCGGGGTGCTGATGCTCACTCTTCAAAGCAGCCGCCAGCTCTCAAGCAACCGTCCAAGTCGTTTACGTGCAAGTGCGGCTGTCAAGAAGAACTCCGAGCATGGAAGACCCGATGCAAGTATGCCGAGAATCGAGCAACAGCACAGGAGTTGAGGTGTGAGCAGATGATCGTATACAAGGACGCCTACAAGACAAAGTGGACTCAGTGGAGGGAGGACCAGATCCAACAACAATACCAGCAACGGATGAGGGCAGCCATGCCATTCAATACCTCTCAGTACATGTCACCCTTCCAAACCGCCGGCCTTCAACAGCAATACCTCCAGCAGCAGCAGTACCAAAACAGTTTACCGGTCTCCAGCCACGAAGGCCGTTTCAAGCATGCTCATTTCGAGTCGGAGGGCAGCGAGACTTCGTTACAGCGACAGGAGAGGACGGAGCGGAATACCATCTATAATCAGATCACCACAAGCTTTGTGCCAGGAGGTCAATCCCAGCGCCAGAAATCGAGCACTAACATCAGACGAGCTACGGGCAAGGGTTCAGCCGAAGAACCTCATATCCTGATTGATCGAGACGATGGATCAAGCTCTGAAGGGCTCGTTGGACCGAGCACGAGTCCGAAAAGACCTAGAATAGAGAGTACTGTTTTGGACTCTTCAGATGGGAACGATACTTCAATGGAGTATGAGAGTTCGGCTATGTCTCCTACATTTCCGTCCGACATGACCTTGCACCTTCGACAGTACCAGGTTCACTCTGAAGACGACGACGAAGAGTCTGACGGCTATGCCAGCCCGAGCAACAGGCCAACCCCTGGTAGACAGCCAAGGCATCGTCAAGAGTTACCCAGCACACCTCTCTCTCGTTCACACAAGGAAGCTACACTATCCAGCGCTCAAAAAGAACAGCAGCGGATCACTGTAGCACCCGACTCTATCCCATCAGAGGACCATGGGCCGGCTTCCTTGCACGACTATGCTTCGGATCGATCCTCACCGCCAATGTTCGATACAGCCGATTTCATCACCCAAATGGCTTCTGCACGGTCGCACGCGGCTGCCAAGGGCGCGAAGGTCTCGCCGGATCATCGGCAGACTGGAGGAGAAGTGAATTCAGGACTGCGGGCAGGAGTAACGATGAGAGCAGGAGGTGCCAAAACAGCTACCACCGATAAACACCACCCCAAGCCTTCCAGGATAGCAGATGTTGCGAATGGTGAGAGGCAAAACTCCAGTTCTGCCGAACCCTTTAGTGTCTATGAAGACCCAGGTCCCGCCGCACCAGCCAGTGTCGTCCTTGAAACGCCCCTTGAGCTCCAGGGCATCAGAGGAGATAAGCCAGTGTCGACAGCCAAAGTGGTCCCAAAAGTGATTGAGATTGTCGGGGACGATCATGCAGCTCCGGGGAATGTGAGCAATGGCGGTGATGGAGGAGAAAGGGCTGATGTCGATGATAATGATGGAGGGTCTGACAAGGAGAATAGTCCCCCTGAAGCTGGTGTTATCGAACGACGGGATTCGGACGGGATGGTGGACTTTGAAGAGACACATGTTACCCCTGCTCGTCGAGACAATTCCCCATCAAAGGCAAATGTTCCTGAGGAGCGTATCTACAACTATACCGAGAGGCGCAAGAACAAGCGGAAACTGATGCATGGTCACAACTGTGAATGTTGTCGACGCGTAAGTTCTTTCGTTTCTGTTTGGATTAGGGTTTGTTGCTCGGTTTTGTTTGACACCGATTTCTTATTGTTGCTTTCTTTCTTTATTGTATTTTTACAGTTCTACGAGATAACGGGACCATTGCCACTCCCGGATGGATACAGCCATTTCTTTCAACCGATTCCTCGGCCGGGCGAGAAGGAGGTGTGGGAAAAGACGGACGAGGAGCGATTACAGGATCGGATCCAGCAGGTGTCGAGACACCGTGTGCACCATATGGCTCCGATGACGCCACCAGGGTACTGGGACACGGATTTCCCGTCGACGCCTGAACGCAAGAAGTGGGATGATATTGATCGAGAGAGACGTGAGCGGAAGCGGCAGCAGGAGTCGCATCAGACAGAGCAACAGTTGCAGCGTCAACGGTATGGTGGTGGTGGTGGAGGCAGCTCGAGTCATGCGGGTCCCTCTGGGTTATCATCTCGTTCCAAGTTTTGATCCTTTTTTCCTTACCTTTCTCATTTCTATTCGTATCTCGTCTCTTTGTTGGATTGTAAATAAATGATATTCTAGAGGTTTTATGGTACACGTTGAAATTGATAATATCACGAAGGAAAATAGGAAGAGGGGTGGGGATTCTAAGATTTGAGGACGTAGATCTTGTCGGTGTCCTTGACAATTATTCCTGGCAAGGGGTTGCAAAAGACGAACGGCATGGGATTGTTCAGTTCGCGGTCTGGGGCACGGTACAAGCCCAAAGGGATGATTCCGTACAACAAGGCCAGTCCTTGGAACAACTTCAAAAACGATTTTCCCTATTGACGAGAAGAAAAAAAAAAAAGGGCGGTTATTTTTGGTTAGTGTTCCTTTCAACATTTGTGAGTTATCTTACAGTAAACAAAAGAAAAAGAAGTTAAGCGCGTTCCGACCAAAGCTCCTTTGATGAAGGGGACGTACGATATACTCATCGGGTGCGTCGATAAGACAGATATTGGAACAATCAATGCCCAACATCTGGTCCAATTCAATGGCCTGTTTAAACCGGACCCCACAACAGAGTTTGATGAGGTCCAGGATATGGGTTTTTGAATAGGCCTGGAAGAGGACGTTGTCGAGGAGGGAGGAGACGAGGACTTGGCCGCTGGCAAAGATGGGTGACATCCAGAAGCCGCCGTTGCTGCTTGATCCGACGCCGATGCGGCCTATGTTTGGGATTGTCTTGGTGTCGTTGTAGGTGTTGTAAGTGTTGGCTTGGGTGCGCATGTTGAGGAAGCGGATGTTGCTCCTTTCGGCTATTGGTGGAGGCGAAGGGTGAAGGTAAAAAGTGAAAAGTGAGGAGAAGTTGAGTGGGGGAGTGAGATGAAGCTCATTTTTTTTTTCTCGGATAACTTTTTTTGGGGTGGCGTACAAGGTAAAGGAAGAAAAAAAACAAAACTTACAGATGTCGACGACGATGTGTTGGCGACCGAGGAGACCGCGTTGACGGAGGGTCTGGTAGATCATGTGGTGGGCCATGATGGCCGTGCTGTCTGCAAACTCGTCGCGATCCAGTCCTTCGACGGAATAGGACATGATCACAATACTGGATGCTCCCAAGATACCTGCCCTGACCAAGTCGCGTTGGTGTCGACAGTTGCCCTGAAGAAAGGAGTGAAAAAAACCAACAACATTTTGAAGTTAGAAAGGAGGACGTTGATTGGTGTAGCCACTAACGCGAGAAATATAGAAATGCAAACAATGTCAAAGATACTTACGGAGATCCAGTAGACGCAAGGAAAGGAGAGGATGGCGTCCCAGTAGCCGCCGCTGCACGTTTTATAAGATCCCTCCGCAATACCGGGTCCTCCCCGACTAGTACCACCGACGGGTGTGCCAGAACTATCACCAGCGACATCACAGGTTTCGCCCATCTCTCCCAGAACACTAGTATCCGACGTAAACGTATCCATGGGGTTCCTGGTCAACACCACAATCGTTTTCAGATCCTCGCGACTGATTTGGGCCAACCTCAACGTCGCCATGAAACGGTACAAGTCCTCGCCGGCGTCCGAACAGATCACGATATGGTTCTTGAGACTCGAAAGGTCGTCCTTGATGAGGGGCTTGATTGAATCTGGAGGGTTAGTTAGGAGGTGGCAGAGGGGGAGGTCCGTTGTTTCAGAACGGGTGACGGAGGTCAGGCCGATGTAGGTGGGTTCGTCTACGGTTTGGAATGAGCCCTGGATGGATTCGCGTTGAGTGAAGCTTGGAGGGAGGCGTCCTGAAAGGGGTGTAGGCGAAGGGCGGTTGGAGGGTATAGGCGAAGGGCGGTTGGAGGGTGAGGAGGTCATAGAGGATTCGAGGGCGTATTTCTCGTCCATATCGCTTGAGTTGTCGTGGTGGAACCCTGATGCTGTGGTTGGGATGGTGGTGGTCCCTGGAGGAATGGTTGGCGGTTGGTTGGTGTTGTCGGTTATTTGGTTCAGAGGACTGATGGATTCATCCAACCGAGTTATTCTTGTAGCGCCTTGTCCCCCATTTCTGGCATCTTCGGCTGCAGCGGCAGCAGCGTTTCGGTCATAGGTGGAAGGATAGAGTTCGTTGCTTAATGAAGAAGGTGCGGTCAAGAACTGTCCCGAACGACCAGTACCGGTACCGTCACTGCTTTGATCACCCCGACCTCCTTCGCTCCGTCGATGTGTCTGCCCAGGACTCGACGACGACGATGTTGACCAATTCTTTGCATCCGAAAGCGGAATATCTCCTGTTCCCGAGACTCCCATCCCGGTAATGAGCTTCTCTCGTGCAAGAGCTCCCATGAGATGTTCTCGGTCCTGAACACGCCCCTTGTCCCTTTCGCTGTTACGGCTCTGATTGCTATGATGACTGAGCCTGCTTTGTCGATTCTTCATCCTCTGAAGACTACTGCTGTCGCTAACCACCGAGTCATCATCATCGTCATCGTCGTCGTCGTCGTACAGGGCCACATTCCAAGCAGGTCGCGCTTTCTTGAGCCCTCCACTCCTTGATCGGAAACTGGACGCGGGACAGCTTGGCGGGATGTGACTAGGATGCGTTGAATCTAGTCCAACCCCAGCAGCGGTCGCAGTGGTTGTTGAGGAACACTTCACAGACATCAAGTAATCCTGACTCTGGTTGCGGTGGTTGTTGCTGGAATCATTCGTCGCGACCTTAATAGTTTCATCCGCCTGCTTGGCCCGTTTGCCTTTCCGATGTTCGGCCCTTCTCTTCGCTGCCTCGCGTGCATCCGCTCGAGAATCACGCAGGTTGTAGTACATATCCATCGCATAGGCAAAGTCCAACCGCGATTCATCCAGGTGTCCCTTCTCATCCTTGACAAGTCGTTCATACTGGTCCACCGTAAACTTGTTGATCGAATCAACATCGGAGGGCGACTGGGCGATATAAACAAGTTGGTCGTATTTCCCGAGTCGATAGCTGTTCCCAGGGTTGAGCGTCAGATGGTACTGTCCACTGGCACATTCCTTGTTCGAACCGTGCAGCCCATGCCCGGGCGACCTAGACCGACCACTGTTCCTTCCACCACCGCCTCCAGCAGCACCGCCAGTCCCATCTGCACCATGGAAATGCGGACCATCCCATTCGTTCCCCGAAAAAGACGACGAGGGCTTCAGGAAGATATCAACTCCAATCAAAATCGACTGGAACTCCTGAAAGACAAACCACGAGGCCTGCGCAAACGTCCATCCACAAAACACATCCGGGACCGGTCCGACATAAATCTCGTTTCCTGTCCCGTCACCGTATTGAGCCTGCCACCCATCATCATAGTTGTTCGAAGGCTCTGAGGGATGGAGCAAGTTGAGGATCAAGGTTGTGGTCCCGCGGTGGCGACAGCTGTAGGCGAGCAAGAGTTGTTTGACATCGCTGATACACATGGTCTGCTCAACAAAGCCCCACTGGAACGTCTCCGTCTCTGGTAAGAGGTTATACGTATAGACTCTGGTGCTGGGTGCGTGGAGGTGAAGGGACCATGCCAGCAGCGTGGTCATTGTATCCTGGGATTCCAATCCAGAGGTCGTCCGGTCCGGGATGATGAACACACCTCCAGCATCTTTGGCTTGGCATCTCTTTAGGTCCGACTCGTCCAGTCCGTTGCCTACAAGCATTGTTGTCCTGTTTTTGTATGAGGGCATGTCGAGAAGGTTCTTTACATCTTTCGATGGTTTGTTACGAGATAAAAAGACCACCCTCACATCCATGTCCGAGAATTCCTATGATTGTCGTAGCCAAGGAAAGAAAAAAATAATTAAAAGAGCTGCTGCGAGGGATTCCTATAGCGAAGTGAGAAAAAGACGACAACCAACCTTGTTAAAGAAACCGCTCAACATATCAGCAACACGCTTGGCGCTCTGGAAATCCCCAATCATGACCAGATATTGCCTCACAACTCCGTTGGCGGCTCGACTCTGGATATAAGAGCCACCTCCCGACCGCGAAGACTTCAACGTCTCCATCGTCCCAGCAATCAGTCCAGGCACGATCGAAAGCGCGACAATAATAAAGACCATGGTGACGATCCTGGCTTCGAGCGATTTGGGTGTGATATCTCCGTATCCGACGGTCGATGCAGTGATGAGGATAAAGTAGAGCGCGTCCCAGACGGAGTGGGGTGTCTCTGTAGGGGGTGCGAACATGGTCTCGCAGTAGAGAAATGCTGCCACTCCGTTGTAGAGGATTGCAATAAAGTACGCCACCAATCCTATCAGCTTTGCCTTGACCGGGTTGAACGGTCGGTCTATAATGAAGTGAAGAGTGTTCAACTGTCAGTCATTTGTAATCGCTTTCGTGAACAACGTCATCGTATAGCATCCTAGCCATTGTCCTTTACCAGAAATTCCAATGACGACACCAATACTCAGGGCTCGTTGCAGTCGCGAGATGACACTCCAGCTTCGAAGGAAATAAGGGACGTAGAGGAATTGTCCATAGGGTAAGAAAAATCCCGAGAGCAAGAAGGGGATGGCAGTGACGGCGTCCAGTAGCGTTTGAAACGAAAAGATGAATCTCAGCCTATACAAAGTAGCATAGTCAGTGAGTGAATCATTAATTAAATGGATCTCCGTAGACCTTCTTTTTTAAAATTTTGCACATTATTGTCAGTGCCCCTGAAAGGGCCCCGGTCCATTCATTTCATTTTCATCTTGATCCTATCCCTGAATCCTTGACCCACTCTCATTGATAAAGATAAGAAGACGAAGAGGAACTCACTTGTGGTCAGCAAAGACAAAACGGATCAAGGCAGACATCAGGTTCCATGAACTCATGGCCACAGCGATGATCCACACAGTCCGGTGTCGAGGAACAAACAGCCACGGCGGGTTCGGGTAAGCTAAATTATCGTAACTGATCTGTGAGCGTTCCTCCACCAGCGACTGTGCGTCCACGAGGTACAGAAAGCAGAAGAGAACATCCACTACCAAATCCATCATGATCTGTCATCCGGGAGAGAACAGGAAAAAAAAAAGGAGGTCAAGAGTGGTAAGAGCTGTTAGACAGCATGTCGTACAGGGAGGTGAAGGGTTATCACGAGATACGCTTTACCAACAGGACAAACAGCTTACGAAGAAGATGGTTCTAGCCTTGGAGTTGAGAAGCGCCATCATCCTAGCCTTGTACACATCATAATCAAGGCTCAGCCGGATCGAGCTCACAATGTTACTGATATCGCTGCTTTTCCTATCTCAAGTTCATACAATTGCAGAGATCTGTCAGTCATTCCACCTTCCCGTCTTGTGCAAGAGAAGAAACAGAGGTCATAGTTGTTTGTGTGTTACCTTCTTTCGGCGTATTGAAGTCTAAGGGTGGATCGAATGCCATTGTACGAGGTGTCTTTCCGCTTCGTGATCAGTCGAATGGTTCCGTTCTTGCGCGTCTTCCTTGCAATCTGCACATCCTCCATGCTGTCATTGCGAGCGACAGGATTGGTAATAGAGGAGGGGTTGAAAGAGAAAATATGCAAAGTAGAAGGTCAGTTCGCAATTGCACAAGCAGAGTAAACAGTAATACAAACAAGCAACAACTGACCGACCTCCTGATCGAGTCAAGGTGCCTTTTTCTCTCCCCTCTCCTTCGTCAAACTTTTTGCCCCGACCCTCATACCCTAACATTATTAAAAGTTTTAATTACCTGTTATCAAGGGAGTCCCAGATGAACCCATGCATTTTCTTTCGGTGGATAGCGATGTTATTGAAACGTTTGGGCCAGGTCAAGGTGTTGGATCCATTGTATGTGCTGTCGGCATTGTCAACGTTCTGGTTGTTGTCTCTTGACTGGTGGCCATTTCGGGTAGTGAGCTGCTGCTGTGTCGATGAACGGGACCAAGGTTTATTCCGGATTGGTGGCGCATAAGACTGTTGCTGTTCCTGCAGTTGGTGCTGCTGCTGAGATTGTTCCTGTGCTTGTTCGGAATAAGGTAAGGTTGCAGCAATCAATGGCTGAGCCGTCGGACGGGGTGTCTGTGGGGCTGATGGTGTGGTAGGGACTGAAGGAGGCTGCAGCGAGGTATGGATAGGAGGAGGAGGAGGGGAAGAAGAGGACGAGGGTGAATAAAAAGGGTTGTTGGGTTTGTCATTCCATGCATAGGGCGACGACGACATGATGTCGTTGGAATGGTTGAGTGATGGCGAATGAGGAGAGTGGGGGTTGTAGTCCGTTGGCGAGAGGGGCGAGTGAAGGTAAGCTGCAGCCGAGGTGGAGGAATTGTATGTGAAGGAATAGGAGGGAAGGAGGAGTAGACGGCGGGTGAAGGGGCAGGAGACGAGAGAGAGAGTGAGAGTGGAGGGGCAGTGAAGGAAAGTAGAGGATAAGGAGAAGTAGAAAGAGAAGAAGGAGCAGGGGGGAGACGATTAAGGTCAGAGGAGAGATGGGGGGAGGAGGAGGAGTTTGAGGACGATGAAGGAGCTCGGAGGAAGGGAGTTGTAGTGGATCGTCGTCGGACATGACATGTTGTCACTAAGTTGTAAATTAAGCTAAAACGGATGACAGCGCGTAATTGAGACTCTTCTGGTGAAGGAGAGAGGCGGAAAAAGAAACATGAAACCCAGAGAGGCACAGAGACAGAGATACCAATGAGAAGAGAGGAGTGACGGGCTATTAGAGCCGAGGTGGAAGGGAAAGAGGATCGACAAAAACAAGCCGCAAGCAAGTGGACGTGGAAATGGGCTAGGTTGTGTATGTAAAATGGTCAATGGTGCAAACTAACGGGCCACTTGGACAGGATGGTCGGTTGGACAGTGGGACAACGAATGCTTCAGCAAAATCGGACAAAAACAACGGGCAATGATGCATGCCATAGCAGGAGAGGGGTGGCCAACTTTTTCACGATAGCCTCTCGATGGCACCCACGAGACACCATCGACGACAAAAAGAGGCTGCTCTCACCGTTGTGGCATGCTCGAAGCGGGTCCTGAGCCAGCCCGACTCGCTTTATCAGAGACGAGCAACAGCAGACAGAAATACAATGGCAATGGAAGCCGTTGACAAGGCTGGTGTGAATCAGGACCATGAATATGGTCATAAGCCCCTTCAGACCCACCCTTCGCACTATTTCCTCTTAACATTTCCTTTGACTTTTTTGCGTAACTATACAAGTGGAGGCAAAGTGTGGCGGAGCAAGCGGCTCTTTTTTTTTATCGATTTCTGAAGGACGTGTTTATGGTCCGATGTTATTTTATTTTTTCATGGAAAAGGGGATATCTACAGCTTATGTTCAGGGAGGGTAATGGGGCGATGCATGATGCATTGCCTAGAAAAGAAGGGCGCATGGCATGCCATAATAGAAAAAAAGAAAAAAGAAATGGCGATGATAAATGTGGCAGAGAAGGTTCAAAGAGTCAACCTTTTTTAAGCCTTTGGGTAAGCCATCTGGATCTGAGCCTGGGTGTTGAACTCATGGTCATGCATGTGCTTGACCTCGCCAGTGTAGCGGCTAGCAACCCAGCCGCAGAGGGACATGATGGTGGTCTCCACAGCTAAGGCAACACCAGCAATGATGAGGGCGAGTCTGTAGCAAGTGTCGACATCGTCCTCGAGAGTCGAGGGGTTGTAGAGTGTGTTGTCGTTGATGATCGAAGTGCGGCAGACATCGCGAGCATTCTCCTTCTGGGAGGTGGCGAGAACGATGACGGTGATGATGTTGAGGATGGTGACAATGATGGTTGTGGTCCACCAGAGGACGGAAAAGTTCTTGGCCAAGGAGTAGACCTTGCACATCACACTCAGCATGCCGCTGACACCTACGAGACCGTAGACACCGGTAGCAACGTACCCAGCGATTTTTGAGGTTTGATCTATTTGCAAGTACGGTAGAGGGATGGTAAAGAGGAGGGATGATGTTTAGCGTCGTGCTACCTGTGTAGTGAGGAAAACTAGCGAGTCAGGCAACTCATGTCATGGTTGTTGTGGTGGTTGTAACTTACCAGCATTGGCCACTCTCAAGACGGACCAGAGGTTGAAACCACCAAGAGCGAGAGCAATCAAGGAGATGATGAAGACTGCGAAGCGGAGGGGAATGCAGCAGCAGCAGTAGTCTCTGTGTTGAGGAGCCATTTGTGGTTATGTATGTGCGTGTTTAGTTAGTTGTTGGTTTAGCAGGAGGAGGTAGTGGTTGTCCTAGGTGTTGTGCCTGAGTTGGTTTGCTGTGATTATAGGAGTTGATGTAGATGTTGTTGTTGTGAGTGAGTGAGTGAGAGTGTCTCTTCTGTTGAAGATAGAAAGAAGAGAAGAGAAGAGTAGAGAAGAGAAGTCGAGAAGATGGATGACGAATAAAAAAAAGGCAGGGAGAAGCGATGCCTTTTTATATAACTTTTTATGATGATCCGTCGACTGTCTGTTTTCTACAAGAAAACCACCATGTAAACCTCATAGGCTGTTCGTTCACGAGTAAAACGACGTAGTACACCAGATGCTCCGCCCGCCAGGTGTGTGTGTCACTCTCCTTTCTTTTCCAACATCGAGAAAATAAACAACAGAGCTGCACCGCCCTATTTTTAGGCCGAAGAGGTTGAAGGGTCCTCTCTTCTGGATCAGATTCAGCCCTGGCAATGGTTAAGCACAACACACATTCTCACACCTATCCACTCCTGGCAAGCGCGGGCTGGAGTGGGGAAGGGGTGTAAGAATGGACAAAGGCAGAGGGGAGGAGAACATTTCAAATAGACCACCTTTGTTCACGATACACACCCATTCATCCTCCTTAGCCCGTACATTCCCTAAAAATATCCACCACACAGAAAACCCAGTTCTCAAGACAAGGAAAATAAAAAGGAAAGGAATAAAAAAAGAGTTGGGCTGTGGGCTGTGCCACCCACAAGATACATGCTTCCTTTCATTGTAGAGTTCAGCTCTGCCCTGTCCATCGTCCGCGGCATATTTAGTCCGTGCTGAGTGTGAAGGTAGAGGAAGCTGCAAGTGTGTCCAAAGAGTGCACCGTGGGTTTGGTTCGACATCTATCTTATCCCCTTCTCTTTGTCTTTCGTGTTGTCTGTCCCCTTGGAAAAGAGGTGGTGGTGGTGGAAAGGGCACTGCATCAGATTCAATGGAGGGCATGCATGGTCGATGTCTCTCTTCACCTTCCTCCCTCTACTTCTCTGTCTATCTTTCTCACTTTCTCCGTCCTTCCAAGCCATGCCGTTGGCAGTGCAGGGAAAATATACAATTTCAAGGTAAAGGAGAGGACAGACAAATGGATAAACAGGGCTGGGGAAAGGCATAAAAACAAAAAAACAAAACAACAAAGCATGGTCTCCAGATGGGATTGGAAGCAGATGGATAGCAAAAACAAAAGAGATCCAGACCGTGAGGACACCGGGGCATGCTTTTTTAGGAGACGCATTGAGATGCGGGCATGATAAGCTAGCTGGTCAACTAATTCAAGCCGTAGTGTCGAGGCTGGCGGTGTGATTCTCTTCTCTGCTGCTTGCTTTTGGTTGGCCTCATAGCCAGTTCCACATGTCAAGTGGCATTCAGACCTGGAAGCGTAGAAAGCAAATTCTCCAAGGAGGAGACAAAAGACAAATAGGTTAAAGAGTGCTCGTGTCCGCCGCCGCATGGGTTCAAACAATGATTTCGTGTCAAAGCCCAATTTGTTTACATCCCGCAACAAATAATCCAATGGTCCCGACCATTGTTTCCTTAACATCCTCTCCGGAGATATTGCAGCTGCCAGATAAACAAACGTCCACGTCCCAACACTTCTTCATGAGTGAAATGGAAACGAGAGTACATTCTGACTGGTAGCAAAGGAACGCCGCCAGGATCTATTGATCCTTTTTCGTGTCTATCTCGTTAGACAATTCGGTCTGTCAACATGTCGTGTGTATTATTCAGCCCATGTCTTTGTTCAGGGTTTTGGAAGTTTGGATCCAAGAGCAAACACGACAAACGTTTTTTTTTTATTATGGTTATTGAGATACATAGAACTTAGGTACAAGAAGGAAAATACAAGTAAGAAGAAAGAGACCTGTTGGCCTCACCGCGTCAAAAGCAAAACCAGTAAAAAATAAAAAAAAAGACTCCTAGGCGACCACCTCTTCAGGTTCATCAACAGACTTCAACGCAGCCTTAATCGCAGCATCCTGCTGAACCTCCCTCAAGAACCGCTGGTTGACCCACCCAATCAAACACATGACAATAAACTGTACCCCCAACACCACCGCAGAGATCACCACCACCGTCCTGTAACAGTTATAAATCTGCGAGGCTGTCACGTCCGTCCCGTCAGAGGAGGTTAGACTCTTGAGGCACTCGTACTCGATCTGCATACGGTCGTTCCTGGCGACGAGATAGACGTTTCCAATAGAGAGGGCGAGGACGACGAGGGTGAGGAGCCACCAGAGGTAGGTGTAGGTCTTTGTGATGAAGACGGCTTTAGTTGCGGCGGAGGCCAGGCCCAGGAGGGCGATGAAGACTTGGAGGCCGGCGGAGATGAAGATCACGTACTTTGCTGCCTGGTCTCCTATTATTGTCCAAAGAGAGAGAAGAGATACCAAAGGATGTACAAGGAGGATTAATAAGCTACTCGAGAAGGGCTGTAGTGCAGTACCTGGTTTTCCAAAATCGAGTGAAGTCATTTCGCCAAGGAATTCAGGTTTCTAATTTTTTTTGTATGTACCTGTATTGTTGGCGGAATACTTCTGGTATGTAGTCGCGGCCGTGATGCAGAGGTACACGATAGAGATGGTGACCACAGCCGGTCGGAGTCGGATGCAGCAGCAGCAGAGATCGCGGTCAACTGGAGCCATTGCTTTGTGTATCCGTTGCTGAGTTGTGTTTTGAAGAAGGGTGACGTTTGCTCGTTTCGAGAAGTAGGGTTGATCGTTACGATTTGCTGCCAATTGTTGTCGTTATCCTGGTGCTGAGCTGGACTAGAGATTCTTGGCTGTTGGAAAGAGCAAACGAGTTTCGTTGAGAGACGGCTTGGTCGTTTGAGGAGGGACTTATTGGGCGAGATGATTAACGAAGATAAAGATTCGGACAGAGGGGAGAAGAAAACACTCGTCGCTTTTATATAGCCGCTCTTTTTCTTCTCTCTTGTGTCTTCATGCCACTCGCTCCTATTTCTCTTTCTCTTCACCCTCTTCTTTTGCCTTTGGGTAGCATCCAGAATGACCAGTGGTAAGTAAAGGGGCGGTCAACATACAAAGAGAATGTGGGATGAGGTCAAAGGACAATACGAATTTGCAGCTGTTTGTTTTTTCTCAGTGCGCTTAGCAATGGTAATCCAGGGCACGTTTTTTTTTTTTTTTGTTTTGTTTCTCGAGGTCAAGGATGGATGGATGGATCAACCCCTCCTTTTTTTCTCCCTTTCGCGTCCTCACTGTCACTTCTGACCTTATGACAAGGGGGTGGACATGACCATTTTTTGTTGTCAGTTGCCACTTTCGCGTCGCTCCTTTTTTTTGAAATGGGAAGAAGTAGATGCAGGCATGAAAGTTAAAACAAACATTTCAGTATCATAACAATAAAAATAGGGGGGAGACACGATGTAGGTAAAAAATGCTTATTTTTTTTTCTGAACTTTCAAGTGTGGTTGGAACAAATGGGGTAAACAAATATTGGCCATGTCGCATCAATCATGAGGGATGAAAAGCACTTTTTTTTTTTGTTATTACGGTTGTTACGACTATGAAGGAAGACCTTGAAGGATGGTTTACGGGTCAGCGGAGGTTAGGAAAAACATAAACAAGGAAACAATCCGCTAACGCCTGATCATACCAGGAAGGGGGAGGGATGTCGCTCAAGCTAATATGACCCAGACATGAAAAGCAAGGGTAACAGTACCGAGCGTGAACTACGATAAAAAAAATACAATATAGTGCCTTGGCCGATGTGTATTTGTGTGTGTGCGCGTGCTGTCTACATGTCGTGGCCACGTCCTTGTGGGCATCTGTTTGCGTAGTGTCCCTTTTGCTGGCACTATGGTAGGGAGGGAATAGAAGGAGGATGCATGCTCGTTAGTGTCGATTCGATAATAGATACATATGAAAGTTGGCAAAGGTTGACAAAGGACGGCTTACCTTGAAACAGGTGACATCTTCGACCTTGCGGAATGTCTGGACCTCGCCTTCTCCACGTTGTGGCTATGTATCACAAAGGAACGCGAAATGATGGTGAATTAGTCATTGGCGGCAAAAAACACATTGGGCTTTTGTTTCGATTTCAACTCAACGCAAAACATACCTCCTCGCGATCTCTGTCCTGCTGCATTGGCCGTGCTCCGATTCCATCGTCCCAGTTTGGTGGAGGCAATTCGTACTTCGGGCTATGATAAACATGAACGAATAATAAAAACAAATGGTTAGTACATCGTTTGCCTTGCGGTTTTAAAGCTGGTTGTATTGGTTGTAAACGGATTGAAGATATCCAAGAACGTGTGACTTACTGTCCGTTCGGGCAATTGGGTCCTTGTGGGCACCATCCCGTAACATAGTTCTGACAGAGAACCTTTCGCGTATGCTTGTGTCGACAGTTGGGTCCATGCTTGCAGAATCCTCGTGCGTACCATGGACAATCCTTGATCTTACTCTCAGGGTCAATGTGAAGATACTACATATGCAATTGAGGCAACGGGTAGGGCATTCATTGTTAGTTGCTAATTCTTCGTTTCAAACCATCACAAATAACATTCTTAATCCTGATCCACAGAGGAAGGATAGCAAGTGAAATACTTACGATACATTCGGTGCCGTTGTTACATTCGCCGTACTTGCTGTAGAACCAACATTCAGGCATCTTCCTGAGGTTATATTCGTGCAAGAACTCGCAGTTGTCGCCCTTTTTGCAGAGTCCTCTGAGCCAGTGCTTGCAAACGACGGCCTTTGATGGATCTGTCCTCACATGTCGGAACTGACAGTTGTTTCCTTTTGAGCAGTGACCTTTGAGAAAGAATCTGCAAATATTGTCTCCCGTTTCTAAATGAGTGCAAGCAATGTAGAGTTTGAAGTGTTAGTATAACTTGGCACGCATGGTTGAGATGTTGTGATGTCGTGGTCTCTGTGGCCATGCCAACAGGCACTTCCGCCGATATCGTTCTAGGCAGCAATTGATTAATGCCTTGTCAAACAATTGTACTCTTCTTTTTGACACATAACACAACATGACCATTTGAATTACTGTGCGGACAGAAATAAATGTTGGTGCCGCCATACGACGACATCGTTTATTTTGGCAACAGAATCCATGGAGGAGAGGAGGAGGCGGGTATTTGTAACAATCGACAACGAGTGCTGGGAGGAGAGACTAGATAGTGACATACCTCCATTCTTCTTGGTTGTGCTTGTGATGTCGAGTCCGACCTCGTTCCTGACGTATTCTTCAAAGTCAAATGAGTAGTCCTGAAAGTCGATTTCAGACGGCAGGATGGAGTATGTCATGGCCATGGCTGATCAAGTGTGTGTGTAGCTCCTGAGAGAGAGAGAGACGGCTGAGCTGTGTCTTGTTTTTTGTTGTTTGGCGGGTTGATGTCGAGAGTGGGCGGGTGCGCGTTTGGATTGCCTTGAGCTGAATGTGTGCGTTTAAGGAGGGAGAGAGTCGAGTTCTTGTCTACTTGAGTATCCTTGAAGCGTTCTGTTGTCCTGTGTACACTTGGTTGTTGTCGAGAGTGGGAGTGGATGTCGAGAACGTTCAAGTTGAAAGAAAAGAGATTGTAGGTTTGAGCCATGCGCATTCCCACTTTTTAAGTGCACATATTGGAAAGATGACTAAGCCACCTCGATCTTTCTTTGATAAAGTACTGTATCACGGTGTCACCGCTCTACTTTCACTTCCTTCTCAACCACCAACCACGTATAGCGTATTACTCAGGAATGTCAATGCATCGGTCCACCATTCACTCCCTCCGGGAACCCTTCAGAGCACTCGTCTCCAGGACCCTATCACACCCTACAGCACACCTTCACACCGCCGCCACCAGGGTACCATCCTTATACCTGACTGGCGCGCGACCTTCTCCCTCCGATATCGCCTCCTTCCCAGGAGCCGGATTCTGTAGTCACTTCCACTCTGCAACAAGCACACCCAAGATCAGAACCAAGCGCGTGCCGGGGTGTTCTGTATCGCACTTGAGGGCGTTATCTAGCTCATATTCTCGTGGAGACACCCAAAAGAAGCCCCTGGAACGGGATGGAGAACTGGACCAAGACCTGGATTATTCAGGAGATCGGACATTGGGGAGGAAAGGTGGATTCGATGCTGGCTCAGGCGGGGCACGTAGGCTTACAAGCTCACTGCCGACCAAGGTCAAAATGACTCTCGACACACCAGGTATGCTGAGAGACTTCTCTTACTGTATGTGCAATTCGCAATTGCGCTATGATCTCGAGGGAATGACTAATCCCTGTTTTTCCTTGATCGCAGGTGTCTATCCGAAGGACCTTACTCCCGTTTATGACAAAGAACCAAGCCGAGAGATTCGTCAGTCGTTTGGAACAACTTATGGGTAAGCGTAGGATCAAAGCCTGTCGTATCAACACAGAAGATACTTGTAGCACATACCAACACATGTCACTCACCATTGTCTTTGTTAATAGTGGAAACTACAAATTGCGCTGGGAAGAAGGACCAAGGACGATTCTTATCATCAAGAAGCCGCACGACGATCTAACGGACAAGACCCTCGTGGATGTAGCATCGTATGTTGAAATCAAGGACTTTTTTTTTGATCGCTTCGTGCCTTGATTAGATACTCCGCATCCTGACTCACTTTTACACACACGCCTGTCTTTTTTTGTTTTTTTGTTTGATGATAGTTGGATCCACACAAAATACCCACACACTAATGTCGTGGTTGAGCCAGATGTCGCCGACGCCTTTGCAGATGCATTACCGTTCGTCTACACCATCCCAGGTATGATTCTCGAGTAATAATCAGGACTGAGATGTGCTGCCGGGAATGATAGTATAGTCAAGTATGAAGCCGCTAACAAAACGTTTTTCATTCGATGTTTTCTAGAGGGCAAGAGGGTTGAGTATACACGCGTGACAGACTTGGTAATCACGCTTGGAGGAGACGGTACTATCCTTCACACATCGTCACTGTTCAACTCTGCAGTCCCGCCAGTCATCTCGTTCTCCATGGGCACCCTAGGATTCCTCTTGCCATTCCATATCAACAACTACCAAACCGCACTCGCAAAGCTGATCGAAAACAGGAACGCCTCACTTTTGCTCCGCATGCGCCTCAAATGTACACTTCACGGACCAGACGGACGGCGACTTCAGGCAAAGGATGGGTCAGGACGGATTAACGATCTCACAGTGATGAACGAGGTAAACCTGCATCGTGGGCGGTACCCACACCTCACGTCGATTGGATGCTTTGTTGACGGGCATATGATCACGGAAGCTGTTGCGGATGGACTGATTATTGCTTCGCCAACTGGATCGACGGCTTATTCTCTCTCGGCTGGTGGATCGATTGTTCACCCTTCGATCCAGACTTTGCTCTTGACACCTATCTGTCCGCGATCGCTCTCTTTCCGCCCCGTGCTCCTTCCACCCAACGCCACCATCCAGCTCAAGGTAATGCATAACCTGAGAAAGTTCATTTCAGGAGATGATTGAGTGGTACAGCCCATTTGAATACACACAGGCCGGATCTGACTGACGTTACGTTTACATTTGACATACTCATAGATCGGAGACAAGTCGAGAGGCCCGGCAGAGGTATCACTCGACGGCAAAGAGACATTCTTCCTGGACAAAAATGAGTTTCTTCAGGTCTGCATGTCTCCCTTCCCCATGCCATGCGTCAACAGAGTCCATGCGGGTGAGGACTGGATGAAGGATATCAACGATCTCTTGAAATGGAACCAGAGCTTCCACAATAAGCAAAGCATGAGCCATTATATCTCGGAATAAAATACAAGTGGCTAGTAGGTTGATTTCTCATCCTCATATAATCAAACGAAGCTGGTGAGCGGACAAAATTGAACGATGGCGAGTAGGAAAACGCGGGTAATATTTATTATGCGCCGGTGGCTGTTGATGCGTAGATATCGTCGTCTTCGGGTTCAAAGAATCCAGGAACCCAGTACTCGTGTGGTTCAGCCTGCTGGTCTATCCACATCAAGCTGTCGTTCAGTAGTGTATCCTAATGGTTCAATTCACAGCGAGAGGAGCGATTAGCATATTGGCGGTGTTTCGAGGTTTAGTTTGAATCTGATCTGAACGAGAACGATGCAGAGAAAAAACGTACCAGCGCAGTCTTGGCACGACCACTTTCCCAGCCAAGTCGTTCGCCCACCACATTGATATTGACATGGCCGTTTGTTTTCTATTCAGAGAGAAAATAATAATCTGCTGTCAGCATGATCATCCACATCCGAAAAGCACGAGAATATACTGTGTAACTTAGCCCATCATTGTTGCTTACCTGTACGAGCCCCAAGACAATAGACTGGTCCCTGTTAAGTTCCCTCGGCACAGAACTAACCATCTTCTTTTCCCCAATCTGCAACACCTGGAACCCACTCCCCAAGGGCGCCAAAGTCTTTATCGACCTCAACACATCATCCTCCGTCACTTCCATCCCATTACTATCCTTATTCGTCATGGTCGCCCATTTGTTGGCAAGGTTGTTGATATGGCTGTTGCTGTTGTAGGGGATGTTGGGTAAGGGCTTGTTGGTTGCGCTGGTGGGATCCCGAACTCCACGCATCCGTTCTACGCGTCGTTGGACTTCTGAGAGCTCCATGAGGCCGCCGTTTAGGGCTCGTGTGGATAGACAGACGTCGATGATTTGGATCCCGAGTTCGTAATAAAAGTCTCCAACGCCCAACAGCTCACCCCACACACCCTTGCTCGCTAATGAAAGAGGTGTGGCAAAAAAAAAAAAAGTTCATGTTAGCAACGAGAACATTGAGTATCCTTAAGCGACGTATCATGAATCACAAGTCTACGACAACGAAACCAAAAGCAAGGAACGCGTACAGGCCAAAGGGTCGACTCCAATGTTGCCGCACATCTTTTGAAAGTGCATACGAAAGACGGGGTCCTTCTGGATATCCTTGCGATGGTTCCGTGCAAAGTTCTCAAGGTTCGATCTGAATGTGTCCAGTTGGCCCTGGAGCTGTTCCAACTGGTTGTCGGAGATCGACTGCCCAGCTCGCTGGTATGACTCCTAGTAGAGGAAAGAAAGACGTGTCATAGATAGCATGAGAGAAGGACGAGCAAAGGAGAAGGACAGGCGGTATGTTGGGAGAGTAGTACAAGGTTAGCGCATGGGTCATGTAGCAAACAGCATCGTCGGTGCATTCCTTCTATGGATTGGTGCATTTCGTTTCTGGAGAGGTTCAACTTGCATTTGTTGCTTTCAGGCGCTCAGTGTATGCTTTGGCTCCAAGGGCTCGTTTCCTGTTCATTGTGTTGGTTTGTGTGGTTGATGGTTAAAAGGTGTTGCATCAATGTCAGACAGCGACTACATAGAGTTCAAATCCGTAGCGTTGGTGTAGATAACGTGATCAATTTCTTTTATTTGAAAGGGAGTGCGCGAAAAGAATGGCAAAGTAGCTAGAGTGTTTGTAAGTGTTAACCCAAGGCCAGGGAAGGAGAAAGAGAAGTAGGGATCCTGCATGTGTGTTGGAACTGGGAAGTTACTGGAAAGCGGTCAGAAAGTATACAAAAGCGACGTTAGCGACGAGAGGAAGCTCTGTTGGTGGCGACCGAGAAAAAAGACAGGCGGGTAGACGAACAACGTTCAGAGCTTGGAAACGTCGGAGATGACCTCAAACTCAACGCCAAACTCCTCCAACTCCTTCAGGGTGCTGGGAGATCCGACCTTGGAGAGAACCGTGCACTCCTCACCAATGTCCATGTATGTGCCCAGCCTAGAGAGAAACCATAATTTCGTGTAGTGAGAAGCAATTCCAACGTAAATACAAGCGCGTTTTTACCAACAAGCTAAACGAGCTCAGATTCAACACAATCCTCAAAGAGCGTGATTCTTACATTCGCAAGTAGCCATCAATCGTCAGGGTAGTGCCAGCGAGGTTCAGGATCCATCGAACAGGAGTGTGAGGAGTGCTCTCAAGGACTTGGGCCGAAGAGAGGGAGGTCACAAACAGTCCACCAACCACCCCGCCAGTTTCAGCCTTGGCATCAGAAGCGCGGGACGTGACGAGCTATGTCGTACAATGCAAACAATGGGCACCATGATGAGGCTTGTTCTCATATACAAGAAATAGTATACAGGCTGCCAGTTGAAGAAGCAATAGTAGCGAGTCAACTTACAAGCTCGACATCATCCTTCAGTTGTTCTCTCATCTTGGCCGCGTCCTGTCCGTCATGGCAGACGACAACAACCGTCTGCGTCTTGCCGAGTCCGACCGCGTGCTTCAAGTACTCATCAGTCTTGCCGTTTCCAACAAAGTACTTGTGATGAGACAGGTGGAGGTTGGCATTGTCCTCGCTGAAGGTAATCCTCTCATCGGTAAAGTTGAACTGCTCCTCGGCCTTAATCACGTCCGTCGTGCCGTGCTGGCAGGCGAGTATCACCTGGCAGACATCGAAGTCCGCCAGTGCTGTCTTGATCATCTCGATGTTGGAGTTGGTTTGAAGGACGTACTCAGCTTCGTAAACCGCCAGAATTTGGACGTTCTTGGGGAGGATCACACCGGCATCCTTCATTCGTGTAAAAGTTGAGGGAGCGCTCACGAAAACGGTAGGTTTGTTAGGGGTGCTCTTGGTAAGTGGGGCAAGATCCAAGGTCTTGTCCTCAGGCACAACATGCAGATCAACCTTCAGCTCTGCGTGGTCAAGGTGCGCCTTGAGCGACTCTGCGAGCATCTGGGAGCTTCGAACTGAGACACGGTTGACCAAGATCACGATTTGCGCCTCTGGCGACGCGCCATCGAGCACATCCACGATCGCGTAGAATACAAAGTTTTGCAACTTGTTGCCTCGCAGCTGGAGCGTCGCATCGTTGCCTACTTGCATGACATACGAGAAAAATAACGAGAGATCAGTCGTGGACAGCAGCATACAAACAAGTATTTCCATTCACAACGATAGAAACTCGACACTTTGTTGTTGCTTAATGAGCTCACCATTGACGAGAGGGCTGATGATGTTCTTCGCGACGTAGCCCGGGGGTTCGATGGAAAGTCTAGTGCGTTGGAGTCAATATGGTAGAAGATGAAGTGAGAGGAGGCTAGCTTAATACATCGATCCATGTGAACTTCTTATCATAGAAAGCCTCATCATATCGCCAATCATCACATAGTTGCAGTTGACATGTACCCGTCGGCCTCCATGCACTTCAAAGTGCCTTCCTTGAGTTCAACCTTATCGAAAGACTCGAGCGGCGTCAGGTTGAAAGGCTCGAGAAGCTGATCAGATCAGTAAACGAAATGCAAGACGTAAAATTGATTAAGCACAATGCCACTGATCAATGATGGTATTGATTTCGTCACATGCGGGTCAGTGAAAAAAAAAAGAAGCTTATGCAGTATCGACGAGGTTTACTAGTTCGTTACCTTGTTGCTCCAGGTCTTGCGAAAAGGATAGGGGCGAGGAAACTTGCGGCCACCGGTCTTGGGAGCTCTCGCCCGGAAAGGATTTCGGGCAGGAAGATCTTTGTCGGTGTGCAGGAGGTCGTTGATTGACTGCTTGATCGACTCAACAGAAGCCTCTTGGGCAGACAGCTGGTTGGCCTCGACCAGAGCAATACCGATACGCTCCATGCTCAGAATGACACCCTGGAGGTTGTACTTCATCGCGACGAACTCCTCGGTGGCGGTCTTGGGGCCATGGGACTTTGGAGTCGCTTCGGGGTTGGTCGGAGCGACGATCTGGTGAGGAGGAGCTGGGGCGTCCTCGACAGCTTCAGCAAGGATTGCATGATGCTCGGGGGTGTTCGAGTTTTCCAATGTCATGGCGGCGAAAGCTTCAACTGGGTCACCTGGCTGACCAGGAAGCTGGTCGGTAGTGGTTTGAGTGATTTGAGTAGCACCCTGCATTTTCATAACAGGAGGTTGAGTGGGGTTCGGTGGGGGGTAGAGTTGGGGTTGGTAGCAAACTGGTGGTGAGAGTAAGGGAGGTTGTGTTTTGTTGTGTGCGCGTGAATGTGTGTGTGTGTGTTGGAGGAGACTCGGCGAAGAGAGAAGAGAAGAAAAAGAGAGGAGAAGGGACAAAGGGAGAAAGGGTAAAAAATCGCGTCGCTCATCGCTTTTTGTGCCTTCGCACTCTCGGTAATATGATATGCACAGCATCTACGAGCCGTTAACTCCGTGTCACGTGAAAGTTAGGTTACCATGAGAGTACAAAATGGCCCCTCCCTTCGCTTTCTCTTTTCCTTCACTTATCGTCAGGACCACCTCCACCACCATCAACACACACACCCGCCGACATGGAGAAATTCTCGCGATGGAGGGCAAGTCCATCATTGACATCACGGGAACACAGTCAGCTAGGAAAACTAGACATCACATCATAAACTTCATCACACAACCAGGGACTGACTCTGGTCACCATCAACACTTCTTGTCACAACCACCTCTTTCTAGGACCAAGGCACTGGTATCCAACCTTTCTTGCCACCAGTGGTAAGGCTTCAGTTCACGTCTCATGGATAACATCATTACGAAGGACAACCGTGGATTTTGGAACGGATAGCACTCAACAACCACATCTAACGTCTCCGCGTCCACTCTTCGATTTATCCACACAATCTTTCAGCCAGCCAATGCTGATCACTCGCCTATCCAAAAGGTCTTCACCGCGGCCTTGATGATCATCAAGCCAGTAACAGGAATCGTCAAGTTGATCTTGGTCGGTATTTTGTCACTCGCCTTTGTGTTGCTCGAAACTGTGGGGCTTCTTTTTGTAAGTTGAGAGTTAATTGTCCCCCATTGAAATTGGTTCTGTCTCCCTGTGCCACGTAATGACATGTGAATGACGATCCACTTATACCTTGCTATATTTTAACTGCATTATCCGACCGTTAGAAACCAGTGACTCCATTACACAAAATCTATCATCGCTTGATCTCTGCCGTCTTTATCCGTGCGATCCTCGTCTTGCTTGGATTCTTTTGGATCAGGAACGAGACCGTCACCTTGAGACGAGGGTATGTACCATGGAGATCGAATAGTTGTTTTGAAAGATATATTACCAGATTCTGGAAGAGTATTCTAACGCCTTTCATTTCAATTTGACTCTAATAGACGATCTGGAGCAGGAAGCAGAGCGCAGGCGCCCAGCAGGAGAGCATCCCCTTCAGGAGAACTTATTGTTAGCAACTGGTCTTCATACATCGACATCCTGTACCTCGCTTTCAGGTAAACGACCCAGTGCATGCATGGATGCATGCATGTGATCTATTTGACAAATACATTCAGGACCACTGTTTTCTAACATAAATTCATATGTCGAACAATTCATTACTGCATAGATACGACCCTGTCTTCACACAAATGTATTCGACTACATTGACCGTTCGCCAGATCACTCTCTGGGAGGCATTGCGCCTAGCTGGAAGCTACCCCGAGTTGTCGCCACCCGAGGGCGTTGAGACCTTCCCTTTGCTGGAATTTGTCAAGGACATGCACAAGAGTGGCTCAGGACCCGTTGTCATCTTCCCCGAGGTAAAACTTACACTCAAAAAACCAGATTATGAGAAGTAGACGCTTAAATCCATGACGAAAAGTTCACCTGAACTCACACGGAGCATCTGTTTTGTGAATCTAGGGAACAACGACCAACAACCGTGCGATCCTCAAGTTTGTCCCAATCTTCAAGGGCTGGTCAGTCCCCGAGACGTCGATCGAGATCCGGATCATGGCCCTCAAATACGACTATCAAAAGTTTGCGCCCACTTTCACCGTCGGTCTGGACAACTCTTATCGATTTGGACATTTGTTCCGCACCTGCGCACAGTTCTACAACACCCTCTCGGTCAAAACTCTGGCCCAGGATGAGTCACCCTGTTATGCTCATTTCTCGGCGATTGAGGGACTTTCGAGCACCCCCTCTGGCGCAGCTATTGGTGCCGTTGAGCCTGTGGAGGAGGATAGCCTCGGAAGTGTGATGATTAACTTGATGGGACGGATGACGCGGTTCAGGAAGTTGGGATTGAATGTCAAGGACAAGGCTGATTTCTTGGATTACTTTATCCTTCGCAATAATGGTATCAGCAACAGCACGACCAAGAAGACTGCGACTCTGGGTCAAAAGGCGGCGCCTGCAACTCAGGGATCCAGCCGTTCAAAGAGGCATTAGGGCCCATAAAGCTACCCACCATTCATTTTTTTTCCAGAACGCTTTTGCGAATAAAACTAAAAAAAACTCTTTCATGTCAGAACAGGCGAGCGCCCATGAGTCATGCGCCTTTCGTCGAGGCTTTTATTTTATTTCAGGACCCAGCTTTGACCACTGGGGACCAGTTCCTCCATACGACGGAGCAAAACCACCAGGAACTGTCGTTGCGAGGCGCCCATCTGAGGATCCAGCGCCATTCTCAGCAGTCGACTAGCAATCTGGTTATCACTCGCTGCTGCCGCCGACACGGTCACTCCGGCGCGAGCTGTCATGACAACATCGGGCAAAATCAACGACAGGCGGTCTGACACTGCCCGATGACGGTATCCCTGCTCGCCGTCGTTGTCGTTGTCGGTCATTACCAAGGACACGCTCTGCTGGAACCGACTATGCCACTGCTCGAACATATCGTCCTCCAAAATGTTGTCGTCCATGCTGAGTGCCGCCGCACCTGAGCCACTCTCCTGCTCGTGTTCGTGATCGTCCGCCATCGACAGCAGCAATGCCTCAGCATCATCCCCACGACCTGCAGCGCCATGACCTTCTGAGGTTGCTGACACTGGAGCAAAGCCAAATGTTTGAAGAGCAGACCTGGACTCCATAGGATCCTCCCACCACAACAGGACGGCACCTCCAAGCAACAGTGTCAGCCCGTTGGTGTAGACCTCCGACTGGCTCGACAATAAGACAAGAAGGTCTAAGATCCGTTGGAGCCATGTCAGACGTAAAGTGTTTGTCTTGCGCAGCTGGGCTTCTGTGATGGGTTCGGTGGTGGGTCTTTCGCCGATGCCGGCGTTCATGGCGTAGAGGAGAACAGAGATTGCCGACTCTGCAAGGCGTTTGTTGGTGGACTCGTGGACAGCCTCATGAGTGTCACGGCTGAGGATCAGTAACGCAGATTGAGCGACCTGGGTCAGGCGACCTTCTTGTTGGGAGGTCAGGTATCCAGCTCGGTATAAGGATGCGACCCCGATAGCCTCCTTGAGAACGCGTGCCCCGGCATCTGGCTGGTCCACCACAGATCCCGAGAGGTTCAACTGAGCAGCATCCAGGTGTGAAATTGACATCAACGACAGATCGGCCAATCGACGCAAGACGCGCTGCCCTGTCAAGAACCGTGTGAATGAGAGCTGATAGAACACCCTCAACACCACCGCACGCAGCTCGCCCAACAGTTCCTTGGCATCATCGGACAAGGCAGGCTGATTTGACAATCGAGTGCGATTAGGTCCAGCAGACGAACGAGGTCGACGCATATGGTGACCCAGCGTATCCAAGAACACCAACTGCAAGACTTCTACCTCTGGATCCTCCTCAGTCTTGATCGTGCCATTGGCGTTGAAGAACAAGACCCTAAACAGCTTCTCGACCAAATCCACAACACGCGACCCTGGCAAGGTGACCTTCTTGGCCAACCCATCCAACCCACGGACTTTATCCAACTCTGCCAACGCTTGATCCTCGCCCTGGACCAGCAGCGGCAACCCACCCAGTGTCAAGATCCTTCCAAGGCCTTCCTCACCCACAAACAACTCCTCTGCAGTGACGGCATCAGCACTGTCGACCCGGGACCCATCCTTAACCTTAAAGTTCGACAGGCTCATAATCAAAAACTCCATCAACGACGTCGACGTTGTCGCATGCTTCGAAGCCATCAGAACCGCGGGCGCCATCAAAGAAGGCTCAAAACTCATCAACTGCGTCAACAGCGGGAACCAATTGACCGCCGGCAAGGGCGTCGGTAAACTGTGAACCGTATACAGCAGCAATTCCAAACTCTTGGCATAGCTCTTGAGTGCCCGCTGGGCAGTACCCATCTGGAGGGGCTCCCAAAGCCCATCCCACAGCGCGCGTAACCAGGAGGTCGAGACGGGCAGGCGAGCGTAGTCCTTGGGCTCACTGCTGGTGCCGATTACTTTTCCGGTGTCGACTTGGCCCAGGCGCTGGAAGTGACAGGCGATGTGACCGAGCACCATGGCTGATAGGCGTCCGGCCTTGAGATCCTGGAGCATCAACATCGATTTGGGGTTGGGCGTGACCTTGGAGCTTGGGAGAATGGTTGCGAAAACTGCGGCGGTACCGGTTCCCGCTGTAGCGTCGCCCGCACCCGCACCGGCGGCAATGGAGATAAAGAGTCCGCTCAACTCAGTTAACGTCGACAGTGCAGAGTTGGTGACCGACGCCATGGCAGTAGGGTTGGTAGAATTCGTGAGGTACGAGAACAGACCGTGGTTTCCAACAGAAGCAACAGTGGGGCCCTGACACCAGTCGATTCCGAAGAGTGAGCCAAGAGCAATGACTGCAGTGTGACGGGCGGCAGAGGTGGGCGTGATCCGGATGAGGTTGACGAGCGAGTGGATCCTGCCGGTGAGGAGCGAGATCTCGCTCGAGGATGGGTTGCGGGCGTCCAAGTTGGTGTGGATCATATGGCAGAAGGGAACCGTGAAATGAACCAACTGGGACTGCAAATCGCGCTATTTCAGGTCACAAAGCCAAAATGATGGCGATGATGTGAGCGCGTAAATTCCATGAATCATCGCATAACAACTGAAAAAGAAACAGACAACCCATTGTTTCACTTACGCGTCCAGTGGCAGCAAGGAAGGCGCGATCCAAGAGTCCCGTATCACCTTGCCGCTCCTCAGGCGAAGCATCTGTCCTATCTGAAAATGCCAGGACCCAGGGCGCACCCAAGAGCCTTGCCAGCTTCTGCGCAGACAAAGCCTGCTGCTGGCTATCCAAAAACTTCTCCAAATCCTGTCTCGCCATCTCCTTGATCTTTTGAATAGCCGCCGCATCATCACCGCCTTGCCCGTCCCTGTATCCTGGTGAGGCTGAAGAAGTAATGGCCACTGAGAGTCTTGGGAAAGCCATTAAGAGTCCCAGGGTCAGTGCAAACGATGCCGTGTTGAGCTCAAAAATGGTCAGTAGACGGAGGAGGGTATCGTTGCAGATTGCGTTCAGCTCGGCCGTCTTCGTGGGTGAGCCCACAAGTCCAGCCAGTAGGTTGCAGAATGCCCATCCTACGCCGAAACTAGCCCAGCTCGTGATATCGCTATAAAAAGAAATAAAATACAGCAGAATTTGGAGTGAGTTCTCAAGTACAGACATGTTGTCACGGCCAAGTGATAAAGAGATGTAGGTGGGAGGGAGGGGTACCTCGAGGAATTAGAGTTGACGGCATCCTCATCCAGGGAGTCGGTAAAGACGCCAAGGACCGAGGCGACCAGTTTCTCGTCGACAGCTGCCAATGGAGTGATGAAACTCAAAGACACCAGGACCGCAAATTGAACCTCGTCGCTGCCGCCGATATCAGACATAGTCTCAGGCCGAACAAAGTCTTGGAGGAGCTGCTTGGCCAGCACTGAGCTCTGAACTGTCGAGGCGGGGTGCGCATGGCGATGCAATGACAGGATAAGGCCTAAGTTCATCGAACGAGAACGAAACGTTAGTTGTTGAGTTGGGGGCCAAAGGAAAAAGTCAACAGCAAGTAAACAAGCATATCGACGGGCTTACCTGTGATGGCGAAGAGTGCATTGGCGCAGTGGGCAGGAACATATCCATCCGTTATCTTCTTATAGAGGTCCGCAATGAGGATCTCGGCAATCGTCTGGGTCTGAACATCATCACTGGGCACCCACATATTGTCGAAAAGTGCTGTCCATCCTTCCAGTGCCGAGATACGTTCGATCAAATGATCCGTCAGCGCAACATCCTTGACCGCTGTCATCACATTCCTGTAACTCTGCCTAGCCCGAATAGCTTCTGCCGATCCCTCCTCGCTGACACCATCCACAGGCTTCTCAACCACGGCCGAGCAAAGCAGACTCGAGAGTGCGTATCCGATACGAAGACCCGGGTTGACATCTCCTGACTGCCACTTTTGAAGAATGTTGCCAGCGACGACCGAGAGCACACCCTGAAGCCTGTCGAGCTCCTGGGTTCCCGAGGCAGAGTCGACAATCTTCTTTGACCCAGCTTCCTTGAATAGTCCGCGACGCATGTTGGACAGCTCGAAGCGGACCAATTTCTCCAAGATGAATGAGTACTCGTCAAGGACCAGGGTGTCGTTTGCTTCAAGAACCTTCTCCCGTATGTATAGCGAAGGAGACTCGGTGGGCAGAACCGATGCGATTTCAGGAGCTGTAAAGCAACCCAGTGCCTTCAGTGCCGCTGCCAATACTTCGGGATCCTCTGAGGTCAAAAGCGGCTGAATGTAATTGACCAAAACAGCCTCCCGCAGATCCAAGTACACCTGGGTATCTATTTAAGTCAAGCATAAAGCTGTTAGCCCCCGTATCGTTAGTGAGTCCAAAGCAGCCGGTATCCCTCACACACCACTGCATTGGCGATAGACCAGCGCTTACCTTCATTCCTGGATCCAACAATGCCGTAAAAGACGCACATCTCCTGTAGCATTCCTGGGTGCATTGTCCTCGATGCATGTTCGCCGACATGACATAGCAAAACATTCCAAGCTAAATGATTGAGAAAGCATCCGATAAGTACGGGTCGTTAATGGTCTCAGGAGAATCCGTTCATACAGAAAAGAAGTGACAGAGATGAGAACTTACCAGCTCGTGGCTCAACGACTTCAGCCTCGACAGTGAGGTTCATAGTCTCGATGATGGTGCATATCGATGAGGCGTAGAGTTCAACAGAGCCAAGCAGGTTGGCTAAGAACGGGATGAGAACCTCGGCGTATCCTGCTGTATCGTATGCACAAATATCCCTATATGAATAAAAAATATCGTGACGATCGTTAGAATTGTAATACAAAGCAGAATTGGCAAACCATAATATACTATGACAATAAATAAAAGTTACCTGATGGTGGCAAGGACAGCAACTTCCATGTCGTATTCAGGCTCGCCCTTCAAGGGGGTCTTGAAAAGTCGGGGACGACTCTCAACCCAGCTGTGGATGACATGGCGGAGAGTCTTCCAGACACGAGGTTGACGCTTCCAGATTAAGAACAGGATCCTGACGCCTACAGCACCCATATGAGTGTTCATGATCTTGGTGCCAGAGGGAGCGTTAGGGACGCCGTGGATGAGTGTCAAGATAGTGCGCAGGACCTTGGCCGTGACCATCTCATCCTTGGAAGTGACCAGGGACGGAATAGCCTCCTGAAGCAAGTGCAGCTTGACCAATGGCGACGAGTCGACTCTGAGCACGTATATGAACAGAACAAGGGTGACTAGCCGACCTTCTTCCACCTGCGCCTGCCGTGTCATGGCATCGATCCGTTTGATCTCGTCCGGATGGAACATGTAGGTCGTCAAAATCAAGCTAGCGAATGTGTCGTCGTCGCCTAGTGAGAACAACGTCTCTCCTGCATCTGCCTCTTCTTCTTCCATGTCCTGCTCGTCTTCGGAAACACTCCAATTACGGCGCAAGTGAGCCACCTCTGTCTGAATCATGGCGGCCACACCCGAGGTTGCCCTGAGCTCAATCTCCGCCACCAAAGTCGTGTTGGTTGTCTTGGGGATGGTCTCCAGCTTCTGCAAGATGTCGGCGCACTTCTTGCTGATGTCCTCCGATTGCGACTCGCCCATGACCTGAAAGATGGGTAGGAAGGCGAGGTTGGCGATCATGGCTTCCACGTGTTCCTCGGTCGTCGTCATGACTGCATGCATCCAGCTGACCAAAACTCGCTGCTCATCCACTGTAGGCGAGTTCATCAGCAGGAACGAAAGAAGCGGCCAGAGGGTGTTGAACGACAAAGAGGGTGCTGTATAGCCTTTCCTGCTCCTGAAAAGCGCCTGAGCCGTCAGCATCAGAGGGAAGGTCGGGAGCCCATATCGTCTCAAGTCCGCCATCCAGGAGAGAAGCGCCATCAAGATCCGTCCACCAAACTCTGCCTTGTATTCAGCGTCCAGGGCCAATTGTGTTGAGGGTAGACAGTAAAAGTCGACCAGTGTCCGGAGGGATGACTGCAGTGTGGCGCTTGGCTGTGATCGGTCGAGAGGGAACCGAGTGGGGACTGAGCATAGGTAATCCAGGAGGTGTGTGACAAACGGCCTGAGGTCCTCGTCGTAAATGCAGGCGTTCAATGTTTTTGAGACCCACAGGACGGTAGCACTTGAGGCAATGAGGGTTCGTTCATGGCGATCCAGAAGACAAAAGTCCAAGAAAGGGGAGAGAATATCGAAGGCGGCGATCCGATACTGCGGCGAGTCAGGGAGGTGGTCTAGGATCCTGTCCATCTCTGTGAAGAGAATCGACTCCATTTGAGAGTTTGTCATGATAAGGGCGATGAATGGGTGTCGATTGTTCTTGGTCGTAAAGACGCTCTTGCTGATATGGACTTTCGACTTCACAGATCCCGAAGCCATCTCAGCTGCAGAGATGAGAAGGTTGCTGAGGGAATGGATCATGTTGGCGAGAGCCTGACCCTGAGCTGTTGACAGCGCGTTCTCGAATCCCTGGAGAGCCTCGTTCCAGTCCAATGCATCCTTACGGACCAAATCAATCATGGCTTCTGTGGCGACTGAAGAAGTATAAGCGACTAGAGAGGCACATTGAGACCATAGCTGCGCGAGGCTGAGGTTACGGCCATTGTTGGTGTTGCTGGCAGCTGAAGACGAAGAGGTGAGTTGGTTGGAGAGGCTGGTGATCTTTTGGACATTGACAGAGCGATGCGTTGTTGTTGTATTTGAGGTTGTTGTAGTTGATGCTGATGTGGGTTGTGAGTCCGAGTTTGTCCTGAATATCCCTAGCTGCTGCGGTTTCTTGATGGACGCCATGACAAAAGAACGCGAATGACCGGTAGAGGGAAGTGATGAGGTTTGAGACCAGTGTGCCAGGACTTTAGGGGGTAGAAGGAAGTGGAAGTGGGAGACTGAGTGGATCGCACCCCTTAATGTCAAGGGACCATTGATACTGTTCACTGCACAGAGTGATATTCGACTGAGTGAAGCCTTTGATGTCGTTTGACCTAGCCCAGCGCAAACTCAAAAAGCGCATCCAAAAGACCAAAACCTAGGAGAGTAGTCGTCCTGCAGCAGAAGGGGATGACGGATCTGGTGGGCCATTGCTCGGTAACGTTGTTCTTCCGGGTGGGGCAGGGGGCTGGTTGTTGTGCTCATCGACTTGCGACAAAAAGGAAAAAAAGATAAAGAATCTTGAGATCTAGATAATTTCCTTTCTTAGCACCGTGCCAATCGACGAAACTGTTCTTTACGTTATCAGCAGCCGCCCATAAAAAGAAAAACTTTTTGTCTCTCATCTTCTCTTCATTCCACACCAACATCAACACTTCTCCTTTTTCACACACTTTTACAACAACGCAACAGTCATGAGTGCAGCACCATCATCACAAGACACCCCCGTCGCTACAAAGATCACTCAGGAGGTCAAGCAGGAAGTCCATGACCTTCAGTCCGGAGAGATCGACACCGTCGAGACAAACGCCCGTTACCTCGCCTACCTCGCCCGTTACAAGTCCCTCTTCGTCGCCTCCTCTCGCTATCTCGCCTACTCTTCCGATGTCGGCGAGGCCTTCCGTCCCGTCACCGCTCCCTTCTTTGTCAATGCCATGTACGGTGGTAAGTTTTCTCTCTCCACTTTAGCATCACTCTTCGCCTTTTTGTTGCTTGTTGCTACTTGTTGCAGCAGCCTCTGAGCTGTTGTAAATTGCGTTATTGCTAGATCAAGGATCTTACCAGATAAGATAACGTTCATCAATTGACCTTTCTTTTTTTTTTTCTTGATCGATAATAGTCTCGTTCGCATACGTTGGATTTGATGTCGCATACGAGGGATACAAGGCCAAGATCGCAGGAGCACCCAACGATGTCATAGGAATGACCGTAAGTGCAAGCGGGATCGAATTCAATTGGCTTGGCTTTACACCTCTTCAGGACCATACATGTGTATCTCGTTACTCAACACCTTGTTCTTTTCTTTTTCATGGATATCTAGGTCTTGAAGCGTGGTATTTTCCAGGGTCTTGCTTCTTTACTCATGGTACGTCTCCTTGCATTATTATCTGATCAGGATTGTTCGACTTCGGGAGTGGAAAAGAAAACACAAAGGACTTCAAAGTATTCATGCTGTTTTCACGTTTTTATTGCATAATCGCTCTTAGCCCGCTATCACGATCCACACTGTCGTTCACCAATCAGGAAAGATTTTCAAGAATAGCGCCAACGTTGCATTGAAGAAATGGGGACCTACCGCCCTCGGTCTTATGGTTGTGCCGGCATTGCCCATCATGTTCGATCACCCCATTGAGCACGCCGTCGACAGGGTCTTTGCCATGCTAGAGGGTGGCGGAGGAAAGACTCTTCCTATGGAGCCTGCAGAGAAAGAGAAGGTTTTGGATGCCGTCCTCAACAAGGAGAAGACAGAGTAAAATACTTGACGAGTAATAATTTTATATGACAACAAATAATACAAAAATGCTACGCCTGGCGCCAATTAGACCATAGAAAATAAATATAGGCATGAAAAAGCTGTGGTGGCGTTCGTTAGAAGGGCGGGAAAAAAATGTGCCAGGAAAGTGGCTTTCGGAGATGGAGCAAAATCTCATCCTTCTTCTCCCGCTGTCACCCATGGTCACCCATTATCACTACACTCGACCACTACAACCAGCATTCAATTGAGCGACGGACATTATGCTTCATTTGATCAAGAACAAGACGAAGGGCTGAAACGTAGTCCAGTCCACTCTTTCTACTATACCATTCGATCCTGGGACACCCACCATTAAACCATGCACGGCTGCAAAACAATTAGGATTGACGCGCCGCCAAGCTGAGGTGCCAGTTATCTTTCTACCAAGCCTCGCGTCATGCGACCGGACTATGGATATGGATTAGTGCTCTTTCGCAAGTTCGGCTTTGAGACCCTGCAGCTGGCGTTTTAGCTGAGTTACCATGGGGCGTTAACTGTGGAGTGGAGTGGTCCAGTGCAGGGTGTGCACTATAGCCAACACTTGCTTCCCTCACTCTTGGCCGGCTCAAGTAAGAGTATTCGGTCGAGTCAACTAGGGTTCGTCTGTCCCCATGTCTTGTTCTGTCGATGAGAGGTGCACACGGACAAAAAAATCTCTGAGCTTTCCTTCGATGATTAGTCTCGGGGGTGGTGAGTTTTAAAAGGGTAATGTATGACGAAAGAGTATGTATGTGACCCTCGTTGACTGGCCTGGACTGTCCCATAAACATGAAGGAGAGGAGCCTACCAAGTTCCAATTACTTTCCCAACCAGCCTTCCTTTTAAAAGTCCGAGATGAGCATGAGCTGTTGTTTGTGTGAGTGTCTTCCCCCATCATTATCAACCCCACTCTCTTAATAATAGAAGCAGGAAATAAAGAGAAAATTCGGACTTTGCGTGGAATTAAAGGGTATAAAAAACACCGAAGAAGGAACGTGGGTGTGGCCCTTGGTCATCACACACGCATGGACTTTTTTTTCCTTCTCCTTTCCTACCTCTTTTTCATTTTCTTTTTTCGTCTCTTTCCTTATTCGATTATTCATCCATAACAATAACCTCCTATAGCAATAACAGCCTCATCACCCATCGCCTTTTAACTCATCAACCATCGAACATTCAATCGACCTCGGCATAATCTCACTTCGTCACCAACTCTCTTTTTTTTTTCCACCTCCCCTTTTTTTTTATTCCATCGCTCATCATATCAAATGTGCCACCGAGTTGTCTGTCACGACTGTGGAAAGTTCACCTGGGAAGGTAAGCTCCATTCCTTTCCCTTCCTTATTTCCTATTTGCCCCCCACCCTATCCTCTTTCCTTTACCATTGGGAATCCCAACACACACGTAACACTCATCTACAACTTGCAACAAAAATACCAGCAACCAGAGTTTTATTAACTCGAGAACTGAAAAAAAAAATTCTCCATCTACTATATCTTCTTTGTTTCCGTAGGATGTGGTCTTCATATTGCCCAGGCACTAGCAGGTCTCTCACTTGAACAAATCTGTTCATGCGACGATGATCGCGACAGTGAACACTCCTGGGCCACCATTACCAACCCAGCTACATCCACATCCACTACAGGACCACCGCCACGAGGAGGAGCAACGCGATACCCTCTCCCCTACCCCGCCGCCAGCGCAGCAGCTGCCTCTGTAGCCTCCTTGTCATCACTACGAAGCACCAGCGCCGTTGTAGAGACATGTCACGATGATGACAATACCACCAGCATTGACTCTGGCACGACGACGCAATATTCAAACACTCCGGACGCGGTCGAATACAAACTGTCCAAGATCTCGGCCACATCCGCCACTGAGGCGGCCATCCGAATGGCGAAACAGGCCGCGGCCCTTGAGGAGCTCAAGCGTCGGAAAGAGGAGAAGGATCGAGAGTTGAAGGAGCATAACCAAGGGGCACTCGACAAGTTGTTGCAGGGGCTTGGGGAAGCTGTCGATGATAACGGCGTCAAGAAGGACGGAGCCACTTGAAGAGACGAATGCGGAAAGGAGACAATACTATAACAACACACACAACAATATCGAATACCCGTACAGCACACCTTATTACCTCTTCCTATTTTTCGCTCTGTTTTTCTTCTTCCTCTTCTGTAGTTCCTTTCTTCCCACTTCCCCAACATCTGCGGCTTAGTGTATGTCCTATAAACCTATTTACACCCCCCCTCCCCCTTCTCCTCTCACCTTTGCGTTTTTTTTCCGTTTTCTATTCCTGAGTCCCTTTCTTCCCAGTTTACTTTCATTTTTGACAGATCATACCATGCATATCCGTAGTTTCCCATCGTCGTCGTTGCCCATCCACCATCCCATCCTTATCCTACAGCAACATGCGTCAACAAAAACACTCCCGACAAAGCAAGCACCCTTCTCTATTTCTTCCCATTGGTTTGAGCCCTCTATCGCATATTGCGAGAATTAATAAACCGCAAATTCCCAAATCAAGTCGCTCGTTCATGAAACAATGAGTACCACTTCTATGGTATAGTATGGTATGGTATGGTATGGTATGGTATGGTATGGTTTTATTGGGGGGGAAGGTATTCACGCCAAAGGCGAGGCGAGGCCCCGAGGAGTACAAGACAAAAACATAATATTAGTTGCGCAAGAGCCGGTTAACGGCCTTCTTGAACTTGAACATCCCACCCTTCTTCTTGGCACCAGCTGCTCCACCACCAGCGATCCCATTGCCCCAAGCCCGACCCTTCACACTATCATCATCATCCTCATCCTCCTCATCATCATCATCATCCTCCTCATCTCCAGGTCCAGACCGGATATCAAACGGCGCCTCGTACTCATAATCATCATACTCATACTCGGCCGTATCGTCCTCATAATAGAACTTGGAGTTTTGTTTCTCCTCATCATAGTTGGGGTTGCCGATCCAGGGCGCCTGGGTGACGAGGACGTCGGCGGGGAGGGGGGTATAGGGTTGGTTGTAGTACTCCTCGTCGTACTCCGGGTCCGGGTGAGGTCCCGTCTTGTCGCCGTTCTTCTTGGCCTTCTTCTTGGCTGCTGCAGCGGCTTTCTTCTTCTTGTCCTTGTCGGAACCGGGTGTAGAGACGGGGAGGGGTGGAGTTTCGGGCTGCTCGATGGTGACGATGGTGATCATGTCTCCGAAAACAACCTTGCGGGGTCCCTTGGCTTCGCGGGCTCGTGCGCGGGCAATCGGCGTCTTCATGATCGCGGGTCTGACAGCCCCGTGGTGTCGCTGATGTGGGTTCTGTTGCGGCTGGTGCTGGTACTGGTACGAAGGGCTGTTATTGTTATGGTTGTTGTTGGTGGTGGACGAGGTGGTCGAGATGGAGCCCTGACTATGAGACCTTAACCGACTGCTGTCGAGGCGGTTAGAGAACATCTCTGAAGGCGTAGCACCGCCACCGCTGGCAGAGGGCGAGTAAAGAGCAGGCGAAGACGAAGAGTACCCAGAATGCGAGCTGCCATCATAAGGTCGTGACGATGATGAATTCGACTGTTGTTGATGCTGGTGCCGTTGTCGATAATGTGCTTGCTCTTCGCTCTGACTCTGATGTTGCTGGCCACGTGAGAGAGAGGTGGCACTGTTGTTTTGTGCTTGATGGTGGTACAAATGCTGGTGGTTTGAACCACTTGTTCGATCCTTTGACCGACCGTTAGTCAAATAATTGAGGTGACTAGAGCGAGAGCTGCTCTTGTTGCTACTGCTGCCGCTGGTACCGTGTCCGTGTCCTGTACTGCCAGCGCTGTTGCCGTGGTGGTTGCTGCTCGAGTTACTGCTGGGCGTTGGTGATGATGCTACTGCTCCTGTTATGGCATTGTCTGCATAGGGGTTGATGTCCGCCAGGGTCGAAGAGCCTCCACTTGAAACAGATGTGTTCCTCCGTCGTTCCATCGAAGCCTCGACCACGGCCGAGAACGAGGTCAAAGAATCAGACAGGTGAGTGTCACCGAGCAGGGGAGGCAAATGAGAAGCGCTGATGCTGTTGTTATTATTGTTACCAGGGTAGGGGTTATTGTTGTTGATGTTGTTGTTGTTTTGAGCATTCCCCAGCGTTCGCCTTGCGCTGTCCTTTTGCGGTGGCTCTGGCCGTCCATCGCGCAGGTCAGGGGTCGAGTGGTTTAGGCTGAGAAAAGAGGACCGATTAGAGGTCGAGGCGACGGAGACCCTGGGAGATTCAGAGGTGGAGATTGAATTCGAAGCAGACGACGAGGGCACAGGCAATGGCCTCTTTGAGTACGACCGGGGTGTGCTGTTGGTAACAACGGTAGTTGACGACGACGCGTCGTGGAGAGTGAACGACTCTCGACTGCCCCGGACTGCTCCTGATTGAAGATAGCTGCTGAACTTTGCCGAGGCGGCCATCATGGGACTATTGGTCGTTGACGGGGTTGTCGAGGAGAGGGACGTTGTAGAGGCTGCAAAGTCTGTGGGCTGTGCAGGAGTAGGCGCGTTCCTCAAGGGCGCGACAGCTCTCCTACTCGGAGATTGCACCGCAAAGGGATCGCGCTGTTGTTGCTGGTGGCGATCAGGACGACGGCTGGAGCTGGTGACGGGAGGGGTTGGAGGCTGGGCTGCCCAAAAGTCCTTGCGCTCTGAGAAGGGTGATGTTGGCGATGCCGTCGAAGGGGAGGTTGGGTCGTCGTCCGAGTTGCAGTACTTGTCAAGAATGTCGCCAAAATAGTTGTCCTCCTCATTGTTGTCGCTGTCGTTCTGCTGGTCCTTCTGTTCCCTGGCATCGCCATCTTTCCTCACGTTCTCGACTGCTCCTTGCGCCCACCCAATCGACCAGGACTTGTCGGTCGATATCTGTAGAGCAGGGAGGGTAGGCTTGGTTGAGTGGTTGTCCTTGCCGATTGTTGAATCTTGATGTAGGAGGTTGTTACTGCTGTTGTTCTGTTGACTGTAGAAGTTTGAACTTGTTCTCCGAGGAGCTGTCGAGTGGAAAGAGCTTTTGTTCCTGGTGCTACTGTGGCCGGTCGAGGCAGGATGAGGAGGTCTCGAGCCGCTCATTTCATGGGCTTCCTGGGACCTCATCTTGACAGGAGGAGTAGGGGCCTGATGACTTTTTTGGGAACGATTCGACTCTCTGCTAGAAGGCGACAATGAGGATGGAGGAGAAGACGACGACTGGTCCCGGGTGGCCCGTTGACGTTGGTTTTGAGCGAGAAGACCAGGGAGGGAGGTTGTTGAAGTCGGGGCAGCTCTTGTTGAATGAGTTTCGTGGAGGGAGGCTTGGGAGAGAGTTGAGCGCAATGAGTCGAGGGTTGAGGGTGAGGGAGGGGCGGGTTTTCTGCTGCGATGATGAGGTGGAGTGAGATGGGCGGTTGAGTCGATGGAGGCAGCCATTGTATATTTGTTTGAAGAGGAAGAGAGGTCGTGTGAGGGAAGAGGAGAAGCGGGAGGAGAAGACGACGGAGGAGGAGGGGGAAAGGATAATACAATAAAGAAGAGTCGTGAAAGTAAAAACACAGGGTCGATTGGTGCGGGAAGGAAGAAAGGTATATATTGCGGTGAGGAAAGGGAAGAGGGAGAAGGGAAAAGGAGAAGGGTGTGTTGTTTGTTAACGAAGCAAGACAACAAAAGTGGTGACAAAGAGGCAGAAGATGAAAGAGAAAGAAAAAAAAAAGAGAGGGAACGCGCAGAGAAGAAAGGAAACGAAACCTTGTCGGATGTTCAAGTCAAAGGTACAATCAAAAAGGTCAAGTCTAGGTCAAGTCCCAATCCTAATCGTCTCATCTTGCATATCGAACGACTAAACAAGTCTTTCGGGTAAGGACGACGACCCAAATGAGCGAGACAACGAATGACAACCCGAGCCACAGGTGCATGTGTGAATTCGCATCCGTATAAAAATACATGAGGCAGGGCATCCTTTTTTTTTTGTTTTCTTGCTTTGTTTTGCTGGGTGTATGCGCATACACAAAAGACTGGCGCCCACTTGTTGCCGCTTTGCAGCCAAGAGAACAACAACCAAAGAAAAACGAACAAGTTGACCCGGTTGGGCCGGTATGGATAAAATTCATTCATTCACACTCTCAAACAAGTTCCAACCTTAATTAACAATGGTCCACTTGCTCATCACGCTCGTTTCCTGGGGTCGGCCGTTCGTTCGTTCCTTCGTTCCTTCGTTCCTTCGTTCCTTCGTTCGTTCGTTGTTCGTTGTTCGTTCGCCTCATTCCTCCTTCTTATTGTTTTTTTTTGCCAACTTGACCCAACCGCAACAGCTCATTTCTTGTTCTGTCTTCCTTTGTCTCTTTTGTGCTCTTGTTTGTTTGTTTGTTTGTTTGTTTGCCAAACGTGCAACAGACATCAACCATCGACCCATCAACCATCATCGCCCATCGCATATTAACCAGAAACACAAAACACACAACAATGGACTTCCAAGAGCACAACATCGATATCACGATGGCCCTGTCCAACAAACCAAAAGCACACAAGGCAACCACAAGACAGAAGAAACAATGACAAAAGACACGACACAACAAAATTATATTACCATGCACATGCCTGGACGGCCTGTTTACCATAATCAACTCTACCCGTGGGTAGTCTAATCGCCACCACCACTACTCACACGAAAAATAATCAGTCGCTCGTTTCTTACTACTAACACTAACTCTAATATTGGTAATGAGCTCTCAAACAGTTAGGCCGCATTTCCCCTAATTGCCATATTTCCCCTGGAAAGGCAGACCATTTTTCCATCTCTCTCATTCTCCACACACTCAATAGCCTCAATTTTTTTTTTCGGTACACTTCAAAACGTATCACCCGACTATTTCTCGTAACGCTCTTTCGTTTATGCATTAGCGCGCTTTTTTCTGCCTTAATTGAATTATTGTTGTCAATATTGAGGCATTGAAGTGGGTGTAAACTAGACTACCAGGCTGGCTCCAGTAAATAGACTAAATACCCATTTATAAAAGATCGTCCAAAATAACTAGGTGAGCGAGATTCGATGAGCGTTATGTCAGTCAAGCTGGAAAAAAAGAAGACAGACGCTCTTCACTTTTTGTAGGTGTGCGCTGGAGTCTTATTTTTCCGACTAAAGCGCTAAAACAAAGTGAAACTGTTCCTGGATTCCAGCTGGTTTCACCCACCCACTGATGGAGACGAGCTGGACTCGCCGTGATGGCGACTGGTGGATATTTAGTTTTCGTGCTTATCCTTCTATGAGTGTGCGTCTCATTTGGTCGTCAAAAAAAGTGAGAAAGGTGGTGAGGATCGACCGGTTTTTTTGATTTTGTCATTTTCTTGATCTCTCTATCTCTCTCTCCCCGCGTTTCTCTTTTTTGATCACCGCTGTCGCTTGTAGGCATAAAGACAAGGACGCCCTTCTAATCTGAATGTATTCTCGTTACTCTGATATGTACAGAAGTAGTATTGATGATGGCTAGGTACTGTCTGCAATTACTGAGGAAGAATAAAGGAGGGTTGCTACGAATGGGAAGAAGCAAAAGAGGATGATGTGAGTGAAGCACATGGTAATCACAAATAAAGAATACTTTCTTCGAAACAGAGGGACACACAGCATGGCGATCGTGACTGGGGGGGGATCGCATAGGGTTACTATACGCGACTTGATATCTTTCGCGTGAACATCCAAGACAAAACGCGTTTTTTTTATCAGTGATCAACGATATGACCCCCCCCCCCCAACCTTTCCTCCACCTTCGTTCTTTTCACATTCTTCTTTCTTTCCCTTTCTTTTCTTTCTGTCCTTCTCCTTCCTTTCTTTCTTTCCCTTTATTTTCTTTCTGTCCTTCCTCCTTCCTTCCTTTCTTTCCTTTTTTTCTGCCCTTTACTTATAACTATGCCACACATATACTTTTCATTCTATCTTACTATCCCGGTTCACCTACCCTCTCACGCCTCGATCCTCAAGGCCCTCCACTCCCACCCACACACCCAACACTCGAGTCGTCTTGGAAAACATCATCAACAACCCAACTAACGCCCATAAACATGACCAAACCCACCCTACCACCACCTGCAACTAGTTTGAAACTAGGAAGATATAGAGAAAGAGAAAGAAAACAGACAAAGCGACAAGGAGACGAGCACCAACGATGGGGCCCCCCATGAGGAACAAAATACTAGAAGTAGTAAGAACATGTCTTTTTTAATATAGACAAGGTAGCTATGAACGAGAACACTGACTATGGTTTCTGGTATATGTCCCTGTGTTTGAAAATATGCCAAAAAAAATCATTCTATGCTCGTTGAATATCAATCAACCATGGACTGAGAAGATCGTCTCTTTTATTATGATTAGGGTGAATAAAAACAAGGGGGAGGGAGGAGGAGGGTTATGGGTTATGGGTTCGTAATATGTGGAGAGCCTGACCGAGGTGGCCTCAAACCAAAATTGGTAGTCTCGCGTAATGAGGAATGTGAGCTCTGGCGACTCAACATCGCCGGAAGAAGGAGCGATGGAGTCGATCCAGAAAAGGGGAGGACAGACGGCGAATGCAAAGGAGTCTGTGCAAGGGGACGGCCGAACGACCCACTCTTGGACGGCCTCAAGATCGTTGACGGGTTCGACGCTGTCCTCATCAATGTGGGCCGGCTTGTGATTCGAGCTCCCAGCGCCGTGGAAGAGGCTGCCCTCTTGGGAGTCAACCTTCCGCTACCTGGCGCTGCTGCTACTGAAACTGAAGATGCTGCTCTTCTCAGGTCCCGCTCTCCTTCGTCATCCGAATCGGCATACTCCAGAACGGGCTCCAGTGTGTCCGGACGGTAGAGCGACTGTCCATCCGAAAGCTCCTCCTGTTCGCGCTTCTGGTGAAGCGCCAGAATGGTAGCCGAAACGCGTCCTGAGAATGTTGAGCACGATTCATCGTCCTCGCTGATCGTGTCAGACCCTTCACCATCTTGGTCATCCGAGAACATCCTGTCCAGAATCTCGTGCATTCTTCCTGCGCTCACCGCAACGTTATTGCTATGATGACTCTCCGTGGGGCTCTCAGGTCTGCTTCCAGCCCGGCTCTTGATCGACGGCGTAGCGGTTTTCCTGCCAGTTGCTGTGTCGATCGGGATGGTGTCCAAGAACGCGCCTCGTGTCGTTGGGAGCATCAGGAGAGATGGCGACGACATGAGCTTCCGCTCAGGATCAGCCTGTGACTCGACATATTGTCCCGACTCCTTGCGCCAGTATTGAACCGCCTTCTCGGGACCCTTGGAGAACTTCAGGATTCCACCTCCTTGAAGCTTGAGGGGGGTCTCAGTCAGGAGGTTGCCTTCAACCGACTGGCGAGATGGACCAGACTGTTGTGCGCTCAGTGTAGACTGTCTCCTGCTCTCAGACACAGTATTCTCCGAGAAGGAAGAGTCCATTCCTGTCAAGACTGAGGTTAGATCCGCACTCATATTCCTCAGCGGCTTGGCTCGACCGGATGGGACACCATTCGAGGTGGCATCAGATGCGGTCCTCTGCAACATGGTTGGTGGAGCAGGCATCGATAATGACGACCGGACAGATCCTGCTTGCGAAGCCAGGGCCTCGGGGTTGGCGACAAAGAGACTCCTGTTTCGCTCATAGTTCCGGCTCGATTCTTGGAAGAAGCGGCCGATTCCGATAGAGTTCAACTCTCGCAAGTTGTCGTCCCCAACCTGAGAGGCGTCATCTGCAGTGTCCATGACAGCTGGAGGTCGGTTAGGTCGAATGACCTCAAAGGCCTTGGGCTTGGAACCATCACCAGACGATCGCTTGATAGAGGGCTTCTTCATGCTGAAGACGCCGCCAAATGTGCCCTTGACAGATTGCCAGACACTCGTCTTCTCGACTGGTGCAGCAGCTGTAGGCGGTGTAGGATCATTTGGCTCATAGAGATACCGGCCGTCCCTGAAAATCTCGGACATCCGCCTGGTTCTCATATCCTGCGTCGCCTGCTGGTGATTCATCCTCTGAGATCTGGTATAAGAGTCGCGCACGGGAGGTTGGAATCGTGCTTTGGAGAGTTGTGTGGGCTGAAGTGGAATGGCGCCTCCATCCAAGGAATCGACAGAGGCTCCGGGGGAGAGCGGGGGAGGTGAAGTGGATCGTGCAGACATGGGTCCTGCAGCACTCGACAAAGGTCTCATCGCCTCTGAGCGCAAGTCGGGCTGAGCGAGGCGATCGTCGTCTGACGGGAATCTGGACAAGCGATAGTTCGGGGGAAGGTGAGATTGTCGGATACTTGCTCGGTTTCCGAATGTCCTATCTCCGGGAGGTAGGGGACGTAATGAATCTCGGCCAGAGTCGCTCGCGGAAGAAATGTAGGGCTCGACGGTGTAACGCCTCGTCTTGGAAAGATCGACCAGCGACGAATCATCGGGTCGGTGGCTGACGGGTCGCCCTGTATCAATCCAATCCTGCTCCGTCTCTGCATTGTCCTCGAAACCGTAGTTCTTGATCGGTCCTTGCCACGAGAGCTCATGCCGAGCCTGCCAGAACATGACCACCTGGATGGTATTCCACAGAACAAGCGCAAAGATCACAACAAAGACGGACAAGTGAAGACCCATCTGGACGTATCCAAAGATCTGACGGGTCTTGGGAGTCACGTTGAGCTCTTGGATATAGGGAATAGAGCATCCAGTGACTAAGATCTTGACAACGCTAAGTAGGATGTGGAACTTGTTGTCGCCAGAGTCGGAGAACGGCCATTTCACTCCAATGACCATCATATAACCGAGCTCAACAACCATCAGGACGGCAACTTGAGCGATTCCATATGCCGACAGCATGGCAACCGAGAGACCCCACAAGAACCGAGCCAGGAGATTGACAAGGAAAAACAGGGTGCCTTCTTCGGCAAGGGTGTTGTAGAGAGCTCCGTACTTGAGAAGGAGTCCAAAGTCCTCCAGGTGATTGTCTCCTGATGCAGAGCGAAGGATCCTCCAAGTAAGAAAGACACTGGTGCCTACTGTAAGGACTATCAGTGATGTTGAGGCGATCGCCATCATGGTAGTGTCTCCTGAAATGGTCAACTGGAACATTGCCGACAGCGCCAATGGTGTGAACAATAGCAGCCAAACGCGAATCACGTTGCCTAAGAGAGTTGCAAAAGAATCTGAGGTCAGTCTATGTTCACATCGAAGACTTGCCATTACAGTATCCACGGCAGTTTTATTTTTGTCGTGCAAGCAGTACCTGCGACGAAGTCGAAGGCGTGCTGCAAAGCCCTGCCCTTTTGACGGCTCTCCTTGGCACAGAACCATACGATGACAAGCACAACGGTTGAGAGGAACAAGGACGCCCCTCCTGCCAAAACAGTGTTAATCAAGGTGCAAAGAAAGAGGTCCGAAGGGTATGCTCCGATAGCTGCAGCATACGCTTCCAGACCAAAGAGAGAAACATTGTACTGTTTAAAACCCACATTGTTGTTGTTGAATGGGTCACTGATGATGGGAATGATAGGGGTGCTCTGCGTAGGCGTAGGTGTAGGTGTGGGCGTCGTAGGAAGTTGAGAAACAGTCGTAGCGTCCGATTGTGTCTTTGAGGTCGTCGATTTATTGGACGAAGTCGATGACGATTCAGTTGATGTGGAGGCCGTCGTTGTTGTAGTCGTTGTAGTTGTACTGGTGGTGCCCGTAGGGCCTGTTGGCGTGGGTTGCGGGGAGACTGTACTCAGATTGGGATCGGGGTCCAGGCGCTTCCTATCATTGTTTGAAGGCGAGTGGAGGATCTGATAATGTTAAACGCGATCATGGGACGTGAATAAAGGAATGTTATCATACCTGTGTTGGCAACATTCATGAGCATACCTTAGCTTCGCATCAACAACAGCGGTGGGTGCCGGTACTCGTGCAGGGATCGCTTCCTTGACAGGCAGTTTCACCTCCATCGCGCGAAACATCTCCGACATGGCGAGGGTTTCCTGCCCAGATTCTGGTAAGAGTCGTTTTGCAAGAAGCCTGTCGTTGTAGCTGAAAGGGGATTCCTTGACTTGGTTGACAGATCCAGCGCCGCCGTAGGTCAGAACATAAGTTGCGTTGTCGGGTCCATGCCCTGCAAACGAATTGCGGAACTCAAGGAATGACCAGTGAAAGAGAGCAGTGAAGGTCGAGTAGAACGAAGGGTAGTTGATGGAGAGTTGGCCCGTCATCACCATGAACTGGGTATAAAAGATGATGTCGAAGAACCCTGGGGTGTGAACATTGATTATCTCCGACGTCGTGAGGAGTCCATAGGATGCAACCGCGCCTAGAAAGCCACTACCGCTTACAGTCGCCCTCAAGGCAATCGATGTGAAGGAGATCCCTGCAGAATAGGCAGCGAGTGCGAGCGGAAGGTAGCTGATGATGGTGTTGACTTGAGGCATGTTTTGCTCTAGCAGTACAGCGACGCATACAACCGTTTGATTTGCTGGGGCCATGATTCGGAAGGTGATCATGAGTTCAGTGAAGGGTGCCGTTTGTGCGATTGCATAGCTCTAGTACGATTGTGGTTGACAAAGAAGCAATTGTATTTTAATGACAGCTGAGAGCATCCACATGCAAACCACTTTCATTTTTTTTCTTTTTTTTTTTTTTTTTTCTTTTCTTTTCGTTTGCTGTACTTACCGTGGAGATGAGGCCTACTCCCAAGTTGTTTGAATCAGGACATCCTCCTTTGATCACTCCACATGCCGGTCCTTCACTGCTGTGAACCTTTGCATCCATAATGGTGGTATCCACATATGCCTTCCCTAACAGTAACAAGAATCCAAGCGCGAGCGGGCGTTAGACAGAAGAATTCGAACCACAACGCACGAGCATTGTTTTACTTTATCTATGGATAGCGCGTCAATGGTTAAACGTGTTGGCTGTCGTGGCCTACTCACTGACCCCTCCGTCTCTTCTGTCTTTATTTTTTTTTCTCCCTTTGTGGTTTCTTCTCTTCATCCTTTTAGCATGTAACCCCTGTCTGGCGCATTCTCTTTGTACTTGTCAGGCTAGAATAGACTACTTGTCTTCATGACTAAACTCCGTCATCATCGCACCCATTAACTCTCTTTTAGCCTTTTAATAACTTCGAGAGCCAAGAAGTGAACGACGGCTGATTATTTTGTTTAAAATCATTAGCACCAAACCCGCAATCGTGGACCAGGTCCCTGTCTCTCCCCGTCATTTTTTTGCATTGAGGATGAGAGCGCGGTGATGAAGTGAAGCAAATATCGTGTGGGTGTGGGGAAGGATGAAGGAACGGGAAAGGGAAGACGATGCTACAGCATCTGCAGGAAAATCAGTCCTGGCGGTTGGCTTACATTCGTTGGTTAGCGGGTTTGCGAAGTATCCTGCAAGGCTGGCTTGTTTGGAGAAGTTGCCCTGCAGGGACAAATGGATGTTGGTATTGGATGAGTCAAGATAGGCGGTGACGGCGCCGAGGTCGAAGAGAGGTTTGGTGCCTGAGCAGTCAACATAGGGCCATGCGGAGGTAAAAGAGGGGAAGAGTGAAATATAGGCGAGGATGGCTAGGGGCAATAATAGGAGTCGTATCCGCTGGCGCCACCAACGGGGCTGCCCTAGCATGGTTACTCTGACAGAGATGCCGGGTCGGCTGTTCCGAGAACGAGAGAGTGAGAGTATCGGGGTAAAGAAGATGAATGAGTGTCTTCTGCACTGAGGGGGGCGATCGTTTGGCGATGGAGGAGTCTGTGTATGGTGAAAGAGGCTAGTTGTAGGTAGTGGTGATGAGTATGGAGGATGGTTTGAATGAGTTGTTTGCCGGAGGGTTGGTTGGAGTAGGGTGTGGAGAAGGAGTAGAGAAGCGAGTGATGAGTTGTGGTTAGAGCGATGGGGTAAGGGACAGAGACATGGAGAGGAGGAGGATGGGACGAGCCGAGGGTGAAGGAAGGAGGGTATTAAGATACAATTTAGGGAGTAGTAGAAGGATGAGAAGGAAGGATAAGAAGGAGGGTGAAGGGAAAAGAAGGAAAAGAAAGAAGGAAGGAAGGAGGGAAGGAAGGAAGGACGACAAGAAGAAAGAAGGGAAGTGCGCCGTGCCAACGTACAGCGAGAGCAACAGCAACAGATGCGCAATGAGCGTTCGTCATTGCTGTTAACGCCGTACCCCTGTGCAAGGAGGAAATTCTCCCTCTCTCACTTCTCTACTTCACAGTGGGAAGCCAGGCCTGCAAGTCCGTCTACAAGCAAGCATGGGCTGTGTGGAGAGGAAGGAGGAATCATCGCAACTTCCCCCCACCTTCCTTTAAATTATTATCATATTTACCCAACGGGTGGTTCCTGACTATGATGGAGTGTGCATATGTAATATTGACCCCAATTCATAAGTGATTAGTGATAAGTGATAGGTGATCATGGCCCGCACCCCCCGAATGCTCTCTAATTCTTCCCTCCTCACACTTTCACACCTTCACACTCGGACGCACTCTCACTCTGCCTTGACCCCTCCCCCCTCTCTCCATAGCTCACTCCCATCCCTTCTCTCTTTCCCTTCTCCCTCAGTCCTCCCTTTTTTTTTTCCTTTTTCTTTTGATTGTTGTTGTCTTTATTTCTTATTCTCCTTCCAGCATACGTTTCGCACTTCTATTTTTTTCTTTCATTACACACACACACCCTCTCACTCCCACTTGACACCCTCCCTACTCCATCTCCCATTCACTCGGCTTCATCCTTCCTCTCCTCTCCTCCTCATGACCCATTGAATGCCCTCCTCCTCCTTCAGTCCACCCTCCTCCCCTTCTTTCCCTTCCCTTTTCCTTCTTTCTCCTTTCCTTCCTCTCCTCTTATCCTCCTCCTAATAAAACACACTCGTTAAAAAAAATGACCGACAGGAGCCCGGACGAGCCAACCGCCACCTCGACGACCCACTCTTCCTTCTCTTCCTCTTCTTCTTCCTCTGCACCCTCCTTGAAGGCCCTACCTCGTCCCATTTCTATCCGCCACAGCCAGTCCTATGACCCGTCCCCGTCGAGTCCCTTCCGCCCGCGCAAGAGCCTCACCCCCTCACGTTCCTCCAACTCGCTGAGCCTGCTCTCCCCTACAAGTCCCTCCCACCCGCACCTTTACAACAGCAACGCGCCTAATACTTCTTCAGATGCCTCCCACGAATACGAGCTTCGGTCTCAAGTCTCGCCCTTGCGCACCTCGCCCTTCTCAAACCCCTTCAGGAAATTGCAAAGCACGTTTGGAGGGGGCAAAAAGAGTCTTGACCTCGGCAACAGTAATGGTCCTCTGAGCAGCAGCAATAACAACAGCGATTACTTTAATAGCTCACAGCCAAGGCCTGAAAAGGTTGTTTCGTCTTCTTCTTCTGCGAGCTCTTTGAACTCGTGGAGGTCCAAGGGGGCAGAGATCCTTTCAAAGTCCTGGGGGCGGTCAAGAAAGAGTACGTACCGCTCGCTCGCATCCTTATCATGGTTTGAAATTGGAGGGACACCAACCATGGATCTCGTTTTTGGAGACACAAGTTGTATTCTTGTTTGAACACAGAGGCAATAAGGGAAAGCGAGGTGGGGGAGGGGGATCAAAATGGGGCGGCCATTGACCTAGTGCTTGTGTTTGGACTATTGTGCTTTTTGTTGTCTCTGTGTTATTGTGCTGTACTCAATACTTCGGTATCCAACTAACTGTCCAATGCAATGTACTGCTGTCCCATATGACTTGATAGATTCGGAACCACTGTTGAGCAATACCCCAGGTCCCATGTCCAGCCAGCCGATCTTTGGCGCAAAACTTGAAGAGGCCATCCGGATCTCGCATATCCCCGACACGCCCATGGTCCCCGCTGTCTTGCATCGTTGCGCACAGTTCCTTGAGGCCAAGGGTGTCGATGAAGTGGGACTCTACCGGTACGCTTGCTCGTTGTTCGTTTTGACCTATTGTCTCACGCATTAAGCTGTGTCTTTTTCTTTGTCTTCGTCTTTGATATGGATGTGACACCCACGCAGTTTTTGTTTCCTTCCTCTCCTCTCCTCCCCTCTCCTGTCTTTTCCTTCCTAGCCTTCCCCTTCTTCCTCTTTCCTTTTTTCCTTTTGCTCATCACTTCCTTTCCCATTCTCGGAGTAATTAGTCCCCTACAGATTCGTGGCAAAAGTGAAGGAGACAGAGAGGGGTGAGAGGGGTGAGAGGGAGAAACAAAACAAACAAACAAACAAACAAAAAAAAACGACATGGAACATGGAACGGTAGGGATAACGGGTGAAAAACAAACGAGCATTGAAGGTCGTCAGCATTTGTAGCACAACCATTGAGCGCGTGTTGTAGATCTCTTTGGTAAAAGATGACAGTGCTGAACAGAAAGTGCAAGCATTGAATGCGCATGATAAGAGCTGCAGAAAGAAAAAGAAGAAAGACATATAATGGTCCCTTCCCCAATTCCACAATTCACAACGTGCAACAACAAACAATGAATGGGTGAATGCATTAACAAATAGAAACAGTTGGATGATGCGTTGTTGTTTGCATCATTATCCTCACCACTGCACACCCCCTCCCTCAATCTGTCTTTCTCTCACCCCCTCCTCCTCTCATCTCTCTACTCTCTCTGTCTCTCCTTCCCCCAAAGCATATTTTGAGTTGGGTCACAGCAACCGTCTGATGATAGTAAACTGCACCAACCAAAGAACATCAACAACATCGTCGACAACAATGACAAAAACACAAACCTGACTACAATGTATCTTTGTGCAACCCTGTTCGCTCCTTCGTTGCAGTTTTCTTCTTCTTCGTCCTTCTCTCTCATTTTTTTTCCCTTCCCTTCGTTCTTTTTTATGATTCTTTGTTCCGCTCCTCTCTATTGTTTGCTTCGTTAGGTGACCCGTGCAGGTCTGGGCTAATATACCTGGCGAGATTACTCTTTTAATTGAACGATATTCGTTTATGAGTTTCACATATCGAAATGAGGGACGGGCGCAATATTTTATATACTTTTGTGCCAAATACCTTTTGACGATCTAACGCCAATTAACCTTGTGCTTATTATCTTACCAACAAATAGTGTCCCTGGGAGCCATGCGAATGTTCAAAAGCTGAAGCGGATGTTCGACACGGGAAAGGACTATAACCTCCTGACCATGGATGCAATCGATGCCAACGACATTGCCACACTTCTCAAGCTGTACCTGCGTGAACGTAAGCGTGATAAGGAACGATAAAGGATAAGATTACATGTATTTGCATGATCAGATACGGTACTGTAAACAATAACAAACGAAATCAATCAAGCTCACACATGCACGCCACATTCTGTCCTTCGACTAGTGCCCTCACCATTGCTCCCACCTACCTTGCTGGAGCAGTTCCAGTCATTACTCACGACAGATCGACACATCTGCCATACCCTCCGTGGTATCCTCATTCGACTCCCTCGGCCCAACTATGTTGTTTTGTCCTATCTTTGCCACCATCTCTCCAAAATCGCCTCTCACTCTGACAAAACAAAGATGACTGTCTCCAACCTGGGTGTCGTCTTTGCACCAACTCTTTCCATCGGCAGCGTGCTCTTCAAGGCCTTGCTCGGTGGATTTTATGATGGCGCGGATACCCCCGAGAACATGGAAAAGGGCCTCAAGATTGTATGGGGCGGACTGCTGCAGGATATCGGTTACGATTGGCCCAATGATAACGAAGATGGCAACCACCGAGACGAGTCAGGATTATCTAACGGCGAGAAGATGGAATACCAGGATCCATCAGGGTTATCCCAACAGCAGCCTCAGCACTGGATTCGCCACCAACAGTCCCTGCCGACCATGTCACCTTTCAGTGACCACTATACCAATGGTCAATCTTACCATCCTGTTACGCATCAGGGCATTGGCCCTCTTGACCCCAGCCCACCTCCGTCAGCGGAGGCCTCCACCCGCCATGCGACAAATGACTCGGACGAGGAGACGAAATTAATGCAGGAAATGTTACTCAAGGAGGAGATGGCTACCAATATTGGGTCTATGGAGATTCCGCATTCTACAGGACAGAATAACCTTACGCCCGTTTCTTCTGTCGACAATACTCAGCCACCATCCCACACGACCTTGACTGCAGAAGCCATGCCCGACCACTTGACGACGACATCTTCGACGACGAGCAGTGCTCCTCAGGGGTCCGCCGGTCAAAACTCGTCGTCATTCATGGCGGCGATACCCGTTGCAAGTTTCGACAAGCCATTGCCATTGCATATTACTACCACCACGGGCAACATGTCCAATACCCTACCTAGATCGGCCGACAAGGTTGCCTCTCCAGGGTCACCTCTGGATGGCCCTTCGGTCCTTCGTAGTGCGACTGGAGCGCCCCAACTGCCATTATTTGATAGCATTTCAGCATTGTGATGTCTTTTTTATCACAGAAAATAAACAAAAAACTTAAAAACCAGCAAGCATTGATCAGTTCAAAAATTTAAACTCTTCTGTTCTTTTCCTTCCTTCTTTCTACGTCTTTTTTTTCCCTTCTTTTCCTTCTTTTCCTTCTTTTCCTCATTCTTCACTCACACTTCGCATCCCCAGCCCTTCCTCTCATACAGACAGGGATCCGCTGTCATGTCTGACCAACCCTTCAAGAGCAATAACCCAAGGCATCAACATTTCCAGTGTCGACCCGCAGCCGCCCAGATCCATCGGCTGGAGTTCTCGATCACATCTACCTCTCGCAACATCCATGACAGGGGCCACAACGACACCAATAACAATGACCGTAATAGCAAAAACAGGACCAACAGCAACAATAACAGCAAAGTGACCAGATATCTACAGAACGAATGCAACAACAGAAACCTGGGGCAGCGAGCAGGGGCTGCTTTCTCGTTCCAGCCCATAACAAACACCGCATCCTCGGCTGGTCGAACCATGATCTCGCACCCACGAGCCATAGCAACAGCACCAACACTGGCCCCGCCGATCTCCAGTATCGAGAGTAGTTCCTCCTCAAGTCGACCGCCACCACTACCTCCATTGAGTACAAGCACAAAAAGTCCGGGAACAGCTCCTCCAGAGCATCGACCTGCCAAGGCTGTTGAACAGGCACAAACGCCACCAAAACCCTACACCGTCCGTCTACCTGAAGAGCAAACCATGCATTTGAAAAACACTATTGCGGCGCCAAAGATCTCGGTCCCTGCCTTTTCTGCACCTAGTGCTCCTGTTTTGGCGCTTCATCATCAGCATTCTCCGCCACGTATCTCAAGTGATCTCTCGTCCGATTGCAGTCCTCCGGCAGCACATTGTTCAAGTGCACCCGCGTTGCCCCCTAAGCCTAAAGGTGTCAAGCCTACTTTCGTTAGTCGATTAACGGAGTCTGTTGGTCATAGGCTCCAGGAAGTGAGTGCTTTCAGCCAAAAAGGACGGATGCAAGTATTCCTCGTAAGATTTGTCTGTGAGTTACTTAATGATCATCACTTTGTACACATGTCAAATTTCAAACTAGTTGACAGGCAAGGAGGGTGTTTCGGAACGATCATTGCAACCCGCGAGCGACCATGATCTGGACGCCATCACCAACATCACTCATACTACCATGCTGAAACAGGAAGAGGACCCATCATCAACATCCCAGGCTACCAAGTTATCGTCGTCGTCGTTGGTGGTGTTCCCACCCATCGCAAGCATAGCAGACATGCCCAGTGACCGCTGCCGCGAGGATTTGTCGTCGTCAAGCTCTAGGGCGGTTCTCACGCATGCTCCACAACGCGAGTTTGCTGACCTACCCGACATCTCTGCCATGCTTATAGACAGGACGATGATGAAGCAGCAGTGGATAGAATCTGAGCAACTACTGTTCAGCTTGGTAATTGTTTGCCTCTTTTGGTATGAGTAGACCCACGCTGAACTTGACGTAACCATGTACTAACTTTTTATTTTTCTTTGGTTTCAACGACATACTAGGTGGGCGAGTTGCGGATGAGAGTGAAGGAAGAGTCGGAGCGGCACCACAACGCGCAGCAGAAGGTCCAAGTAACGAGTGAGTCGAATGCCACACTTCAGGCTCAGAACAGTCGTCTGCAAACAGACATCGCCGTAATGGGAGCTCGAATTGCAGACTTTCAGTCTCGAATACAAGAGCTCGACGCAGGTAATTGCTTCGTTGTGTGATTATGTTATGACTTCTCATGAACAGATGCAAAAAAAAAAAAAAGACAATTCTTACTACTTGCGTCAACACATTGTAGATTGCATAAGGCTGGCAGAAGTCTATGAAGCCTCCCGGAGTCAGATGGCGGCCCAACTAGCGTCGGTCAGACAAGGCTCGATGGAGGCTTCATTTGTACTGGAAGGTCTCGCGACAGCAAAGTCTCGATGGGAAGCTGAGGTTGCAACTCTCCGAGAGGACATGCAAGCAATGGAAAGAGAGAGAGGTGAGACAAGTATGGTTTTTTTTTTTGCGTTTTGAGCAATTCAGGGACATTCTTAGCATCGAACTAACACGTTTGTCTGACGCTTGTAGGCCTTCTCAGAACGAGTTACGACCATTTGACAGAGTCTTTCTCTGTGTGTTCAGTTCAATTGAAGGATATTCAGACAGCATACAACAAGGTCAAGGGGATCTGCGAGAGTCGTCAAGAAGAGGTTAACCAATACCGCACCAGGTAACGAACTTGACTTTGAGGTGATGATGACTCTCTTTTTTTCAGTTGACGCGCGATCGAATGGTTGTTACTCACTAATTCTCTTTTTTTCTTTTATCTATAGATGTCAGTCGCTCTCGGATCAATTGCGTTACCTATCAGAGAAAGTCGAGGAACTCAATCGTGAGAATGATGAGCTTCGCGTTGCCAGTGAGGCCCTCCAGGTTACAAATCACACCATGTCTGACCGGATCGAGTTCCTGAAACAAGCCAATGAGTACCAGCAGTCCATTCTCATTGCTCAGTTACGCGACGTTGAAATAAGGTACGTTGCTTGTTCAACCGTTCGTTCTGGCTATGCTTTTGGAACAACATGCTTCGCTGATCTAACGCTAATATGTTGTTCATTTCTTTACTGTTCATAGGTGCTGTGAGTCCAATGCAGACGAGCTAAGCAAGATCAAGCATGAGCTCGCTGGAGCCAAAGAAGTAGTCAAGGTATGGAGCGCGTATGATTCCGTTTTGTAAGCGAGGGTTCTTTATACGGGATAGTATTAACATAAGTTGTGATCGCTCTTCGATGAAACTATCACATGTAGGATGTTGCAGTGTTAGAATCGAGAGTCAGAGAGGGTACTTTGAAGGCTGAGGACCTGACGACTCGGAATGCACAGCTGGATACAGAACTGGGGGCTTTGAAAGAAAGCACGGCGCGTCATCAGGAAATCATCACACAGCTCCAAGAAACAAAGCGACGATTGGAAAGCGAGAACCAGCGCCTAATGCAGTCTTCTATGAGCGCCCAGGCTGATGTAAGTTTATTTCTTTTTTTGTTGTTGGTATTGTCATTTGCTGGCGCTATTGCTTGTGGACAAATGCCTTGCTGGATTGGAAGCTAATGCTGGATTATTGATTCTTTTTCGCTAATAATAACAGTATGTGATCGAGCTCAACGCGACTGTTGAGCGTTGCGAGGAGTTGCGTCAGCGCCAGGTCACCGAGAGCCAGACTGTGATAGATGTATGTCTCAGATTTTGTTTGCTTGCCAGGACTCGCGAAGTAATGATGTCTTCTAGGCCAACTGATTATTCGCGGTGGCCTTTTTTGTTTTTTTTCTTTGATATTAGGACAAGGACGAGCAAATAGGAGAACTCACCAGGCATCTTGAGACCAATACTCGAGAGTTCCAAAAGTTGACTGGTGAGAAGCAACAACTGGTAAGACTCGCCTGCTCCTCTCTCCTTTTGGATCTTAGCGACGACAAGATTTATGGCGCCAACGGTGCCATGGATGAGTGTGTGTTGACACGCTTTTTTATGATATTGTTTTTTTTCTTAGAGTGAGCTAGTCGACTATCAAGCCCAGACTGCCGCTGCCACCGTAAGTTTATCATTCACGCTTTCCTTCAAAGAACTAATGGATGTCTTTTTACCCCAATTCATGCCAGTCCACATTTCTATTCTGGTTTCTCAATACCCACAATGTTTGTTTTCTCCATTTTGTGATGGCAGGATCGTGAAATGCTCGAACTTAGGGTTAAGATTCAACTCTTGCAGTCTGACCATGATTTCGTCACAAAGGCTCGGAATGACTTGAGGGATGAGTTGGAAGCTCTTCAACAGGCACATGAGGCACAGCAGGTATTCCATCTGATAGTCCCCTTCTCTTCAAGGACCACATACACTCTCACATAACCCGCACTGCTGTTATTTGTGCTTTGACGTGTGATTGAAAATTGTAAGCATGAACCTATCCGATTTTCTTAACATATATTCATTTCTCCCCTCTACACAACAAAAAATGATTGCAACTGATGCAGCAGCAGTCGGTAATGCCGATGCCCCTGACGGATATTGCGAGGTTGCATAGTCGGGATCGTGAGGGAGGAGGAGTTGGAGGAGAAGCAGGCTCTGCCTCGGTGACGGATTTCTTGCAGTGGCCAGTGGATCTGGGGACCCTACCTGTAAGTTTCACCGAACGTGCATTGACATACATCTCACGCACTTGGACATTCTTGCGTTCTTTTCTTCCCATTACCCACAGTCTAAATCGACAGAAACCTTCTTCGCCCTTTCCTTCTGCTGTGTGGGTGTGGGGGAAAAAAATAGTCAGCTAAGTCTTCGAGTCGGACGGACACAGGTGCAGCTGCTGTCTGTCAGGGTTCGGAAAGTCCCAGTTTCGTGAGTCTACCTGCATGCAGCGCGCGAGCACCGTCTGCTTTGACAACCGCGAGAAGCAACACCAAGTCTACAACCACCGCTGCCGATTCCGCCACCACGCTCACATCCGCTGTAAGGACCCCGGGCAGTCGATCTCGAGGCGTGACAACACTATCGTCATCCTCAACGACACCAGCAACTGCTGCCGCAGCAGTATTGACTATTAGGACCAGATCTTCCAATAACCCGACGGCAACAGCAGCAACATCAGCCGGACGGGGTGAAAAGCGGTCTCTGAAACGAAAAAGAAATGTGAACGAGTCTGACTGTCGTGCAGGAGGAGGTGGTGGCGGCGGTGCTGAGGATAGTGAGACCAGTGGCCAGCAAATGGGAGGCCTTGAGGCTGCAGTTTCAGGTTTAGGTGCAAGTCCAAGCACAAGCACGAGCACAAGCGCAGGCGGTGTTGGCGCCGGTACTGTGAAGGCTAGGAGATCGTATTCGAAGCGTCTCGCCCAACAGCAGCAGCAGCAGCCTCTCCAAATTGGTTCATCCTCCTCCTCGACTTCAGCCACTGCTGCGTCTGCTCCAGCCACGAAGAACCCCCCTCGTAGGAAGTAAGTGGACAGACAACGAAACCTTGGCGGCACGAAAATTCGACTCCGCAGCTCTTGCTCTTTTCCCCTCCAAGAATATCTTTGACTATCATACCTCCTCTTTCCCTGTCCTTCCTTGCCTTTCTTTATTGGTCCTTTATGCCTCTTCTGTTCAATGCCTTTTATGACCCGTTCGTTGTTGTGCGCTATCTTTTTTGCATATTAAAACCCCTGAGTGGGCGATAGGAGTTATGGCAAGTAGTGTTTATTTTATTGGCGTTGGGATATCTTTGCTACCGTTGCTACCATTGCTCGGAAAAAAAATGATATTTACAAGAGGCAATAGCGAAAATCCACGAAAAAGAAAAGCGTGCAGCACATGAACTGCAATTGTATTCAATTTGGGTGGTGGTTTTGGTTGCTTCAAGCATGAACCTCCTTATTGGAGGGGAGGTCACGATCGCCAATGTTCGCATGGTGACCAAAGAGTTTCGAAGGCGTCGACGTTCCTGAATGGGAATGAGAGGCCGACGGAGAAGTATCCAATCCTGTGATGGCCCCTAGCCCGACAGAAGGGTGATGATGTTGGTGCACTCCTGGTGTAAGGGAGCGGAAAAAGGACGCTGCCGATCCTGTACTTGTCGCCAACGTCGAAGGAGCAGCTATTCCATTGTTGGCACTGGTGCTGCCAGGCCCGCTATTAGGCATTGTTGTTGTACCGGAGCTGGACTGGGCCTGGTTGTGCTGAAGCTGTGGACGTGGGCTGGGACGGTTCATCATCGGTAGCACACCTGCCGAGCTGGCACGCTCCATCTCGGTTCGATTCGAAGACGAGACTGCCGTCGCTGCAGTTGTTGTCGGATGTGACGTCGATCCGGGGAAGGCAAACAGGAGGTGCGAAGGCGATGCAGCAGCCGCCGCTGCCGCCTGGCCCACGGACCCTCCTGCATGACTTCCCGCATTTGTCGTCGGTGAGCCAAGTGGGAGCATAAAAGGCGATCCAGTATGGGGGGGAGGGTGAAGACTGTTGGTCCCAGGACTCGAGAAGGACCGTTCCATAGAATGCATGGAATCGACACTCTTTTTCCGAAGGTAATGAGGCAGGGCCTCGTTCAGAGGCATGGGGGAATTGTGTCGACTCAACGCCGCCAGCTCCTGTGGTCCTAGGAGGTGTTGCGCATGATGGTGGTGGTGGGCTTGGGCCTGAGGTTGGGGTTGAGGAGGCTGTGGGAAGGAGGCCTCCTGTTGCGAGGACGACCCATCCTGACCCAATTTCGATGCCAGCAAGGAGGACGAGCCCAGGTCGAGTCCAGCTGGGGTCGATCTTCCCGACGAAGGCACGCCAACGTCCGATCGACGACGTCCAAACATACTTTTAGGCCCTTCTGTGCTGCCGCCGCCAGCGCTGGCACCCGAGGCTGGCGAACCAACAGCACCAGGTAAAGAGAGCCATGGCAAACGATGCTCAACATCATAGAACTTTGAGAACAGAGCTGGAGAATGAGTCGTTGAGCGGAGTTGAGCAGGTCCGGGCGAGTTGGAGTGGTGGTGATGGTGATGATGGTCGGCGGCGCTGAGGAAGGGCGAATTGGCTGCCGAGCCTGCGAAATAGGGGCTCGAATAACCCGTGTCAGTCCCACCACTGGCACCTGTCGAACAAGCTGTCGAGTATCCCGTGACAGAAGTCGATCCTGCTGCATTCAGACCGTGATGCATCGTAGTCGACGGTGGTAGGGCAGAAGTCGACGTTGAGCGAGCAATTGGAGTTGGTTTCGCCAGTCCTGTGGCAGCGGGCTTAAGAGTGCTGAGGCCAGACTTTTTAGCAGTCACTTGTGATTCTGAAACCGAGGACTGTTGTTCCTGCAACCGCTGCATCCGCCGCTGGTGTTCATGGGCCTCTCGAAGTGTGTCCGTGTCAGCCTAGCAACCAAGATAGAAAAATCATGCACGTCCCCGATGAACCCACGCATAAAGAAAATATTAGTGAGTAAAGGAAGAATAGTAAAAAGCAACGTTGGCGTAGATAGAAGAGGGAGGCGTAGAAGAGGGAGGCGTAGAAGAGAGGTTGAGGTATGTATGATATGGCATGGCATGGCATGATTTTTTCGGACATGGGACGATGTGGCATTGATTGGGATAGGGGTAAGCAAGCACAAGGGGTGGAATAGAGAAAAAGGCATAAAGAAGGGGGGTGGCTAGAAGAAGGAGAGGAGGCAGTAGAGCAAAAGTCGCAACAGGGGGGATTGGATAACAAAGGGGTCGAGAGGAAACAAACCATTTGGATTGGACGGTCTTCCCGCGGAAATAAGAAGGCTCAAGCAATCAAAATGACGACGACCAAAATGTAAAAAAACGTAAAACAGAGTGAAACCGTGTGAACTGAGGCTTTGGATGAAATGAGAAAGTGAAAGAATGCATGGACCAACTGTAGTACAAATGAGCGTCTTTACCTGGATGCCGTATATTGTCTCCATGGTGGCGAGTGTGGTTTGTGCAAAGTGGAAGTGAAGAGAAGAGGCAAGTGCAGTGGAGAAGGAAACAAGTGCAAAAGGAAAAGAAAAAAAAAAAAGAGCCAAAGCGTGAGGCAGGGGAGAACGTATGTGAGTAGTTGGTTTGTGCAGAAGGTGAGAGAGAGCGTGTGAAGGGTGTGGACAAGAATCAAGTGGGTGATGTATTGTATTTTCTGTGAAATGAGAGAAAGAAGGTGAGAGTGGTGATAAAGAGGAGGAAGCGAGAAGAAGAAGGGTAAGAAGGAAGAAGGTAGGAAGGAAGAAGCTGGGAAGGAAGTAGGTAGTAAGAAGAAAGAGAAGGAAAAGAAAAGTCGTCACGTGTACGCATGGACCGTGCATACCCTCGGCAAAGCTGTGGGGAATGACTCGAAAAGGAAGTCAACCCCGAAGGAAAGGAGTAATAACCTGGGGTCAAAGAGTAAGGTGGAAAACATAGCGCAACAATGCGAACAAAACGAAAAGGTAGCAAAAGGAGGTGACGGTGGTGAGTCAATGGCAAGTTGAACAACTATCGTCCTGGGCTTAAGAGTACTCTCCGCTGGGCACTAGATAGTCTAGCGACACGGTTGAGACCCCGTCGATCCATTCAGTGTCCGACAACAAGTGGAAGGTGCCATGAAAAGAGGCTTCACTGCGATGACGTTTCTTCCCTCGCAACTAAGGCTTGTCCTTGTTATCGACGTCAAGGAAAAGGAGAACCAGGCATATGACTTGAGCAATAAAGGACCGTCGCTTCACCTGAGCAGAAAAGGTGATAGTGCAATGTCTCATAAACGATATAGGAAGGGGTGCACAACCAAAACAGCACCTAGTCCTCAAGCCCGAGAAACATGAAGCCAAAGAAGGAGTAAAAACAATACAAACCAACGCGCTCAAATTAATGTGGACAGTGCATCCTACGCAGAATCTGAGTTACAAGAAAATGTACCAAACACAAGGTGACTAGAGAGTTGCGGCCGTCAGGAGAATGGGGAAACTACCACGTAAACTCTTCCAAAATCACGGTTACCAGCGCATCGATGATAATCAGGAGGGCATACCAAAGGTTGATGTCCTAGTGGAATGAAGTGGGAGTCTCTCGACAACTCAGTGCTGCACAGTAGGTTGAGCATACGACGGTGAGTAAGATATGAAATTTGAGCAGAAGAGAGCCAGGCCCATATATATCAAGAAGAGATGTGTGGTGGTTGTGAAGATGAAAGGCTGGAGTATTAACAGAATGGCATCGTCGAGCTGCTGGAGATCAAGTCTTTCACAGAGGATTAAGATATCGCATGGAGACCGGGTGGGACACTCCAGTATTGAGGGATGATGCCGAGTCGGGATTCCTTGATTCCTGGACCGAGGGTGGATGGGCAGGGTGGATGAGTTGTAGGAAGAAGAAGAGAAGAATAAAACGAGGGATGGGTTTGATGGTGAGAATAAAGAGTATGTGATAAAAAGAGGGGCTTTTGCAAACCCATGATTGAGACCTTGCAGCATGATGATATATACAGTCTATCGCGACTGGACTACAACCGACGCGTCGTGATCAGTATAGGTCGCGTAGTTGTAGTCCATGGATATCATTAGAATTCAACTCCCGAGCGTAAGACAGGGCCAAGTAATTTCGAGTTTTGGTGGCTTGTCTTATTCATTAGACTTGGGCGCAACGGGAAGAATGAGCAAGAGAGAGAGAGAGGAAGAGAGGAAGGCGGAGGCACACGGCGCTCCTGCGCCAGCCTGACAACTCTCCCTTATCCTCTTTCACTCTGTCTCATCACTCCGACTCGCTCCCATACATCCACACTCACTCGCTCACTGACAACTCCATCCACACACACACACTCGTCCTCAACTCTATTTCCTCACTACCCTCAACCAGCAACAGCCGCCGATAGCAAGCAGACCATGACTATGGCCCACCCTGGAGCCCCTCAATGGGAAACAGACATCCTCGGCCTCTTTGTCCAGCGAGATAGGCACGAAAAGGCATTCACAAACATGGTCGAGTCTTGTACGTTTTCATTCCCTCTACCTCTCATTCCCCCTCCTCCTCCCGTTCCCCATTCTTTGTCTTCATCTGTGTGAATTCCACAAAAAAGATGAGGAACCTAACGACAGGTTTGTAATATTTTTGCGGGGTGGCCACCACTGAATAGACAACGGACTCGTCCAAAAGTTGACGTTTTATGTCGACCAGAACAAGCACCTCGAGTCGAGTGCACAGAACAGCAAGGACCAGCACGACAAAATGGCTCGCCAGGTCAGCGTCCTTCGCGAGCAAGGGTAACACATTCATTCTGTTATCAACTATGGGAAGGCGCACTGTAAAAAAGCCCACCAAGTTGTCTTTATTCATATTGTTATGCATTCGCCTCCATCTCTCCCCTTCGCTCCGTCTCAATCGTCGCTGCAAAATTGATAGGAGCCCTATGAATCAAAAGAGAAGCGCAGAGCTCGAGGCCCAGGTCGCTAGTTTGAAGGATGAGCGAGCAGAGCTCTACAAGACTCAAGGCACCAATGCTCAACGTCTGCTCGATTTGAACGACATTCTGCGTGTCAAAGACGCAAACCTTGCTCAGGGCAAGGAAGAGTAAGTCGAATCGACCCTTTTTTCTTTTATTTTGTTTTTTGCATTGAGGAGTTTTAGCATGCTCTTTGTACCTTTAGGTTTTGATGGCGACCAAAAAAAATGTCAGCTTGTCACACACCTTCCTTTTCATGAACCGTTCAGCTAACTCCATTCGTTTTGCTAACTGTGGGCAAAAGTATTCGACGATTGACCGAGTCAAACACGTTCTTGGCGCGCAAGAACCAAGAGATGACAGAGCTGGTCAACGAGAAGAATGTGACAATCCAGGTTATCCAGGATGAGCTGACCACGCTCCAGCTGGAGATGAGCAAACTGGATGAACGACAGCGAGACCTGGAGCGTGAGAACGCTCAGCTGTTGCAGCGCTGGCTCAAGAAAATGAACGAGGAGGCTGATAAGATGAACGCCGGAAACGCATTCCTGGAAAAGTAAGTGTCGTAGAGCGTGCGCTCCAACTATAATTTATTGTCGAGTAAAAACGCGTAGCTCTAACTAAAAACTACGACATCTATCCTTCATGCAAATAGCGAGCATCAGGATCAGAGTGCACTCTCGCCATCTGTCCAATCACCACCAAGCACCCGATCCCTTCGAAGCATGGGACCCGAGTCGCCAACACAGTCGAACTGGAGAGGCGCATCGAGTATATTCTCGATTATTCCTCAGATCTCCTCCAAGAAGTTTGTAAGTACCCCTCGGCTGTTTCATATCTATATGTCAAATGTAATTTCCATTCCCCTTGCAATCGAATTTCAGATCTATTTATTTAATTTTTTTCCTTCGTCACGCGAAAAAAAAACACATAGACGGCACACGATGCGGAAGTGAACACGGTGTCATTGTCGAACGGAGGTTCGATGGTCGCAACAGGATCAAACGACAAAAAAATTAGAATTTGGGATATCAAGACAGGATCGCTCAAATCGACCTTGACGGGATGTCTTCAATCTGTCATGTGTGTCTCCTTCAACGCCACGGATGAACTCTTGTTGGGCGCCTCGAACGACAATGCCGCCCGACTCTGGCATTTGGGCACAGGACGGCCTAGAGTAGGTCTTTTTCGCTTAATTGGCCGTTTCTGTTCCCTGGTAACTGTTGTTATTTGCATTGATATTAAGCAATTGCACTTTTTCCTATGTTAAATATAGCACACGTTGACGGGACATATTGGAAAGGTGTTCTCGGCACGCTTCAACCCTGACTCGAGCAAGGTCGTCTCTGGAAGTCACGACCGCACCATCAAAGTCTGGGATCTCCAAAAAGGATACTGTACGTCACTTTGCATTTTATGCCGCGTACGCCAATCGGTTCACAATTGCATCTGTTAGCCTGTCTGCTCATGTATTGGCATATCTTATTTTTGCTTCGAAATAGGCATCCGTACGATGTTCACGTTTGCGAGTGTGAATGATGTGTGTTTGCTGGACTTTGACGGATCAACAATTGCTAGTGGACATTTGGACAACAACTTGAGGTTCTGGGATGCGCGTTCAGGCAACTGTGTCAAGGAAGTTACGGGTATTCACATGGGTCAGATTACTTCTGTATGCCCCTCGACGGATGGAAGCCAGATCCTGACCAACTCGAGGGACAACACTCTTCGTATCTTGGATATGCGTACCTATGAGACCGTCTCTGTGCTCCATGCTGACGGATACAAGACCGGCACCAACTGGTCCAAAGCCTGCTTCAGGTATGCGCTCTTTCTGGCGTTGTGTTCGTTACTTGTTTATTCACGAGACATTGCTGTTAGAGGTATTAAGGCTTCCTTCTTTTTTTTTCTTTGTCACTGCTTGGTAGCCCGGATGGTCAGTATGTGGTGTCTGGAAGTGCGGATGGCACGTTGTACTATTGGTCAACACGGGAGGGTGTTGTGGAGAAGACGGTCAAGGAGCAATCGAGCCCGATCGTGGGGGTCTCTTGGGTCAACAGCTCTGTTGTCAGTGCCGAGAAAGATAAGACTGTTGTCATCTGGGGCACAACTGCCCGTCGCCCTACCATCTATGAGAAGTAGAAGAGGCTGGCACCACCTTTATGTTGCAAAAAGATCAAAAGGGAGGTTGGATGAGGAGAATAAACAAGCCCTATTTTTATTTGAGTTTTTCCCAGCAGACCCTTTTTGTGCTTTTCTATGCGCAGGACAAAGACAACAGTGAAACATAGCTCTGGGTATGTACTGTACCTGGTCAGCCGATCGATTATCTCACGAACACAAAGAAAAAGGTCATACTGTAACTGGATTTGTGCTCTTTTATTTATGCCACCATTCTACTTCTTGAGAAAAAAACGAAAGATGGCGAGTGAGGCGCACTTTTTCTTGGTCGAGGGCTGCTGCTTTGACACCTCGCCCTCTTCTTCCTCGCTCAGGGAGTCGATCACATCTCGGTTGTGTTGTGGAAGAATTGGCGCTATATGGAGCACATCTCTGGACTGCGCCTGCATGTCGCGGTGGGATTGTGGTAGATGGAGGGATGAGAAGGAAGGTGTGCTGGTGAGGGACGCTTGGGAGGAGGGCAAGATACGGGCTCCTGTGCCTGCGTCAGCACTAATGACGGATCCAGGCTGGGTTGGGACAAAGATCGTCGGGTGGAGGTGTGTCATTGTGTAGAGGTAGATATCTTCCACCACCTCGTCTTCATCTTCATCCTCGTCGTCCTCCTCAGGGGTTGTTTTGCTGTGGTCGTGAGGGATTCCAAAAGGGTATTTTGTGATTGGTTTGGAGATGTCATGAGAGAATAAGGTCGTAAAAGTCGTGAGTGGTGGATGAGATGTCGTGTGGGCGTGGTGTTGGTAGTATGGTTGATGTTGGTTGTGGTAACTTGAAGGCGTAACGGCATTGACAGGGGCTGGTAGATCGTGATGCGTTGACGGGGTGGTATCGATAGGGGTCACCGCCACGTTGACAGAAACAGTCGAAGAGCTTTTCGTGAGAGCTCGGACCAGGGCAGTAGTATTGTTCGCAGCAATAGCTGGAGAAGAGGAACGTGAAGAAGGGGAGGGGGATGGAGTAGGAGGCGACCTGGTAAAGATCCGTTTCGCAAGGGCAGAAAGGCGTCTCCTGGGCCGGGACAACGAAGACGATCGAGGTGGAGGAGTTAATGGAGGTTGTGCAGGAGAAGAAACAGCATTGGAGGTTGGTGTAGATGTCAAGTCGTCGTCGAAAGTGAGACGGCCGCCGCTTCCTCGTCCTCCTTCTCCTCCGATGGGATACTCATCGTCGTTGGGGAGGTCATAAGTGGAAAGTGGGACACGGGTGCGAGCACTGTTGCGGCGATGGAGTAGGCCCTGTTGGTAGTAATGAAGGTGATCGATCTGTAGGTGGTCTGTTGGTACAGGTGGTGGGAGGGAAGGAAAAAGGGGTAGAGGAGGAGAGAGGGGTCTGGGAAGGGAGGTAGGAGAGGGAGAGGGAGAGGCAGAGAGGAGGGAAGGCGAAATGGCGTTTTTCTCATCCTTCTTGGTCTTCTTCTGACTTGCTGTTCGATCGCTGTTGTTGATGTCTCCTCCTAGGCGTATCCCGAGACCCAAGGAGAGGGAGTTCGAAGAAGGGAAGAGTAGATTCCTTTCTCCGCCGTTGCGAAGATGGGGGGCTGTTGTGCTATTGTTGTAATTGCCTCCTCCTCGTTCAATGGCGAAGGCAGAGATCGAGGAAGAGGAAGAGGTGGAGGATGTAGGGGGCGACAAGGGTGTATAGGAATAGATGCTTGGGGAAGACGACGCAGAAACGGCTGCCGTCAATGGGTGAGGAGAAGCCAACGTTGTTGTTGCGGAGGCAGGGGACAGAGAAGAAGATGAAGGTGCAAAGTGAGGGATGTGGAGGGCGGTGGTGACGATTCGTGGAGGGTGCACGGATGACGAGAGTGGAAGAGGCGGCAGAGACGAAGGAAGAGCGTGATGGGGGTGCCGCCGGTCATCGATCACTCGTGGCTGCTGTTCTAATTGCTGCTGTTGCAGTAGTCGCCGTTGGAGTTGTTGGGCCGATGTCTCTGTTGTTGATGATGTTGGTGTTGCTGCTGCGATAGGTGAAGGAAGGGCGGACAGGGCAAGAGGCGATGTAGGCGAGAGGGGGTAATAATGGTGGTAATGGTCGTCATAGCCAAATGTCGACCGTGCCCTCCCTCCTGTTGGTCGAAAGTACGTACTCGTCTCATGCTCCTCCCCCTCCTGTCGCTCTTCGAGAATGCTACCACTACTCGTGCTCATCATACTCATCCTCAGCCTCGTGCTACCACGCGCACCACCTCCCCTTCTACTCACATTGCCACTACCATTGCCACTGCCACTACCGCAGTCGTCAAATACAACAACATCCCCTTCTTCATTCGTCGCGCCGTCGTTATCGGTGTGTTGCAATGTTGCGGTTGTTGGCGAGGGGCTAACCGGAAAGGGTCCAAAGACAGGTCCAATCCCAAAGGTGTTGATCTTGTGAGCTCTTTTTGAAGTTGGCGGTAGTTGCGGTGATGTTGTTGTCGCATTGAAAGCCGAGGATAAGGGAGAAGGTGGTGGGAGAGAATCAAATGGGTGCATGGGCCTTTCGAGGGGCAAATAATAAGGTTCTGCTCTGCCGTCTCTCCGTCCTCCTGTTGTTGTTATTGCTGTGGTCATTCCTTCTACGTTTGTCATTGTTGATGTTGTGGATGCGGGAGGCACAGGCGATGGCGACGACGACAACGGTGTGAAGAGAAGACTACCAGCTGGGGGGAACGTAGGCGATTGTGCGTATGGGAAAGGATGTGCTGACGCAGAAGCTGAAGATGACTCTAGGAGAGGCGATAGGCGGCGTGAAGAAGTGGCTGTCGGAGACGGGGTTGCAGGCTGGAAGTATGAGGATGTTGAGTAGGAGGGGGAAGATGCTGAAGAGGAAAGAGAGGGAGATGATGCGGATGATGATGATGATTCTTCGGACCCTGAGCCTCCACCGATGACTGATCCGGGACCACCGAACGTGGCCGAAATTCGCTTCTGTCTCCGATGTTGTAGGCTATAGTTGTGGTTGTAATTTCTAGGTGTTGGTGTGTTGGTTACTGTAGTAAGAGGAGAAGAGGAGAGACGGGACGTGCCAGGTTGTTGTTGGATGTGTGAAGAGGCGGTTGTGGGAGAAGAATGATCTGTGTTGGTATAATGGCATTGAGAGTGGGGTGGTCGGTGAGCAGAAGATGGAGATCGGGCACCATGGGCGTTGGTGGTGGTGTTGGCATTGTTCTTATTTTCCTGGGTTTGAATGGTAAGCATCGTGATATTGGATATGAGTGAGGGGCGAAGGGGTCAGTTTTGAGTGGCGGAGGAGTAAGGAAAGAGGGAGGGATGGGAGAATGAAATAAGATTGTTGGTGACGGAATTTGTGGGTTCGTCTTTAATGATAAATGAATGAATGCGAGTAGGAGAAGAGAAGAAGAGAGGAAAGGGGGTGAGGAAGGAGGATGTCGCTTTTTTCTATGCCAACGGCTGACAGAAAATCGAAGAAGAAAGAGAAAGAGAAAGTCGATCTGCGTGGGGGATTATTTCCTTTTATTGTCGTTGTCTGTTCTGTTCATTGTTTGTTGTGTTGTATTATTGTACTGCTGTCGAGGGAGAGGGCCAAGGCGAGCCAAAAAAAGAACAGGCGAAGAAGGAAAAAGGGAAGGCAGTAGAACTACGCGGACTTGTTCAGAAGGCACAGGTGAACGAGAAAAATGCTCTCAAAGGTTGCAGCAGTGTCGCTCGGGTTGTCTTGAACAGGCCATTGGCAAGTGGGCAAAGGGCAAATCAGAGCAAGAGGGACAGGAAAAGGGTTGTGTGAGTGTATGTATCTGTATGTGTACGTGCATACAACACAACATATGCTCGCAAATAGACTCTTGGGTAAAACGAGGCCCTTCACAATGACAGACGTTCAATGGTCATCATCATTCTCGTGGATATGTTAAAGAAAGAGCCTTCATTGCATAGGCTAAATAACAATAACAATATTATTTAATAAGACTGATATTGTTCAAAATAAACCTCCTACTGGCTGGGCATCGAATGAATGTTGTAAGCATGACACAGACACGCACACACACGGTCTTAGCCCTTGACTCTCGGTTTCTTATTGGGACACTGACCTAACCGTTGGACATGTCTGTTTGAAATAATTTCGTATTTCCTCCTCGGACACATGTCCTTTCTCTTCGCCTTGACCCCAACCTGAATAAACAAACAAATAGCAATTGTAATGACATAAACAACAATGGGCTATTTTAGATACTGCCTTCTCTTCTCATTCCTACGAACTCCCACTGCCACTGTTGTTTGAAAGTCTATTTGACTTTCTTTTACTCGCCAAACGTATTCGAAACTTGTTGAACTCGAAAAAGGGAATCTTTTCGCTGACAATTTTTCTTTGTGCACCCATGGTCCATAGCGAAACCTTCACTTGCAATTCTCTTTGTTCTTTTGGACACATTCGGCGCAGTTTGTTTTATACATTGCTACATGCTTTTTTTCCGCAAAGTTCTAGAGCTGCGCTTCCACTGTTTTTGCCACCAGAGGTGGGAGGTGGTGGGGCAGACATTTTCGACTACGGCGCGCACCCACACTCCCGTGTTTTTGCCAAGCCAAAACGAGCAATCGGCCAAGAATGAACACCCAAGCTTGCCATACCCCATTCCCCAACACCCACGCTTTCATCCTTTACCGAAAAAGGGCCAAAATATGTTCGCACCCCATGATCCATTTTCCTATGGTCGCCAATTGTCTTCTAATAAGAATGCATATCAGGTTCACAAAGGTGATAGGGTGAATGAACAATAGAGATTGAAGAGCCGTGCTATTTTTTGCTTCTCTCTCCCCTGTCATTCTTGTCATTCTCTGGGGAACAAGGGCATGATCGCGATTGGCTCTCGCTCGGCCCTTTCGGTACCCTTTCTGTTATAGAGGTATCCCCGGAAATGAAATACTATAGCGCGTGTATGGATGGATTGAGCAATGGATAAAGAAACAATTGACTTTTCATTACACATCTTCAAAGATCGTGCCCTTTTTTATGGCTCTCAGTATTCGTAATATGTATCTTCTTTTTTATGGTCTTCTCACTTTCCCGCCCTATTGTTATCCCTTGTGGTGATTCCCCAATCGAAAATGAATGAAAGCGAGAATGACAGAGAAAATAGAGAGAGCCGTCAGGGACCGGAAGGGAAGGACGGGAAGGCAAAAAAAATAAAACAGAGAAGGCAGAAAATAAACGAGGGGGAAAATAACTGAGGCAGCCAGGGGGAGGAGGAAGGAGGAGGTAAGTGAGAGGAACGAGGGGTAGCAGAGAGACATTCGATGGTTTCGATCGAAATTTCGTAGGACAACAACCACAACGCAATAATATTATTTCATGGAGCACAACGGGGAATTAGGGAAATGAAGGGGTGTTTTCATAAGCACACGAATTGTTGCTGTGTCCTATCATCTCTTCGTTCCTACGGCACTCCCGGAGTTTTGGAGGAGGTAGGGGTGAGAGGAAGCCTGGCAAACACATTCGTACTTTTGTCTTTGTTCCACGGTAGATCATCTAAAGAGAAGGGACTCGACAAAGGCTTCATCATTTTTGCACCAATGGTGTCAAATGTGCAAACTGTTTCTATGGGGACTGGCAACAAGAACAGAACAAGAACAAGAACCTGCTTGTTTCTCTGCTTTCACTCCAGACAAACAAGAACTGATGTCTTTGCTCAACTCTCTTTTTTCTTTTTTATTACAGCAAGAAACCGATCTATTGTCTTCAGTCATACGTGATCGTTTACTCTATTAAAGTTGACAATAAGTAATGGATGGGTGGAAAAGCAGCGATCCCTTGCATAAAAGCAGGTATGGTTTTGATCACTTATTATTGATGAGAATTAAAGGTACTGCACATGGATACTTCCGTCTTTTATGGCTTTGTTGAAGCCTGGACCAGCACGCTCTTCAGCACTGACCGGTGGAATACCCTATGGGTGAGCAATTGAGTGTGAGCACATTGTATACACAGCACACATCCTTGAACACTAAATTGAACAATGAGCGTGTAAGGCTTGGAGAGAGTAAGGAGTGAGTGAGTGAACGGGAGATCCACGCTGATCCCTTCGTAGACAAGCCCCTCGTGATCCTCAGGCACCAAAGAAATCAAAGAAACAAGAGACAACAACAGAGTCGGCTAAATCCACCATCTCCACCCAATCACACCGCGACATATCCTTTTCCTTCTTCCTTGACCTTATGGTTCAGGACACACAACACACCCTCCCCCGCTCCCCTGACTGACTGACTTCCTTCGGCGTAAACCTTCCTGGCGTCTCCTTCATTTCCTCTCTCCTGCTACGCACACGGCCTGAAGGATGAGCCAGAGGCCGATCCGCAAAATATCACGAAGCGGGATAGTTAAAAAAAAAAAAAAAAAAAAGGTCGGCGCTGGAGTGAAAAACACACTGTACATAAGACTTTAATTGAGAGAAGGAACCAACGAGGTCGGGTCCAGCAACGTTCTCTTTTCATATTCGTGCCCCTTTTTATCGCGATCTCGGATTCTTTTTTCCCACCCGTTCATATTCTTCTTTTCTTGTTTGTGTCGTCTCTCTTTCCTTTCTTTGTCTCTTTTCCTTTCATTTTCTTCAAACAAGCCCTCTTCTTTTCCGTCCCTGATTCCAGTGAACCTTCCGCTTGATCGGACACTCGCTCTTCCTTCCTCGGCGTCTTTAGCCTTGGTCTACAATCAAAACACTCCTCGCCCTCCCTAACCTCTCTCGCTTTACTCACTTCCATCCCTTTCACTTTTGTGTACAACCAACAATAACAGTTACTTATACCCGAAAAATGTCTGCACAAGCCGTCATCTATGTATCTGCCTTCCTGGGCATGACAGTTCTCATGGGTCTCTTTGCCGGACTCATCTATCGCCGACACCGCATGATGGTCGACCAGCACCGTGCCTACGAACGTATGGCCCAAGAACGCATCCGGCAAGCCCAAGGTACTTTTTTTCGGTTCTTACTCATTGACCTCATTCTTCATTCATTCGTTTTGCTCATGAGGAACAGAGGAAAAATTGAACGCACTTCGTAAGTATTCCTCTCATACAAGCTGCTCTTTTTCTAACTCTCCCACGCTTCTTCCACTCTTGCGTATCAATATAGACGAGAACTTGCCTCCGTTCTATATTGACCATGTGCGGGACCGTGCATGTGTCTTTGAGGGCGAACCCCCACCAGACAACACTTTCCTTAGGATGCTCGAGGTAGTCGTTGTTCGTCCTAGGAGGCAAGAGTCCATGCAGGACCTCGTCGATGCAGGAATTGTACCACCAGGAACAGGAAACACAGAAGCAGGATCGGGAATAGAGACTGAAGGCCTGTCTGAGGCAACATCAAACAGCCCTCACTCGCACCACCGTCGCAACCTTTCGTCCACACTGGGTCTGCCAGACTTGATTGTCTCGGAAATGCCTCATCTGGGTTTGGGCATCACTGTCGTGGAATCAGGAGTCATCCGCCCTACCCCTGCCACTCTTCGCAGACCAACGAGGGCTATGACTCCCAACAATACGCCAACCGCCCTGGCTGCAGCGGTCCTTGTGCCCCCTGTCCCAACCTCGGCTGTCGCCATTCACGGTGACAGTAACAGAAATGATATGGGGGATGGACAGGAGAGTATTCATACTTTACCTCCGCCACCCTCTTACGACATCACCCGTACCCATGCCACCACAGGTATTGCAGAACCAAACTCCATTGCTCACCTAGTGAGTGCACCCTCAGCAACCGGCGACTTCTTCACTCACCACCTCCACCACCACCACAGCCACACTCATACTCAGCAAGACAACAACCAGCAACAGGCAAGCACACCATCATCATCAGCGGTCGAACAACAGCTGAGCTCGCCATCATCGACACCCATTGACGCCCCTCGCTACTCCGACGAGTTCCCGTCCCACATCACTCACGAGCAGCACCTTGAGGGATATCGGAGTGCAAGAGCCATCTCTAATGTTTCCCTGCGGCAGCAAGACGGATCTCCGTCACTCTCAGCCGCTGCTGCTACTTTTGTCGATCAAACCACCAACGCCGCAGCAGCGGTAGCACCGACGGAGTCATCACCTTTGTCATCATCACCATCATCGTTATCCTCTTCAGCGCAGTCGCCTTTTCCTGCGGAGACTTTACACTAGTGTACGTTGGAGAAATCTTCCAGGTAGAATAGCATCGGGGTTTTTTATTCTCAAATGGCAAGCCCACTAATTGACAGAAAACAGCAGCTGAGCTTGGTGTGTAATGGAATTGACAAGCGGTCCGAAGCTGTTATGGACCCTTCTTCGATCTTACTCATGAAGCTACCACCTGAGGGACGCTCAATCAAGACTGGATTCAAAAGAAGTAAGAAGAATGAAAGAAAAAACAACTTCCCAGCAACTCCCAGCAACTCCCAGTAAATCCAACAGCCGAGGTCAGGCACACACTGAAACTATTTCCCTTTTTGCAGCAAATGTGAAGGTGGAGACGACTGTTGGGCGAGTTGGGGCAAACTGGCGGCTGTCGGCTCCTTGACGAACTAAACAAGAAGCCCATGTTTTTTTTCGTCTTAATTCAAGCGGTGTGAATATGACCGCATTTGGTCCCTTCTCTCCCACCACCGCCGTCATCAATTCCCTTCTCCACAACCACACTCACTTTTCTCTTTGCTTCGAGGGTGAGCCAGTGCAATTGGGCGGATAATCAGGCAACAACAAAATTGCGGTTTAGGATGCGTTATTTTTTCTCCTTTTTATTTTTGGGTGCTTGCGGTCGGTCGTCCATGAGTTCATGACGACGCAAGAACGTTCTCGCTCTCTTTTTTTGCCCACAGCTTTATTTTCTTTTTGCTTTTTCTGATCCACCGATTCTTTTCCACTTCCCCTCTTTTCTTTTCTTCTACCCCTTCATCTCTCCTTTCATCCACCCTTCCCCTCCCCTCTCCTCTGGACTCTGCCTCTCTCGCACACTCCATCCATCACGCATTGGAACATCACTCCTCCCATCCTTCCTCCACCCATCCTCATCATCAGCAGCGACGACGACTCTTCATCGGTCACTCACGAACCCCCACACGACCTTGTAGCGCACTTTTTCATTCACTCTCTCACACCTCACCTCACCTCAAAACACCCTCCACACACACACTCTCTCTCACACACACAAAGTCAAAACTCGCCACCACTTCTCACCAAACCTGTCCCTAAATCCAACAACCAACAAAATACAAAGGATGTCGTTCATAGTCAACCACCTAAAACTGGACCACTTTGAGCCCGACAGGATCGTAACCTCGAACCTGGTTCGCCCCCTCACATTGGCGATCCTTCGTGGACTTGTATGTCTGTACACGCTGATTGTGATCGTCTCTAAGTGGGTCACCGCCGAAAATGCGTCGGAATACTTGAAGTACTTTACCAACTTGACTTACTTTGGCCTTGTCGCCTACCTTGTCGTAAGTATTTTGTGAAGGATTCATGGTTGATGTGGAGTATATGGTTAACGTTTATTGTTATTTTGTGCGACGAGAGGATATGTGTTTTGCACATGTTTACACAGAGCACTTGGGCCTACAATCGTCTACAAGAAAGGGGAGCACAGCGTTTCGATCTGATAGTCCTTGTCTTTCTTCGTAAATCCATGGTTGTTGTTGTTATCAATGCCGCCTCTAAGTTTATCTTTTTCTCTCGAGACTGGCGCCAATGTGTATCTTCACAAGGGTATATTGTCATTACAAAGAAGAAAAGAGGATGTCTCGCGCTCCTTGCTACTGTTAGTCCGCTACAGAAAATGTTTCTCTTCCACTTCCTTTCCCACCTCCATTCTCATCACACGAGCGAAAAAGAATTTTTGAACGACCGCAACGGAAATTGATTCGAGAGCATTGGTATTCAGCATTGGTATTCAGCATTGGTATTCAGCATTGGTATTCAGCATTGGCAGGGGTGGTGACCGAATGATATGTATCGGCATAACCATTCGATTTACCCGCTCCCATTATCTTTCCCCTCCTTTCTCGCTCCCTTACTTTGACACATGTACACACTACCGCTCTTTCTATGCGTTCTATATTATTCTGCTATTTCCCATGGAGCCTGGCTGGAACCGGACTCTACTTCTCACAGTCATTGCTCAAAACTCACGTGTGCGTACAAAAACATCTGACACCCTTGATCCTTCCTTCTCGAACATCCATCCATCCAACCTTAGTGCTCAACGATCTGGTCAATCAACTACCTCCGCCAACCCCTCAACGCCCGGGCGACATGGCTCAAAACCGGCTCCCCCTGGTGGGGCTACACCCACTGGCTCCTCTACTCGACCGTCATCACCTACCACTTCATTGTCCCCATCGTCTACTGGGCCATGCTCAACACCGGCGACCCCCTGAACGCCCTCGGCCACTGGCAAAACTATTCCGTCCACGCCGTCGATGGTGTCTTTGCTCTCTTTGAGCTCATTTTCAACAGACATTTCTTGCAGCCGAGACATTCGTTTGTGGTGGCGGGTGTTATGGTGTTGTATATGCTGTTGACGTTTGTCGTTAGGAGGACATTGGGCGAGTGGGTTTACCCGTTCTTGGATTGGGATCAAGGCCCTATTTGTGCGGCGTATTATTTGGGGATTGCGGCAGGGTTGTTTGTGATTTATTTCTTCTTGTTGGTGGTGCACAAGTTGAGAAATCGTTGGTTGGCAGGACGGTGTGCGGTTGTGAATGAGGGGTTGGAGTTGGAGGCTGAAGCGAGGGTGGATCATGGAGGACGACGTGTTCGGCCCGAGGGGGATGCTGGTGGTTATCAAGACAACCAGAGTGATTTGACCTTAGAGGAGGGTGTTGTCCGCAACTCCAAGAATGATGGCACCCACACGTACTAGACTCTTACTTGGTTTGCCCTAGGCACGAACCACCCACTACATATGTAACAGTAGTCCTCGATTATTTTTTTCTACACATACCCCATACATAAGATAACTGCAAGGTTTTACATGACCCGTTTCATTCAACTTGGTACTCTTTGCGAGATACACCTTATTGCATCTGTAGAAAGGGGCAGCATCTCTGCTCTGTTCATATTTCAACCTAATTTCAGGCATCTTTTGTTAGATGCAAAACGCCACAAGCAAGAATTGCCTGATCTCAAGATCGTTGCGTTGAGATACTTCTAGATTGACTTTATTATGGATGATCGTTTCAAAGGAAGGGATTGATTCAGAAATGGTGGCGTTGGGCGAAGAAGGGCAAAGGCAGAAGGGTAGACGAGACCGGTATATATGTGACATAAAGTAAGAAAATAATGCAATAAGGAGAGACTATGAGAACAGAAAGGAGGAGAATGACAAAATCGAGAGAATTCTAAGCGTACTGCTGAGGGTAATGCTGTTGTTGCTGTTGTTGTTGTGGCTGTTGTTGCTGCGGTGGTGGACGTTTGTACTGTTGCTGTTGAAGTTGCTGTTGTTGCTGTTGGAGTTCATCATGCTGAGACTGCTGACGCTGATGCTGAACCTGGAAGGACGCGTATCCTGTTGCATATTCTGGCTGCTGCTGTGGGATATGTTGATGATTTGGAACACCCTGCTGCTGTGGTGGAGGTTGTGATGGATGGTGGCCATTGTTGATATGGATATGGGCAGCATTGGGATTGGCGGGGTTGGTGGCCTTAACCTTGTTTATCTGCCCGTTATTCCCTTGAGTGAGCTGCTGTTGTTGCGGTTGCTGATGGTGTTGTTGTTGGTGAGTATGGTTCCCACTAACTGGTACTGCACCTACTACTATTGTCGAGGCTCCCTCCTGCATACGTCCCTGACCATGACCATGATGTCCATGTCCCTGAATGTTGTGATGGTGGTTGTGGCTCTCGGGCTGACCACTTCCAGCGGATGGAGAGGCAGAGGCGGAGGGAGAGGAAGGAGAGGGGTGTTGTCCTAACTTGGCTTCCTGTTCGTCAAGAGCAGCTATCTCGGCGGCCGTCAGAAATCGTCCTCCTGGTCCACGTGGGCGTCTCATCGCATGTTTGTGGCGCGATTCGTGGAGATACTTTTTTTAATTTTTTTTTTGTTGTTGGTGAGAAAAAAAGAAATAGAAATTGGTGAGGGAAAACGAAGAGAAGGGCATGCTCAAGAGAAGAAATGGGAGCAAGAAGGAGCAGGGAGAAGAAAGGGACGGGTAACCCCATCACACGTTCCTTCTCTTGACCCCTCATCCCACAGATCTCACTTCTCCCTTGATGTGTTTGAAAAAAAAAAAAAAGAAAGGTGAAGAAACGAAAAACGTGCAGCGGGCACGTCCTGTCGTTGCGGCCTCTCTGTTCTTTCTTTTCTTTGCATTCTTTCTTTCTTACCTTGCGTCCCCGTTGCAGTAATCGGTTCTCCGCCTCAAGGTTTGCACGAGCGGCTCTTCGCTTTAGGATCCGATGGTACTGATAAAATACCGAGTTTTTTTATGCAAGGTACAAAGGGAATCGAAGAACAAAGAAAGGGGAGGGTCGTGAGTAAGTAAGGTGGTAGTTGAGTGGTTTTTGTGTTTATGTGAGTGAATAAAAAAAAGGAGCATCCATGCTCACTTTCTTTGCTTCCTCATCCAGTCCATCCAGTGCGGCGTTATTGTTCAATACTCCTGCCTCATAGGTCAACCAGACCCCATGCAGACCAATCATTTTGTGGTAGTCATTCTTCCTTTCTTTCAGTCTCTCTTTTTGTTCAGGGTCGCGTCCCAGAAAACAAAATGGCTGACATCGAGAAAATAATAAAGGGGGAGGAGTAAGGGGGTTAAAAAGAAACGAGAACGGATCCAAAAGGGAAAGTCGATGTCGTCGAATATTCCGTTAGTCACTGAGGATGTTGACGAGAAGCACGGACGAGAGAGACAGAGACAGTAAGGACGAGAGGGCACTGGAAATGGGTGCAAATGTCGAGCTGATGGGAACAGATGTTTACTCGACAGGAGGACCCAGACAGGCAAAAAAAAGGTCATGGATACATCACTAGGGTTCACTGGAGAGAAATATCTAATCGAGTAAAGGGCCAAGTCAAGACTCACCTGCTTGGCGTTGACATATAGGGGCTCTTCCGGTTCCTCTGGTCGAGGAGCAGCGACCTGCCCGAGGACATAGCCCGGAGGCATCATACTCTATGTAATCAACCCCAACCAAAACGAGCAAACAGAAGAGTGAAAAGATCCGGTCAATGTCGATGGTACTTTCTCAAAACTGGCAACGAACATGAAGGATGTAACCTTGTTGGTCACTCAGTTTCATATTCGGGTAAAGCGAACTGCAGACAGGGAGGTAATTCTCGGATTCTTTACAGGATCGACGACAATAACGCCTGGGTAGGCACCGGCGAGGTGTTCAAAGTGATGCATGGCAGGTCTGCCATCGACATGGCGAGGAGAAGAAGTTGACATGTGTGCTTGTGGTGATGTCGAAGTGTTGATGTGTTCAGGACGAGGGGGCGAGGTTTGTTTTGAGCTTTGGGTCATTGTGCGTGAGAAGGCAAAGGCAAAAAAAAAGAGAAAGGGGGTGGTGCAAGGGTAGTAAGGTTTTTCTGATTGACTGTGTGATGAGGTCAATGGAAATGAAGAAATGGAATGAGTGAAAAAGTGAAAAGTGGTCAGTGTGTCACGAAGAGTGAACAGAAGTACAATACGAAAGGGACCGAGGAAAGGGTCAAAGGGAGAAGGAAGAAGAAGGAGGAGGAGGAGGAGGAGGAGGAGGAAAAGAGACCGAGGAAGGTGAGCAACGAAGAAGAGGAAGAAAGAAAAAGAAAGAGAAGAGAAGACCAAAAAAAAGGCGAGGGAGCACAAAGGGAATTATATAGCCAAACAAGAAAGCTGGTTTTGGAAGAAAGGAAGAAAGGGCTTCTTGTTGTTTGTCTGTGGGCTTCGTCGTCGCACACAACTGACAACTTCCAATTGACAGAAAGAACAACGGACTGATCAACCTAATACACACCGTCAATCTTCATCTGTCAATAAAGGAGTACGCTCTGTCATTGTCACCCTCTTTTTCTCATCTTCCGTGCTCACTAGACCACCATTCCTCCTATCTCCATCCTTTGTACCCTCCTATTTTCACCCACCGTCTCTCCTATTCTTACTTCATGTCCCTCATGTATGTCAATGCTGATGGTGATGCCGATGATACCGATGGGAAGAAGAACAAGAGCAAGAAAGAAATAACCTGTCTTTGGAAAGATCCATGGTTGAGGCTCAACGGCACAAGGTAACAATGAACAGACACAAAGGTGATGGAGAGAACTGCTCCTGTCTTGTGCTCCCTCTGCCATCCTTCCAAACCCAATCTCATCTACAAAAAAAAGGCAAAGAAAAATAACAAACACTGGCATAGAGGATCCTCGGAGGGCCCCACACAAAAGAGCTACTTGACAGTCTACATGTGAACATGTGATGGGATTTTGGAACTAGATCCCCCTTGGCCCCTTTGTCCCATCATCATCTTCCCATCATCTCCATCTGTCACTTTGGGCTATGTTACAACGTCTGCCCTTGAGGGCGTTCGGCATATAGATGGATGGAGAGGGAAAAGGAAGGAGTGAAGGAGAGAGATCTAAATTGTCTCTCATCCTATCCCTTACCTTTTTCCCGCTGCCGCTCTTTTTTTTCTCTCTCCTCCTCCTTGATCTCGAGGACTGGAAGCAAGGCCAAGGCTCAGGAACGGACCATCAAAACACTGATGTAACTCTCTTCTCAGTCTCTCTCGGACTTCCAACATTAGCCAATGGTTCTGTTCGTTCGAATTGGTGGCGTTCTTTCTTAACGGTCTCACTCTACTGATTGATTTTTTTTGCTCAAGGTGCTCGTGCTCAATCTGTCTTCCTTCTCTCGATCACACACGTCGTCTCCCACAACCTCATCTCATCACTCACAGACGCATACCTTCCTTTCTGATTCAACATTCCTTCGTCCTTCGAATCTTCTTTTTGACGATAATAAGACACCATCCAGCCTTCACAAGCCATTCCTAAATACGGCTTGGCAGTAATTCCTCTGAAACGATCAAGACTTACGCTGGACCACACTTCCAAGCATCTCACCCACCCTTCCACGACCAAATTTTTTTCATAGACATAAAGAGACCCTGCCCTTCGTCCTACATTCATTAGCATCAAACATACTTGCCGGTCTAGCCGATACGAGAGAAAGTATGTAGTCGTTATTAAGTATATTCGATCGTTCCAGATCCACTCATTTTGGTCAAACAATCCACAGTAAATGTAAGAGCGCATGTCAAGCAAGCATACAAGGCAGGGCCCTACTTTATTACAGATCCCCTTGGTCTGCCCTGAATGGTTGGGGGCAATGATTGGATGGTAAGCATGCCCGTGCGCGGCTACCAAAGGTCCCACGCCTGGCCCTATGGTAATTAACCTTACGCACTTACTTTGTTGTTTGTTTTGCTCTCCCCGCTTGATTCCTCGTTCCTGTCGTCTCTCTCATCCACAAGTATTTTGTTTGGTGGGTTGATGGATTGGGTGGGTAGATCATGGTCTGGGCTTGACTAGTCCCTTTTGCCTTTCCGTCATCTTCCTACCCTTCTTTGTTGTGTCCACTTGGATACCCCTGCCAAGGTATCCGTCCTAAAGGGAAAAAGTGCTCAACATTCAACATTCAAGGCATGAATGATTGTTGGTGAAGGGTTGTCACAACAAGAGCAATCAAGGAATGAGTTAGTCCTTCCCACTTTCCCTTCTTTCTCTTTTGTGTGACGGAGCATGGCAGCCTGACTATGTTTTTGTCGATATCGCCTCGCCTGCATGAATGAACAAAGAAAAAATGATTCGGCTCTCTTCTCTTTGTCTCTTACCCCCAACCCAATCCAATCCAACCCTATCCTATCACCCAACCCGGCTCGCATAAAAAACACATTGACATATAAATGCCTTGTGTTCCTAGAAGGAAGCAAGTGAGCGGAGACGATAAACAAATCAGGGCCAAATCAACAATCCTTTCGAAATCAACAAAAAAAAAAAAACCTCAACCCACTTGTGGTGTGCACAAATACAACATAAAATAAGAGAAATGACCCAACGGATGATGCCAATTGGATCCGGTTACCAGATTGGGTGGAGCGATAAAGAAAAGGACAAGAAAACAAGGAGTCTTTTGGGGGAAAGAAAAAATAAACACAGAGATAGAAAGAAATCGGCGCACTCGCGAAAGTCGCTTGAACTCGCGCGGTAGGGTTCGAGATGGAAATCGGTAACTATTATGGCGAAGACGAGGGGTCTCCGGCAAGGCATTGATGGGGTGGGTTTGCCCTTTGGCATTGAATCTCTCCTTCTCCTCTCCCCCGTCCTGGTCTAGTTCTCTGTCCCGGTCCTCAGTTCCCAAGTCAGTGCATCGTCGCACCCCCTTTTAATTGACATGACGCTCTTTTTCTTCTTTTACTTGTAAGTTGTAACTGCTTCCGACCATCTCCCTACTCTCACATTCTTTTTCCATTCTTTGCTCCCTTCTCTTTTGGTCGCGATGCATTGTCGTTGCTGTCCTCGTTGTTGATGCTGTAAACACCCTCCTTCTTTTCCTCTCCTGCATTTTTACTTCCACTCTCTCCGCTCCACTCTAGTCTTTCTTTGTTGTCTCTCTTCTCCCACTTCTCCCTCGCTTCCCGCTCTCGCTCTCGTAATACTACTCTCCTTCTTCGTTTAGACATTTTTATTCCTTATTTCGCAACGCTTGATTTGCTTGATTTGCTCTCCCTTGTGCCTGCCTCCCAGTCATTCAATTACCCTTCCCCCTCTTCCCGAGGCTGTTAATAAATCAACAGCCGCTCTCGTGTTGTTCTTGTCCTCCGTTTTCCTTTCCCTCGGGCCCCCTCGCAACATTGCGCTTCATTCTTTTAAATCAATCGCGCTTCACCTTTCATATTTTTTCTTCGTCTTCCTCTACTTCTTCTTTCTCACTCTCTCTCCTCTTCTTCCTTTTACTCCTAATTATTTATTCAACCCTCTCTCACACGAGTGCACAGCTTTATTCGCTCTGAACACTCCTCTTCATTCCTCATACCCCCTTCACCCATCCTTCAACTCATTCGTTCTCTCATTCAACCAACCAGCAACTTACACCTTTTTTTCCTACTTTACCGATACCCTATATCATCCCCCTTCATTTGCCACCCATTCGTACGAAACGCAACAAGCACAACCTTGTCCACACCAAAGTTCATATAACCACCCCTTGTCGTCAAGAAAAAAAATACCCCGAGAACCATTGTCCTGCCACATCTCTCCATATCCCCCTTCTCCTTCCCATTCACATTTTACACTTCCTCATACACACATACACACACACATACACATACACGCGATACAATGCTTAATTCTGCAGTGTCAGACTTCTCGGCCAAGATGTCCAAGCACTTCCACAGCAACTCAGTCATGCCATTGTCAGAAGCAAATTTGAGCAGACATACACTTCAGGTAAAGCACATCCTCTTTTCCCCTCACTCACTCCGAAGTACTTCTCAAACGAAAAATGCAATTCAACCAAAAAAGGACAGAGCAGTATTTTTTTTTTGTTCTCGTGCCTATGTTCCATCGTGTGGTCAGTGTCCCCCTCTGTCTCTCTTTTGGCTGTCTTCCGTCAAGTGTTTCGACTTGGGACCCACTTTGACAGAAAGAGCGTCGAACTGGACCCTGTTGTTCATGCGCATACCTCCACTTTTTTTCATTCATCCACTTCCCATTTGCACCTCCTTTCCTCACCAATCGACAAATATCCCCCTGTTACACCCTCCCGTTCACCCACATATACATATACACTAGCCCAAAACCCAAACCAAATTACCCGCGGCAAGACGTTCAATTGCACCCTCTCCCCGCTCATTCATCAACCCTTGCTAAAAAAAAAAAACTCATTTCCACCCTAAAGAAAAAAAAGGAAAAGGAAGGCTCTCGGAAGCTGTTGAACAAGTTGTGCTCTGTTTTTTATTCCCTTCAAACCCTCGAGCTCTTGGCTTCTATCTTCATGTGCTCGTCACTTCTCCGTCTTCCCGGGCCACTGTAACTGCCCCGACCCTGATACCCATGGGGGGTCCCTGCTTTTTCTCATTTCACCCTTGATCTCCCTCATTGAAGTATCATAATTTACTCTTTATACTCACATTTTTGTTTCCATTTTCCCATTGCCTTTTTTTACCCTTTCGTTTCGGGATGGAAACAGAGCCCAGCTTCAAGAGAGGCCAAACTGAGGCACATCCTTGTCTACGTCGACCTTCAGCGGGAGCTCATTGCACTAGCAGAAGAGGAAGAACACAACAGTGCAAGACTCCACCCCCACAACCAACAGCATCGGACCGTCAGAGAGAAGAAATCCGCGACCCTTAGCGTGAACACGAACGATTTAGCGCATTCGAACCGGGGAGAGGAAGGAGGATTCACCACTGTTGTCGATAGCAGAAGTAGTCGAGGACTCTGGCACAACAACAACAACACACACCCCAAGAGGTCTGATCTCACCATCTTGTTACACAACTCCACAATACACGAGCAACCATATCTGTCCTCCACCCCACAACAAACGCACGAGCGACAACTTCAAGAACAACAACATCTCCAACAACAACAACAACATCTCCAACAACAACAACAACAACAACAACAACAACAACAACAACAACAACAACAACAACAACAAAACAAATATCATCAGCCCACAGTGTCGCCATCCCCTACTCCACTAAGACATCACGACAGCTCTGTCGAATCTCTCCGACAACAACGTCAGCATCATCAACAGCAGGAGCGCAACACCCGCCAGACAGACGCGCTGGACCCCAGTCTAGCCCTCCCTCGAGCTCTCCCAAGGAACAGAATACCAGGGTACCGCGACTCGTACCTCTCTGCAGACTTGGACGCAGAGTGGCAAGTCATTGACGATGTGGGACCCGACAGCCCAACGATTCCCAACAACCACTACCCAGCGTTTGAGTTTGCACCGGGTCACAACGAGTCGCGCCACGCCTTGCCTATTCAGTCCTCCTCTAAATCAGCGGAGCGCCCGATTCAATATCGCCGGCGGGAAGAATCTGCAGAGCAAGTTGCAGTTCAGAGACAGCCCCTGCAGAGACAGACGTCGTTCGAGAAGGAAAAGAAGACAGGTCGATTTGGACGATTTTCTCTGCCAGGGAAGAGCAAGCGGGCAAGCACTACTCATCAGCGCAAGGAGAGTTTACCAGAGATGAGCAAGTCAGGAGGGGGAGGAGGAAGTGCAGGTGAGGAGGGCGTTCAAGCCAGATCCCTTTCTATCTCGAACAAGGACAAGGACAAGGAGAACAAGGATCGTGTTCGATTCCAGGAGGGGACAGTCGCAGCAGCGGACGGTGTCGAGTCGACTTTGAACCCATCTGCATCGATGGTCAAGCGGAGGAGCAAGCTCCGTCAGTTGCTGAGCGAGATCTTCAAGAAGGTCCCCAAGCAGCAACAACAAAGCCAAGTGATCTCAGCTCCATCTCCCGTCCAACGAGCCTACCCAGGTAGCGGGCATAATATCCTTGTCTCGACCTCGATCACACCTCAAGACCTCCCGCCTCGTGCAGGAACATCCTTGTCCCATTATGGGCGCGAGAGTTTAGTCGATCCATCATTGCGGCGGGAATTGTATCAGATTCAGACACCACCCCCAACTCAAGAGCATCTAGTTCTTGCCGACAACAGCAACGACATCAACAACAACAACAACAACAACAACAACAACAACAACAACAACAACAACAACAACAACGATAATGACAATGACAACAGCAGAAACAAGAACAATAATGCCGATGATGACGATGATGCCGATACACCGTTCCTAGGCCAGACCTCGCTGACTCCTCCACCTGCTACGTCTGTGTTGCGGTACTCGACCAGCCGTCCGATCAACTTGGACCAAATCCTGAGTTTCCACCAAGGTACTGCCGCCGCAGAGGATACTTCTAACGAGCACAAGACAAGACCGTCATCGAATCTCATGCCTATTGCTGGGGCCATCAAGGACCTGGCAACAGCAGCAGCAGCAGGCTCGGGCAGTGCAACAGGATCCGGTACTGGCAGTAGTGGCCCTTACACTTCGCAGCGACGTCTGGTTGCTCTATCGCCAGAGCAGCCGGCAGATCTTGAGGGGGTAGGTTGCCGACAGAACACCTTTGGAATGGACTGTGCCAACGATCTCATCGTGCCATCCATGGCCACCGCCTAACTTATGAATAAACCACGCGAGTCTTGACTTATTAACGTGAGAGTGATTGAACGGTAGGATGTTTTTTAGTGGCGCTGTCAATTAGATGTTGTGCAATAATAGAGGGTTTTTGCGATCGAATCGAACATTGGGACCTCTTCTCTCTCGTCGAAATAATCAGCTGTAAGGTCGCGACTGGCTCTGCCCTTTTTGTTCCCATCACCTTTCGCCCGACCAAAAAACCACAACAACCCAACAACCCAAGCAAGCGACGATGAAGTTTTCTCACAAGGCATACCTGAAGCCTCTGGCTCACGCAACTAAATACCCCACCGGACCTGTCAACGGCGTCTTCCTTGCAGAAACCGACTCGACTAACGTTGTCGATGCAGTGCCCTTTTTCCACTTTTGGGGAACCTTGACTCCCATGCTTGAAGTTGCCATGACCCAGGTACTCATTCAACCCGAAGAGGGTTATTTTCCTTTTTCCATCTGCCAGGAAAGGGAGGAGGGCACGGGTACTACAAGACTCATCAGGGAGCAGGAAGACAGACAGACAGAGCGGCCGTATGTTCAGGACAGACGCACTTTTCGACAGGAAACGATGAGCAAAGACGTTGCTGCAGATGATGCTTCATCCTTGACGTCTGGAACCTGATGAGACTACGCTGATGACTGTTGCTGATCGCGCTACTCCTTACTGTCATTCACACTTTGAACTCCTGTTCCTCACCGTTTGTTCTCACGCCATTCTCATGCTTATCCGAATGACTCCTTAATAGGTCGATTTGCACTGCAAAGCGAACGGACTCAGGATAATCGGATACTACGAGGCGAATGAGAGACTTGAGGACGAAGCCTTCTCGCTGGTCGGTCAGAAGATTGCTTCTCAGATCCACCATGTCAACCCAGAGGCATTCGCTGTCGTCGTAAGTCATGGAGGCTTGATTGCGTATTGCTACAGGACGACACAGAAGCTGACGACTGAACCCGATGAACAAGTCGGATGCTGATATTATTGCTATTTCGGTACCTTCCCTCTTTGTCCTTTGTAGATCAAGAACAAGAACATCATCTCGGATGAGGTCGCCTTCTTGGTAATTACTTTTTTCGAACAGAGATCTGCCCCTGGACACATTGGACATGTTATCTTCGTAACTCTCTACTAGCTTTTTTTTTGCTCGACACTTAAGTTTACTGACGAGACTCCAATCCTTTTCATTTAATAGCCTTACCAGCTCAAGGAGGGACAGTGGCGCGTGAGCAAGGATGCCTTCACGGACAAGAACGCCGGATTCTCATTGGAGAACAGCTCAAGCCCTACTGTGGTGGCCAAGGCCCTTCGCGGTGGATTGGGCGAGAAGCTTGCCGACTTCGATAACCACCTGGAGAACATCAAGGAGGACTGGTTGACCAACAAGGCCGTCGTCTAAGATGTCTGTGGTTTGGTTAAGATTAGTATAATAAAGAGATGGATCCATCTATTGTTGTGAACGTTAACGAAAAAGGGGCTGGCCGCGAACGTGTGTGTGTGTGTGCGTGTGCGTGTATGAGAAAAGTGCAATCTATCCAGCGCCATCAAAATTTTGCTCCGCTCGCTCTTTTCTGCCCCCTACAGTACTACAATATTCTGTAAACAAACTTTTATGCCATTTCTTTCTTCCCCAACCACACATCTTCCCCGACAAAACACCAACCCTACACACGCAGACATACACACATCTTCGACACAAAGCCTTTACCAACCAGACCGACAACTCTGACGCCCTCCCTCTAGTCCAACAGTCCAACCATCACCACCAAACACTATGACACGCCCAGCTGTTGGAGGAATCACTGACTCGTACCGCGATCAGGACGACGAGAATCATGCTCATACCTACAACGACGATGACCATCAGCATTCCTACCACCAACAAGCTACTACCACAACTACTACGACTACTACCCGTGCCGCTTCAGAGTTTGTAGTATACCAGGACCCCGAGGAACCACAGCCACAGCCACAGCGTCGCCGGCCGACAATACAGCGTGGACACCAGCGTTTCCAGCAACAGCAGCAGCAACAACAGGCGCATCCTGGAGATATGTCTGGAGTGGATTTGCATGATGGCGACGAAGCCGGCCTTGAGGGAGGCGAGAATGATGGTATGGAGTATTACAGCGACCAAGAAAATATGCAGCCAACCCGTCGTGCAGAAGGAGGACGAGCAGGATCATCCACGGCAACGGGATCAGCAGGAGCAGGAGCAGGAGTACCGGCAGTACCGGTCCGCGCTACGGCTGTTGGTGGAATTGGAAGTGGTGCTACTGATGTTGCCGCTCCTGCGATGGATGCGCGTCAAGAGCTGATGCAGCGGAACAAACATATTTCGTCGTCTCAGATCCAGCAACAGCAACAGCCGCAACAACTTCAGCAGCGTCGATCTTCGGCTAATATTGAGTTGGCAGGGCGATCAAGAGCTTCGATTCAACAGCAGCAACAACAACAGTCCGGAGCATCAGCGGCAGGAGGATCGTATAGGGAAATCCCAGGCGCGCCTGGGAGAAAAAGAACCCGAGATGGCGACAGAGACGCAGCAGGCTTCCTTGCTGATCAAGCCAATGGTGACGGTGGTGGCGCGTCCATGTCGTCTCAGGACGTGGAACGTCATCGTCAAGCTAAACGGCACCTGGCGGCTGTACAAAGACAGCATGAGCACGACGCAGCACAGTCGCTGGCGACAGCAAAAGCACAAGTACAAGTGCAATCTCAGGAACAACCAGTAGAGCCCTTGACACAACAGCAACTACTCGAGAAACAACAACGGGATGCCGCTCTCCGGAGGCAACGCAGGGCCCATGCCGAGGAGGTGAGGCAGTACAACAAGTTGTTAGAACATATTGATTATGGACAGGTCTATGAGGATGATACGTACGAGTACCGGAACGTCACGCTGCCCAAAGTTATGCTCCGGTACCTCCCCAGGAACTTGATGGATCGGCCCGAAGACAAGAATTCGCTTGTCCTTCGACTGCTGAAAGGTAAAAAAATGCGATCTGCGTTTGGACTACTCAAGGTCACTCCTGTTTTTTTTCTTCTTTTTGGCGTAATTATGTGTTAACGCCTTTTTCATCTCATGCGACAATGGCAAACCCTATAATAGAGACTGAATGGCGTCATATCGGGATCAAGATGTCGCAGTACTGGGTCCACTATCTGTCTCATGCTCCAGAGCCACATGTATTGCTGTTCCGAAGACCTGTCGGAACTGGAGCTCGTTTGAAACAGGAACAGGCACAGAAAGCTGCTGCTGAAAAGGCTGCTGCGGCTGCAGCTGCGGCTAAGGAAACACAGCGAGCACTGCTGCAAAGGACTGGATCTTCTTCCTCGTCTTCCTCCTCTTCACATCAGCATCAACAGCAACGTCTGGATGCTAGAAGTGCTACCTCTAGTGCCACGACTTCAAGATCTGTAGGAGATAGTCGGCAGCAGTCGTCATCGTCAGGATCTTCCAGGGCGGCAGAGGTAGCAGCAGCAGCAGAGGCAACACAGGAGAGTAGTACGCGTCGGTCACGAGAAACCACCCCTCCTCCCGCTCCCAAGCGCTCCAACGCTAGCAAGCCTCGTGAATGAGTCTATTCTTTCCTTTGGCTGCAGTTATTTCAGCAGTCTTTCTTTGTTGATTCCCAGCGCATTCGATACGTAGAGATTGTGGCCTGAATTGCCCCTCTCCTTGCTACATGTTTTGCATTGTTGGATCCCTTTTCAATGCGCTTGCTCACTCTTATAGTTCTCTCTCTTTCTTTCTTTATTCACGTCGCTTGTCTTTCTATCGTTCGATATTTTTTTTTAATTCCAGCAAAGTCCCATACCTTCCACTCTCACTTCTTTTCTCTCCCATTGTAGAAACACAAATACAATTGTACCATTAACAGCGATACGCTTTCTAATTCGTTGTTTTATTTTGTATGTGCTGAATTTGAATGGTTGGAGGTTGTGGAGAGGGGAAAAAAAATGGTTGATACTCGATTCGCAAATCCTAGACTTAGACGTTGCGGACGACATCATCGACGGCGGCAGCAAAGTACTTGACGTTCTTGGTGTTGAGTCCAGCCATGGAGATACGTCCGTTATCGGTCAAGTAGCAGTGGTACTTCTCCTTGAGGACCTTGACCTGAGGAGTCGACAATCCCGTGAAGGAGAACATTCCAATCTGATCAACAATGTGGTTCCAGGTGCCGGGGGTTCCCAAGGCAACGAGCTCGTCAAAGAGAGCCTGGCGCATGGCAATGATTCTGTTGGCCATGGACGACAGGTTCTCCTCCCACTCCTTGTAAAGAGTCTCGTCGTTCAAGACGAGGGAGACAACACGGGATCCATAGGCAGGAGGGTTGGAAATGACGGCACGTTGGGCCTTTGCGATTTGGGACTCGATCGTGTTCTTGATTTCGGGGGTCTTTGCAACAATCGTGAGGTTACCGGCACGCTCAGAGTAGAGACCAAAGTTCTTGGAGAACGACTGGGCGATGAACATCTCAAAGCCGCGCTCGACAAAGTAACGGACAGAGTAAGCGTCCTTGTCGAGGGAGCCCGAAGCGAAGCCCTGGTAGGCGGTGTCAAAGAAGGTGAAGTGGCCGCGGGCCTCCATGACGTCGGCGATTTGCTTCCATTGATCGGGGGTGGGGTCGACACCGGTGGGGTTGTGGGCACAGGGGTGGAGGAGGAAGATCGATCCAGAGGGGGCAGCCTCCATGGCACCGAGCATGCCCTTGAGGTCGAGGCCCTTGGTCTCGGGATTCCAATAGGGGTACTCGAGGACGGGGATACCGACTCCCTCAAAGATGGCACGGTGGTTGGCTATTGTTGAAGGAATGTGTAAATGTACAGGTTAGTTATTCTGTCCGCATCTAATGTGTTGAGTCAGTAAGTCCATGTTGTCAAGATCTTTATTAGTTGTGAGCCAACGACAAATGGTCCCAAAAATAACAAGAGGTGCAACGCAACGCGGAAATAATTCAAGTGCGGGGTATGATGAGAAAAGGGACCATTCCACGGGGCAGAAATGAAGCGGGCCCGTCTGGGAAACAAACAACGAGAGGGAAGAGAAAAAAAGAGCCGTGGACAGAGAAAAGTATAAACATGGTTTTTCTTCTTCCTGTTGCTGCTGGGTTTGCTCATCTCTCTGTCTGTCTCTTTGCACATGATTCATCCCTCATCCCTGCCTGCGACCCCGCACTCTCTCAGAAAAGAAAAAAGAACGCACTCAAAAAAAAAAGAATAGAAGATTGTGGTCCAATTGGAGCGAGAGAAAGAGAGGCAGTAGAGAGGGAAAAAAGAAAAACAAGCGTACACCCACATGCACATATTCATAAAGCAGACAAACAAAGGAAAAAATGGATTTTTATCCTGTCCGTCCTACTCATGGATAATTGCGTCCTTCCCCATTACAACACCCGAGACAAACACAAGCAGGACAATGAATAACTTACCCCAAGTGGGCTTGGAGATGTAACAGGCGGCGCCCTTGAAGGGGTAGTGCTTGGACAAGAAGTGAGCTCCAGCGTAGACGGCTCCAGTTCCAGAGATGCACTGAGCGGAACCGACACGACCCTCGGCAATGGCCTTGGAGTTCTCGCCCAAGATCAACTTAGCCGAGGCCTTGCGGAAGTTCTCCAGTCCGAGAATGGGCAAGTACTCGTGGTCCAAGTTCTCATCATCGACCATGATATGGTCCGCCTATGTGTATCAATTGAATTTCGTTTTCGTTAGTGGCAATGAAAGTACCGGCGATGGCGAGAGTGGTTGCCAGTAGCCAACGACAAACAAATCGAATCAAACGAAAAGGTACCTTGTGGACGACGGGGAGGACCCAGGGCTTGCCTTCCTCAGTGCGGTAGGCACCAACACCGAGGTTGACCTTCTTGGGGTCGGTGTCGGCCTTGTAGGCGGCAGTCAAGGCGAAAATGACATCAGCGGGTGCGCCAGGAACGTTCTCAAAGATAGAAGCTATTCATTCAATCGAGGGATTTTATTTTTGTCCGGAGTGTGTAAAGCGAGGTCAGTCAGGGTCCTGAACCAGCATCAAAAGTGATTCCTCTTTCCTGTAGTTGTTGCGGTCATTGTCCATTAGTTCGTTTCGTTTCGGTGAAGAGTCGTGTCGTCTCATGCAAAGTACTTACCCATGATGTGTATATGTGCAAGTTATTATTAAGACTGAGGTGAGAAAAGTGTACAAGGAGGGAGGAAAGAAGGAAGGGGATAAGAAGGTGAAAGGGAAGGAAGTGAAGTGGAAAGTAAAGAAGAAAGAAGTGATCAGCCGGCGCGTTTAAGAAGGAATAAAAAAACTGGGGTCTCTGCCGGAGAAGAGAACAAAAGTCGATTGAGTCATTGCACAAGCTAGTGGACCAGTCCTTTTCTGTCCATGGCTCATTCACCCATGGAGACCAAACACACTCGCTCGCTTGCACATTCACACACCCACACACTCACACACCCACACTCTCACACACCCACACTCTCACAACCTGGTGTTGGATGGATGGGGTCGAATGAAAGCGGACCCACCCAACCTTGTACTATCGCACTCTCACTTTACAGGCACGCCGCTCACCAACCGTGTACTTTAGTTTTTGGTTGGGTGCAACTTCACTCTTGCTCTTCACGTCGTCCTTGCTTCTCATTCATTCATAACGCGAACACAAAGGCATCACTAATTGCCTCCATCTCTGACCTTCGCTTCTCCTTACCATTGCTTCACTTCTTGAATTCCTTCTGACTCACACGGATACACTTCATACCTTTGACCCACCAAGCTTGCTGTTTGTATTGTTTCTGGATACTAAGCAAACACCACCTTTTTGTATTCATGATTCCCTGCTCCGCTCCTTCTCCTCTCCTCCGCCCAACAACTAACAACAACTTGTTCAATGCGAAGCCAGTGAAAGAAAAAAAGAAAGGCTCTTTGTCCGGGACAGCCAGAATAGGGAACTAGTGGGTATGAGTAAGAAATGGCTAACCAATTGGTCCCAATGCGCCTTTTTGTTGGTCTCTTTACTTTTTCTTTTTGACCGTCGGTGTCGGTGAATGTAATTTATGTATGCTTCTATTGTTGTGTCGTTGTGTCTTTGGCGTAAACAACCACGCCCCAACTACCCAAAAAAACAATGAAAAAGTACCCCTTAGGAACCACCCGTGGGAGTCATTCCTTGGTCTGTTGGTCTTGCATATTGCGCACAACACCTTTATTGCATGCAATTGAGATTGTTTCTCTCCTTGGCTCGGGACCTGGCTGGAATATGTTTACTTACGAAAGGCACGGAAGTGAAGAGTGTAAAGAAGAATGAAGTGAAAGAAAAAGAAACGGAAAAAAGTAGAAGGCGACTTCTTTTTTTCAAGGGACAGATCGGACTGATGGGATCACAATCACGTGTACAACTACATCTTCACTTTTTGTCCGAAAACCCGAACGCGACGACGTTCTTTGCGTGTTTGTTGTGTTTCAAGGCCTCAGAAGCGGGGCTACGGGTGCCTTTTTGATGGCAAGGTTGGCCTTGCTGTTGTATTCCCTTTTTTATCCAACAAATCCATTTGTGTATGGTGCTGCAAAGAGTGGTGCCAGGATGTCAGTCAGACTGGAAGGGATCCCTCAAGTCTCAATTTTGGTGGCGTACGGGTGTCTCTGCTAAAGCTTGGTTTTTGTTTTCATCACTCCCGCCTATCATTACAAAACTCACAACCAACTCTTTTTCATTTCTCATCCACCCGCACACCTCCTTAAACTTAACCAGGAGACCCTCCTCATGTATGTTACAAAGAAAGTGGCAAAGGCAAGATGACTTTACGGGAGAAGAAACAAGAGTACCGCTCTGAAGAAATAAACCATGCAAACGAGGAAAGTTGGTGTTGCTATAAAAATGTGCGAGAGAAATATTAACTTGATCGCGAGGTCGAAATAGGGGTCCAACTTGGCCTTCGTATTGACCCCCATGCTCCGATTTCGACGGGATCGCATTGCGCTTTCCAGGTCAGGCACGCCCATAATAAGTCCTCGTTTAGAACGGTGGGGGAGTATCCAAACTTGAAAACCTTTTGAAGGTACAAGTTCTTCAGCTGCTGCCGCTTCTTTGGATCAAACTCCAGCATAAGCCTGACCAGGTCCTTGGCGTTCAGATTCAGCTTGCGCTCGTCCATATGCAAGAGTGTTTCCGGCTTCTCGGGGTGCTTCTCCTTTCTAAATCAAAATAAACATCACAATGTTAATATGGTCACTACTATGCACATTACAAATAGCCACGACGGATCTCATGCCCCGCTTACCTCTTGGTCAGCCAAGCCTCCTCTCCGCGGAGCATAAGGTATATTATTCAGCCGAAGCTGAAGATATCCAAATCATATGTATGCGGCTTCAAATCAACAACTTCAGGAGCGCGATACCCATCAGTCCCAACTCTATCACCGCGCTGCGTTCCAGATCGAATCTCTCAGCCAAACCCAAATTGCCAATACGGACACGCATACTGGAGGCGAAGAAGATGTTTTCAGGTTTAAGATCGCAATGGATCAAACCTCGGTCATGCAAGTGGGTCAATCTAATTGCGATCTCAGCGCTGAAATACCGAGTCTCCTCCTCGTTGATGGCCCCGCGATTGCTGAGGAGGCTATTCAAGTTCTAAGTTCTATGTGGCACAGAGGGAGGAGGAAAGATGATTCGCGTGTCAGATACAACGCTCATTAACTCAGCCTTCTTGTGATCCTCATGTACCCATGCTACTTACTCTTGACAGGTATAGTTCAAACAACAGGCACGGACTGCTAGGGTCCTCGACGGTCCCAAAGTACTTGATCAGATGTGTGTGCTTGCCCGCAGCCTCCAACGTGGTGACCTCGCGCTGGATCTACAAATGAAAATGAATAGGCAATGGTTAGCACAAGGAACATTGAGTATCATGCTTTTCAAGCGCTCAGTACATATTGTACTTACATCCTTGTCTCTGATATCTCGTCAGTACCACTTGAGAACGAAGCATTCTCCCTTTTTGTTTGTGACCTTGTAGACGCTGCTAAACCCGCCCTGCCGATGCAATTCAAGGTGAAGTGTGTTAGTTTGAGTGGATGTTGTGTGAAATTGACTTAACTCACGACATATTTCTGTTTGTTAACAATTGATAGTTACCTCGCCGAGAATGTCTCCTTACACTACCGCGTATTCTTTGCCTGTACGCCTGGCAAAGAATGGCCAAGGTTTCTTAGGCTGCAAGTCGGTAAGCGTTGAGAAGGACAGGACGCCACTGGTTAGTTTCAATCAATGCGACACCGAAGAAATGGTTAATGGTGGGCGGTGAGATGGTCAGCATTTTTTACCTCGGTCTTGGTCTCTCGCTCGGACTGTCGTCCTTCTCTTGTGATTCCTCCCGGGACTCTTCCCGGTCCATCTCCTGGGATTCAGCCGCTTGGACCTGGTTCTCATTGGACTTTTCCAGGGACCGCGAGCTGTCCGACTGGACGTTTCCAAGTATTCAGACGATCGTTGGATCGAATCGATAGTGTAAAGGCAGCAAGAGAAGGGTAGTGGACAAGTGCAGGAGGCAGAAACAGAGATGGGGTATTTATACTAGTGTACAAGTGTGCAGCTGAAGGCGCGGTGGTGATGATATCAAAGCAGACAGTCACACGGAGGTGCGGTGATGGGAGTATTCGCGGTGATGGTGGCAAAGTAGAGACGGTCCATTTCTCCCCAGGAGTCGTCCATTCTTATGTTTTCTCTACTTTATTGTAATTCTACGCGACCCCTTTCTTGTTTTTCTCAGCATCTTGGTTTTCCGATATGTTCGTTGGACCGGCTTTAACGTTGATGTGACCAACAACATCTTATTATGCGTCCACTTCTTTTTCATTCATCGGCAACTGTCTTTACCTATTCACGACTCTTTTCTTTTTCTAACAGCGATATGTTCTTCTTCTACCATCGTCAGCCATCTTTCCCGCCATTTCAATTTTTTATGGTTCCCACAGATAGCCTTTGTTCTTTCTTTTTCGCTCGCGAAGGTCACAACCCAGAACACTACTAATCAAATCGTTGGTTCACGCCAATTCATCTACTCTTCATTCCCCACTTCGTCTCTCGTCCCTTCCCACCCACACCGATCTTTATTCGAAAAACGAAACACGGACACACAAAGGAAAGTATACAACTCGAGTTCACAACTCGCGTTCACAATTCCACTCTTAATTTCCCGTCCATTTCCTAAGTATCTCAAACACTGTGATTTTGAGGATGGGTTCCGTGCAGTGCTTTGGGCATGCTCAATGGTATCCATGACTACATGACAGCTATCACTCTTAGTTCACAGAGGTTCTTGGAATGGTACCGAGGTGAACATGCCGTTACAATCAGCTAGAAGGTCTTGGATGCGATGAAGTTTTGGTGCCACCTTCTTCTTTCTGAATTGGTCGCTAGGGTTGTTGAGGAAAATTGAAAGAATCGAAGGGGTACAGCACATTATGTGATGGTTGTTGAGGGTTCTAAGAATATAACAATACTAACCCCCTTCCTTTTTACCTCCTTTGTGCCCTTCCGTCTTAAACCACTAGTGTAGTGAGTGGATGGTGCTTTGCAGGATTCGTAACCTCAATCAGCATCGAGGCCATAGAGTTTATGACTTGGGATAAACACGCCCATCCTTCATTACTCCAACAAGAGGAAAAATACTCGACAGCACGATATCGATTAACAAGTTAAATATGTCTGCAAAAAAAATTCGCAATGCGATGACAAGGAAAGAAGGAAGAGAGGGTGTTACCGATAAGACGCAATCAAGAGTCGATCCTGTTTTGCCTTTTTTTTTCCAGCTAATGTCAGAAGCATAATTAGCCGACAAGAAGAGCTGAGGATGGTGGGTTTGTCAATCTCGAACGAAAGAGTACCTTCTTGTCCAAATTAAGTGAGCCGTGTCCTGTCAAAAAAAAACCACAAACAAAAAGCAAATCAAACGGCGGACATGGCCAACGGCTAATTGCACCATCGTAGAGCACACCTGTCAAAACTGTCACCCACTTCTCCCTTTTCCTGTCCTTCCAATAAAATGTACCTGTCAGTTTTTTGTTTGTTTGTTTGATTGCTGAGCTGCAAAAAGGGGCGTGTTTAGCCCAGATGCTGTTGCACTTTCATTGGTGCAACAACGACATTGAAAAAGGTTGTCAAAGTATTGAGACGAAGTGGGATTTATGCATGAGGAACGCCAGAGGAGAGATTGACAGCTGCCACGTACAAATTGTCATGTACGGTACACCTTGTCATTGTTAGCTTGTCTTGTCTGGACTTTGGGCATGGTGCATTCTTGCGCCTTTGTTGCCCTCCCTTTGTGAGCAATAAAAAAAAAAGGTTGTCAGAAATTGACCCGGGTCCATCCAAAAAAATGTCACCGCGAAGGTACTCCCTTTACCCCCCTTTGTCTGACTCCCTTTGCTTTTCCCACTTTGTTGTTGTTTTGCAATGGGAGGAAGGATGATTGGTGCTCTCAAACCTGTCAATTTTTGCGAATAAAAGAAATGTCAAAATCTTGAACGCCCGCTTTTTCCTTTCTCCTCTTTTAACTTCTTCCCTACCTCCACTTTCCACTTCAACTTCCACACGCACAACTCACGCACTCTTTGAATTGAACACACGCAAACACTCACGCTCGCCCTACCTCTGTATCAACCTGTCCCTTCTTTTCTACCCTCCATCAACATGAGTTGCTACCAGTGCACCGTTTGTTCACTACCCTTCCAGAGCCTCGTCGTAAGTAATCCACATCAACCCCCATCCCTCGTCTGAGTGTCTTCTTCAATCCCAATCTAACAACTCTTTCTCACTTCCTATCACGATAACCTTTAGGCTAGCATGTACTGCTCAGAACGATGCTACATCGTCGAAGGAATGGCCTACTACTACCAATCCTTCTCCAACACGACCTGTCCCCCAACCACCACCGCCACCGCTGCCACTGCCACTGCTACACCCGCTGCATCTAACTGGTCCTTGAGGGACTGCGTGTCGTCCGCGACGTCCGAGTGTGACGCCATCGACCTCTACTACTATCACGAGCACTCGGTGCTCTCTCCACCGGTCCGAAAGAACAAGACCTTGCCGCCGCCTACGCTCTCACCCATTCTCATGTCTACTCCTTCTAAGACCACAAGACGCACAGCATTAACATCCACGACGATGACGACAACAAGGTCTCGAAGCTCCTCGGTGATCTCGGCAAGTTCTTGGTCTGCCGATAGCAGCAGCAGTGGTAGTAGCATGAACACTAGCGTCTCCAGTGGAAGTTGCTGTACCAGCAGTGATGACGGTGAAGAAGACCCCCTGTCCGCAAACTGGCCGAAGATGGACCGTCTTGCCTCCTCTTCATTTGACCTCCACCTCTCCTCCAACGGCAGCGCACAATGGGACCCCATTTCCATGGGTTGGACCACCACCTCCGACAGCCTTCCTACATCTTCCCAGACAAGATCCGAATTGCCTCCACCTGCGTCGGCTTGGGAGTTGGAAGGAGACCTGACCCTGTCATCGTCTCCACGCAAGTACTTGGCGCTTTCGGCGTCGATCTGGGGTCCTGGCTGGCATCAAGTCGAGCCTTTACCACCATCGTTCGTCAAGACGCTGGAGCAGAGCGAACTGGAGCTTCAGGCTCAGGCACAGGCTTTGGCGTTGGAGAAGGCGGCTTTGGCTGCTACGAACCCGAAGGCTATTGCCAAGAAGGCCAAGCGTGAGGCCAAGGCTGCTGCTGCCGCACTGGCAGCGGCGGCGGCAGCACAAGATCAAGGAGAGGGTCAATCGCAAGATGTCGTGATGACGGACGCCGGTTCTTGTTCGACCGCCAGTGCTTCGGCGTCGGCGTCTGATGTTGCAGGACCAACGCCAGCACCAATCAATGCCTTGTGTTCGTCTCGTTTACCCCGCAGCCTTCAATTCGTCGATTAAATCTAGAGTCCACATGCTTCCATACATTTTTATTTCTTGACATCTCCATACACCCCTTGTACATACTTCCCCCTTTCAATGGTTTTCGTCAAATAAAAGAACTCTACGTTTCACACACAACATTTGCTTTATTAACGGATGCATGTACTCGAAGATGAGAGAGGGGTATGAACGCGCGCGCTGGCCACTTCTTTTGCTCAAGGCGACACAGGTAATGTCGCGTGCAATTATTTAATTTGCGAAGGGTGTCCAACAAACAAAAAGAGGGGAGGGGGAGGAAGAGTTTTAAGGGTCAAAACAGACCCTGAATCGAACAAGCAAACAATAAAAAATCACAAAAAGGGATATCAAACATCGACGACGAGGGTCTCGCCAATACTAACGACGTTGAAGGAGTTGGGGTCATGCCCACGGTTCTTCATTTCTGCCTCGAGACGCTTTGGAGGTTCTGAGACGTCCTCGTCTGTCAGGACCCACTAAGGAAGGGGGAATAGGTTGATTGGTTGGCAAAATTTAATTTGTGATTGATTGTCAGTGTCAGGGGTCCTGGTTCTGAAACATTGGGGCTTTTTGTCTGTTTGTCTTGTTTGATGAAGGGGGAAGTGGTTACTTACAGTGCCCCAGTGCATTCCGACGCTACGTTTGGACTTGATGTCCTCGTGGACCCGCACTGCATCCTCAGGCGAGCAGTGGATAGGTGACATGAACCTTTTTTCCAGAAATGAACACACACCGTGCATTAGTTATCAAAACACTAACGAAAGATATAACAACAGTCTTACACGACGCGAATACTAGAACATTCATAAAACTTACCATCGAGGACTGTAAGCGCCAATGGGGATCATGGACAGATCAAACGGTCCAATACGGTCTCCAATCTCCTTGAAGGCAGGGCAATGGGGCATGGCGTTTTCGTCTGCACCCTTGGGGACATAGCGGTACCCGGTGTCGCCTCCAAAGAAAACCTTGGTGGGCTTGGCCCCCTCAGTCCTGGGAATGGATTCGATTACCCAAGAAGCCCATAGGGTCTTGAAGGTGTCTGTCAAGGAGCGACCCGTGAAATGTTGGCAGGGGGTGCAGATCACTTTGATTCCCGATTTGTTGTCATGGAAACTGTGCTCATGCTCGTCCCACCTATTACAAAATGCAAAAGAGAACGACGAACATATCAGTTCTATTGTTCCACTCTGTCCCTGTCCATACCCACGACATACATATCCCCGCTTAATTGAATAAGTGGGCATACCAGTCGCACTCAGTGACTTTATCCTTGATGCCAATAGAATGGAACCAGGCCTTGTTTCCGAGGGGTACGTAGAAGAACGGCTTGTGGTCATTTTGGAGCTTTTGGATGGTGGTCAAGTCGAGATGGTCGTAATGGTTGTGACTGATGATGACGATGTCGATGCGAGGCAATTCGTCCAGTTTGCAGGGAGGGGGCGTGATTCTTTTGGGTCCTGCAAGTTGACTTGGGCTGCATCTGTCCGAGAATACGGGATCGAATAGGATGTTCACGCCATCCACCTGTACCAGAAAGCACGCACTATTGTACAGTACAAGAAAGAGAAAAGGAATCAGTCGTGTTCACAGTATTGTCCCTATACAGTCCAATTGCTCCTCGCCTTCGGTTCAATTACAATGCGTGAAGTGACGACTAAGACAAAAGAAAGAAAAAGACAAAAACGTACTGTCCAAGCCAGGTGGTTGTGATTTGTCCGTGTCTAGTCCCCGCTGGGCTCTGTGGTTCCTGAGGGCGACTGAAGGTGTCGATCAAGTCCTTGTTGATGTTGAGGATGTTGGGGAGCTGAGTTTGAGGGGTAACGGCGGCCTGTTTCCTGTCAAAATCAAAGACGAGCGCCTGAAAGGTTGCAAGGCGTCCGTGGTGGATAAAACTGGGCCAGGGGTTGACGAACCCGTTTCCTTTTGGGTCGTGGTGGGCCGGTAGGGATTTCTTGTCGTTTGCTGATCGCATTTGAGTTGTGGTGAATGAGGATGGAGAGGAAGATGATGAGTGGGTGAGAGAGGAAGGTGAATGAGTGAGAGAGTTGATGTTCCTCTTTTCTTCGGGAATTTATTTTCCCCAACGAACGGACACACGCGTGTTGCGTGCGTGTTGCGTGCGTGTCGCGCAGTTCGATCGAAGGGATGAGACAAAACGGAATGTTTTCTTGTGCTGATTTTCATTCGTCTTTGAAAACCATGCGCCCTACAAAGCAATTGAAGGCAATTGAAGGCAATTGAATGCAATGGGAGGTACAGAAAGCTGGCGGGAAGGCATCTTACCATCATCATAATCCGTAGTATTGAAGAGACGAACGACAGAGTCGCGTTCATGGTAGACTGCAGCTGTACTTAAGAGCGCGAGTCCTGTAGCTGCAGCCCATTTAGATCGAGCTGCAAACATGTTTTAAGAGATATCCTCTTGATCGGGCGTTGTTAATTTTGTTAATCTAAGCTATCTTTGTTTGAGGTGTCCGTGTGGTAGAATGGACGAAGAGGAAAGAGGAGAGAGAAGCAAGAAGGTAACCGAGGAAGCGAGATGTTTTTTGATGCAATTGCTTTTGAGAGCTGGACGTTGTTGAAAGGAATGAAGAGGAGCGAACAACCGATTGAGAGGAAGGAAGGAGGGAGAAATGGGCGAAGGGATTAAGGGGGACAAAGGGAAGTAAAGGATGTAGTCTATGTTTGTAGAGTTGGTGCGATGAAAAGTAAATGAAGACAAGGAAGGTCACGAAGGGAGGAAGAAAGAGAGAGAGAGAGAGAGAGAGAGAGAGAGAGAGAGAGAGGGAAGAAAGACGAGAAACAAACAAACAAACAAAAGTGTCAGCAATTAGCCTTTTGGCTTTGATCGAACAAGGACAAATAAGACGAGAGCCAAAGGCAACCTGCAGGAGCAATAGAGTAATGAGACTTCTGTGCTTCTTTTTTTTCACACCACTGGGCTGGATTGGATGCTCCTTCTTCTTCTTTTTGTTTTCTTTCCATCTTCTTTGTCTCCTCTTCGCCTTCTTCTTTCCTCCCTCTGCTTCTTTCTCATCCCTCTCGGTCTCTCAACTCCCTCTTCCTCCTCCCCACCCTCTCTCCCTCTCAAGCACCACTGACAAACACCACAAAGAAAACAGACCCGACAAACCAACTCAACCCAACCGACGGCAAAGAACAATTTTGAGAGCGACTGTCCGACAGACATACATACCCGACTTATGTCAGACTCTAAATTGACATCAGCACCCAAGGCGACTGAGTCCTTCATCATCGTCAATGGAGCAGACGACAGAGATGCCGGCATCTACTCCGACAACTTCTACTCAAGACGAATGAATAAACTTCGCAGTAGTATTCGTCGTCGTATGCTCCCCTGGGTTCGTAGCGAGACGAAAGGTCTGGCCGAGCTTCAGGTACGGCTATCACACCTCTCAACCGAATGTGCAATGTCTATTTGTTTTGTTTCCCACCTATCCCTGCCAACCTTCACTTGGAACGGATTGGTTGGTTCGATTGGACTTTGTCCAATTGGAGACACAAACACTCACACTCTACATTGTGTCCATTAGCATCGATGGAGGACACCGTTGCTGGATAGCTACTTCACTTTGACAGCGTTTGCAGGACATCCGCTATTCTTTGTCTGCATCCTACCCATCATGTTCTGGTACGGCCACTCGGTCTTTGCTCGAGGATTCGTTAATGTTGCCTGTGTCGGCGTCTTTGTCACTTCTTGGGTCAAGGATTACCTCTGCCTCCCTCGACCACTTTCTCCGCCCCTTGTTCGTCTTTCCAGGTCCAAGCGAGGTAAGAGTCCAAAAACAGAGTCACGATTGGTGGTTGTTTCGAAAGAAGAGGCTGAGATACACGATCCTGCTGGACTGACCTTGAGTATGAATTTGCTCCGCCCCACCCTGCTTTTCGCTCTTTGTATCCTTCTAGTCCATTTAGAATATGGTTTTCCATCGACCCACACAAGCAACGCGACCTCGATCGCGCTCTACCTTCTTTCGCACTTGCTCATTTCGGAATGGTCCGTTCTCGCCAAGGTCGCATCGATTGCTGGTCTCTGTGTCTACCTCTTCAGCGTCGTCTTTGGTCGGCTCTATTGCGGGATGCACACCAAGACAGACATCATTGGAGGCACTGTCATCGGTATCCTGGTTTGGGCTGCTCAATGGTCCTTCCACGATGCCATCGACAGCTTGATGACTAGCCCTAGCTGGACAGGTACCTATATCAGTTCATGCATCTATGCATCCATGGGTTGCAATTCATGCTAGTTTCAAATGTTAATCTAGCCTCTGTCTACTCTTTTCTGGTAGTGGTGTCCGCGGTTATTCTTGGAGGCATTGTGCTGATCCAGAGCATCCCTGACACGATGGACAGCTGTCCATGCATTGATGACGGGTAAGGGCGATCCGAGTGCTGTTTCTGCTTTTGGTTTTTGTGGGAAAGAAGGAACAAACATGATGTGACACGAGAGGAAAAAATCACATTTGAGTTTGGCATATGCTGACCAACGCCGTCATATTTTTCGGATGATCTTAGTGTTACAACAATGGCAGTTCTCATGGGTGTCTTCCCAGCAAGCCAGCATTTCGCCCTTTCAAAGTACTCGGTCAGTGCTGGAGGACACGATGGTATCGTTCACTATGACGCTGCCATCGGCTTGCCCAGGTCGATCCTGCGCTTTGTCTTTGGTCTCGCTGTCGTCTTCACATGGCGTATGGCGGCCAAGAAGTTGCTCTACATCCTGCTCCCTCCCCTCTACAGCTATTTTAACCTGCCGTCAAGAACCCACTTTGTACCCGCCAAGTATGTCTCCATGTTCATACCTTCCAACGCGCTCTCGTCCCTCGCCGTTTGATATTTGCAATTGACACCTTTTCTTATTGATGTGTGTGTGTGTGTATTAGGACGTACGGAAACCTTCGAAGTCAGCCCATCGGAAGAGTCCCATCGGTTCTGGATCTTTCAGCGTTGGCAGACTCTTCTATTGAAATTGTGGGAACTCAGTCGACAATGGATATCCACGAACAGTTCTCACAGAGCCGTTCATCCAAGGTCTCGAGCCGTCATCATCAACAGGTCGAAGACATTGAAAAGAAGGAACACTTTGGGCTCCGACCTGGACACATCAACAACACCCGTCAGGAGAAACAACAAAAGCAGGACGGCATCGTCTCTGAAAAAGTACCACCACTGGTACTCGAGACGCTGGAACATCCTTTGGATCTGGAGCTAGATGAGTCTGAGCGTCAGGCGATGGAGCAATTTGAAGCCGAGCATCCAGGATGGGCACGATTTGATGTTGATATCGTCATCAAGACTGTCGTCTATGCCGGTGGGTTATCTCTTATTCCTTTTCTCTTTGTCTCCGTGGATATTGCCATTTGTCGGGAAGATGAGATACTAATACACTTTTTTTTGTATATCCAGGCATAGGATGGTTAGCGGTGGACAGCATTCCAATCATGTTTGAATACATTGGACTCGGCACATCGTATCTTCGATATTAATGAATACCAAGTATTTGCCATCCAGGAAGTGAGTGTGAAGAACGTGATCTGGGGAACATTGCCGTGAGGTGAACCTCAAAAGTATATGTTTTGCTTTTTTGATCCAGTTCGAGTGTGCGAGTCAGACACATCCGAACGACGATCTGGGACGGGGTGCGGATGAGAATAATAAAGGACAAGGAGAGTCTTGTCTCTGGCGCTGAAGAGGAGCCTGTTTGATTGATGTGTTACTTCCTTCATGTGTCTTTCTGATGTTTGTTTGTCTCGATGGGAGGGGAGTTGTACCTCAACGTTTTTCTGCTCGGATGTTCAGTGAGAGAGCTGAGCCGGGAAGAGAGACGGGGATGACGGATGGCCCGAATCAGCACTCTAGCAGCAGTCATTCTTACTTTGGGCAAAATGCACACTCTTAAATCTTTGTTGTCCACTTTTCCTCTTCTTCTTCACCTTTCACTTCACTCCGCACACTTCACTTCCTTCCACCGCTCACTCACCTCTCTTCCCCTTCCTTGCCGCCATTCTTATTGCTTGACCTTTTCCGAATCAGCGTGTTTCCTGATCTTTCTTTTTCCATCTCACTCCTAATTGTGCTCATGCTGCCACCAGTCGCGTCTCTCTATTCCCTGCCTTGTCTCTTTCAGCACGATATCTTTCTTTAGCTCTACCTCTTTCCACTCTCTCTTCCTCTTTGTTAAACAGTGCCCATATACACACATACACATCAATACAGACCCAAGAAAAGACACATACAAGATGTTACTCTCTTCTCCCGCCTCCCAAGCCGAAGGCCACCGCCAGCAACAACAGAACCGATCCCCTAGCCCCGGCTCGAATATCCACATCCACTTCTCCGCACCCTACCACAACCACCACGACTCCACTCTAACGGTCAGCACCAGTGGCAGTGGCGGCAGTGGTATGAGCGGATCAACATACCACAACGGCTCCTCCTCCTTAGAGACGACTGCTGCTCTCCACATCAACAACAACAACAGCCATCACCACGTTCATTACCATCGGAGCAACTGCAGTTCTAACAACTCGTCGCCGCCGTCGTCGACTTCAAGTACCCGGAGATTCAATTACCGACAGCAGCAGCAGCAGCAGGACGATCCTGCGGCCGATAGTGGCGCTATTACCGTCGATGAGTACAAGGAGATCTTGAGCGCCGAGGTCTGGATCGAGATCCCTAAGCTGCGAGAGTATGCACGCCATGGCATCCCCCGGGAGATTCGAGGGGTAAGGACCATTTCTTGTCCAAATGTTGTCTACTTACAATTCTATTGTTGCGGGTTTTGTTCGCTGAGGTCGAAGCGGTCGCTTTGTGTGATTTCAATTCCGCCACCACATCACTAGCATTCATTTTCCAACCGAAAGAAACCCCACCACTCCCTTCATTCCGCCCGTTATTTTTCAGTAATTCAGGCAGGAGTGGATGGTCGTGTTTCGAACAGGAACTTACATGAGGCATAGCAGAAAAAACGAAGGAAGAGTGGTTCGGACGACAGTTGCCCTTGTCCGCCAATGTTTATTTCCATATCTAAAGCGATGGATTACAAGAGGTGGATTCGGAAAATGTGATACGCTGCGAATCGGACTTATGGACAACTCCCACTTTTTTGTTTTCTTTTATTTTCTTTTCTGGTTTACCTTCTGCCGTCATGCGTTCATTTCCTTCGTCACTTCTTCGCGGAAGTATCGTCTATCATTTCCGGCACACGACACAACACGAAGCACAGAAACATTTGCGATAAGCAAATAGTCGATGACCGTTTACTGGCCAAGGATGATGCTCCCTCAATGCCTTCCGTCTTGTTGTTATTATTTTTACATTTTTGATCACCCTTGTCATCACACGCATGGGGCTGCGCTGAGTTCGTTATCCCCCTTGTGTTTCTTCTCTTCATTCGATCGTTGTGTGTGGGTTTCGTCTATTTCGTGCATATATGTTGATTGGTTTACAAGCATTCCGCCTCAACAGAAAAAAAAAACAAAAATAACAATCACGATGAGAGAGTGTGAGAGGTGGAAAAAACAAGGCTTTATATGGAGTGTGCGTCATAGCTTGGCATGGTTTTCATTCCTTATCGTAAACCAAAGAGAAAAATATTAACTCAATGAAAAAATGTCGATTTATTGTCCTTCTAGGAGACGTGGCTATACCTATTCGGGATCCAGGATGCAGACCGGGCCAAGGAGGTGTCGACACAGAAGCAGCGGATTCAGGACTTTGAGCAGATGGACAAGGAGCCCTCAGAGTCGACGAAGAGAGTGCGAGGTGAGATCTCGCGGTATATGCGCAAGACACACATTGAGTCAAGTCGGGATATCCCTCGGTTGTTTGAGGAGATCATTAGTGCGTACTGCAACCAGAACCACCAGGTCGAGTACTACCCGGCCATGGTCAACCTCTGCGCGCCCTTTGTCTATTCGATTAAGCGCGAGTGGAATGCGTATCTCTGCTTTGAGAAGATGATTAACATTCTTAGTAAGATAACAAGCTCTTTTTTTCTTGGCGCTTTTCATTTGGCTGTTTTATCCCGTTGCAAAGATAACTGACGAATAGATTTCTTCTGTGTGACCCGGAATAGATGAGCATTTCAGTGATGAGAGTGTGAATGAGGCGGTGGCAAAGTTCATGACGCTCTTCCACACCTACATCCCAGACCTGTACAGCTACTTTGAAGAGGAAGAAGTCAACATTAAGGAATGGGCAGCTTCGGCACTCCAGTTTGTGCTCTCTCGAGAATTGACACTGGAGAACACGATGCGGTTATGGGACACGTATTTCTCGATCCCAGATGCGGGCTGGATTGATTTCCACCCGTACTTTTGTCTGGCGATTCTCAAGCATATGAAGGAAGGGTTTGAGGATCTGGAGGAATCTGAGATCCGGACTACCTTGATGCGTCTGCCAGCCTTGGACATCGATCAGGTAAATATAGACCCTGTTTTTTTCTGTTTTGTTGTTTCTTATTGTTTTTGTGCATTCTGGATCTGTATGATTGACACAGGAAACCCCAAATTGCTTTCATGATACTAGATCGTGAATGAGGCGTTCAACATCCGGCATGAGATCCTGGTGAGGCAGATCTCGGATGATTCTCTTTGAAATAACGCTTGGTCTATCGTCTTGTAGACAGACAACCATATCGTCCTCTTACCCATCAACAACAACAAGCTTTACAGCAGCTATATCTATTAGGCTTGAAGTCCCCTTCCCTCCCCAAAAAAAAAAAAAAAAAAAACGCCACCAAAATTTGCAAGAAGCTTTTTTTTTTTTGCTACTTCTTATGTCCTGTTGTGTCCCTTGGTTTCCTGAGTTCCCCTTCATCCATATTCCCCTTTTGTTCAACACAATATTGTTTGTAAGTGAATCCTTTTTTTTTTGCGACTTTTTTTTATTATACAGTGGTTTGTTGATGGTACAACGGGACAAAAAGAATGAAAGCAAAAAGCAAAAGAAAGGTAAGAAGAGAAGGTGAGAGTATGGAGTGTTGTTCTTTTTATGATCTGTTGAAAGATACAAGGTACATGAACGAATGAATGAATGAAAGAATGAATGAAAGAGGGGGAAAAAAAGCAGCGGTATATGTGAGAAAGTCTAGGAAACGCGAGAAAAATGGAATAAAAGAAAGAAATAAAAAACAAGCAAGAAATGACAAATGAAAGTGCATACAAAGATGAAATGGAAGCACGACGAGAATGGTTTGCTGTTTAACGCAGCTCACGGTCATGGGCAGGGAAATGGCCGTCATGGCGCGATGAGTAAGTAGAATGATGCGACATTTCCGATCCAGGGCGGCCCTCGACTGGGCCACCTCTGTGGTAGCCATGCTGCTGCTGGTGGTGATGGTGGTGTGCAAGATGCTGCTGTTCGTCAGGATGCGAATACCGACCACCGCCCGAATGAGGTGGTGGTGGTGGCGGTGGACCTCCAGCAGCTTGAGGATGACCAGGAGCCGACGACTGGGCCCGGTGATGAGGCGAGTGCTCCTGCTGAGGTTGATGCGACGAAGATGGACCATACCGGAGCTGTTGTTGAAGTTGCGAGAGCTGATGTTGCTGCTGGGATAGCTGGTGCTGCATCTTGTCGACAAGGTGAAGCATAGAGGTTTGCTTATCCAAGTCGGCCCTGCGTTGTTCGTCCATCTGCCCCAGATACTCCCGCATGATTTGCATCTCGTTCAGGATCTCGCGGTAATGCTTCACTGAGGGGGAGGATCCAGGCTGCAATTCGACTCCTGCTACGGTGAGCTCACCGCCACGCATAGCATGAGGATGATCCACGGACGTCTCTTGCGGGCCGGAGGGGATGATGGGACGGCCATGCGAGTCTAAGGCTGGTCCACCACGTCCAGGATGGTGAGCAGAAGGAGGGAAGGGTGCAAACCGGTTGCTGTTGGAACCACTGCCTCTCTCCAGCGGAATCTCGTATCCGCCTCGGCTGCTTGTCCGGGCATGCTTCATCGGACGCTTGTAATCGGTGGCAACGCCGACACTGCCTGCAAACTCGCCGTGCGAGTAATGGTTGGCATGGCCAGGGATGTGCAAGGTAGGAGGATGTTGGGCGGCTGGCGAGTGGACAGGCAAGGGAGACGAGAGGGGGGTTGATTGATCTGCGCTGTTGTTGACAGGGCGAGCCAACTTTGAATCGCCTTGCTCTCCTTCCCAGCTGGGTCGATGGTGAAGAATGTTCGAGTCCTGCTGCTGTTGCTGGGCGGGCTCGACCATGTTCACATCGGCAGAGCCAGCGTTCCTGACCCTATCATTGGAGCTATGACTAGAGTGACGCTTGATCTGAGCGGCTGGGGCGGTAGTAGTAGTGGCTGGTACAGGGTTGCGAGGACGGCCTCTCTTGGCAGGGGTAGCGGGCGTCGAAGAAGCCGTTCCCGAGGAATTCGGGGCTGAGAGAGACGGAGTGGTGGGCTGAGTCGAGGGTGTATGGTTGGCGGGGCCAACAGGCGAACGCGGCGCGCTGTTTTCATCCTGCTTCTTTTGACCCGAGGAACGCTGCTCAGACTCACTGCGCGACAACATATCCTCGTCCTCCTCATCATCTTCCTCCTGAGCATTTTCCCGCTGACCATCCATATACTCCTCCTGGTCCTCAGAGTCCGACATGAACGACGCACTATCCTCATCATTTGAGTTGCAGCCATCGTCCAACGTGCCACCCTGTCCAGCCTGACGCATCAGAGTGATGATCTGCTTGACCAGATCATCATTGGCTTCACGCATCTCTTCTGGAATGTTGCCCTTATACATGCGCTCTCGGAGCTGGTAGGGCTTGACCATCCTGTTGACACGACGAATGCACTGCCGAGCATGGACCTTCATCTTGAGTGCATCTCGGACATCCTCCCAAGCCTTGGCCACCTGTCCAACTTTCTGCGCAAAGGGGTTAAGCCGGATAGTCTCCAAGAGCAGCTGTCGATCCGTGTCCTCCGACCGATACCGACGCTTCTTCTGCATCCGCTTGAGAGCCTGGGGCTGATTCATCATCTCAAAGAGCTGCTCCAAAAGCCGCTTCTTAGTTGCCTGCTGCTCCTCGGTACCGATGGGCCGATCGCGTCCTGCAATGCTGGCTTGAATGATATTGTCGAACCGACGGGAGCATGTCCGGGCTCGGATCCCCTGCTCCCTGGAGATCGACTCCCACGCCTGTGTAGTTTTGCGGATCGCACAGTTGAAGGGGTCGTGCTGCAGGACGCTTGTCAAGAGGCTGATCTGCACATCGATCGGGAGGGGACCCTTGGGCGTGCCGCGTGCAGACTGGATCCGGAAAGGGCCTGCTGGCTGGTTCGACTGCTCCTTCTTGATCGAAGATTGCTGTGGTGGCTGATGATGATGCTGCTGCTGGTGCTGTGGTTGTTGATGATGATGATGATAGGTTTGTTGAGGGTGATATGAATGGGAAGCATGAGTCTGACTGTAATGATGCTGCTGAGCGCTGGAAGAAGAGATCTCATCTTCAGGTGAATATCGGGGTCGGGGGGCGAGTTGAGGGAGGCTGTCGTGAGGAGGGGGGTAGGCGGTGGACTGTCGGGAATGATCTCGCGAGACATCGTCATAGTTTTGGGGTTTACCCGAGTTGGAGCTCATGCCCATATAGCGGCTGGGGTCAGCCGGGTAGGCCTCCTGTTCACGAACCAGAGGCTGATCGCTGTTGCCACCGCCGTGAGGATATCGATACAATTTACGATCCACATACCCTCCACCGCCGCCGCCGCCTTCCGAGTCTGCTGAGTCGCCGCGGCGATGATGTTGGTGGTGGTATTGGCGAGAGGTAGTAGTCGGTGGATATGAAGAGTCGGGGGAGTGATGGGCTCTTGGAGGGGGACCCAGGGGGGAATGGGGCATGGTGCTGTGCTGCTGTGAGGGGGAAGGTCCGGAGTATGCCCTGGGGTTGGGTTGGTATTCGGAGGGTGATGTCCGGGACGGATGTGCTGAGGGTGAGCTTTGCCCAGGAACAGAGCTGAAGGAAAAAGGGAGAGAAAGAAAGAGAGAGAGAGGAAGCGAATCGAGATGTGAGTAAGAGAGATTTTTTTGTGGTGAGATAGATTGAGAGGAGAGAAGGGAGTGTTGAAAGGTGAGAAATGAAAGATGAAAAGAAGGAGGGAGGAGGTGGGTAAACAGAAGGGAAAGAGAAAATAAAGAGAAGAAGAGAGGAAAGAGTGGAAGAAAGAGGAGAGACCAGAGAGATTGGAGGCGAGGAAGAGAAAAGTTAAAAAAGAAAGGAACGATGGGCGGCGTACAGGGAAATGAATAATGAATAATAATGGATGGACTAGTGCCAAAAAAAAAAAAAAAAAAAAAAAAAAAAAAAGCTGTTTGCCCGATCCCACCAAGTATGCATGGGAGGAGATAGTGAAGAAGAACAACAACGACAACGAGAATCGCTGGATTTGAGTGGATCGAGGGGAAGGATTGGATGGACCATGTTCGAAGTGTTTTCAGAGTGGGGGTATAAGAAACAACCAAAATGGAGAAGAATGAAAGAATGAAATGGTCACCAGCATGATACAGATCAACATAACCGGCATCATAACCATCATACCCACAACCACCATCATCGTCGATGATCATGCGAAAAACGGAGTAATAAAAAGGGATTCATCCGCTCCGTTCGCATGTGCGGATAAAAATCGATTAAATGGTGTTTCAATCACAAATGGCGACAACAGAGAGAAGGGCTGGTGTAGTGATAGTGGGTGGGAAGAAAGAATTGGCCCAGACGATAGGGAGAACGAGAGAAAAGGAACAACGACCTGAACTATTTTACACTGTTTGAACCCACAACCGGGTTACCGAGTGAACGCATTCAATAAAATGAAAGAAAGTGCCCATTCACCAGTTCCTTTTCATTACTCCATTCATTCAACTCAGTCAACATCACACATTGACTTATATCTGTCAGCCTCTCATCTCTTTCCCTTTCTCTCTTTCTCTTCGCGACGTACACCTGCCTGGAAAATAATAATAGTTACTCAAGAAAGAGAAAAAAAAACAATTGGGATGCAAACAGAAACAGAAACATTCGGACCACCGACAGACAGAGACGGAAAATAGAATACGAGGAAGCAATTGACTGTTTGTTTTCGATCGTTCAATAAGAGACAAGAGAATAAAAACAAAGCACCAATGGATGCCTCAGCGGATCAGGGATCAACCCGAACCCTCCCCCCTCTTCCCCCGATTGCCTAATCGTCCTACTTGCAATCAAACAAACAAACAAGCAAGCAAACACCAACAAACACACCGTTGAACAAACAAAGAAAAACAGGCTTCTCCGTCTATCTTTTTTACATCTTTCTTCGTCTTTGTGGTATTATCTCCTCCATCTTTTCATTTACTACTAACCCCCCATATAAAAATACAAAAAGCAATTGAAAATACAAAAAATCTGTATGCAAGAAAAAATACGTACCTTGAGGCTTGATACCGCTCATGGGGATCGACGTAACCAGAGTCCTTCTCACGGACATGCCATTGTGAGCCCTGGTGAGGATGTGCCTGTTGTTGTTGGTGGTGCTGCTGCTGTGGCTGCTGATAGGATGACGATGACGACGATGACTGGATTGGTCGGTAGTTGGGATCGTGGAGTGGCTGCTGTGACGGATAACCAATAGAAGTCGCTGGCTGGGAAGTAACAGAGGGGGAACCGTGGTCAGACGATTGTCGAACAAATGTGGGTGACATGCGATGTGATGACGCCGCCGACGACGTAGCTGGTGGGTATTGCTGTTGCTGTTCATTGTGGCCATCCTGATGCGGCGCGACAGAAGATGATTGCTGTGCGACGGAAGCAGAAGCAGAGGACTGCGATGGGGTGGGCGATCCGCTGTGATTACGGGCAGCCGCAGCGGCCTTGCTGAGTGCTGCTGCCGCTACCAGCTCTGGTGAGGAGGATGTTGCTGGCGATGTTTCTGTATATGCCATCTTGAATGGAGCTGTATCGATAGTGTGGGGGTGGTGGCTGAGAAGCATAAAACAGATGGGGGGGGGGGGGGAAAGAACGTCCACAGTGAGGAGAGACTTGTTCACTTGTCGGATTGTTGTTCAATTAGAAAAGAGAATGGTGTCGAGGGCTGTGTAAGTGAGGAGAGTGGTTGTTGTTGACGTCCAAGGCGAGAGAAAAGGTTGAATGGTGTTGAAGGGGTAGGGAAAAGAAAATGAAAAGGTGAATGAGAGCGGCGATAGGTGGGCGGGGTTGGTGTGACAGAGGGAGACCGATCGGGGAGAGGCCCAGGCTTTGGGTAAAGAGAAATAAAAGGTGAAAAAGAGGAGGAACGGCTTCTGAGCTCACAAGATGGAAAAAAGGTGAATGGATGGAGACGGAGAAAATAAAAAAAAGTAAAAGAAGATAGGCAAAAAATAAAATAAGAAAGCTTTTCTCAATGGGATCGATCTAAATGTGGTCATTGGAATAAGAGCATGGAGGGTTGTTTGTTAGACAGCAGCATGATGTAGAATGGTAGGGCAGTTAAAAAAAACATCCCCGACATAACCCCCCTCTTTTTCTCTGTTTGGTCGCGCATTTACGCACATAAACGGGTAAGTAAAGAAAAGGGAAAAAAAAAAGAGTGCACGCCATCCCGCAAACGCGCACATGCACAGCTGGATTCTTTTGGCGTTGTACAGGAAACAGTACACGAACAGTGAAGAGACGAAGAAAAGCAACAATAATAAGAGCGCAAGCAACAGGGTAAAGAAGGAGACAAACGCCATTGTGGGCGCAAAAGAAAGGAGAAAAGGAGGTTATGTTGAGACTGGACAAAACATTAGACTTCATGCCGTCCATTATATTTGACTCAGTAATCGTAGCCCATCCATCCCATGGCCAACCATGACAAAAATAAAACGATAATTGAATTGATGAGACGTGGACAAGGACAACAAGGAAGGATTTCCTATTGTTCACTCAACCCTCTAATTTCCTCTTGATGTTCTAGTGTTGTGTGTGTTATGCGTCTCACAAATGATATATGCTGTGTGGAAGAATTGTCCACGTATCCAAAACTCCAGTTGAACGTATAAAGGAGAACAAATGATCACTCAAAAAGAGGGGGGATGGAGATACGAGTAGAGCCAAACAGAAAACGGTTTACCGGTTCAGGTGCTGTGAACAGTTTCTTCTTTCTCGTTTAGTAAAACAGCACGCAAAACAAAGACTCAGACATAAACCCAAATGACCCAGAAGAGGCATGAACAAAGCGGGCCACCCGAGCTGTTGGCCAGCTTGGCTGGCTTGTTGCTGTGCGATCGATCGAATTCAAGGAGTTGTAGCTCAGAAACACGAATGGCTGTTGACACCAACAAAAAAAAAGGCAAAGAGATGGAAGGATGGAGATCATACAAGAAGGATAGAAAACAGCCCTTTGTTTTCTTCTTAAACCGTTGCACAAAACAGCCGTACCAAAGGAAGGTGATGTGGAGATAAGAATGAATGAGGAAGGAAAAAAAAGTAAGGGCGTGACCGAATTGGCCCAGCTTCATACTCTGCGTGTCTTCCCTCGTTCTTGACTCCCTCTTTGTTTCCCTCGGCATGCAGACAGATAGACATGCAGGCAAACACGCAAAACTCAAAAGTCTACGTATCAAGCGAGGTGATGGTCCTCGGATATTTTTGTGGTGTTACTGCTGTTTGTTTGTAGAAAGGGGGGTGGGGGTGGTAGAGGGTGGGTAGGGCGGAGTGGAGTGGTGGTGTACCTTTTTTCGGAGAAAAAGGGGTGGGCCTTCTTCTGCGGGAAAGAATCAAGAGTCGGAAGGAAAAAGAGAGCAAGAAGGAGTGAGTGAGTGAGTGCAATGAGAGGGACAGGCCCAAAGGGGCGAGTGTGTAAAATGGGCAGGGGTTGAGTGAAGAGAGAGAGAGTTGGATGGATGGTAGGAAGGACAAGGTCTGATAGGCTGGAAGAGTGCTGATCAGGCGCAGTGAAGAATTGAAAAATGAATACGGTTAAAGGGGAATGTGAAAGCAGGGTAGCTGTGAGGTAAGTGGTTGTTTAATTCTGGTTGATCAATTTTTATGTCAATGGAATGACATGAGTAGGTGTGTGTATGTGAGAGTGAAAGAAAGAAGTAGTCAAGGAGGAAAGCGAAAGGGAGGGGGGAAAGGGAGAGAGAAAGAGGCGAGAAAGGAGGGATGTAAAGAAAAGAGAAGAGACGAAAAAGAGTGCAGTCCACGGCGAAGATACAACAAGACGCAGATTAAGGAAAGGTTGTAAAAACTAACAACGACGTGCGAGAACAAGTGACGATCAACGCGAAGGAAGAACGGACGAAAGAACAAACGCAAGGATGCATGGATGGCAAAGACCGACGAGTTTAAAAAAGGGCGGTGGTGGTCCAAGGTAGAGAGAAAGAAGGAGAAGGAGACACCCTGATGTATCGATATATACCACAGCGATAGACCCACGATGCAGATGCGATGCGATGCGATGGTGTATAGCAGTGAACAAACAAAAAAAGGGAAACGACGGAGAGCTGCTTGATTGCTTGCTCTGTCGTTTTGAATTCGTTTCAATTGAACATTCATTCAACACCAAACATAGCTCCAACCCAACCCCAGCCATAACAAAAAATAGTACGATCAATGCTCAAGTCGACATCGGCCCTCGTTTCTCTCAAAAAATTAAAAAAAAAATGAAGCCTGCTCGTCGTTTCTTCCATTTGTCGGCGTCTGCATCGCGACATACCCAGTAAACGATAAACCGACAAAACAACAACCCCTCCCCCAATTTCCCATCATAATCTTATTATTCTTCTTCTTGTAGCTCTTTCCTGATTGTATGGTGGACCTGAATGGATGCGCACTTTCTTCGTTCCTCTTTTCTCAGCCTAGTGTTCACTCTCGCATCATTCCCCCACCCCTGCGGACATGAGAACAACCCGGCAAAGAAGGAAAGGATATGCAGTATTATCTTTTGAATTGAAACTTAGAATAGGAAACGGCGACTCGAATATTTCACAATGACACACTCGCACATAGAAAAGCAAAGGGTCATCATGCCCTCCCTCCTTCCTATACCTCCTCTTTCTCAACAACCCGGCGGAGGATGAGGAGAGAACGAGAGAATAAGCGTCTGGACGCCTCTCTTCAACTTGGTACCATATCGGCCATCGACCTATACCTTCACTTCCTCACCCTTTCCCACAATGACGCCTATCCAAAAATCACTACATACACTTTCACTCCCACCCCATTCACTCCTCCCCCTTCGTCGACATCTCTCGTGGCCTCAATGTTTGTATCCAGCCTGGAGGCCTGAAAATATAATAACCGCTCCATGTGTTTGCATACATTCTGCTCCAAGATCAGGCGTCAAAAAGTTCAGCGTAAATAGCGCGCCCTTTTGAAGTAAATAAGCAAAAGGGCACAAAAATAATGGGAGTGGAAAATGAAGACATGAAGTTGATTGAAGAGAAGAGTAACAGAAGAAAGAGGAGGAGAGGGGAGGAGATAAGGGAAATGACACCTACCTAGCACAAAGGAGAATCGACTTGAAGGAGATCGGATGATAGTATGTGGAGGATTCTTGCAGCCACCTGGCAAACTTGGATCGGAGAGCTTTTCTTTTTTGGTGATTGTGTTATTGAGCGAAATGGAAGACAATAATAACCATGACACAAACAAACGACGAATGAAGGGAGGGTTGAGGGAGAGAGGATGAATGCAGACGAATAAAAACACAAAGTGGGGCTGTCGTGGAGAAGGGAAGGAGAGGAGGGAAGTGATGTATAGGGAAATGTAAAAAGAGAAAAATGAAAGGAAGATTGGGTGTGGATGGCTGTGTCGACGAGAAGAAGAGGTTCAATTGAAATGGGGGCTGGGGAGTGGACGGGTTGCGATATTGTTGGATGGTGTGTGTTTGGGTGGATATGCGTTGATGGGAAGGGAGAGTGAATGGTGTCTGCTGTAGGGATGGCTAATGCGATGGTTCGTGTGTGTTCAATGGATGCTGATGGGTGTATCAGTGTCGATAGGACGTGTTGTTTGTTGTGGCGGTGGTAGTGGGAAGAGGGTGAGTGAGGATTGGACTAAAGAAGGAATGAAGAAGTGAACAACCAGAGAAATTAATAGAATCAAAGAGAGAAAAGAAAAGAAAAGAAAAAAAAGAGGGATTGAATTTGACCCCCTGTTGCCGCGGTCCCCCTTTATATGTTTTTTTGCCCGATTCAATCGGGATATATTCAATCAGATTCGATTTCATTTTTCTCCGTCTTTCTCTCCATCTTTCTGGCAGTCATATATCATCATTCATCCCTCCCTTATTGACAGACACATCAACGAAAGGGACCACTCACAAAGGTCATCGTCGTTTTTTTTTGTTGCTCATCTTTTTTTTTTTTTTTTTAGTGTTCTTGGGCGCCCATCAACTCTATCGCAACTGAAATGAAAAGCTACCCTTCTCTTCTCTTCTCTCACTCTGTCACTCGCTCCTAGGACTGGCTTGACTTGACTGGCTGACTGAACTCCTCTGTCCAACTTTGTTGTCATCATCCAACTCACTCATTCTTGGTCATGAATGCTATTATAATCAAACTTCATTATTTTTCCACCATCTCCTGTTTCCCCCTTTCCTTATCACTCCTGCAACACAACCACCCCCATCTTCTTTCCTAAATACAAATCTGAGAAACACGCACTTCCATGTGGATCGTCAACTGTAGACAGCTGTGGCGTTCAATGGGCGATCTCCCTCTTTTCCCCCTTTCTTTCTTTTCACTCCCAATCACCCCTGACCTCTGTGCACATTCCCCTCCCTCTTTCGTTCCTGCTTGTTGAAGCATGGTGTCGCATTTTTTTTTTCTTTTGTGTACAGTTTACGTTGTCATTTCAGGCAGACCAAAGAAAAAAAAAAAAAAAAAGCTCAAGAGGAAGGGGACATAAGAGAAGGAGTCTGGCATCGCAAGATCTGACCTGACGCAACCAAGGAAAA